AGATGGAAAATCATAATTGTGAGTCTTGTGACCCTCAGTTAATATTATTTTCTGAAATACGAAACTAGTTATTATTTCCTGGTGGAAGAATTAAAGATTCAGTACTTGCCTACCCGTTTCCATTAAATCATTTTGAACAAGTATAAATGCCTAGTAATAATTAATACATCTAATTTCTTTTTCAACGATAACTTTACAAAACAAATATGCAAAGATACGTTTTAAGTTATAACTGAAGATGACTGCATGTTACCATGCAGAGTTCGGATTCTATATATACCGGTGGAAGTTATTTAAGTTTGGAAACGGTTTCAAAATATATGCATTCATATTTCACATTTACTACAAAGGATAAAAAAAGAAGGTCATTTTCATAGTTTTACTTCTCTTCTTGTACAGTATTTAATCATGGATCAACCTACTTGTACTTTTTTGTTAAGAAAATGGAATGGATCAACCTACTTGTACAGTATTTAATCATGTAGTTAGCCTTAGGCATAACCACATAGATGATTGTTTAGGGATAATAAAATGCAGAGTTAGGATTTACTGAGAGTTAGCTAAACCTATATTAACGACTTCATTTAAAGCAAAGCTCTAACGACTCTTCATCCTCACAAGGTGCTAATAAATGTAACCATAATTTCGAATTTTCAATTCAAGAATATATATTTATATTGATTTTTTTTATAATTTTTTTGGTCAAGACATTTTATATTGATAAGCTATATAAATCAACATTATTCAGCTAATCACTACTTTGAGTTAACATGTGTTTATGTTTTTGGTTCCGTATAACCATTAGTCGTTCTTCTATTCATCCACCAACACAAAGTTTTATTGAAAGTTTAACTAAAAATAGTGAAAGTTTAGATTAATCTTCTACATTGCAGAGACTGAGAGTTTGCTTCCGATCCTTCTCTTCTTGCTTCAGCAGAATTATATTGTCAGTGTACAGATGCTTCGTAATGGCCCAATTTGGATCTTTTAACTGTTGGCCCATTACTGTTCCACCCAACTAATACTTGAAAAGGAAGAAATATATAGAGTGAGTACATTATATAAAATTGGTTCAGAGATTTCATCTTTTAAGCCTAAGAAGAGTGAAAAAGGGAAAAGTCTTTCTTTAGTTACCTTGTTATCTTCTGTAATAAGGCACTGCAAGCAACGTTAACTTACATGAGTCCCATTTAGATCGTAGTAAAATTCAGATTTTTACAAAAACTTGAAAGATTAATCGCAGTAAGAATCTATGTAATTCTCAACTGTTTATTTTGCAATATTGATAAAGAGCAATTCGAAAGGGTAAGAGAAACATGAAACAAAAAAACTGAAATCATCTAGAGAAATATTGGAGGAGGTTGTTTTGCAGAAAAATACAAGAATCAAATCTAATCATCTTTTTCTTTCCTTTTGCGAGATTGGTTGAGTTGCACTAAACTCGGAAAATAAGAAGAAGATGAGCACACAAGTGGAGGACAATACATTTGCGAAGAATATCTGGACATGGGGCAAGTATCCTCGATATAGGGAGCTTCTCCGAGACTCACAGATTTAGAGTATCCATCTTCTCCAATGATAAAAGCCGTGTGGTACCGAGTGGCCGCCTTGGTTCTTAAATATCCGTCAACATCGAAAACCACGACGACCTTCTCTTCCTCGTCAATGAAGAAGCTACCAGCTTCATGATTAAACCTAACACCAGTGAGTTTAAATGGTCTCATCTCCACCCTCAAAAACTTGCTCCAAGAAAGAGTGTTGGGCTCAATACTAGTCGTAACCCAAATATGTAATATGTCAGAAGATTTATTTTTTTGCTGATATAGCACCGCGAGCTGTTCTTCTTTAACACGTGAGAGGGTCACAGTCTCATCGAACTTAGAGTGAAACGGAAGAGGCAGGCGCGGTCCAAATTTTTCTCTTGTGAAATCAAAACAGAGTAAGAAATCTTCAAGATCTATGATTTGTACACCTCCAGGAACTCTTTCTACTTTGCTAGACAAGTTAGGTTCTATTGTTAATCCAGGAGAAAAGCAATGTCCAAGTTTCTCGTCAGCAAAAAAGTAAGAATTTCCCTTTAAAGACACGCTACGTTGATGAAACTTTATTCGCCAGCGAGAAGTGACGTCGAGAATCTTCCATGAATTAGAGTTAAAGTCGTAGATTTCGTACCCGAAACATTCCTTCTTTTGAAAGGAGTAATTATCCAAAAACCTCAAGATTTTGTGGTTACCGTTGATATCGTATCCTAGAGCATACGTGTCGAGCTCGTGAATTTTTTTGGGTACGATCCACTTTGTTTGACCCAAATAAGGGTTCCACACAATGAGCCTTGAGTTATCTTTGCCGACGCATAACAATAAGCCGTCGCAGTGAAAGACTTTAGATATATCGACTTGGTTGAGTGAATCTATCTGCTTTATAGATAGATCAACCAAATTCTTCATCTTCATTGCGACAGAGATGGAATCTCACTGAACAAACTTTAGAATCCTTCGTCATGAACCCCAAAAACTGCTTCCTAGCCGCTCCTTTACCCCAAAAACCCAATCTTTGGTTAAAGCTTTCCACAATTTGCAAGTGGAACGCACGGTTCTTATTGATGTTATCGGAATCTTGGTGAATATCATACCTACTAATTCTGGTGGAAGATCGCACATCCTTGTCATCTTCCCAAGCTTCACTAAACGCTGCAATAGATTTCTCTACTAATTAGGGTTTCTTTATATTTTTGGTGACAAATATGAAATAAATATCGTTAATTATGACAAGAAAAACAAACATAAGCCTTTGTACAAATTTTAAAAATTGACCCTTTCTTCATACAAAAAAATAAAAATAGGTTTCTTTTTCATGTTAAAAAAATCTTTAAAATTGGCCTTTTTCGTACTAAAGAAAATAAAAATTGGGCCCTTAAATTTACCCAAAAAGTTTTGGCCCTACACATTTGCTCCTCTAACCCTCCCCAAACGTCGGCCTGAACATAGTATGTACATGGTTTTTTCTACACATTTATCACGTAGTTTTGAGTTAGAAACTCATAAATGTGATATATAATCTATTTTGATCTAATTAACGGTTTCTGTGATCCTCCAAGTCATCATTATCTTCTTCCTCACCTTCCTCATCCTCCAAGTCATCATTATCTTCAAACTCATCCTCCTTCCAGTAATGTACGAACATTATCTCTCTCTCACCTCCTCATGTCTCCACACCATCTCCCTTTTAAGTACCTGGTCTTCACCATTCAACATTTCGATAGTTTTACTCACCGACCCTCTTTCCACCATAAATCCTCGGCCAGTCATTGTGTTCCAAAGTGACCTCCCCCACAACTTCCCAAGTGTTCAAGTCCTGGAAATTCTGCTTAAAATCAAGAAGGTAAACACCCTCAGTCTCCTCTTGTATTTCTCCTTTCGTTTTATATTCTCTCAAGCCCATATCACTAATAAGTGAATCCCATTCATTGAGGTCAAGTCTTCGAGTTTCGGAACGCCTTAAGATCCTCACGGTATCTGATTCAAATCAAACATGGCAAAATGTATATAAATTAACATCGACTTCATAATTGCGCAGATCCTGGAGGTTGTATGGCAGCAGTTCACTCTGAGCAGTATATAAATCAAATAAAACTATCTAATCAGGTGCAAAATGTATATAAATTAACATCGACTTCATAATGGCGCAGATCCTGGAGGTTGTATGGCAGCAGTTCTCTCTCCGCCATTTGCGCCGCAATTGCCGCGTCATTTTCCGCCTCGATTGCCGCCTCATTTAACGTCACGATTAACGGTTTCTGTGATATAAATGGCTGTTTTGGATTGGCATTTCCACCGACCAAAATCTTTGGCATGTCAATAGCCCATGAGACTTTATATATTGATCTATATTTCATTGATAGGCCGAAATAACGAATCAGTATTAAAGTATTTTAACCAAAGCAAATCAAAATTCGCATCATCGAATCAAAATAGAGTTAATAAGTCAAAACATATAACTAGAGGTTAGATAACAATGAACATTCTTTGCACCACAAAAGTTATTGGTATAATCAGGTGCAAATGTATATAAATTTTTATTCTGCTGCAAGAAACTTACCATCGACGTCATGAAAGTGTAGATCATGCAGGTTGAATGGTAGTTGTTCCTCCTCTGCGATTTGCGCTGCGTTTTGCGCCGTGTTTTACGCCACCGTCTGCATAGCTTCACTCGCCGCGATTTCCAGCTCCGGCTTGGATCCAGATACCATTTATAGATCTGAGAGAGAGAGATTTTTTTGTTAAAACGATTTGTTTGATGTATAAATTTTAAATTTTAAAACTCAAAAACATTGGCCCAAAAAAATAAAAAATAAAAATAAAAACTCAAAACCCAAATTCTTGGGCCTGTACAAATAAGATGATGGGCCTATTAATGAAATATATATATATATATATATATATATATATATATATATATATATATTAATATATTAATATTTCTCTATATTCTCAAAGCATAAATACTTCTATTAATTTACTAAATATAGAGGTGTAAAAATATCTTTGTTGAAATCATTTATTGTCCTTTCTCCAACAAAAAGTTCACAATCTCGTAACTATATTTTACTAACAAAATTAGAATATTTTTCATTCTTAATTTTAGATACTACTATTCAAGCAGAAGTCAAATATTTCCTAATATCTCAACATTTATATTTTGAGTGTTGACAAAATTAATCTCATTAATTAATTAGATAATTTGATATCCTCTCTTTTTTTCTTTCTAATTTGGTGCCAGTATATTCATTTATATTGCCATATTTTTCTTTTTCAGTTTCTATATAACCAAAATATATAAAGTGGCATAAAGTATTCATAAGACGAAACCGGTATATAGAAAAATCTTGGTCCATACCAAATTACCAACAACATACCAAGAACAAGTTACATGCAACAAAAAACAACAACAGGAGAACATCGTCTAGATAGTAGTAGAAGACATTGCCTAGAGTGACTACTTAGTAGGACTTGAGATTATTCATAGCAACAAACAAACTTGGGGAAGAAGAAAACAACAACACATTTTGAAATTACAGACTCATCCACCAGTGAAGAGCCTTTTGACTCTCAATTCTTCAAGAGATTTCTTGAGAAAATCCTTTTGCAATAAGGATTGTTACGTAGAATCGAGTGAGGCCTTATGACTTCAACGAGTGTGGCATGAAGTGAACCCTATATGATTATTCCACAAAATCTTGGATCATTCTCCAGTCACAATGTTAGAGTTAAAAGACACTTTTAAACTTGAATTGGCTTTGTACCTTGGTGACAGCAAGAGCAGCTTGGATGACAAAGTTAGCATAAGGGTCTTGAATTAGAATATCAAAATGAGGAACAGAGATGAGTTCGCGCACGATCTGAGGACGGCTCTCTGGACAATGTGTTAAGCATCTTTCCACCATATGACTACTGAATTTCTGCATTGAAAGCTCTACATAATGACCTTTTAACTGCGCAAGCATCGCGGCTATCGCAGAAAAATCCCTCAGTTCTAGAACGAATTGGACCGCATAGTTCCTGCATTTGATCAAGAACAAATAAATGCTTAGAATGAGTCCCTAGGTGTAATTCTAGTTACATGAGACTGTGAATTACCCATAAGGATCTTGAGCAAGGAAGAGGCTGTTTCTTGAGATTTCAGTTACAAGCTTCTCTCTTTGTAGTCCACTGGAATAAGCAATGCACTTTTGTAACACACAACATCCATGTCGATGTGTCGCAATATCGATACAGAACTTTGTAGCATCTTCAAAGAGGAACTATTAAGAGTGATTACATAAGATAAAATTGGTTAAGAGATTTCATTTTTTAATCCTAAGAAGAGTGACAAAGGGAAAAGTCTCTTTCTTTACCTCGTTATCTTCTGTGCTAAGGCACTGCAAGCAACGTTGAATCACATGATTCCCATTTAAATCCCTAATGAGATTAAGAAATCCAGGTCTCAAAGCTGATTTCACCAGAGAAATCTGCTTCCTTGTCTTGATTGATCCCACTAATCTCTGAACAACTCGAGTACTTAACCATACACAAAACAAAACAAAACAATCAAAAACAACCCTAAGTAGCTTGACATCAAATTGATCACACACAAATCTCTTACCCGTAAGTGTTGAGCGATATTCGAATAAGCTGACCAGGTTCTGAAGTGACCATGAGTATGATCTGTGTTCGTTGTTCTTCACTACAAACATCTAATAGTTTCTGCATCAAGTAATTTCCAAAAGGATCCATCATAAGCTCAACAACATGAGGAATCACTTCATTGAAAATAACCATAGCATCTAAAGCACTTCCATCTTCGAAGATCCTTTGTAAAAATCTGCATCCATGTTGATCTTTAGCCATTAAGTAAACATATCCCTGGAATTCAGATACTTTAGGCAGACTCTGATTCGTGTTACTGCTACTTCCTTGATGATCAAACAATGCTCCAACACCGCTTTTTCGATGAACCGGAACAGAGTAATTGTTCATGTAACAACTCTGCAATCCCAGATTCAAAGAATTAGGAATCTGATGATCCATTTGATCAACACCAAAACCAGAGTAATAACGAAATCCACCATCACCATCAAAATTGCTCCTTTGAGTTTGGTGATGAGACTCTGTTCGTACACAACGAGTCTTGTCTTCTTCTTCTGCAACATTCAAAAGATCGAAACTTTCGCAAAGACCCAAATCATCACCACCAAGATTATACTTGGTCATCAAGCCATCGAGTGGAGGAGAAGCGAACTGAGACGAACCATCCTCAGAAGAACACAACCCGTTTGAGAAGTAACTCGAAAGTGAGTAATCAGACGGAGATCGGAGACAGAACCTAGTCGAACTGTTGTAAGATGAGTCACCGGGGAAGACATAGTGATTACGATAGAACTTGGGAGAGTGATGATGTGATTGTGTTTGAAGAGGAGAAGAAGGAGAACGTGAAAGAGACGAAGGAGACGAAGCTTCTCCAAATTCACCTCTCATCATTATCTATGTGTCTCGTTTGTTCTACAAAAATCACACAGAGACTATGGAGAAACAGAACAAAATTATAACAAAAATCTATATTTTATTTGTGACTATTTTCATGGTGTTTGATGAGAGACGAGCTCACTAATGGAAAAAGGGAGAGATCAAGAAGTGTTAAGGTTTGTTTGTTAACAAAAGTATATATAAAATTTCTCTGTGTGTGTTTTTTTTTTCTTTTCTTTAGTAAGTGATTAAGATAAATGTTTTTGTAAGTTTTTATTAATTATAAGTCAACTTAATTTAATAGAATATGCGATTAAATTGGCTAGATTTTCTCACTAATACTATTTTTGGCATATATATCTGAATCAGATTACTGAGATTATTTGAAGTTATAAGTGATCGTTTTCAATCAAATAGAAATGAAAAAATGAAAAACCTAATATTAATATTTCATTTTAAAAAAGAAAAACATATCGTTGTAAAAGTTGTTAACCTTTTTTGTCCAAATATTAGTGAAATAATCATTCTCCAAATAAAAAAATATAAGTTATATTTTACCAATTAAACCTGACAATTTTGAGTTTTAATCAAGTTTTTCGGCTTTTTTTTACATCATCTATTCTAATCAAAAAGTGAGAAATTGGTAAAACCATAAACGCGTAAAACAAACAGATATATCTTGATTTCAAATATTTACTAGTTATTTATTATAAATTTCAAATCTCAAATATTGATACTTCATTTTGGTCAAAGATTGCTGTTGCTATCTTTCAGGTGTAGAATCGATAGAATTTTATGGTTGGACTAGGATCCAACATTATAGTAATTTAGTTATATATATTTTTTGTATTTTAGTAATTCAATAATATTAACTAAAGACTTTATCAACAAAAATAGTTATATTTTTTTGTCACAACTCACAAGAGTCGCTGGTCAAAACTGAAATCCATCGATTGTAATTTGTTAGGATGGTTTGATATTGAAAATTCTTCAATATATCTAAGTATAATTTATCTTTTTGTAATTTGTATGCTATATATTTCTGTTTAGCTTACTAAAAATGCACAACAACAACAACAAAAAAAAAGTAAAACATCAAAGTAATTTAATTCGTGGAACAAATTATATGTTCATACATATCATCTTTCCTTTTGGAAACTTCGTGGAAATTATTGAACATTCCTTATTATGATCATCGATCCTATTAGACAGACCGTAATATAGCTGAATTATAGGCTCTAGAAGTGGTCCTTCTTAAGTTCTAATTCCGGTTAGTATAATCTGAGTCAAGCCATAAGCATGACTAGGAATATCATTAATTTGGTTTCCAAATTAAGAACGACCACGAAAACGATAGCTTCTGACACAAGCTACTCACTTTTTGACCACTTTTTATTACTTGTTGGTTAGTTACTTCCTCGCAATTTCCACTCTCTGCGTCACCATCCATAGTATCAGTTGCTTCTGCGTCAACGTCTAGTACTAAAGCCTTATGTTTGCGTCGATCAGTGGTTTTGTTCTTAAGTAATCAGATTTTGTATTTGGGTCAATATATACTTGGGCTTGAAGCATATTATATGTGCATGTCTTTTCCACTTATTGTTTGTATAATTGGCCCGTTAACCAATCGGACTTTTAACGATTGGAGTAAGTCTTAGATACAATACAAGTATGCAAACTAAACACACACAAGATACGAAAACAGAGGAAGCTCTGTAAAATAAGAGAAGTAAAGTGAAACATTTGATGAAAACAGTCTCAAAATTTCACAAGAGTATTATTATAAGAAAAACATACTTCAAATTCACAAGTGTTAATTTTACATACTTAAAACATACTCAAAGATCACTTCTTCCAGCTTCGACTACGAAACAGAGGATCTTGAATTCCACCGACAACCCAAGTTTCCTTTGCGATATCTGTAGAGAGTTTGTAATAGTTTGTGTCGTAATTCATCACTACCAAATTCATCTTCTTATCTTCCTCCATTAATGATCTCAGATCCTTCTTATTTCTCACTCTCTCCTTCTCTTCTTCTTCTTCTTCTCCGCTCTGTTTTACTCTGTTTTCACCTTCCTCTGTTTCTTCTTTCTTCTCCTCTAACCAATTCTTAACCGGGGCAGATCTGCATCGCATCAACAACAACGCGTTTGGCGGCGGAACCGCAGTTTCTACATCCGAAAAAGCGTTTTCCTTTTCGTTGACGCACTCTTCATTGTTTTGCTTTTCGTGTAAAACCATAAGCCATTTCGAGAAAACTGTCCCTGAGCTTTCATCTTCATCTTCTTCTTCTTCCTCTTCCTCTTCCTCGTCTTCTTCTTCTTCATCATCAGAGATTATATCTACCGGAGGAAACGCACCGAAACATCGAAAATCGAAATCGCGGAGGCAAGTCAAGAAGCCCATAACATCTCTCTTAATCCCAAAGAACTTACTCTCTGACTTGCTTCTATGTATCTTCTCGATCTCCGCCATTAAAGACTGCCAATTCTTGCTTCCACCATCGCGTTTACTTGACCGCACTTTGATCTGACCAGCACAAGTGACTTTCGGAGAGGTAGGTTCTTCAACTACCTCCCTACCGCCACCGCGACTCTGACGAACTCCACCACCGCTGCCAGAGAGCTTACTGATGCTACGGCGGTGGTGTGGAGCATTTTGACGGCGGTTAAAGGAATGAGAAGGGCTAGAAATGGATTTAGAAGGTAAAGACAAATGTGTTCTTGAAGGGAAACAAACCATCAAATCTGCTGAGTAACCAGAAGATTTACCTCCTCCTCCTTTGATCATCTCTTCTTGTTTTTTTTGTTTCAATTCGATTCTCTCTTCTTCTTCTTTGGTTTCGTATATAGGACCGATCTCGAAGAGAGTGGTTTAGCTTTTTATCTTTTGGTTTAAAAATTTGCTTTCGTCTACTTTTTCTTGAAAATTTGTTTATTTAAGCCTTTAGCATTCTTGTGCTTTGACAGCTTCGCAAGCTTTATCTTTTGCGGGAAAATAATACTTTCTTTGCCATCGTAAATCTTATTTTGCCCTTTCTATATTAATCAAAAACAATTGAGCACAAATTGATAAGTATTTTATTGTTTTTTGTTGGTAGCATCAACCATGTGTAATATGATTATTGAATGACAAGTGACAACTTCACATGCTTTTATTAACCATAGATTTTTGTTGTATAGTTAGCGATCCGTAAGAGCATCAGTAGTGGCAAATGCTGCTTGTATGGGTGTAACAATTTTTTTATTATTATCATTTAAAGCAAAAGATAAAAAAGATTGAGAAAGTAAGAGAGAGAGAGAGATAAAAAGTCTTGCATCCGAATGCAACTTTGCACCCAAGTGTAGCTTCTTACACAACTTTTCCAATATTTCACAATTAAAAAATACACACACCCTACACAAACTTGTACCGTTGTGACTGGTCTAAGTTTGATGTCAGAATGAAAAAGAATATTGTTCAGTTCACGAATCGTTGCTATAGATTTGTTTTGTGATTTCTTCTTTGCATTTTACCTACTTCAACGATTTTGCTATTACGCAGTATAAATGATGTTTTAATCAATAAACTTTGGAAGTTGGAACCATATGAAATTTATCCAAGATAGACATAAGTTTAACAAAAACTTAACTAAGCAGAGTATGCAATTATTATTTAACCTGTTTTACTAAATAGCATAGCCAAACAAACAAAAAAATTGACCTAAACTTATTTAGTTTAACATGCAAAGAAAAGAAAATTATTGATCGAATATCATATTATAGTGCCAATATAAATGTTTTGCCTAAACACTTCTAATTTTTTAATGATTTAGATTTAGTCATCATTCGTACCTATGGCTATAGTCGAGCTACATTCCCCACTTATAAGAGATATTCTGTTAAATTATAATCGTTTCGAATAACAAAATCTTAATGGTAATCATGTAACATGTATGGACCAGATCGTCGATCTAACAAACCCCATGTTTATGTAATTCGGCAGCTTTTGAAATTTCTAATAACGTGATTAAATTAGTGTGCCAGTGACTAATTAACAACGTTCTTTAAGTCATGATGCTACTCAGTGGCTACAATAATGATTACCTGAATTGATTAGGTGATTCTAACGATAACTGAATCAATTATTTATCGATTGATTATCTCTTAAAAGAGAAGGAATCTAAGACCATTGTTATATCAAATTTATGTCACTGCTCATAAGTTTTTTTAATAGAAGGTGATGATGTTTTAGCGGCTGAAATGAACAATAGTTATGTATGTTTTTATAATGGTCTAAACAAGAATTATATTGTGGAAGCCCCCTTGCCCCATTCGTTGACCAAGGGTTGATTAATGCTTCTATACCAAGAGGTATGAGGTTCGAGTCCCAGATATTGCGATTTATTAACATATTTGCAGATTAATGGAGGCAAGTGTGCAGGAGATCTCCAGCGATGTACAATTATAGCCGTTCGCTAGGATTCTACGCAGAGAAGGAAGTGTCGCCAGGTCGTGGATCATTGAAAGTATTCATCAAGATCATGAAGAAGGAAGTGTAATCTGTCGTGGATCTAGTAAAGGTCGGAAGGAATTGTCAGTTGTAGAATCGTCTATGTAACAGTTCTCATAATTTGCAATTAATAATAAATCTAGACGACAAAAAAAACAACAAGAATTATATATGTTTGGTAACCGACCGAATAGCATAATTTTCACATAAGTTTTACCAATCATTACGAAAACATATGTAACATTTTTTTTGTATAAATTGTAAGAGTTTATACAATTTTATATTTATTAGTTCATTTCTTTTTATCGTCTAATCCCAAGCTATGTTGCATGGAAACGGAAACGGAAACTCGGAAGCGAAACGTTTCGGAAACGAGAAACGACTTTTTCTAAAATTAGGGGTTGGAAACGTTTTGGAAACGTATACACACACACATATATATATATATATATATAATATAATATAATATATAACATTAACTTAAAAATATATTAAAAATGGTTTAAACAATACAAGTCTAAAACATCAAATATTAAATAGGTTAACTAAAATTGTAAAAGATAAAAATTAAAAGGTTCAAATCCAAATATTTAATTTAGACCAACATTTTCATTTTCATTTTCATTAGTTTCATCAAAGATCATATAAAACTGCATCATAACCTGGTTTGTAGAGAGAAAGATCTTAAAACTCAAAGTCTACCAAAATTAGTTATATGTATTACAAATCTTAATATTTCTAATTTTTATTTATTAAGTTAAGTTTTCAAAATCAATAAAACGGATTCATCGCGTTTCCATCATGTTTCCAAACATAGATTTTTAGGAAACGTGTTTCCGTGATGTTTTTCGTGTTTCCGAAGAGTTTCCGTTTCCGAAACGTTTCGGAAACGGGAAACGGACCTCGGAGAGAGTTTCCATGCAACATAGATCCCAAGTCTGGTCCGAGTTATATCTAGTAATGAAGAATTATAACCACCATATTCATCATTTTACACAATTCTGAAACGCCTCTACGCCAATGAATTGCAATTTGCCTTTTATAACTAATAAATCAGTAAAAAGGTTACTAAACGTTTTTTTTTTATAAAGTTATGAGGAAAAAGCTGACGTCAATTGGTGTAACATGGATTAGTTGACGACGTTTTTGTTACTTTCTTAGAAATTCTGACGTCTTTCGGCACCATTCATGCCACATTATTGTTTTTCTTTTGTCACAAGGATCCAAATTCGCATATGCTTCCAAAGATTGACCAAATTGGTAAAGACAAGTCAAGTGAATATCCAACTTTGTACAGTGTAATAATTAAAAATGCGTACAAAAGAAAAAAATCATTCTTACAAATGTAAAACACAAGAAGCCCACAAGGCCCATCACGAGACCCAACAAACACTTAAAATGAATTCATCTCTAAAGCGTTCTTCTTGCACTTTAACAAAGCGACGACCGCTTCACCGTACATACAATCTCCGGCGAAAGCCTCCGTCGCCAGTTCAGCATCATCTCCGACATCGGAATATTCTCCACTCGGACGGACGATCACAAGCGTGGCGGATTCTAAACAAATACCACTCTTAAGTTTCAGAGACGGCGCGTGTCTCATACTCATCCTCACGCTCGGGACAACACTCCTGCTATTTTTCACCACGCGCTCCTCGTCTTCCACACGCGCCTCCGTATTTCTAAACTCTTTAAGCCCTGCCGCGTCCATCACCACCGTCCCCTCGCCTTCTACGTCACGCATGATCAAACTCTCCATCTCCTCGTGCTCCTTCACGACTTCTCTCATCAAGTAATGACGAGACGAAGCAGCCATCAACGCGCTTAACGTCCACACGACACGTGTCTTCAGTCCAGTCACAAACTCGGCGTCTGACTCACCGTCTACGGCGACGGGAGAAGACACGGTAGCGGCGGAACGGAACGCGACAACGACGCAGCTCTTGAGAGTTTTCCCAAAGTCCGCTTTCCACTTCACGGCGGCGCCTTTTTCTAGCTTTACATCGCCGCCGTGAAGCTCGACGTCCAAACTCCGGATCTTGTCAAACGGGGAGAGAATCTTGGAGGGGAGACTCGGAGAGAGAGCCGTGACTGGGATTGGTTTAGCCGGTTTAGAGAAAAGAGAGAAGAGACCGTGAAAGGACTTGAATAAGGATTGGAAGATACTGGTGACTGGTGAATCGGACTCGGGGCGGTCGAGTCGTAGGATGAGTGACTCAGACTGAGGGACAAGCGAGTTGAATCTTTTTGAAAGAGAAGTGCAACGAAGTAAGGTTTTGACGTCACCAACTTTGTTCAAGATGTCGACGATGATCGGATCAGGAAGTCCATCGAAAACGTCCATCTTACAGAAACTTCGGAATGAAAGAGAGAGTTTCTTTGTTTCTCTTCTGTGTTTTCTTCTGTTTCACTTTCTTGCTATGATTGATTATGCTTAGAGTTTGGAGAGTGTAACAAAGGAGTTTTAAATAGAGGTTTATTTTTTGGAAAGGAAGAAGAAGCCAAAAAGACAAAAGTAAAAATCATTTTTTTTTCCGGCATGTAGGACCATTGCCGTCTTTTAATAGTATAGTAATTGGTACAACCAATAATAAAATTCGGGCAGTTTGTTTTGCTCGTTTGATGTTTTCAAAAGGAGACATCGGACGGTCTATAAGCGTTCTTGATCGACGGTCCGTGGTGATTTAACATTGTTTACCATTATCTCGATCCATTACCGGAAATATCCAAGAAAGTATCATAAATAGAATCTCATATAGTGATTTATATCTTGTTATGTCACTTTGCTATCTCAGAAATTTAATTACTAAACAAAGTATGTATGGTAATTACTGCGAAAATCGACTATAAGAAATTTGATTTTGTACGATTCTGACGAAAAGTTGATGATGTTTCTAAAGCATAATTTTGAAGATGTCCTTGATAATTTGGTAGGCTCGCTTGGGCTTCAGTATAAGTCATTTTTTCTATGATTTCTCTAAGAATATCTCTAAACTTTTCAATATTTCTATCCATAATCACTTTGTCGACAAACCTTAGAAAATGAGCCTTTTTCTTGTCTGATTAATTTTACAATGAGTGAAGTTGCTAAATGGATAAGGAGATATTTCAATAACTAATATATACACATTAGTACTTTATTCAAAAAAATATATACATTAGTACGATAGCCTTCATATTTAATAAAAAGTTAGTTATTACAAGCTATTCAATTGGTTTAATTTCCCGTTAATTAGTTGGTCATCTAATTTCCCACATATCAAAATATATCGTAGTATAAACCAACTAATAAAAATACGTCATAATCTAAGATACTTCTATGTACGATGAATGCAAAATTTGAACTTTTTGGCATCCGGAAGGGTCACATACTCACATTATATACTTAAAAAGTATATATACTCATATAAATAGTATCAATGAGGACATTCCTTTTTCTTTAATGAGGAATATTATCAATATTAAAAAATTGCAATGCTCCGTCTATACACATTTTAAGAGTTTTGAATTGAAAATAGTATATATTTGTTGTCATCTAATTTTAAATTGATGAGCACTTGTAATTAAAAATGTCCAACAATGTTTATAACGTCACTTGTAAGTTTTAATGTTAAAATATAATGATGATGGTCTAGTGATTTTGTGTCCAGGTTCTGTGGTTAATTGAATCCTATTAGTATATGTGGCTCGTGAACTTTGTCCATTTGGCTTTTTTTTTTTTTTTGGTAAAATGTCCATTTGGCTTTTGTATACCGATTAAATACCAACAAATATTATGCATTCTTCAAATTTGTTCACAAATATTTGTTTTGTTGTAAGACAGAATTAGAAACGAATGATCCCAAACGGTATATAATAAAGATTCTTTCAACTGGGTATAATATCACAGACGGAATATTAAATCGAAGGGGTTCGTTGAATTCTAGTTTTCTATTGAAAATAGTATATTTATTGTCATCTAATTTTAAATTGATGATCACTTGTAATTAAAAATGTCCAACAATGTTTATAACGTCACTTGTAAGTTTTAATGTTAAAATCTAATGATGATGGTCTAGTGATTTTGTGTCGAGGTTCTGTGGTTAAACGTTGAATCCTATTAGTATTTGTGGCTTGTGAACTTGTCCATTTGGTTTTTGTATACCAAAAGATATTATGCGTTCTTCAAATTTGTTCACAAATATTTGTTTTGTTGTAAGACAGAATTAGAAACGAATGATCCCAAACGGTAATATATAATACAGATTCTTTCAACTGGGTATAATATCACAGACGGAATATTAAATCGAAGGGGTTCGTTGAATTCTAGTTTTCTAATTGGTTTAAACAATGGAATATGCTTTACTAGGAAAAATAATACATTCTGTCGACATCATTTTAGTTTTTGATTCCCTGAGCTATGATAGGAAATAAAAATAATTGTATGTCTTTTTTTTTTTTTTTTTTTTTTTGATAACTCAGGGGAATCCCAGACCTATGGAGGGGCCCAGACTAATCCCCTGGGGGAGGTGCAGCCCACAGATAGACTCTCTCTCCGGGTATGCAAATGGGCCGAAAGCAAGGGCCCATATCCATGTGGCCAAGTGGAGATCTAACAATTGCGCGCTTGCGGGGAATCGATCTCTGGCCTAGACCAACAGGCCAACTCCTCCACAAGTGGCAACCACTAGACCAAGAACACTTGATTATAATTGTATGTCTTTAAATATTATAATTTGAATATTTAATATATCTCCAACTCGAACATTTTTAATTGCAATATCAGTAATTTATAGGAAGTGGATAGGAATTATAATAATTTAGTTCCCGGTACAACTCATACTCGACAACGACTAAACTATAGATTAAGACGATTTTAATCATTAGCTTATTGAGTATATTTTTTTATAGATTTAGTGATTCATATTTTGTTTGAAACGCACGGCCGGATAGGCGGATACTAGTTTTCTATCGTGTTTACCAGAAAACGTCAAACATTAATTGAATTCGAACTATAAAATATAGCTTTGTGATAAGTACCTTCATAATTATTAAAATTACAAAAAAATTAATAAAACAGATGAGCCTAAGAAATATATATAAATAAATTTGTATGTGGCCATATATCTATTATCATAACTAGCATATATACAGTATACTAATGTGTAATTTATGTTAGCAAGCCTTCTAGAAAAATAGCATAGAAGAAGAAATCCATTTAAATATCTTACAACACTGTGTAATGAGAAATTTCACATTTCAGTATTATTCATTGAAACGATAATTTAAAAATCTAAAAATTAAGGTCACCAATTTTATTTTGCTAAGAGTCCCATATATTTCAGGGCGGGTTTATAAGAACACAAAACTCAATCTATCTTATGAATCACTTCTTCTTCTTCTCCAAGTGTTTGTTTCTTCCACTTTACCAAACGCTCCAGAAATTCTTTAACCTGCATCTCACATTATAACAATATTGCAGTAATTAGTTAGTGACTATAAATATTATACTGCACTAATACATCTTATTTTAATTTTTTCCTGAAATAATGTATACCTGAGATGGGTCTTGAAGAGAGTAGGAGGCGTAGGTTTCCTTAAGAGTTTTTGATACGACAATCCCAAAACCTTGTCCCCTTTCACATAAAACCTATCCCAAATATGTTTATGGCATCAATATAGTATAATCCTTAATATATGGCATCCAAAAGAAGAACAAAAAATCACACTCTTAATTGGGCTTGGTTTTGTTTTGGTTCAACGTACCTTAAATGCATCTTCATCAGTACGGTCATCACCAATGTAAACCGGTAAAACATCTTTAGATTCTGCTATCCCTATTTTAATCAAACCAAACATATTTTCAGATTAAAGGATGAAGGATCTAAATAACATTATCAAAAGTATGAATTACGAAAGTCCGAATTTCAGCAAGACAAAAATAAATCACACCTAATGAGTTTAGCAAAAATTCGAGAGCCTTTCCCTTGTCCCATTTGATGGAAGGTCGGAGTTCTAACACCTGGTTTATTGAATGAATAATTATGGTTAAATACATTACATTAATCAACTAAATGCCATATTAACAATTTGATCAACTTTCATGAATTAAATGTTACCTTTCTGCCTTGTGTCAGTCTCAATTTGGGATAATCAATGAGAACCAATCGCACTTGCTCCGCTAATGCAGCCCATCCCTGTCGAGTACAAACACATTCTTGAAAACAATTTTAACAAAATAAAATGTCAACGAAAACAGAAAACCCTTGTTCTTAAAATTGTTATTTTGTTTCCGTCAAAAGAGAGTCTATCGTTATAATAAAAAATTGGTTAAATGTCATCTTAGACGACCATTAATGTAAATAGATACTTACCGTTTCATCAACGCGACGAAAATGTACTGTTAGACAAAACTTGTTGTGCTCGACCGTAGCTCCAGGGATAGATTTTGTCTTTTCCTTCAAAACGTTAACCACCTAAACTCGTATAATCAACAAATCAATTTCTTGTTTTTTGTTCGTTAAAGAATCACGTCATTAAAACAAGAACTTAAAGATGACGAAACTGCGAAAAAAACCTCGTCAATCATCGGTAAATAGTCACTTGCAGGTTGAAACATCACTTCTTCTTGGTTACTCTGCGATGAATTTCATTAATCAGAAAATATAACAACAAATTTTACCTCTCAATTTTACAAAAAAAAAAAACAAAAAAAAAAACCTGATCGGGATTTGTCGGACCCTTAATGTCCATGCCGTGGCTCCCGGCATAGTGAATTCCAGTGAGTTTTACAAAACTCTGTACCTGAACAAACAAAAACATATCTCATATATCCTTATACACTTTATCATATCTACTATATATAATGCACGCAGCCAAATCGAATATATTAGTTGATGGACTTTACTTTATCAGTACTTCGTCCGCTGATGATCGCAGTCTTGAAATATGTAGCCACTTCCTTTACAACTTCACGCATCTGTAAGATATACTTTAGCTCAATAACTAAACTCAAACTATATTTAAACTGCATGGAACATAACATGAAGCAAGGTCAGAAAAAAACCTCGTCGGTTATGTAAGCTTTGTCGTGATCTTCAGTGATTAGTGATAGAGTTCCATCGTAATCAAGAAACATAATAATTTGTTTGCCTTCTGCATCACTCATGATTTTGTCGAACATATCTAATGCCGACGGATGAAGAGCCTAAATCCAAGAAGAAAACTATTATAAAAAAAGAGCCTAAAATCCAAAATTTAACAAAACAGCACCTTTTTACTAAATTTTGAAGCCGCTCAATATGTAACTAAATAGATTTCAACTATTAATATTTAGACTCGATTAAAATATTTAGTACGTAGCCATTTTTCAAATTCTTTTAATGGACCTAAAGGATCAGAATTTCTACTAACCAAATGAAAGTGAATACCATTCTAGTGAAAATCAAACTTTAGAAACAAACGAGTTTATATATGTCTTGTCAAAAAAAAATAAAAAAAAATAAAAATATATATATATATATATATATATATATATATATATATATATATATATATATATGTCTTGTCCCCTGATCTTTACCATAAAGCTAGTCATTAACATTTGGTATACTTTTGTAATAAACAAAAAAATATATAAGTGCTCGTATGATGATCCAACATCTAATATCTAAGCTAAATAGATTCTAAATACATGAATCAATATAGGAAATGAATTATAAGTTATATACGGCATATAAAGGAATTAGACATTTTATCACAAAAAATACAAACTAGAAAATTAAAACTAAGACAAGTACCAAAAAGAATTTTATAAATGTGCATCAGACAAGAACATCACATTTGAAAGATTAAAACATAAATGAAAAGAATAGTAAAAATGTTTTTAAAAAATTATCCAAACAAAAAAGTTGCATAAAACAAAACATAAAATAACGTACAATCCAGGAGCTTCTCTCGTCATCGTTCTCGGATACATGTTCATCAGAGAAGGAAGATCTGACACGGGTCGGGGACATATCCCTCAATGAATCGACCAAAGTCTCGATCTTTCCGGCAACATCCGTAATCTTCATGTCAGCGATCTGAGAGAGGTAAGAGTAACTCGGCGGTGGCGAAAACACAGAGTCTATAATCTATTTTCTCAGTTGTTGCACAAACCACTCTTTAGGCTCATATATAAACGCTTTTTGTAGCAGAATATATATAGTTAATAGCTAATTTATAGACGATGGCATGCGCATAAAGATGATTCCATAATTATGTTCCATTAATATAGAAAACCGAATCCTAATTAAGTAAAGAATTTGGTAAATAAATTCATATCTTGAAAATATTGATATTGACATCATATTTTAAGTAAACGAGTAAATTGAAACCTCTCATTTCTTTGAATATATATATAGTGTTTACCAATGCATAAGGAGTTTCCAATTGTGTTACTGTTAAAATGTTCATGCATGAAGAAATTAACCCATTTAAGATGATTCTCCTCTTTTTTGGTATCATGCTTCATTTGGTTAAAAAAAAAAAAATCAATACTTTTGACTTTGTTTACATGGACACATATTAATTAGATTATGTATCACAAGATTTTTCTTTCTGGATCCTGCAAATGAGTTTGACTAACATTTCATAATTAAAATTCATGTTTCTAGAAAAAATACGTTTTCTCTAAACAAATATACACATGAAAACGGAAAAGTTTAGAAACAAAAATAATTTATATGGGCCATATTGATTTACTCAAAGCCCAAACCCAAATTGGATAAACAAAAAATAAAAATAAAGCGCTCAATATGCAAAAACTATCGAAACTACAAATACGAATACATTAAACGACGTCGTTGTAAGCGTAGCGTCGGCGTCGTCCGTGATTCTCTCTTGCTTATTTTTGGGGAAGACAATTCCGAGAAAATAGAGAGTAGAGAGATCCTGAAAGGTCAAAAGAGGTCAGGTGATTGATTAACCCGTTGAATCATCTCCTTCTCCCGTTGAATCGGGTCAAAATAGTTGGAACTTTAAGCCAAACCCTAGCTTGAGGAGGAAGAGGGAATGGTCGGCGTGATGAACAGATTGAGGAATCTGGACGCTTACCCTAAAATCAATGAAGATTTCTACAGGCGTACTCTTTCTGGTGGTGTTATCACCCTTGTCTCTTCTTTCGTCATGCTAATTCTCTTCTTCTCCGAGCTTCGTAAGTTCATTTGATTACCCCTGTTTTTGTTTTGGATCCAGTTTGATTCTGGGGAAGCTTGAAGGTTGATGCTTTGTAGGATTTGAGCTCGAAAGTTTTGTTTTTTCTTTGTGGGTTTTGATTTTGATTGTGTTTTTGTTTTGTTTTATTTGTGGGTTTGTTGTTTTAGAGCTGTATATTCACCCGGTTACTGAGACTCAGCTTCGTGTTGATACATCAAGAGGAGAGAAGCTACGCATTAATGTAAAATTTTGTTCATTTGCTTACTAGTTATTTGTCAAGGAAGTGCCTTTAATAACTTGCCTTATATGATTTGCAGTTTGATGTTACATTCCCTGCTCTTCAATGTTCGATTATTAGTCTTGATTCCATGGATATCAGTGGAGAGAGGCACCTTGATGTGGTATGTCTTGCTGAATTGTTCTGTTCCATTACTTTTTCTTATTCTTTTTCAAATTGAGATCATGTTTGTTTACTTTGTCTGAAATTTGATTCTGTTCGTTTGGTATATTGCAGCGACATGACATAATTAAAAGAAGATTAGACTCTTCTGGCAATGTGATCGAGGCAAAACAAGACGGAATTGGTCATACTAAGGTTAGTTTTTCAATGTTTTTGACCTTTTTCATTTTCATGTGCCATCTCTGATCTCATTGCAAGAAGTTTAAAGAAATTGAAAGTGTTGAGGTTCTGTATTATTTGCTTCCTTATGTCTCTAATTCCCCCTAATGTTATTGTCTATCCCCAGATTGAAAAACCTTTACAAAAACATGGTGGAAGGTTGGAGCACAATGAAACATACTGTGGTTCCTGTTTTGGAGCCGAAGCGGTAAGCTTCCCATAATCATTTTAAGAATATGCTCTTACAAGTGATATTGGACTTTCAGTTGCAGTAGAAAATCTTCAACAGAGTTCGTTAGTGTTGATTCAATTATTTTACATTTTCGTTTCTTCTATGGTGGTGAAATATTTTTGATCCTCTTTACTTGTTGTGGTTGTCATTTCTTACACGTTACAGTCAGATGATGCTTGTTGTAATTCATGTGAGGAAGTTCGTGAAGCTTACCGAAAGAAAGGTTGGGCCCTCTCAGACCCTGAATCAATCGACCAGGTATACTGACATGCCTTTACTGACAACAGAATTGGGTTGATCTTGTAATAAAGTTTGAAACAAATAGTGACATCTTGTTTGGCACTAAACTGGATTCTTACTCATTGTTTCATCTCAGTGTAAAAGAGAAGGCTTTGTGCAAAAGGTCAAAGACGAAGAAGGTGAAGGTTGTAATGTTCATGGTTTCTTGGAAGTTAATAAAGTTGCTGGGAACTTTCATTTCATCCCTGGGCAAAGCTTTCATCAATCCGGTTTTCAATTTCATGATATGTTATTGTTCCAGCAAGGAAACTACAATGTAAGAAAAGTTTATTCTTGTTTCAGTCTCTTTATGAGCTCATCTTTCAAATGGGTCTTGACTCCATTATATCTCTACACAGATTAGCCACAAGGTCAACAGGTTGGCCTTTGGGGACTTTTTCCCCGGTGTAGTGAACCCTCTTGATGGGTAAAAACTTCATTCCAAAACCATTACTCGCGCCTGTTATCGCTTTTCCACTATTCTTATCTTCTGAAACGTTCTCTTGGTTCTCTCAGTGTGCAGTGGAATCAGGGGAAACATAGTGGCGTCTATCAATACTTCATCAAGGTTTGCTTCATTTGTACATTATATCTATAGATAATGCTCTCACCTGCGACAATAGTTTAGATACAAAATTTCGAGATTCCTAAATGGCTAATTTCCTATCAGGTTACTAATAGGAAAGTACAAAGACATTATGCTTGTTGAGAAATGCAAAAAGATTCTCCATCAGTAGCTTTTGCGTGCGATAAAGATTGTTGAGTGTAGTAATAAAGAATGGATTGGTGGTGTTGAATTGCAGGTGGTACCAAGCATATACACCGATGTTCACCAGAATACAATTCAGTCAAACCAGGTGAAGCCCATATCTCTGTTTAAACATCTTTGACATTTTCTTTTTGTAAATTCTAACATATGGGTTTTTGTTTTTGACAGTTCTCTGTGACAGAACATTTCCAGAACATGGAAGCAGGTCGCATGCAATCTCCGCCTGGTGTTTTCTTCTACTATGATCTATCGCCGATTAAGGTCTGTTTGGGTTTTTTTCCGGTAGTGTATTAATAATAGTAATGGAGACTATGTCTTTAAAATCATATTAATTTTTTGATTGTTGGTTAGGTGATATTTGAGGAGCAACATGTGGAGTTCTTGCACTTCCTAACAAATGTTTGCGCTATAGTTGGAGGTAATCCATATATCTCCCTTGTCCATTTAATTATAAGCATACTACTGTGATATGTTATCATCAAATTCAAAACTAAAATACATTTGATTTGCAGGTATCTTCACGGTATCGGGGATAGTAGATTCGTTCATATACCATGGACAACGAGCAATTAAGAAGAAAATGGAGATTGGTAAATTCAACTGAGTCGTTTGATATTCTCCACACGTTCTTGATCAGCAACTGGAGAATCATCTCGACGGGTTTTACAGTTAGACATTAGGTTTGAATTTGGTGACGATACGATGATGATCGATTGATTTAAAGAATTTTGCAGTACTGTAAGATATTTAAGGATCTGAACTTTTGCCTTTCACTATTCCCTATCTCTTCATAGGCAACGTACAAAGTGTAAAATGATGTGATCTTCAATCGAAACGAATGTTTTTTTTGTTTTTCCAATTTATTTGAGCGTGTTTTTTGTTTAAAAAAAAACACGAACATATTATCGCTTTGTTTTTTGTTTTTTTTGGGCAAAATTATAATTTAAGTAGTTTCTAGATCATTTACGTGATGTTTCTTGAGCCAATATATAAGATTTTCTAAGAAAAACTTTTAATTAAGACAAGGAAATACATTAAAGAAAAAAACAAACAAATTACATAAAAAAATCTCGCACGGTCGAAGCATGACAAAAAAACCCAGCTTGGACCGACGCAGAGACTAACAATAATTACATTAAAGTACATAAACTTATCAACATTAACATAAAGCCCCCTAATAATGATAAGCTGATAATATCCCCGCAAATGACCAAAAACTCCATTGCAGTGACATCTAATATTCCTAAAATACCCCTATGGCATCAACTAATTTACAAGACTCGAACACTGAAGAATCGAATCCCAATCGATCTCGTACGACGGATACTTCTCCAACGCAAACTCATTCCACGGCGGCTGAATCTCCTCCTCCGTGTCACCAAACGTCAGATCCGACAACGGAGAAGAAGATCCACCAGATCCATAACTCTCCGTTAACGGCGGCGAAGAACCAGCGCTAGAGTAATCCTCCGGTTTAACTCCCAAATCAGCCTCCGGTAGTTTCACGGCGGCTGTTGATGAACGTTTCCGGGAAGAAGACTTCTTCGTTGATTTCCCCTGTTTCTGAGTCATCTCAGCTAAGTTTTGACAAATAGCTTCAAGCTTAGCGTCGACTGATGATTGAAGAGGTTGATACTCGCCGATGTTAGATCCGTTATGACGGAGATTAGGGAAATTAAGCCGGGCGAAATCGCCGCGCAGCTTATACGCCGCCTTGTCATAGGCTAACGCAGCTTCCTCCGCCGTATCGAAAGTTCCGAGCCAGAGCCGAGTTCGATTTCTCGGTAAACGAATCTCAGCCACCCATTTTCCCCAGTGACGTTGTCTCACACCTCGGTATAGCTTCGTCGATTTAGGCGCGGAAGAACCGGTTTGTTTCATTAAGACCGGTTTAGGACTAAGATGGTGAGAGAACGAGTTTCGATCCGACCCGTATGGAATCGGAGCGGGTAGAGAGAACGCAAACGCGGAAGAATCGTTGGAAGGGCTTTTGATAAAAGGTAAAAGCGCTTCCATTAATTCACCACCGAATGGATCAGATTGTTGAAACGTTTTGTTACAGTAGAAATCCATAGAAGTTGTCATTTATAATTTTTGTTTCTAATAAAATAAAATTAAATTCGAGAATTTTTTTCCTGGTTCTTGAAAAAAGTAAAGAACAGGATTTTTTTCAAGAAATTCGAAAATTATAAAATAAACAACCTCTGTGTAGTAGATCTGAGAGAAGGGAATAATAAAAAATACCCTCACAAACGATTAAATCTACAAAGAAAAAAAAAACAAGAAGATCAAAAATAAAAAAAGATTGATCTATTTAACAAAATACAAACCAAGAAATCGTTTTTTCTAACAGAAATGGATCGAAGTAGCGGGAAATAAACAGATCTGTGGGGGGTGGATTTGCACAGAATAAAAGTTCAGGAGAAAATCAGAAAGAATAACAACTTTTTTTTTTATTTACCCTCAAGTGTTTTTTTATTTTTGTAAGTGAATAACTCTCAGCCTCACCGATACACTTATCTCATTAGCTTGGCCCTTGTTTATATAGGAGAGGTGTGGTGTGTCTTTTTATTTTTCTTTTTTTTCCTCGTATTTCTCAAATTTATTAATTTTAAATATGTCTAATAATTTTATTATGTACTATTCCAGATAACCTCATGCATGTTATCCCAAATACAATGTATAAAAGTATATATTCAAAATTCAATTTCAATCGCTTAGTCTAATTCTACAAACATACTAGTTTATTGGAGATCATTTTTAAGTTGAGTTTTTACAAGTTTTCTTTTAGAATATTTAACTTTTACAAGTTAAAATGATTCTACAAGTTTATTCTATAATCGAAGCATTTTGATTTTACAAACATAGTTTGATGAACTATCATCTCAATATATTACATTCACACCTGCTATATGGGACGTTTCTTCCATTAGCATATGAATTGGTTTTCTATTCAAATAGAAGTGAGTGGACGTACACAACTCCATAAATTTAAGAGATTAGTTAACTTATTTTATTTTAATGGTTATCTACACATTTAGACGTCTTTCTAAGCGGTTCAAACTTCAAACTAATGTTGAGGCGTCCAATTATTCTGTCACTATCATCAATTTTATAAAAAAAAATGTGATTATTTGGTATCTTTTAACTTTTATATTAATTATTTGAAAGAATATAATGCCAAGAAAATAACTCCAATTAAATATTAAATTATATTAAAAGTTCAAAAAAAATATATGTAAAACAACAAAACTTCTAAAATGGAACTGAGAGAATGAATATTAAGAATGAGATCATCCAAATTAATAGTATGAGTATATAAAGCCGTGAAGTATGAATATAAAGAAAATTATCGGGAGTAGCTAGGTTCCGAATGTGACACACGTAGACTTCATGATTGTTAAGCAATAATTTTGGCTCTCGGTGTAATGATGATCATGTTAATGGGTGGTTTACACTTTTATTTAGATAAATAAATCATACTACAAGACTAAAAATGAAGGCTCTAGAGGGTTAGAAATGAACGGCTAAGAACTCCTCATATGTCGTCATTACAGTATTATATCATCAATTTAATTAGTTTATTAAACATTTCATCATCTTACGATATTATCGGGTTACGTATCTTAATTTAATGCTTCGTGTAATCGTGTACAATGTCACTACAATCAATACGGCGTCAATTTGATGCAAATTGCAAGGTTAGACTATGGTGCCACAATTTTGTAATGACGAATTTTTTTACTTTTGTTTTGTATTCACCTAGCAATCCTCACATTTCGGTTTTAAGTTTTTATTTTTTATTTTAATTTTATTTATGATTCGATCGTAAGAGTAGTCAATTGAAAGATACCGCAAAATGTTTTTATTAAATAATTTTTAATAGATTGAACCAAAAAACAAAAACTTTTGAAATAAAGATAAATATCATAACGTTTAAAAATTAAAATATTAGAGGGAAGACGCGCATAAGGAGGCACCACCCATGTGGATGGCTCGTGTCCGTGTTACCAGTTCATCCTTACGATGCTCATTTATCTCTTTTACATGTATTATCATTATCATATTGTATGTTTCTCACTTGCTTGCTTGTGTAAACATTGCATATGTGCGTGTAAACAAATGGCTTGTCTAAGCCTTATTGTTCATCGTTATATATTTTTAATAAAGTGAACTTTCAGTATGTATCAGAGAAGCGCAGTGAGCGGTAGCAACCATTGACTACTCGGGCCGGGCCTTGCAGCCAGAAAATGGGACTCGATATTTCAATATATACACAAACTGAACAAAAAAACTAATTACGCCATAGAATAATTAACCACTCACATACATATGCTTCATATATTTTGTTGAGACATTGACAATTGATTTAGCGCCCTTATTTAAAACTCTTCTTTGCATAAATGAATTAGGTACTACTAATATATAAAATGATGGTTACAAATAATAATAATCTCCTACGCATGAAAAAAGGAAAAGCAACAAAATCTCCAACGCATAATTTCATTAATCGTAAGCGGAGCGTGTCCACAAGGGAAGAGAAATAGTCAACTGCAATATCATTACTCAAGTCTTAGCTGTCTTAATAACTGATAGCTTTTTGCTACCTATTTTTCTGTGTACTTTTCTTTTTGTTCTTATAATTAATCAATGATTTTAAAACTTTTTTTTTGGGGTACGTAAATGAAATGACTGTCATTTTTGAATTGTTCCTTAACTTGTCTATAAGTAGTCGTCTGGTAGTTAGAGATTCACTGCATCTAAATCAAGTAATATATGTCATTTATAGGATTTTTTGAGAAATATTTATAAATCATAAAGAAATAGATAGATCCGATTTGAATTTCTGACTAATTTGGTTGAAAAAAAAAAAAGCAAAGAAGGTGGCTCTGATTGGATTTTTGCTTTTGGTATGAACTTTGCAATTTAATGCTCATAACGCGGTTTCGTCAAACGCGTTCGTTTTATCTGTTGAAGTCAAACAACCGTTGAGAATCTGCCACGTGTTCACCATCAAAGGTCCATTTTGTACTGTTTATCTGACTATCTTCACCTTAAAGTCCACTTTTCTTGGCCTCTTGACTTTGAAGATTCTTTTTTTTTTTGGTAAGAGACTTTGAAGATTCTTACTAATTGTTTTCTCACCTAATTTGATTTATATTTATACAGAAAATGAGAAGAAAAAACAATTAATACAGAAAATGAGAAATTAAAACAGAAAATGCGAAATTAATATTTTTTCTGTTTGGTAAAATACAAATACATGTGAAAATGCGTGTATGGGGTGAAATGAAAGTAGACAAAAATAGCTTTGCTAATTTATTTTTCCTTTGGTGATATCGAAAGGTAGGTGTCGTCGTTTTTAGAGCAGTCGCACGTTGTTTTACGAGGGAAAGAGGAATTGCATGTGGATTTTAGGTGAATTGTCTCCGTTAATTTTTGCATGACATATGGCTATTTACAAATCTTATATATAATCAGGGCCCGGCTCAAAAAAAATTAAGAACCCTGAGCTGAAAAAAAAATTTGCCCTAATTTCCTATGTATTTATATAAAAAAAAAAATTTGGACCCTAATTTTTAATAAATTTAGTAAAAAAAAAAGACAAAAAAATTTTGGACTCTGTGCATGAGCACTCCCCGCACATGGGTAGAGCCGGCACTGTATATAATACAACTGGTACAAAAAGCACGACCTAAGCTTTGATATTGATTTGGATAAATAATAATAATATCAAAGCTTAGATCGTATGCTTTTTGGACAAGATGGTAAAAAAATAAATTTTTTTTAAATAAACCAATAAACTGAAACAATAAATTATATACTCCATAGTGTAGGATTGATATTCTCTCTATTTCATAAAAAATATCATTCTGACATTTTTGACACAAATTAAAAAAATTAAACAAATTTCATTCCTACCATTTATTAATAAACTCTCTATAATTAATAAACTAAAATAGTAGAAATAAACATGAGAATTAGGGTGTGATTGGTTGGGCTGTAAGTACCTTTTGCAGCCATAATTTTTTTGTAAAGACCAAATTGTTGCCAATCAAGCTGTTGGTTTATTTTCTAAAGTTACAGCCCAAAAAAATAAAATCTTTTTGTTTTGACTGTAGATCTTAAATTTTCTACAGTTTAATATTTTTTGCTTTTAAATGCTGTAGGTTTTTTTATTTCTCTTCTAATTTTTTCTTTTCTCATGTAAATGGATATATACTAATAAGATAAATACCATGTATAGTCTCGTTTGTTATATATACTTTATATATATATATATAGAACGATAAAACTTATATGTGTATATTCTTTTCAATTAATATGTAGTTATTATATGAATACCATATAAAATATTTTATACATTTATATAAATGATTTATATGTTTATATATAGATTCCATTTAACCTATATGCATAAATTTGTGTTGTTGTTTATTATATAATTGCTATTAAATAATTTTATTAACTATAATATAATTTAAGAAAATGTAATTTATAAATACAAATTCAAATATTTACTAATCATAATTTTTAATTACAACTAATAATTTACTGTCGAAATTCGATATTCCTAAAATCTATAGTTACAGCAAAAAATCTACAGCTACAGCTTACACATTTACAGCCAAAATTATACAGCAAATAATCTACAGCTAAAGTCTAACCAATCACCCACTTAGTCTTAAAAACTGCATTGAAAGCCCAAAAACGACACTCTTTGTGAAACAAGAATAAAACCTTTAAACGACACTCTTTATGAAACAAAAAAAAGTATATAAATTATTCTTTTTCGTATTAAATCTATTTTTTCCAAAATTCGACATTTTGACAAATATATAGTGCTAATCCAGCTAAAATACATGTCATTTGCTGATGCACCGCATAGCCGGAATGCATTTCCTTATATGTTGAGCTTTGGCATAGAAAGATTGACACCTTTTCCTTTGTTGCTTACTTGCTTTCCTTAACTCCTGCGGTCCTGCCAGTACTCACATAACCATCTACGTATGTATTTGTAACCGATGAAATTTAAGTTGATCTTATTCTTTATCCTTAAAAATAGAACAGAAAATTATGTGACAAAAGAAAAATTGAACAGTAAATCCAGTCGAAACCTAGTTAAAAAGTCCAGTGGCCCAAGTTTCTGGTTCAACTCTGAAATTAGTCAAACAATGAATATCGTCTATAGTAGGATCAAATTTTAATCATGGACCTCCATTGTTATGGCCTTATGGGGATCACACCCTTCTGAAAAAAAATCCGTAGCTAAAAGCTCAACTAAAAGATGACGAAAATAAAAAAACAATAAAAGAGAGGAAATAGAATGGGCTAAAAGACTAGGCCCATTACGCCTGCACTATACGTAGTTCATTTATTTGAAAATCACATGTCGTTTTAACTAAAAAAAGTCAATTATACATTGAATTGAAAAATTATTTTAATATTCAAATGTTTGAAAATCAACTATTGTCTTATAGATTAAAAAAATAGTTCAAAACTCTTAATCAATTAAAAGTTCTTAAATAACAAAATGCTTACCTAACCGGCTAACCCAATAAAATTTTCCTTTTTGGGTATAAAATGCAGTTGACATGACGTACGAGAAACATGGTTGGTAACGTCAGAGTGGTTAGCCCGTCACATTCACATTTAATCAAAACCAAAGATCAAATCAAGTAGTCAAAACCGGGTTTAATTCCCGGTCTAGTTCACTAAGTCCACGTTAAAATCAAGAAACAGAATCTGTACTTTGAAAAGATGTCCTTAATCGCGCGTCACGTGTCTCTCAGCTTTCGTCCGTTAGCCGCCTGAAAAATCAATCTTTCTTACAACGAGACTCTTTCTTTGATTCTTTCAGACCGAAACTTAAAAGATTTGTCGGTCTCAATTCATGCTTTTCCATACCTAGATTTTGGGTTTTGACTCATTCGACCCGATCTCATCACTGATCGCTCTAATTCATATTTCCAGGTGAGTTTATGTTCTTTAACTTTTGATTTTGTTGAGATTCTAATTATCTAAAGAGTAAGATCAAATGTGAATTAGTTTGTCTTGCGTAAATCTTGATTCTTTTCAAAAAAAATGTAATGGGTTTTTGATCACAACATGTACTTCGTTTTAAAGTAATCAAAGCGACCATTTGTATCTAATTAACATTGTTATTAGCTTAATAACTTCTTAACCATGGCCACGGCTAAAATCTATCTCTGTTTTATGCCTTGATTCTTGTATCATCCCTGTTTCTGGCCAAGGATTAATCAAATTGTAGTCTTTGTTTTTTTGACATCAATCAAAATGTAGTATGAATCTCTGTATTTTGAATATTTATTTTTCTCTAATCAAGTTTGGTTGCACCTTTTCTCTTGAATTTCAGCAAGATATGAATTCTGATTCTAATAAATCATCTTTAAATGGATTTGAGAAATCTTTGCCACCAGAGGAGTATCTAAACAAGGTATGATGATGATAAGGGGAATCATTAGCTGCTCTGTTACATTTGATGTGTGAATCAATATTTTATTGCATGTTGATATAAAGATTGTGTGTTTTAACAATATAGATAAATGAAGTGAGGACTTTACTAGGGCCATTGACTGAGAAGTCATCTGAGTTTTGTTCTGATTCTGCCATTACTCGGTATTTAGCTGCGCGTAATGGCCATGTCAACAAAGCTACTAAAATGCTTAAAGAAACACTAAAATGGAGGGCTCAGTACAAACCTGAGGAGATTCGATGGGTATGTACATATTCTTGGACCAGTAAATATCCCATCAGTTTATTCAATGGTTCTAACTTTTCATGTCATGTGAAATGGTTTATAGGAGGAGATAGCACGAGAAGCTGAGACCGGGAAAATATACCGAGCTAATTGTACCGATAAGTATGGAAGAACAGTTCTTGTTATGAGACCAAGTTCCCAGGTTTGGCTTTTCTCCCATTTCCGTCAAAATCTTTGATACTATACACTTTTCGATTAATATCCCTTTTTACTACAGAATACGAAATCGTATAAAGGGCAGATTAGATTCTTGGTGTACTGCATGGAAAATGCAATCTTGAATCTACCAGACAACCAAGAACAAATGGTTTGGCTTATCGATTTTCACGGTTTCAACATGTCGCATATATCCGTGAAAGTGTCTCGAGAAACCGCTCATGTGTTACAAGAACATTACCCTGAACGGTTAGGCTTGGCCATAGTATACAACCCGCCTAAGATTTTCGAATCGTTTTATAAGGTACATTTCAAAATCTCTATCTGCCCCAATGCAAATCTTTATGCATCATGAAGCTTGTTGACATAAGAGGAAATTGTAAATATGCAGATGGTGAAACCATTTCTAGAGCCAAAGACCTGCAACAAGGTGAAATTTGTCTACTCAGATGATAACATCAGCAAAAAGCTTCTTGAGGATCTTTTCGATATGGAGCAACTAGAGGTTGCGTTTGGTGGAAAAAACAGCGATGCGGGGTTCAGTTTTGAGAAATATGCTGAGAGAATGAGAGAGGATGATTTGAAGTTCTATGGAAACACAACAGTGTCCTCAACCTCAGCTCATTTGACCAACTCAGATTCTGAAGTTTCAGACTCTGAAATGAAGCATTTGGAGGACAAAGAAGATGAGAAGATCAAGAACGGAACTTTGTAATCTCCTTTAGATACAACAAAAACCTATACATGAAGCTTAAAATAGAGGAGGCTTCTGGAGCTTATACTTAACCCATCAATTACTAAGCTGAAGCTACACAACAATTTTTGTTGTCGTTATGCAATTAAGACCAGTAAAACTGCTGATTCTTAAATGTTTCACAGAATAGTACTTGTTTGCTTAAAGAATATGGCAATAACAACAAACACAACATCATCAAGTGTCTGGCTATAAAGAAGGAAACGTGACGTTTTGAACATTATCCTTCAGGTAACAATGGATATGACACATATGAATGAAAGAAAGAACCAGAAAAAAAAGAACAAGATCAGAAGATATATATGCTTTGTAAACTGCCCCTAAGTTCCTAAGGTTGAGGGAAGAGGGTTGAGTAGATCAAGAACCAATCTTTCTTGTTTACTTCAGGGACAGATTACTTCACTGTCTTCCTCTAGCTTCTGTCTGTATTGAGCCAACCTCTGCAAGCACAAAGAACACTCAGAACCATTGAAACAGAGAAATCTAAAAAGACAGAAGAGAGAAATGATGCCTAACCTTGGTATAAGCATAGACACCGGCTTCTGTTGGACCAACAGGGCTTCCCCGCTTCATGAATTTGCCTTCTTTGAATATGTAGAGAAGTGGTATACCTGTCGATAGCTCTAGACTTATCACCTACGAACCAAAACCACAAAGACATTTTCAGTTATTCGTCAGAAACCGCAAAACCAGTAATCAAGAATGGAGATGTAACCAGTCTTTTGTCACACCTCTTGGCAAGTCAATTTGTCAAGATACATTATGATAGACCGCAGCGAGTTCCCGTGAGCAGCTATCATTACGTTCTTTCCAGCTGCAAGCTTTGGTTCGATCTGCAATTCGATATCCAACATTAGTAGACAAACTCAGGAGAAAAGATAGAGTGAGCTTGAATAAAGAATCCTCATTACATTGTCCTGAAAATAAGCCACTGCTCTTTCAGCACACATCTCCAAGCTCTCGCCTTTGGGAGGAGGAATGTCATAACTCCTACGCCATTCGTGAACTTGCTGTTTCCCATATCTTTCCGCGGTTTCTTGCTTGTTAAGACCTTGCAATTCTCCATACCTAAATCCAAAAACGTTAGAAAGCAAGTAAGCTTGTTATCACTTCAAAGCTCCATATGTTAAAAGACAAATCTTTATTTACATTCTTTCATTAAGCTGCCAAGCGGGTATGACAGGAATGGATTGGTTTTTAGTCTCATCACTGAAAACTTGACTCCAAGTCTTCGCTTGTTCGCTTTCATCGTGCAAGATTATCGGAACCTAGACAGGTTAAATCCAGTCATCAGAAAATGTGACAAACACCAAAAGATCAATCTGAGCTTGGTTTCCACAAACCTTCTTACGACGGTGTTGAATCATAGCAAGCATTGCAGTCATCTGAGCACGAATCAAAGACGATGTAAAGATAACATCGACAGGTATGTTACTAATCCTCTTCCCTGCTTCAATAGCTTCTTCAACACCTTTCTCTGTCAATGGCACATCAACACAACCCGTAAAAAGATTCTTCTCGTTCCACAAAGATTCTCCATGCCTAATCAATATCAAAGCTGCTTCATCTAAACATCAAAACATAAACTTATTTTAAATAAATGATCATAAACCAATGTTTCTTATGAGATTATGAGGGATTCAAAAAGCAGAGCAAGTACTTGGTTTCTTTAGAGAATTCTCAGGGATGGTCTTGGAAGGAGACAAGAGAGTGTTGTTATAAGAAACTGATGCCATTGCTTTAATCTTGCAAAAGTTTATCTTTTTTGAGGTAAAACTCAGTGAAGAATCGATCTTGAATCCACATTGAGAGATTGTGGAAGAAGGAGAAGCTAATGAAACGATTGATTGGTGAAACGTAGCCGTAGCCATTCTGGAGAAAAAGAAACCAAAATTTGTGGTAATGAAATGTTAAATTCTATAATTAGCAAATTAAATTTCGTGATTAAAGATCTAAATCAGAGAAAACCCTAAACGCAAAACCTTGAGAAGAAGTAAGAGTAACTCTGATCATTAGCAGTAAGGGAATTTGATTGCATACAGATCCAATTGGGAAGAAACTAAGCATGATTAAGAGCTACTAATGACGAAATTATCAAGAACAGAGAGACCAGTGATTACAAGAAGACGAAAGATCTAATCAATGTCGATGAAACCAATGACGAGGAGAAATTACCCAACACAAAAAGTTGTTTCTTTTTCACTTTCACAGAGACGATTTCCTAGCAGAACTTCTCAATGCCCAAAAAGTTTATAGGTTTATATAGGCTTTAAAATCTATCAAAATGTCTTCTTTCTTTTTTTCCTTGTTTTTGTCAACTTTCTATTTCTTGTTTTTGCATTTAATTTTCGTAAGACCAAAAATCGAAACTACAGACGTAAACAACAAAAGATCGGCTTCCTTAGGTAGTGACAATTGACAGTGAGGACAACACATGAGGGGAAATTATTTTTCACAATTATACGTTTGTTTTATTAATTTAAATAGTATTTTATTTTTATATATGTATGTCTCTCTTCTCTTTTTTCTTGTATCCAACAAAGTTTCATGTGGACTTCACATCGAAAAATTGAAGTTATCGATCATTGTTTTGTTGCGGTTGTTTTTTTTCTTTTGCCAAAAGAAAGGTACTGAAAAAAAGTGTGAAGTAAAATAGACCGATTGTTTCAAATGTAAATATTTACGTTTATGTTAAATTTACTAGTTATAAAACATATTGGATATGTGAACTATTTACAAGTATTAAAAAGGTTGCCAATATTTCGTTCACAAAAAAAAAAAAGGTTGCCAAGAATGCGTAATTGAACTGCATTGTATGTATGATATAAGTAAAATTTAAATAAGTGAAATGACGCTATAGAGATTGTTGCGAGAAGGCTTAATTGGAAATCGAGAATTGAACCAAATTTGTGTCAAGCGTCAACAACCTCTCGTGGTGTTGTAGAGACCATAATACGTTTCACGTAGTTAAAAAAGGAAATGCTAAAGAGACTGCGACAGCAAAATTCAGCAATAAGCACCTCTTCAAAGCCTTTTTCTTGCCTTTTTCTTGGTCTAGAGGGTTCGGTTTGGAACCCTAAAGAAAATGATTATCATATCATTAAACCTAATAACATATCAAAGGTATATATAAAATGATGCTACAAGTTTTTACATTTTCTATATAACTCTTCATTTTCATACTCTTTAATACAGAAAATATTTTGTTTTTCTTATGATTAGTCAAATCCTATATCAAAGAAACTGATAGCATTTTAGAGAGAAAATAGATAAGTTCTTGTGATAGTAGATCAGTATGTTCTCATATCAAAAATGTTGAAACAGTCATAATATAGTATAATTTATGAGTTAATTTTTTATAAATGATAAAAAAAAAATTATAAATTAGTGTGAAATGATATAATTACATGAGATATGCTTTTTTGTCCAATTAGATGAGATCTTCTAACATTATTTTGCATGACATCTACTAAAAGTTGCTGATTCAATTTGACAATTGGCAAAAAGATGACATATGTCTAATGAATCAGAGGTGCTATAGAATATGCGGTCTGAAGATGCTTTTGCCCAAACAAACAAAATTGTATCACTGGAGGAAACAGTTTGAGACTCATCATTCATCGAATATTACCAAACAAAATTTGGCCACAACTCACAACGAAAATACCAAAGTCATATTATTCATCGCCTCAAATAAGGCTGTCACGCGGGGTCCATCAAGCCCAACCCATGTCAATGTGAAGCAGATAGGCTTTAGTAGGCCCAATTAAATCTTTTCCTTTTTTGAGTATGACCAAGAGAACTTGAGGTATTTGAGAAACAACTATCAAGTTTTGTTGTATGCTATTAATTATGAAAAGGATTATTGTAAATAATTCAGAATTGGAATGCATGAACTATTATAAAGTTTTAATGAGCTCAATCCTCACATGAGATGTTCCCTATCCTGTCTTTGCTTAATTTAGATGGGACAACTCAATCCAAAACAATAAGATGATGGATCAATAACACAAATAAAATAAAGCAAGTCTAGAAGAAAAGGAACACATAAGTTTGGCTTTATATAAACGTAGAAGACCGACTATTCAATGATTTCATTTTTTTTATCGTCAACAATATACATTATGTTGGGTTTAATTTTGGATGGTAACAACAACAAAGACATTAACACCAACCAACTAAATTAACTTCGATTCTTTTTTGGCCATAGAACCGGTTGAGAAAAGTTGAACTTATTGGTTGGTTTTTCCTAAAGAATATTTCGCTTGAAACAAGAATTCTTTTCTAAAGCAAAAGGAGAGCATTAGCCATTAGGAATCTATAAAAATTGACACAAAAAAAGTAAGAATCTCTCAAAATGTTACAATGACGGGACAGAGGGACCAGTCAATGCTAGGCTTAATAGGTATGAGATTCCTTACTTGACCAAAATCATATTTAAATATTCATTTTTCTTTGTTTCAATACAATAAAAAATGACGAAATTCAATTGGATCATCCTTATATTCGAAAGTAAGCATGAAGTTAAAAACAGTACGATGAATATCTTTTTGGTGGTATGATATATATTAAATCTACAGTACATAAGGTACAAATTAAACTTGTATATCAAACATATAATAAGTTGGTATACAATTTTCACGAATACAAATACGAATTTTCACAAACTTAACCTGTATTAAAAGAATTGAAATGTTGTGATTTTCTAATGTCCGCACAATATCCTTACCTTTTAATGGTAATCAGATATTCAGAAGGCAGAATAATCAGTAGAACACAAATCTAATAATTAATATGCAAAACACAATAATTCTTAAGATTAAAAGCAAAATTTATAGGATGATTAACATGGTTAATCACAGTCAACAATCCTCAATGCTTTTTATACATAAAACAAGAACCATATAATACAATCATTACCGATATTATACAACATATGTAAAGAGACCTACACGGCGGCGGAAACTCTCTCTCCAGTGGTGGTTCCGGCGGTTGCGACGACGGTGGACCTCACCGAACCTTTCTTCTTCTCTTTCTTCTCGTCCACTGTAATTTGTTGTTGCCTGCACTCTAAACTACAAAACGCTCTATCTCCTCTGCTCAACATTAATCACAACCAAAATCAAATCTTAATTACATATATAATTAAACCAAAACCATGAGATTAATCTTTAGGTCTTAAACTCATACCTATACATATAGATGTCACGACCAGGAACAAGAAGACGTTTACAAAGAGAGCAAGATCTCAGAAAATCTTCAGAGTAATCACTTGAGTGTCTTCTCTGTGTACCTCTCGGTGAGACCATCGCTAAGAGCCGTTGATCTAACAATCTTTGATGAACTTGACGGTGTTCATCAACGGTCACGAGCTGAATCTGATGATTGGATGGTTCTTGTTCGCTAGGTTGATTCAAATCGAACTTAATCTCAGAGAGACTTGTGGTTCTCTTTATTGGTGGTCTCTGTCTCTTCCCTAGCAACATCGTAGTGTTATGTGTTTTTGGTTTCTCTCCTTTGTTTGTTGATGCTCTGAGTGAACAGAGCAAAGTGAAAGAGAGAAAGGGGAAGTGAGAAAAGAGAAGAGACAGAGAAGATAAAAGAAGAGCCATGAACTGAGGAGTTAATCTGAGCCGTTGATTTTGTCTGATCTGATTCTATTCCCATTGTTTTTACGACACGTCATGATTCCGATTCTTAAGTTATTATTGCTTTTTGTCTTCTTTCACAAATTATTTTGTCTCTTTTTTTAAAAATCAATTATTTTGTGTAGGTGTATTCAATCATACAATTGAAAATATATTGTGTAGAATAACAATCATTTTTTTTTAACTTCTTCCATAACTTGGTGTTATAAGTTATTATATTTGTAAATATCTCTTAAAATATAAGGCTATTTAACTAATGAAATAGCAAATATTTTTTCCGTACATTCACCCAAAATATTAGTAAAACTCAAATTATTCAAAATATTTGGGTGAATCACTCATTAGTTTATCTTTGAAAATAAAGTGAAAATGTTGTATTCTAGCTCCTAACGTCTGGGCTATATGGTCCACTTTCGTGACCGATATGTCCATTTACAATTGTAAAAAGTGCCTCCAACGTTTCACCACTTCCCGAGCCAATTCCAATATCACTTGACCTATTTATAATACCATTTCAAAATTTTATGACAAAGCAAAAATAATTTGTTTAAAATAATAATAATAATAATAATAATTTGTTTATATTATTTGATGGAACATTGATTGATAGTCCTTAAGCATCTCTTGTTTTTTTGTTTTTAAAAAAATATGCACAAAAAACAAGTATTACAAACTCGTTTTGATTGGTGCATTTGGGGACACTCGTTTTTTACATTACAAACAGAGTTGGCACATTGTACAAAAATGGTCGGTCTCAAAATCTTACGTTATGTACCACTTTTATAATCTCAATTAATCTTTTCGAGAAGAGATGTGACTATGTGAGTATCTTTTTTACAGACCGTTTTATAATTCTATTTGCACGGTGGTTAAATTATTTTAGTCAAATAGGTTTAACTTTAAAATATAGTGGTTTATGATTTATAGCTAAATTTTTTATTAAAAAAAAACAGAAAGATTGCCAAACATATCTAATAGATACCTAAAACATCAAACTAGGTCTATCAACTAGACATAAAAATACATGAAGATAATTGATATATAGATAACGACCATCTAACACTTAGACGTCTAAACCATTATCTTTAAAAGCAGAGGTCTTAATTTTGTTTATTGTGTACACAAGTGGGCTTCAACTTCTGGTCCACACATAATTATTTAGGGAGAAATGTTTTAATTGTTTTTTTTTTGTCAATGTAATTCGACTCTTGAAAACAAAAGGTTTTGCCCATGTTTCCCCACCAATAATAGTAGCAATAAAGTCTTGAGTCGTCTCTCGTTGCATTACGTTGATCCGATTTTAATGTTTGGGTTCCGATTTATTCGATTAGATCAACTATATATATTTAGAGCATAGTTCAAAGTTATTGAAAACAATAACAAAAACTAATTCATGTTTAACGTTTTGCAAATATTTGTCGCAAAACAAATGAGTAATCCAGTAAATCCAAGCTTACCACGACGCTATAAAAAGCTCTTATAGGTCAACTTTAGACTTGACCTCTACGTCACACAAATGAGGATAGATAAAAGATAAATTGAAGGCAAAGTCACTGACTACTCAATTCAGTCTGTACAACATACAGCACTTTGTCTTTTTGCTTCATCATCAAGATTCTTCTTCTCCGTTTCAGACCTCGTCGGAGAGTTTCGGAGAGCAAGAATCCACGGCTTCAGCCACCGTCAGAAAGATTTTGTCCTGTCCTACCATGTCTGCAAAGTGAGAAACGTGTAGCTTATCTATGACCGGCGGTCCTGGATTCGCTAGAACCATCATACTTAAATCAATCTATTTGCTTTTTTATATCGCCACCTTCCTTCTTGGCTTCTTCCACTTTTCCACGGTTTTGGTCTTCCTTATTGCGAAACTAAAATTTCCCAATGAAACTAATAACTTACTTCGAGTGAAGCAAACTAGAATTTGTAACACTAAAATAATTTACTTTTCCGACCTATGAAATATGCATGCAACGAAACCATTCTGTTTATAAGTTAATTTACCACTCCATGACATACCCTTCTAGTTTAATTAATTTAAAAACAAAACAGAAAAAGAGACTTTAAAATTAAATTAGCACAAGAGTTTGAACCATGGGCATTATTCATCTTCATCTTCCACTTCCACTTCCACTTCACGCCCTCATATCTTGCACCGCTACAATATTTTGAAGTTGAATTAATAAAAACCCCAGACTCCATACTTAACAGATTAGAAATCTCAAACGTTATCAGATATCATATGGCTTATTACCTTTGTCAAGACCCTCCTCCGTTAAACGAAACCGAGCATCCCCAGGCAGATAGTCCAACAACTGCTTAAAAAACAATTGCAGGGGGTCAAAATTAGACAAAACAAAACTAATTGCGAGCAATGACAAAATGTATTAGAACACGTCAGCCCGGTTTGACTAGAATGCTTGATTACCATCCGTTGATGTCGCCTACTAACAACATGAGTGGTGAATTTTTCAATGTCTTGGTACACAAGTTTCCTATCGCATACTGAGCAAATCAACAAGGCAGATCCACTCGTTTCACTGCACTTATCCTCCTCAAGTGCCCCTGACTCTGTGGAAAGAAATATTTAGCTAACCAACAGTAATTTTAGCCAAGTAAGTAGCCGGTAGTCAGAGAGAACAAACACAGACCTGCAGGGAAACAAATTTCAAAAGAATCACGTGGAATCGGCTTAACAAAGTTGTATCCCTGCGATTGTATGTTGGCGGCATAGCCAGAAGGCAAAGAATATGCTTCCGATATGACCACTATATTAGCTGGAGGTGGATTCTCACGGATAAATTTAAAAATATGTGAAATCACGCTGAACTTCAAGCTTATCCCTGTTTCAGAAACTTATAGACTTGAGACCCTCTATTCAACAAGGAAAACATCAACTACTGAGAAAAGGCGCAAGGATGAAAAAATCCTAACCGCAATAAAGAGAGATTCCACTGGAATAGACTCCACTCAGGATGCCTTTAGGAACGCCTTCTAGTGGGCCAATGGCAATGATTTTGAGAGGACCAGAGTAGCCTTTATTCTCCAATAACTGTTTAATACACGGACCGACCCGACGAGGATCACAGTCACGTGGAACTGGACACTTTTTGATGTCCCAGCAGACCAATGTTACAGCGTCGTTCGGGTTTCCCTCAAAAAACTCTTTCGATATCTGCAACTGCTCCGACAAAGCCTGCATGAAAACCAAAATCAAATCCAGTCAGAAAAATAATAGGCACCTAGGCAAAAGTGAGAGAGGATAACTTGTGGTAAGAGGTTTTCAAACATGAGGGACAAACTTAGGCAAACAAAACTAAAATTAAGAAACGAAAAATGACTTTGGTAGATTCCTTACCTCAACCGATGGGTCCAAAGTTTCCATGGCAGGAGGAGCAACCAGTGGATCCAAAGTTTCCATGGCAGGAGGATCAACCGGTTGATGCAAAGTTTCCATGTCAGAAGAAGCAACCGGTGGATCCAAAGTTTCCATGTCAGAAGAAGCAACCCGTGGATGCCAACGCAACTTGAACAACAAAAGAACATGGGGTCAAAACTAAAACTAGGAAGTGACTACTTGTAAAAAGGAGAAGTAAGCTTAGGAAGGATGGTTGATTACCAGCAGCTCATGATGTTCATCATCAGATAGATGTGTGATCAGATTATCAAAGATTCGGCCAGGAGGATCACGGGCACATGTTTGGCAATCCCACAAGGGAGGTTCATAGGTTTCTGGCACAAGGGGCTCTGAATCTGTGGGAAAAAAAAAGAGAGAGTTGAGCAACAGAGAGATTCATTTGTTGGTTATTTCATTCAAGAGGACAAACACACCTTCCATGATTAAGGTGTCAAGAGAAGAAAATGGAAATGGCTCGAGAACGTTGTAGTCCCAGTCTAGTAGATAATCATAAACACCTTCGCAGTCTTTCGGATCTGCTATGGCCATTAAATTAGCTGGAGGAGGAAATCGGTCGGTATCACCAAGTAGACCCGCAATTAGTGGATAATCTGTTTGAGAGAATATAGAGACATGAGACTGTGTATCTCTATATTTCGAAAGGCATAAGAGGAAGGGACAAGATATTAACCTCTGGGGGGGGTGTAGATAAGATGGATTCCGCTGGAAAAGAGTGCTCTCAGGATGTCAGTAGAGACGTCCTCTAGTTTACCAAAGGCAGTGACGGTGAGAGGACCACGGTAGCCATTATGCTCCAAAACCCGTTTAATACTCGGACGGACCACACGAGGATCACAGCCATCTGGAACCGGACACTTATTGATGTCCCAAGCGACCAATATTGCAGCCACAGACTCCTCCTGCGTAGGCTTCTCCATCATTCAATTTCGATAGCAATCGCAGTAATCTATAATCTGAAAGAGACTTAAATCTGATGAGAACAGAATCATATCTACAAGCTAAGCTCAATAATCAACCAGATCCAAACGATTAAATACGCTAAGAAGAAGCAAAACAAGGGATCAACCATCATCAGAGACAGAGATTGTAATCGTTTCCGATGAATTTTCTAAGAAACAATGAGATAAGGAGCGAGAGATTTACCAGAGAGATAAGCAGGCTTCGTTCGATCTCGAAATCGACTACGACTTGCTAGGGTTTCGAAATTCGAAATATTTAAGGTCGTCCCTAGATATATATATATATATATATATATATGGGATGCTAGATAGGGTTGATAATGGGCTTCGTTCTAATCTAATCTCCATAGTTAAAAGTTACTGAAAGCAATAACGAAAACTAATACATGCATGTTTGACGTTTCACAAAACAAATGAACTCAAGCTTATCACGACGCTAAAAAAAGTTCTTTATAGGTCAATTTCACTTGACCTCTACGTCACACAATGGTGATAGATAAAAGTAAAGTCGAAGGCAAAGTCACTGACTACTTAATTCAGTCTATACAACATACAACACTTTGTCTTTTTTTTTTTTCGCTTCATCATCAAGATTCTTCTACTCCAGATCACACCTCGTCGGAGAGTTTAGGAGAGCAAGAATCCACGGCTTCAGCCACCGTCAGAAAGATTTTGTCGTGTCCTATCAAGTCTGCAAAGTGAGAAACGTGTAGCTTATTTATGACCGGCGGTCCTGGATTCGCTAGAACCAACTGTTTTTGCACACGACCAAAAAAGTGTCAGTTTCAAATATAACTTCTCTATAACCTCTCCGGTTTAGCTTTTGGTTTATGGTGTGTACCTGAATGTCTCGTTTTTGGAGAGACTTATATAAGTCTTCTAAGGCATGAATCCCGCTAGTATCGATGTCCGTAACAGCTGAAAATGTATAATAAAACATCATTTATTGTGAATCAATGCTCATCACTGCATATCGATCTATATGTAAAGAAGTAGGGTTAGGTCAGTACGTGACATTTCGATGATAAGAAACTGGATCCTAGGCAAGCTTGCAGCTTTGACCATCTCTTCTTCATCTGTCAACCATCTTTGAATCCTACATATTTCAAGAACGCCAAAAATGTAAGGTTCTACACATTGATTTCTTGTGAAACAAGTAACCTTTCAAACTTGGTTTTTCATGATTCGATCTCATACCTTTCCCTGACATAATTGGAGTTGGAGAAGTAAATCGCGGAGTCAACACGAATTGTCAAAACTCCGGGAATCCTAGTCGCTTCAGGATACTGATTGATATTCCTGTAAACCGAAGTCCCTGGAATCTTTCCAAGAATCGCTGTCCTAGGTCTCGTAACTTGCAATAGTATCTTGGCAAAAGATATGCCCACCTAAAACATCAACCCAAAAGAATCAGCCAAGAAAACTGCAAAACGTATTAATATCCACACATGTGGTGTTTTCTTGGGACTTACGGCTATTAGAAGGCCAATCTCTACGGATACAAAGATGACACCAAAGAAAGCCCCCATACAAGCAACAAAATCGAGCTTATCGATCTTGAAAATCAAAATGGTAGCATTAACGTCAACCAAAGGAATCACGGCGTTGATGATGATCGCTGCAAGAATTGCGTTGGGTGTGTATTTGAAAAGAGGAGTGAGGAAGAGAAGCGTTAAGAGGACGACGATGGACATGATGATGTTGGAGACTGCCGTTTGACAGCCCGCCATGAAGTTGACGGCTGATCTTGAGAACGAACCAGTGGATACATAGCAAGAGGTCATCGAACCAATCACGTTCATTGCTCCTAATGCTACCATCTCTTTGTTACCGTCGATTTGGTAGTCTTTCATTGCTGCAAATGTTCTTCCTATTGCTACAGCTTCCTGTTACAAAGATTTGTGCTTGCATTTACATTTACATATGTTAAATTTAAACATTTTATTAGTAAACATAAATTTTAGGGTTTATGTAAGTAAATACCGTCAAGGCAACCATGCCGGAGACAACGCCTATGCGGAAGCCCTTGAGAAGGTAATCGCCGGAGAAGTATATTAGACGCAAAGAAGAAGGGTTTAGACCTTTGTCGAGATGTTTCACCTAAAGAGAAGCAAATTAAGACAACGCTAAGTAGAATAACTTGCATTGAAAGTAACTTTAGGGTTTATAGATTTAAGCCTATAAGGTTATGTACTTACTATTTGAACTCCTTTCTTGTCGGCTCGGGTTATGTAGACGAAGAAGGTTGAAATGATGACAGATACTAACGGAGCAATCGCTGGAATCCAAAACAGTTTCTTGTTTTTCTTCCCCTGTTTTTATCAAAATATCATATAAGAACAAGAAAATAGAAATAGATGAGAGATAGCAATCGATGGTTCGATGAATTACTATGAACTTGGAGATGAGAAGGAAGATCAAGAACGATGCACTAATGAGTATTGTCTGCCAATTCCACTGCAAGCATTTGATACCAAACGGTGAGTATACATAAAGAGTGAAAGAAACTAAAAACAGAGCGATTGTATGAATCTTTACTCCGTGGTGGGCTGAGCTGATTACGGAAGAAAGAACCGCGATGATATCGGTTTTCTTTGTGAACTTATTGATTCCGAGGAATCCTTTGAGCTGTTGAAGCGCAATGGTGATGGCTGCTCCACCCATGAACCCTACTACCGCGGCGTGGGATAAGAAATCGATCAAGAAACCCAATCTGAAACCAAAGTTGAGAAGTTCTAGATCAACAAGAATCTGTAAACTTAGCTGCATCGTTAATATGTGATGTTGGGATTAGTATTTAGTATGTTACCTGAAGAATCCGAGTGCTGCTTGAGTGACACCGGCAAAGAACGTGGAGGTGAAGGCTAAGCGGAGATATTCATTAGGGTTTGTGTTGGGGTCGATCTCAGCACGAAGCAGAGTACCTAATAGGAGTGAAACCACTGCAACGGGTCCAATCGCTATATCCTTTGAGCTTCCCATACATGCGTACACCAATGGAGGAACAAAACTAGAATCTATTCAAGAATTTGAAAGAAACAAAACACCAATAATAAGAATTGTTGTTCATTTTCAAAGAAAACCTACGATAAAAACGTAAATGCAATAAAAGTAATTGAGGCTTAATTAGGAGCATCAAACGAGAATGAGATGGTTATTAACTTACATAGACCATACTTCGGGTCGAGACTCGCGAGCTTTGCGTATCCAATATCCTGAAACCATTTGAATACATATCTGTTTATATTTCCTTACAGAAGTAACTTGCAACACAAGTAATTGAACTTTTTTTTTTCAAACCTGAGGAATGCAGAGACTGGCTATGGTTAAACCGGCAATAAGATCGCCGCGAAACATCTTAAGATTATATTTTCTTGCCCACTCGATAACCGGGAAGACGGACTGGATACCGAGCATGAGCTTCTTGGACTTAGACTGGTCCTTGAAATGCCTTAGAGGATCATCATGGAAGAAAGTTTCTTTGAAAGTGTACATAAACTCATTGAAGAGGTTTTGCTTCGGAGGAACTTCAACTTTGTGGACATACGGTGTATTTGCTTGCCGCGGGGAAGATGTATCCACCGGGGAAATCTCTCCGTCATCGTCCACAGGATGAGCTCTAGCCGACATTGCTATATGTGTGTTTTGTAACAAACACTGAAGAAACGTATTTATAGAAATATCAAGCTGTTTTGCCAAAAAATAATATTTTACAATCAAAAACACCGTTAAGATGACTCAAAAAAAAAAAAAAAATCTTAAGTCCCTAGTTGCCAAAGAAACGCCATTAGTGTCCCTAAGAATAAGAAATTAGTTTCGCACTAGTAACTTCGTATTAGTGTCCACTAACAATCAAATTGCTTAAGCTGCCGCAAACGTTTACCATTGTAACTTTTGGCTAAAGTTCCTACACCAGACGATTAATTGACTTATAAAAAAGTTCTTATGCCATATACGTCGTCTTAGAATCACTTTAGACTAACAATTATTGGATGATTGAAAATTTAGGTTTTTCTAAAACCGTATGGTGCCGAATATCCATGTATATTTATATAATAAAAGCCTGTGAATTTAGAATAGAGAAAAGGCAAAACACATCTTGTGATTAAAATCGATTAATAAGGGAATCATCATAAAGTCGACGAATATAACTATATAAAGATATATAGAAAGAACAAAACCATTGATAGTGGAAGGTGAAAGCATTACATATATACCTGGAAAATAAATCAGTGACGAATTCGATCTTTGATTTTAGCCTCTTTTTTACCTCCAAAGTTCTTCCATGGAGAAATTTTTGCTTAGGGTCAAAATATTTAAAAAGGATTTTTCTTTTTTAAACGCCAGGCCAGATTGTACAAACCCAACGATTGTTGTTAAAGAGGAGGAACCTAGATCCTGTCCACGTTCACTGATTAACTACTCTCCAAATATATCAATGAGAAACCCTAATTTTAAGAAAAGAGGGGAATTATATGAAGTTTTATTTTGTTTAATTTTATTCAGAAAAAAAAAGATTGAAAGAGGGTAAGGAAAAGTATCAATGAATTTTTTTTTTTTAAAGTCACGTCCCGATTGTGGAAAGAAAAGAGAAAGGTGTTTTTTGCAGAATATGATTTTCTTTTGTGGTTAAACAAGAGCAGAAAAATATGCTTACAAATACTTTTTTGAAAGTGATGATTAAAACAGATCTAGTTTCTCCATAAGGAAATATTCAGACATTGAACAGAAATAAACCAAAATTATTTCTTTTCACTTAATCAAAATGAAGAAGAATACAAATCTCAAATGCTTTCTTGTTTCTTCTTTGTGTTTGTTTGTAATTCTCATCAAAATGAAAGAACTTAACAAAATCAAAGAAGAAGGAAATTGTGGCGATACAAGTTTCAGAAGTTACAGTGAACAACAAAAGAGATTCGAAGAAGTTAGATCCGAAATTTAAGAAGATGCCACTAGTCATTTTGTTGTTGGTGTGAGATACAATAATAAAAAGTCAAACAACCCTAAGCGAGAAGGCTGGAGTTTTTAACTTATGCCTCTCCATAATGGTCGACGGGTAGCCGCATATTATCATGTAATTTAAATATGGAACTGTTTTTTTTTTAGTGTAAACTTTATTTAAAAACAAACAAAAATCTTTACAAAAAGAATGTGACGTTCAAATTTTTTTTATATATACAAGAAAAATGGTAGGTTCACGAATAATACTGACAAACGTTTTTGCCTTTGGCTTCATTTCTAAGCACAATTCGCGAATATTGATCAACCATTACATTGGAGGACTCATATTAATTGTCTTAAATAATAGCATTTCAATACTTAATTGGTAAAAGGTGATGCTCGTTTTGTGCAGTTTTCTGTTGGCAATGGGCGATAATTACAATTTTATATGCCGCTTTTGATTATATAAATCGCCAAACTGAAAAAAAAAAAACAAAATTTGACATGGAACTTGTTTTGTTCGTTAAAATCTGATTTTAATGAAATAAACATGGATGCGCAAAAAACATACTCCCTCCGTATTTTAATAATTGTCGTTTTAGAATTTTTATTTTTTTGAATTAGATGTCGTTTTCAAATTTCTATGCAAAATTTATTACTTTTTAATGTTTTATGACATCATAAAACATTAAAAAGTAAGAAATTTTGCATTGAAATTTGAAAACGACATCTAATTCAAAAAAATAAAAATTCTAAAACGACAATTATTAAAATACGGAGGGAGTATACATTACTCTAGGTTTCTTGATGTTTTTATGCAGTTTGTCATCTGTAGAGGAGGACTTGAGTAGCGATGGTTGGTCGAGAGCATTTTCGTTACGTTGTCTCAAAATCTTTCTTAGAAATACATGTTTTGTTGGTTTGGTTTGATTCTAGTTTTATCGGGTTTAATTGGTTTATATTTGTTTCCTTTATGGGTTTTACTCTGCTATCGCTTTATCTCCTCTACCTCAAAGTACTAGTAGTTTGCTTCATTTTTATCTCCTACAATTGCTAATTTAAATCAAAATCAAAAGATGAAAAAAAAAAAAAACGAAAAAACGTACACATTGGCAACATGACACCAACATATAGCAACCGTAATGTATGATTAGACAAATTTAGGATCTTAAAGAGAGTCCATTGATTGTGATAAATGTTAGGTATCATCAACATTCGAAAATCTTAATTAACTATAATGGACCAATCAAGCACGAAGATCAAATCTCCTCCATTCAATTCCGTATTCGTTCATACTCAAATAATAAAGAAGAGAACAAAAAAACGACCATCGGATCTCTTGTGTCACTTAGTTGTCCATTTTAAAAAGCTTGAGCAATATTTTATTTTCTCAAAAAGCTATTTACTGAAACGACGCCGTAACGAGGAAAAGGAAATAAACTTATGTTGTGTGAATCAATACGGTGTCGTTTAAAAAACATTAATTTTCACGAAGCCTATGAAGTAAAACAGATCAAAACAAAACAGAGAAAATTCTTCGGTTGCGTTGAGAGAGACGATGGGAGCCGATAATGGAGAATCGCTAAAACCTACACAGATCTCAATTTCTAAAGATCAATTCCTCGCGTGGAAACGCCAAAAGGTATCTCTATCTATCTCTCCTTTACATGTCGATTCGTAGTGAATGAATATATCGAATTGAAGAACCCTAGAATTGATGATAGATTGTTTATTTATTGTATAAGCTCTTGTAATGAATCTGACATAAATTTAATCAAAAGAATTATCATCATCATTGATTAACCTAAGTTTGTTGTTTTTCTTGTAAGGATGCTGAGTTATTAGCTAAACAAGCTGAAGCAGCAAGGAAACGTCAAGAGGACATAGCTTCAGGCCGTGTTCCAATGAATGGTCGTGAGCTTTTCTTGCATGAGCCTTGGGTTTTCGACGATACTCACCATTAGATTCACTACTTCTTCATAGGTACACATTCGAACAATAAAGAAACCATTAGTACTACTACTTGCATCTGAGTTTATGAATTGGGTTTAACGATAAGGATTAGGTGAACAATGGAACTGATTGTGTGTGATCTGATGAAACCAGTCTTTGTGTTTTTTCTTTTACATCTCTCAAGAAACTAACTAAAGATCTGTTACTGTGTATTATCTCTTGATGTTGTTTATTTATGTGTCTTTCAGGTGATTTAAGACATTACCAAACACATCTCCTTGGTGATTTGTGATCCAACTCTGTTTCTCTTTTGTTCTAGTACTCGCACGTTCCTTAATACATTTGTCTTCAAGTGTTAATCAGAAAATTAGTCGTTATTGTGACTTAATCGTTGGCTCTGTTTATTGGAAAGTTGGTGGTTGTTACATCTCCTCGATGTTTGATATACATTATTTCAAAGGCAAACAAAAATCGAGACATTAAACCTCAAGCTGAAACTGATTTATTGTGTTAATGAAGATAGTCCATATAGTCGACCAAAGACAACAAACTTTGCGCTATGATGTATCATCAAGACTAATTAGTGATCAAGCTCATAAAACCGCATATACATATCTCGTAAGTTCATAAAAAATGATAATCACTAATCTCATCACCGTTTATCCAAATATTTTGATGTAAAAAGAAGAGTAAACTTAAGAAATCTCCAAACGATATATACAACGAAGAGAGGGAAATTAGTCAAGCATTCTATTTTTAGTTCCTATTAACTCGCCTAATTATAAGCATTTTCTTCTTCCTCCTTCCCTATATTAACAATATCTTTTTCAAACCATTTTTTCTTCTTCTCTTTTGAAGTTTTGTAGATTACTGATCAAGCATTATATCAACTTACGATTTGGATGAATCAAAATCTCTTCCTGCTTCGCCAACATGGGTCGGGTGAAATTAGAGATCAAGAGAATAGAGAACACAACAAATCGACAAGTTACGTTTTCAAAACGTAGAAATGGTTTGATTAAGAAAGCTTATGAATTGTCGGTTCTTTGTGATATCGACATTGCTCTCATTATGTTCTCTCCTTCTGATCGCCTTAGCCTCTTCTCCGGAAAAACTCGGTATTATCATTTACGCCTTTTTCATTAACATTTTCCATTGCAAGACTTCTAGGGTTTGGACCATATCATATCTTAATTATCTCTACAGGATTGAAGACGTTTTTACAAGATTCATCAATCTTCCTAAACAAGAACGAGAGAGGTACGCTTACACTACTTTCGTTTCATTTGCAATTTCTTTTCTGATTTTTATTATATTGCTAGTAAATTTTGACTATTGAAAAATTATTTGTCTTTTATTTTCCAGTGCTCTATACTTTCCCGACCAGAATAGACGCCCGTATGTATCACATTTTTTTTGTTACATTACATAAAATCATATGGGTATAATAAATTTGTCTTGACCTCTCTTTTCTTTTCTTGCAGAGATATTCAAAACAAAGAGGTTTGTATTCTAATCATAGTGATTAATTTGTTCCTCATTATGTTGTTTCTTTAGTTTATTTATTAATCTAGAATCATGTTATTATATGACAGTGTCTACTAAGGATTTTGCAGCAACTCAAGTCTGAAAATGACATCGCTCTTCAACTCACGAAGTCCGTTATTCCTTCTGTTTTGTCGTTATAATCAATTTTATAATCTCACATATATACCAAGATACACTATTCAATAGTCAATACACATCTAACTATACACTAAACTTTTTTTCTTTCATATAATTATTTTGAAAAAAGCCCTGCAGCTATTAACTCCGACGTCGAGGTAACTAATCTTTAAATATTATTGATCAATTAATTAGAGCATATAGAAATATATATATATTGATACGTAGTTTAACCGTCTCACTTGTAATCTAGGAACTTGAGCATGAAGTTTGTAGGTTACAACAACAACTTCAAATGGCAGAAGAAGAACTAAGGTTTTTTACTCGAAAAAGTTTGATATTATAGTTTATAAAACATGTTAATTGAAATCATGATCCCTTAGTATAACCTTAATATGAGCAGGAGATACGAACCGGATCCAGTAAGATTCACGACCATGGAGGAATACGAAGTTTCTGAGAAGCAACTTCTCGACACTCTAACACATGTTGTCCAAAGGCGAGACCATCTCATGAGCAACCATTTATCTTCTTATGAAGCATCTACTATGCAACAAAACATTGGTGGTCCTTTTGTTAACGACGTTGTTGAAGGTTGGCTACCTGAAAATGGGCCCAATCAAACCCATTTATTTGATGCATCAGCACATTCCAATCAACTCAGGTACATATATTCATAGTCTTCTTCCTAAGCTTCCTCAAGCGATTGTTTTTTCTTTGAAAATATAAACATTCACATTGATAGTTTGATACATTTTGACTCAATTTTGTTTTATAAAAAACTGGCAGAGAATTATCATCGGCAATGTATGAACCATTGTTGCAAGGAAGTAGCTCAAGCTCGAACCAAAACAACATGAGTGAATGCCACGTGACGAACCACAACGGTGAAATGTTCCCTGAGTGGGCTCAGACGTATTCATCCTCGGCCTTATTCGCTTCTATGCAACAACAGGTTTTTTTTCGTCTTTTTTCCTCCTTCGTTCTTTAATTTTCTACATTTTAACTAAAATTCAAATTTGACTTTTTTTGGTCAACGTGTCAGCATGGAGGTGTGGGTCCCAGTATCGAAGAGATGATGCCAGCTCAGCAAGGAGATATTCCGGCAGTGACGGCGGAGGCACAAGCTGATCAGGAAGTCGCCGACTATGAAACAAAGGTTCCTCAGCTCAGTAGCCAATAATCTCAACCATGTATTATTTATTTATGTATTACCATTTTTTTCATTTTTTTCCTTCAACCCCAGAAAAAAAACTGGAATTTTTGTCATGATGACATGAGAAGACGATGCCGAATCGTGTTACATTTGTAATACCATTTTTTTGGCAACACCATTTAGTTTTCTTTTTTAATGTGATATTATAAGGTTTTGTAGGCAATCACAGTTTTTTGGGCGTAAAGCAAATCAAGTTTTATCTTCATTATGTATATTCTCTGTTTTTTTTTTCAAAATAACACGGCCATAGAAGATATCGACACGAGAAGACAAAAAAAATTCAGACACATAAATAAGCTTGTAATACGGAATTTGTTGTTAATTTATAACGCAAATGTCGCTTTCTCAGTTTATACTAAAAAATGGCTATTTCGTTTCCATTTTGTTGAAAATAAAGAATATTCTTTCTTAGTTGACAGAAAAAGAAAGCTAACGGAATAAATATTTCTCACCAGATTTAGATTTTCTTCCTTAATTGTCCAAAATTTTCTGTCCACTTGTCTATTTTCTTCGTCCAATAAAATGATTGTAAGATATTTTCCTTAAGAAAATCATTATTTTTAAAATTAATTATCAAAATTGTAAGATGATAAAAAATTTTATATCTATAAAAATTAAAAACTTCAAAAAGAAATAATTACATTAGTATTATATATAATTAACATCTTTTCTCTAATTCAAAACTTTAGAAACACTGTATTTTAGCGTAACCGTAAGAAAATACTAGATTTGTAAATTTTCCTTTCAATTTTAAAGTGATAATTACTGGAATTTTCCACTGTATTTTTTTTTAACACATTTCCACTGTAATCTATCCTTTATAATTTTCTATAAACAACATTATTTTAAAATTTTGTTGTTGACTTTGCAGATTCTCCCAAATTTGGATTATTGTTTGTCTCCATATTTGCAGATTCTTTGTGGGTCCCATTTTTTCCAAAGCCAAAGAAAAATGCTTATTTTGGAGCATTTGGCTTACAAAAATTATAAACTTTTTGTACAAATATTTTATAAATCTTAATTTATAGCATTTATAAAATTTTCCAATTTTTGATGTGAAAACTAGAATTTCATATTTACACATTTCTTTTTAATAAAATTTCACCAAATCTCATGAACTTTTAGAATATTTAATTAAAGTTTTCAGAAGCTAGCACATTTTTTGTCTTTAAAGATAAATCTTCAATCCAATGAACTTTGAAAAATAATCTTATATAATGGATACATTGTTAGGCAATGTCAATATTAAGATAATCTTCCATCTGTTTGTTTATGAATGGATACATTTATCTCTCTCTATATATAAATATATAATGTTATAATAATAGGAAAGAAATCTAACACTAATATTGGGATATTCAATTTAAAATCAAGATTTTTACCAATAACTGTACAAGAAAATAATTTTATAAGCTGAACTATTTTTAGCTTTTCTGAGTAAAATGTATGATTGCTTCAAAACGCAATGTCTTAGTATTGATTAATCACTAAGTAATATATAAATATGAACGGAAATTGGCAAGCTAAAATTTTATATCTTCCTTTTCTTTCTTTTTTTTTTCTATTTCACAGCTTATATATATAATTTAGTATAAAAAAATTAAAGTAATCATATACGGAAACAAATTTTTTTATTGCCAACACAAACAAAAATTACAAACAATCAACACTTTATGCGTTCTCCTATATATATCCATTCACAGCCTCTACCATTTCTGATAAGTCTTCCTGCTCTCAGAATCTCTTGGTTTCATTCGAACATATCCAGTCGCATATCTTTCTGAAGAAAATAAGGTATATTATATTCAGTTCACGACATCTTTATTCTTTATAGATAAAGTAAGCATAATTTTATAAGTTTTATCATTTACTTCATTTGTTTTGAAACTTCTCTTTAGCTCTTCAAAAATTGAAACAAGATTCAGATTTGATTTTTTTTTGTAAAATATAACAAACTTTTCAATTTTGTTTTATATATCATAAATATTCAACTCTAAACTAAGTTTTAAAGCACATGTTTTTTGTTCCTTGAATTTTACATTATCAATTTTTCTTTTCATATTCGATGATGAATTGATGATGATGATTGTGTGGTAACTATTCAATATACGTTAATTTAATGATTTGATTGTGAATATTGCAGTGTTGTTAAGAATGGCTTCAAGCGACGATCTTGAATTTTCGTTTTTGGATTTACCAGAAACTTTTGGTGCTCTCACGGTATAGTACTTATCTCTTGGTGTTAGTATGTGAAAATAAAGAACATCTCAATATATAGTTTTTGCTTTGACTAATCTCCCTCTTATTCTTGTTTCTCATTCTGTTTTTTTCTTTAAAGTCGCATTTAAACAATATAAAATGTTTAGATTAGATAATAATATTGTTTATGTAAACTGTGAAAAGGAGTGTGGAGGAAATGCTTCGTTGCTGGCTTCAGAAAATGAACAAAATGACTTTGTTGGATACATCCCTGTCTCTGCCGCCACAAGTAATGTGTATCCTTCACCACTAATAGAGAATTCAAACACTGATCAAGAGACATTGACAAGAACTTCAAACTTTGATCAAGAGACAGCCATAGTAGCACACAATCAAAGCTTTCATCAGGAGGATGATTATTCTAAGTACTTCAACACCACAGAAAACTTTAATGACATAGTAAGAACACTACTTATAACTCTTCTTTCACTAACTAATGCATATAACTAAAAGACATACCATTCATGATTTATATGTATATAGTTTACTTTCCCAAGAATTTAGAAGTTAGAACATATATTGACATTATGTGGTAATTAACCGGAGGATTCCAAACTGATCTTATAAATTTGCAGTCGCCGAGTGTCTTTAGCAATGGCCAAAGAGAAAATGTGTACAGTGGAAATTGTGTCCTAACCTCGAGCAATCAAATGATCACCACTGGACAACATGGACCTCTGGAGCAAAGTTATCAACAACCTTTATTGTCTCAAACAATTCCCGATTTCTCTAACGAGCCATATGTTTCAACACTGGTACAAATTTTCTATAACTCTCTATATATATTTTACGTAATCGATAATTAAAAATGTATGTATACTCAGAACATTCAATATTATGATGAGTCAGGTAAGGAGTAATATACAAGAAATGGATAGAGCTAATGGACCTACAAATTTCAATCTAATTCAGCATGGCCTTCAAGATCATCACTTCCATCCTTCTTTGTATTCAACTTCTAACATCTTTTTTTTCTCCTTATATATATAATTTTTTCAGAAATGATAATAATAAAAATATCAATCAATGCAGGTATCAGGAGGAACAATATAATCACACCGACTTACTACTTGAACAACTCGTGCGTATGCATGAAACTGAACATCAAATGCAACTACCAAAACTCTCTAACATGTCTACCCCAACATCAGTGTAAGAAATTTATTACTTTGATTGTTTTGAAAATTGATTTATCCAAAGTAGTCAAACTTAATTGTGTTTTATCTTTTGTCCAATTATAGGGGGACATTGTTAAACAATCAATGCCTAGTTCCTTATGCCTCGACTCCAAATACTATACCGAATCCAGAGTATCGTACTCCAATGATTTCTAACAATCTTACACTAAATAAGTATATAAATAGTGTTTTTAATTATTTTTTGTTTAATTTCTTATATACACTCGCTAAGTATTAAATCACTTACAAATCTAGGATTTTCGAATGTTTTCAGCTCAGGAGACTACTCACCATTTACCCATAGGTCATATCAGCCTGACTCATTTGCTTATGCCTTCCAGAAATCAAGCTCGTTAAACCCTACTCGTCGGCCCCGTGGAAGGTGACATCATTGTCTTACACTATACATATGTTTTGCTTAACTTTTCTTTTTTTTTTTCTTTTTTTTTGCTTAACTTTTCCATATGATCTATTGAAAAGATGATATAGTATTGCCAAATTTATTAGGCCAAGGAGATTTCAAAGTGTTATGCCTTCAAGTTTGACTATTACAACACCAAATAACATGTCTTTGGTACCTGCAACTCAAACCCTCTTAACCCCTCCCAGGTAAAAAAAATTCATGCTAGCACATATCTATTTCATCTTGAAACATGCATTAGAAATACATATTGTTATATTTCATGCAGTTTATGTATTAGTATTGCATAAATCATGATTTTTTTAATATAATTTAGGACTTATGCCCAAGACAAGGGAAAACAACATGTTACAGCAATGCCGTCTTTGAACCCAACTCTCTACAATCATCAGTATCAAAATTCATACCCAAACTCAATGATCCAACAGGTGAAGTTTTTAAATCTTAATATTGCATTAGATGTGAAATAAATTCTTGTTGAAAATGAGAAATGGAACCACTTGAAAAATGTTTTTATTTTTTTGTATTATTAAAATATTAACTAATTATTCAATTTGTTACAACACAAAATTATATACAGATTATATCAAACACTTGTGGTAATACCAAATATTGTGTCTACCATTGCAGAGTGGAGGTGTAAGACAACGCAGTTGTTATGATCAATTTGAAAATGAAGGTTCTTCGTCTAAAATAAGGGTACACATGCATTCTTACACAAATAATCATTTTCTTCTTCAAAGAAAAAATTTATAGGAGTGTGACACATATAAAATAACTATTGCAGAGGGTCATGTTACCGTTTCAAGAAAATAGTATAGCAGATTCATCGAGTGTATCTCTTTGGCAAGATGGAAATAGGCGTTCAAGTGCAGCCAATCACCATGAAGAAAGGTTTGTTATTTCAAATATAACTAATTAATATTACTCTCTTAAGAACTTATAAGGTTAGTTGGTATAGTCTGGTAAAATGGGCTATATATATTCTTTAGAAAAAACTCAAATTTCAATCTTAGTCCTTAGACCAAGAAAATAAAATATTTTTAGTTACATTACTTATATATTTACTTCTTATTCAGGTTACAAAATGCAGTATACGATCCATTTTATGCAGGTGTTGGATTACCCATTGATCCTCATTTGAGGTTCTTTTGATTAAATATATTGAAATGGTAATTCTCTCATATACATATATATACGTTATACAATCCATTAAAACCCCCGTAATTAAATAATAATAATCATATATTACATGATAGTCTTCTCTAAAAATTCTTTTGCAGGATGGCGTAACTTGCACTTGCATGTTTGAAGAATCAGTGTGGTGTATTGATGGGAAAAAATATATGAGACTCATCATACTCTAAAATCTAAATCATATAAGCAGTTATGGCCATGGGTCTATTTACATCACATGCGTTGTGTATTTTTGCATGTGACAAAGATTTTCAGTCCATCAGTTTGTACTTATGATTATGTTGTGTCATATCCTTTTAAAAACTTTTTATGCATATATATGGCGTCGCCTCAAATTTTCTTTTTGGGAAAATGTTTTCATAATTCATCGCCAAAACCATGCCGTCAACACCATCCTAATTAATAGTTACTTTAGCAAACGTAGCTATCAAATTTGCATCGCGTTTAGCGATTTTGCACCCTAATTTGAACAAGAAAACGAAAATATTTTATCTGAAAGTCACTTTCATAACGTTTTGTAGAAGCTTATGCATTTTGGTGTCAAACAAGATGCTCAAAATAAAATTTGAAAAAAAAATCAAATGATCTTATTTTTCCACAATATATATTAAATGTTCTATGATATTTTATTCAACTTAGAAGTACTTTTTACACAAAAATGCTAAAATAAAATTCAAAACATATGATATAATTTTTTGTTTTGTTTTCTATTTACGATTTAACGCTGTTATAGAGTTTCGCTAGAATAAGTTTGAATTCAATATAAAATGATCTAGGATATGTTATTCAACTTAAAAAGTACTTTTTAACCGAAAATGCTAAAATAAATTCAAAACACATGATAGAATGATTTTATTTTGTTTTCTATTTACCATTTGCTATGTTGGTAGATTGAACATGAATTTAGGAGGCTTTGAGGGGAAGAAGGGCTGGAGCAACAATGATGGGCCAATAAGAAGCCTAATAAGCATCAAAATGTCAATGGACCTTAATCAAAGTTAAATTTCCATCCCTCTCATATGGTGGCCCGTGGCCGGCCCTTGACCTTCGTTTGCTTTGAAGTTGGTGTTCACTAACTACAGTCTACAGTGAACGTAAATGCTCTCTATTTGTGTATTTATGGATTAATGAAACCTTGTTTAGGTAAACACCGTAAAATATAGTAAATTCGAAACCGATTGATAAGAACATTCGAAACCGATTAAGAACATTCGAAACCGATTAAGCACTCTAAGGAAAGGAGGGGTCGAGAAGTACGCGGACGGGATTCAAATGTGGTTCGCATCGAGACAACATCACGGATGAAAGCTCTTTGTAACTGGTTTTAAAATGTTTGCATAATTATGTATAAACGTTTATTTTTTCTTTGAATATAATTTAACATTTTATTCAAAAAAAAAAAGTAAATCATTGATGCTCTGGTGAGTGGTTTATAACACTCTGTGTTGGTTCTTTAGTATATGTGGGTTTTTAACCTTTTTGTCTCTGCAAAGATCAAAAAGCTACTCCTCTAAAGATCTTTTCAATATTGCTTGATTTCACTGTTCCATACGATATACTCAAAGGCCAGAGTTTTGTAGATTATATTATTTGTTTTGTTTTTGTGTTCTGATTTTTGTAGCTTTTAGACAAGTAAGCTGCTTTGGGAACTATCAAAAGAACTAGTTGAAAACAAAACAAAAAAACTTATAATATTCACAAAAACTTCTATTATCTTCTATCTTGAGAGCTCATCTCATCACATTTGACTTTATTCTCAAAAATCTTAAAAATGTTTCGCTTTCAGATAACGATGGCCTAGGTACAGCTTGCGGCAAGTACTTCTGTGTTGGTAAGTAAACAATTGTATACCTTTTTATTTTATTAAAAAGTAAACTATTGTATACATTATCAGTTTCACTAGTTTTAAATTTATTTGTTTCTTCGCCGACTTCTCAAGATCTTAAATGTATAAACTGAAGTAACAAAATAACATATGACTTATGTTACATAAGGCTGATGTTGTCAATTTATCACGTTTCAGGTGATTCAGAACATTATCAAGACTCTTCATGGTAATCAGTAATAGTGAGTTAACTTTGAAATTTTTTGAACACTTTTCTTCCTTTGGGAATTTTTGTCCTGTTTTTTTAGCTTCTTTGCATTTTCTCTCAACTTGGATCTTTCATATCCACAAATTTTTTATCAGCTAAATAGTGTACCATTGTGTTATGAGTTTCTACCAAAACTCAATGTGTTAAAAAGTATTTTTCGCTAATCAGTATTGTAAAGAAAATATCAATTTAAGCTAAGCATTAGTAAAAAGACACCTAGCAATAGCATATGTAAATGGTAAAGTTATTCTGTAATCCATTGATTTAATAGTTGATTCTCTAAATTATGCATTAAAATCTGACATTATTGCATAAATCCCAATGACATTAAAATAACAAACACAAACTTTAGGATAATGTCATGACAAATTATGTTATCAAATCTTTAAATCTTGCATATATCAAATATAGGAGTTAGTTAAATTAATCAATTATCCCTCCAAATTCCATAGTCCCAGGGTATTGAAATTTTAATTAGTTTGGTTATTCCCATAAATAAAATTATTAATTTTTAATAAAATTGCTTATCATTTTTTTGTTTTGTAAATTCTGTCATTGTGGCTATCAGTTAAAAGCATATCCTTTGGATAAGAAAAAAGTGAATAATAAATTTGTAAATTTTTGTTACCATAGAGATGCTGTAAAATAGTTAAAATTAAAAAGGTGTTTATCCATAACGCTTAAAATTAGGATAGGTTAAGGATTTACAGCAAACGAGAGAGGAACGGCCGACTTAGTTAAACATCCTAATCTTAATCCCTCCGACTTTGCCTAATTTTAAGCATTGTTTTATAATTAAAAATAAATATATATTTTCTTGATTATCTTTCCTTAATTAATCCTAAAAGATTTTTGTTTTAAAACAATTGAATTAATTGATAGAGGTATATATCGTATCGATTCCGTTTCGACGAATTAAATTCTCTTGTGCTTCGTGGTGAGTGCGTGTATAAGAGAACAAAAGTTCGCGTAACGTTCATCTTTTAATCTCGAAGAAGAAAACTCATTTGCTTATCCATATATACAGGTAAATTTATAATTTTTCGATTTTAATTTTAATCTTTTTGTATTCAATCTATTTCGTGTTTGATAATTCACGAGAATTCATCTTTGTAGGATTAAATTTAAGAAATCTGATTAGGGTTTCGATTATGATATTAAACTCAATCATTCGTTTTTTTTTGTTTAAAAAACATAAGAATGTTCGTGATTATCTTTTTTTTTCTTAGAATCTGGGTTTAATCGTTGTTTGAATCCTAAAAAGTTAATAAAGATATTCATGGAAGTCGGCTTCGTATTTTTTTAAAAAAAATTAAAGGTACGCGTAGCTTTTTAGATTGACCATTGTTTATGATTTTTTAAATTTAATTTAATAAATAATTTGCAAATTAGTCAGTCAACAACTTGTTTATTTCGTGAATCGTCGTAGTTGCTTTTTGGCGTTCAAGAATAGGTAGATGCTTTTTGCGTTCAACTTCTTGTTTTAAAACGTGTAGCTTTTATGTAATCGAAGTTGCTTTTTGTTACCATTATAACGTTTATAAAACTTTGGCAACAGATTTTGGCTGTTTTTACCTTAAAAGGGATTTAATAATCCACAGACGTTTTAAAAGACCATCCTCATAGCTTAACCTTTTTTTAGCTATCCATTTTTTTCCTATGATTAAATCGTTTAAGAAAGAATATGAAAATGTACTAACTAGATCAAAGAGAATATCCAATATATATAGATTAAGCACATCCTATATCCAACTTAATTGTTGATTCTGTGTAGCTGAGATGTTGTTAATTTATGCTCTAACTTGTCATTAAACAATTGATTATTTGTTAGTAAGATGATTTACTTAACCATTATCGTCTAGATGTTGTACATATTTTTGAAACTCAATTAGAACAATTACATTATCTTTCCCATTTTTCTATTTTCTTATTTTCAGTCCCAATTTCCATAGATTAATTGCCATATGCATTTATAAGCACAAATTACATTCATTGGATAGAAGAAAGGTGTGAGGGATGTATAGAATTTCTAAGAAACTTCTAGATGTTCTACCAATCATATCCACTTTAGTTTTATACTAATTTGGTCTTGATGACATATTGTTAGCAAAAAAACTTATATTTGGTCCTATTTTGGTCTAATATTTCTTATATTTTCCCATTCACAGGAAAAAAAAACATTAAATGTCACAGATTCTCAATAATATCTCAGAGACCATCCCTTCCATGACATCACCTCCTTCGCTTAGCTGTCTCTCTATTTAAGATCTCTTCATGCAAACTCTAACATCACATTAAAATTATAAAATAAAAGAAACAAAACCCAGAAAATAAAAAGAATTGATATTTTTTTTGTTGGGTTTTGTTATTTTTATTTTCTTGTAAAATCCAGATATGGAGAGAGCCTCTTCTTCCTCTGACTCATCATCATCCATGGCTTCTTCTTCTGATCAGTCTCTTTCCATCAACTCCGATCAAACCTCACCTTTTGTGACGTCATCCATGCTTTCACGCACGTCATCTTCTTCTTCCTCCGCCGTGGGTGACTACATCGGGACAGAGAGCTGCTTTGACGTCCTCTCCGCTGACGAAGAAAACGATGTCGTCTCCGTTGCGGCCGAGTCTGTAAAAAGCCGGTTTCGTTACGGTGGAAGGAGGAGAGAAGAGAGAGAAGCTAGAGCTGCGGCGGCGCGTGAGTTTCCTCCGCCGATACCGTTGCTTGCTCAGACTGGGAATCTTCTCCCGCACATGCCGTGGGTTCTCAAGCGTGTGGTGACGAGCGACGGGAGGCTTATACTCAGAGAAGAGAAGGTTCGTCATCATGAGTATTTCCGTGCGAATAGATCCAATGGTCGTCTCACTCTTCACCTTGTTCCTTTAGACGATGACGTTTTTGACCTTCCTCAAGAACCCTCTCATTACCAAAGTGATGATGATAATGATGATGAAGAGGATGATGATGAGGATGAGTGTGATGATGATCAGCATCAAGAGGTGGAAGATGATTTGGATGATCTGGCGGATAAGATTAATAAGGATGTTACTATTAATGCCTCTCATGATGATGATAAGGGCAATGTGCATGGTGATAGTGAAGATGGATATAGGAAGGTTATATTAGTGGCGATGGGGGAGGAGACGGTGGGGGAGAGTGGAGTGATAGTCGGAGGAGGAGGATCGCCGAGAGGAAAGTGTTTGAAGTCATGTTTTGTTGGTATGCGAGTTCATGAGATAAGACCAGTTCTTAGTTGATTCTTATTATTATTAATTAGTTCTTGTTAATTAGCATCTTTTTTTTTTTTGGGTGGAAAACAAGATTATTATCGAAGAGAGTAATAAAATTACTATCGGCTTAATTCATATGAATATTAGAGGGGTTTTTCATGAGAAAAAAGTTGTTTATTTTCTGTAACCTTCGGAGGCTATGGTGTAATTTATCCTTTTTAGATGTTTTTGAGGATATTTTTTACTTGTTTGTTTTTTAATAGGGTTAATAGTTTTGTCGGTATGTGAGTGATGATGGTTTTTTAAAAAGGTTGAATTTATCTAGTCGGGTGAATACTATGGACAAGAGATACACTTGTAAAAGAAAAATATTATAAAATCGAATCGTAATCTCCTTAAAGGAAAATAATAGTAATTGAATAAAAGAATTCCAAAGAGCGAAGAAATGCAAAAAAAAAAGGGGGAAGAAACATAACAGCTAATATTCGATAATCCATATGGTGCAAAGTGAAAACAGCTAATATTGTTGTTCATTTTTGGAGAGAATTTAAATTTCTAGGAAATCGATATCGAATTGACTTATACCTTAAATCCAGCGATGTTCTCTTGTATTTATCACTTCAAAAATCGTATGTCGAACAAAAAAATGAAAATAAAAGTTAGATACATATATATATCCTGTAAGATAAAAGTCACAAAACGAGGTCATTTTGTGTACGAAATCAGAAACGAGAATACGTGTATATATGTAGAAGTAAATAAATATAAAATCTCATACCAACACCAAAAAAAGAAAAAAATTGATAAAATAAATTTAGAGAAAAAGAGAAGCCAATAAGGGAGAATAAAAGGTACGGAGAAAAATGTAAGTACAGCTAAGATAGAAAGATAGAGAGTTTCCCGATGAATTTTAAGACAGAGACACTTAACTCTGTCTTCTGTAATTTGTCAGTTCCTCATCATTGGTCTTTTCCACCACCTGATCTCTTGTCCTATATTCCCCTCCGGTTTACTCTCTCTTTAACCGGTCTTCTTCTTCATTCTTCAAAAGGTTTTGTGCAAAAAAACCCTCGAAGTAGCCAATTTTTGCAAGAAAACCCTCCATCTCAAATAAATGCAAGTCAATACCACCATCTTAAAAGTCACCCGCAATATAGCCCTCGCGTGTATCGATGACGTGGCAGCCGTTAACTCCGTTCCAAAACGTCACGACGAGTGAACTTTTGTGCAAAAAAACCCTCAAAGTAGTCAAGTTTTGCAAAAAAACCCTCAAAGTAACCAAATTTTGTGCAAAAAAACCCTCAAAGTAGCCAAGGTTTGTTTTGAAAAAGCGACTGTAGGAGAATTCAATTGTACAGGGAAGCAAAGGAAACAATATGGTAATAATCGATTTTGATATCTTCTTAAATTTCTGATCATTGGCATGATCAAAGTAAGACATGGTGGAGCCATTTATAGGAGAAGGAAAAATCTAGGGTTTAACAGAAGAATTCTGTAAAATTTACATAAGTTTAATTTTCTGTAAAACCAGAAAATCTTCTGTAAAAGCATCTTCTGTAAAAGCCCAAATTCGTCGCAAAAGAGACAAAATATTTTGTAAGACTCAGAGCCTCGAAAAACGTGCAAGCCACGAAATCAACTTCTATAAGACTCAGAGCTTCGAAAAACGTGCAAGCCACGAAATCAACTTCTGTAAGACTTAGAGCCTCGAAAAACGTGCCCGGCACGGAATCACCTTTTGTAAGGCTCAGAGCCTCGACAAAACATATATTACTTCTCTAAAAATCATAGCTAACTCTTGCGTATATTTCGTATTCTCGTTCACTCGAATTCCAACTCTGTAATCACAGAAGCACGATTATCGTTAATAAGAGAAATATCTCCGTTCGCTCCCAAAAACTCGTACTTATTTATTATTGCAACTTCGGTACGAACAATAGGGTGGATAAATTTACATACAACAATTTTTATTGTATTATAGGTAAACCCGAACCCGTACCCGAATTTTAAAATACCCGAAAGGGATTTTTTTGCAAAAATTGGTTTAATGAAGGGTTTTTTTGTAATTTGGCTACTTCGAGGGTTTTTTTGCACAAAACCCACTGACGGAGTTAACAGCTGCCACGTCATCGATACACGTGAGGGCTATATTGCGGGTGACTTTTGAGATGGCGGTATTGACTTGCATTCATTTGAGATGGAGGGTTTTCTTGCAAAAATTGGCTACTTCGAGAGTTTTTTTGCACAAAACCCTTCTTCAAATTGTCTAATTATTCTCAATTACAACAACAAATTAATTCTATTTCCCGGGAATAATAAGGCGAGCGACTTGGTTACTTAATTCTAATCTTAACCCCTTCGACTTCGCCTTATTTTAAGCATTTCAAATATAAAATTCATATTGATTATTTTTAATATCTTACAAAATCTATAACTATTATATTGTATCATCAGTTCAATTTCAATGAAATAGAAATCATCCTCTGCTAATATTCTTACATGTTTACTCTAATTATTCCAATTATTCACTCTTTTGTATTGTTATTTTGATATATCCCTTATAAATCTGATTAATTATTTTAATAAACACATTCACTCTGTCTTAAGCAAATAAATTCAATCTGTATTCATACTTGTTTTTTTGAGCGACGAAGGAAATCTGTAGAAGTGAATTACGAATTCTTATTAGTATTAGATTTTGATGCTAATCGAGATCATTGATGATTATTTCTTAATCGTTCTTGTAAGCCGGCTACATTGTCTTCAAAATCAAAGGTGCATGCATAGCTTGTTTACGATTTGATCATTGCTCAAAAGATACGTTTATTTTATTTAATGTAAAACACGTTTTTGTTAATCTGTGTTTGGATTCAGATGGAGGAGATTGTTTTGGAACCAAAAGATGCAGCTGATTGGTCATATAGAGGCGAAGGAGCTGTTAATTTGGTTCTCGCTTACACTGGATCTTCTCCCACTTTCGTTAGTCTCCTCTTTGAATCTTTTTCTCTAACCCAAACATGATTATTGTTGCCTTAGTTTCATCGTTTAGGAAGAAGTAGTTAACATTGATTGATTTTATATTGTTTGTTTCTCTCTCTTTTGGTGTGTTTATGTGTGAAGTTGGGAAAGATGATGAGGATACAGAAAATGCCAAAGGATGGGAATGAAAATGGAGACAAAAGTGAAAATGGTCTTACTACACATGAAAAGCTTATTTGGGCAGACATTAAGGATCTTGTATCTTGCAAGAACAAGGAGATTGAAGAGTATTTGTTTGTCAAACATGTCATGAGACCTTTGTTGGGTCGTAAACATGTCAATCCTGGAGTATGTTTTTTCTTCTCTTGTCACATGATTCTAACACAATGGACATAAAGGGATGTTTTAAAGGGTTTTGAGTCTTGATGACTTGGGAATTTATTTGTGTTGTTGCAACTTTGCAGATACGTCTTCTTGTACCAAAGGAATTTCTTGAATCTGTTGAGAAAATTATAACATCTCAGCGTCCTTCTTGGAGAGCTGATGCAGCTAGTGTGGATACTAACCGCAGTTCCGTGCTTCTCATGGATGATTTGACGCTTTTCGCCCACGGTAAATCTATTTTGTGTATTCAACTATTGATGAGTCTTTTCCTTTCATTGTTCTAACTTGCAAGTAAAGTTTTATGTGAGCTTGTAGGTTGTCTCTTGGTTTAAGTAAATTTGATATGATGGATTTAAGCTATGGGTTTTGCCTTTTTGGTTTATATAACATGTCGCGCGTTAATGATCTCCTCTGCTTTCAGGTCATGTTGAGGATAAACCATGCTTAAGTGTTGAAATAAAGGTGTTCATCATCATCAAAATCTTGTGCTTACTTACTTTTAGGCTAGCCATTGAATGGTTTTAGTGGCTGATATATGTTTGCTCTGATGAAGTAGCCCAAATGTGGATTTCTTCCATCTTCAAGTTTCATAGCAGAAGAAAATGTTATTAAGAAGAGTATTACTCGTTTCGAAATGCACCAAGTTCTCAAGCTTAGGGAAAACGAGGTACTTCATTTACACATCTCCTTAGATTCACAATCCAATCTTCACCTAACACGTGAAAGTTATGTATTGCAGATCTCAGAAATCAGTGAATATGATCCTTTAGACCTTTTCTCTGGATCCAAAGAAAGAATACTCAAAGCAATAAAAGCGCTATACGCGACTCCTCAGAACAATTTCCGTGTATTCCTGAATGGTTCTCTGGTATTTGGAGGCTTAGGTGGTGGCATATGCAAAACAACCTCAAAGGTTGAACTAGCTTTTGAGCATATACTCAAAGATATCATCAAGACCGATGATGGTTTATGTGCAGATCGTTTCATAGAGCTTGTAGCAGAAACTGTTTACACATCCGGAGTTCTAGATCAGCTTCTAGACGTCCAAAAGCTCGATAACTATAACATCGAGGGAGCGATTCACGTATACTATGATTTCATTGATCAGCCATGTAAAGTGTGCAGAGAGTTGAATCAATATAGCTCCATGCATTCGATTCCACTGGATGAAAAAGTGAATATTTTGAAGGATTTTCTAATATCTGCCACTGCAAAGGATTGTAGTGTAATGATAAGTTTTAGATCAACAGAAGTTGGGCTCTCAAGATCCTCTTCTCACAGTAATCTTCATCTTGAATCAACAAAGCAAGAATTCGAGTACAAGGTACATCTTTCTTTAACTTCTAGATACTAAAATCTTTGCTTTTATTGAATTGTTTCTCTCATTATCTTTGCAGGTACATTTCATTGATCTTGATATGAGACCTTTGAAGAAAATGGAAGTCTATTACGAATTAGACAAGAAGATCATGAACACATACCTGGAGATGCTGAAGAAGAAAGGAGATCAACCTCGATGTTTCTAGAACTACAAGCATGAGAAGCAGATTCAATATCTCATTTCAAAAAGTTCTTGAATTGGTAGTTAGTATTTTATATTTCACTTTCACGTAACAGTTTGTTTTCACTTGTATCAATTCATAAGACTCCCTTTACTTGTTGCTATGGTATCAACAGAATAAAACTACATGACATGCAAATAGTGAAGAGCTTGGTCGTCACCAGGATTCATTAATCTATGTAAGGTTGTTTTGCATTAGTTTAGATGTGTTCTCTATCTGAAAGAACCATGAAGTAGCTGGAAATTTCGGAAACTCTGATTAGAGAAAACAGAGCAAAATGTGCTTTAAGACATTGTCTCTGTATTGGTCTCTGGATTTGGTCCAAGAGGACAAAACCAAACATGATTAAACTAAAAGGACAACTAAAACCAAGAAGAATGTCTCTCATCATTCCCCTATTAATTAAAGTACACATATGGTAGTACATTAACTAAATTGTATTCAAGAACAGTAGACACTTGCAAATTACACTAACCACACAAAAACAAATCCACTTAACAGTTCAAACGCACAAAATGACTTAGTCGAGACCATTAATAATAGTTATGCAGCTGATCCACATATTTAAATGTGGATCATTACTTAATAAGACGACGAGCGGAGGCCCCAGTTTTTGTATGCCTGGTACCACCTAGGATTAGATAATCGCCATAGTCTATGAACACCTAAACGACGCTTAAGCTTTTTAAAACGCTGCTCATTACTCAGAGCTTTTCCTCCACCAGGGAGATACTGCACAGATTCTTCCTCAGTGTTATTTATAGCTTTTTCTCCACTCCAAAAATCACCCCGGAGTCTCAAGAGTCCCGTAGTAAAATTGATGATTCTTCTAACAATAGCTTTGCGATCAACCGGCTCACCAATCCGAGCCTTTGCCAAGTCCTTATAAGTTATGTAGACAAATGAAGTTTTGGTGATGAGACTCGCATTGGGCGGCTCCACATCTTCAATCGCCACTTGCACAATCTCCAACTGGGATAGATAATGCTGCAGAAATAAAACCACAGTTACTACCAATAGTAAGTGCCACTATCATTTTGATATGCAAACAAATGAAAGAGAGAGAAAAAAACCCTTACAACTGTAAGAGACCTATCGTGAGCAACAAGTGTAAGTTCCAAATATAGACGAATCCAATCATTGTCTCGTAACTCTGATTCCTTCACCTGCAAGGTTTGTTAATAAAACATAGTATATCACTACTAGGCAAAAGCAAAAACCCCAAGTGAAAACAACAACAAAAAAAAAGAAACCACAAGTGAGTGAGTGTCTTTAGTTATTACCAGCTGAAACCGTTTTCTATCATTGAAGGCAATCTCTGACGGCCAATCAGGCAATTCATCATTGTCCATATAATCATACTCTGATTCGCTATGCGGACGTAGGAAAGGCACATTGGTGGTCACTATGCAACATTAACCAGCAAGTGTTAGTCTGTTAGATGTAGTGGAAAACTACCACAAGTCAAATGACTCAAGTAAAGTTGCATCTTTACCTCGAGGTCTAGCAATGGTGCACCTCACGTCTAAACTGCCAAGACGGTGTTCATGAACTAGAACCTGAAAGGTTTGCTGCAAACCGCTATCTGGAACGGGTGCAGCCAAAGTAATGTAGTAAGAGGAAGCACCGCAATTAATTCTCATGTTGAAACTCTTTAGGGTATCGAGCTGCAAATTTTTCCCCTGACAGATGGATAAAGAAATTGAGAATATAATTTGCTATCATAATAATTAAAAGTTTCAGCATATCGATTAAAAAAGCTCTTCTCTTTTTGTTTACCTCCAACAAATTGTAACGGTGAAGCCCCACCATAGCATAAAACTTGACCAAGGAACCATAAGGATACTTAGCATACTGGCCTTCACAGTCGAAGTGAAGAAGCCTATGGAGATTGTATGATATTGGAATACCATCGGGATAATCGAAACCCTAAGACCCATTAGGGAAAATAATCAATCAATCAATCAATACCTTTAACATTGTAACAAAGGAACACTAGTCATTTACAAAGAACACAAGCTAAACAATATGAAGATGAAAGAATTACATCAGATTCATTCCTCTGCGGAGGAGTTCTCTTCTTTGGATATCCCACCCGACGACTCATCTTTCTCCTCCTCCTCCTCGTCAAGTTTGAAAATTTAGCGGCCGATGATTTTGATCTATTTAGGTTTGCTTGGCGAAGAAGGATTCATTCCTGGGCTTCAGTTGGGCCTTCTCAACTTCAAATCTCATCAACAAAAAGGAGGAAAAAACGAACCCATTACATAATTATCGAATCTTGATAATGTCTTCAAAAAACTCTCTTTACTATGGCTTGTTAAGTATAATCGTCTTGTGATGTGAGTTGTTACTTGAATCGTTTTGTATTCAAAAACAGTAGATACTTATAAATTACACAAAACGCACAAAATAACTTAGTCGACCATTAATAAATAGTTTAGCAGCTGATCCACATCATTACTTAATCAGCCGAGCTCAATAAATGGCTAGCCATTACGCAGGCGACGAACGGAGGCCACGGGATTTGTATACCTGGTGCCACCTAGGATTAGATAATCGCCATAGTCTATGAACACCTAAACGACGCTTAAGCATTTTAGAACGCTGCTCATTATTCAGAGCTTTTCCTCCACCAGGGAGATGCATAGCTTCCTCCTCCTCAGTATCCATAGCTTTTTCTCCACTCCAAAAATCACCCCGGAGTCTCAAGATTCCCGTACTCATATTGATGATTCTTCTAACAATAGCTTTGTGATCAACCGGCTCACCAACCCGAGCCTTTGCCAAGTCCTTATAAGTTATGTAGAAAAATGAAGTTTTGGTGTTGAGACTCGCATTCGGCGGCTCCACATCTTCAATCACCACTTGCACAATCTCCAACTGGGACAGATAGTGCTGCAGAAACAAAACCATGTCGTGTTAATTAAGTTATTACCAATTGTGGCACACTATCATTTTGATATGCAAACAAATGGAAGAGAGAAAAAAACCCTTACAACTGTAAGAGACCTATCGTGAGCAACAAGTGTAAGTTCCAAATATAGACGAATCCAATCATTGTCTCGTAACTCTGATTCCTTCAACTGCAAGGTTTGATGAGATTTCATTAAATGAATAACATAGGATTAAGTATTTATAGATTATAGAACAAATAACACATGATTTTGATAAGGTTTTTGAAATTAATGATTCAATAACACATAATTTGCTTGGATTTCCAAATGTATTATAAAATTCATTAACAAACCTCCCAATCAATAATAATAATCTTACCAGGTGAAACCGTTTTCTATCATTGAAAGCAATCTCTGAAGGCCAATCAGGCAATTCATCATTGTCCATATAATCATACGCTAATTCGCTATGCGGACGTAGGAAAGGCTCATTGGTGGTCACTATGCAACATTAACCAGCAAAGTATAATTAGATGTAGTGGCAAACTGCCACAAGTCAAAGTGACTGATCAAGTAAAGTCACATGTTTACCTCGAGGTCTCGCAACGGTGCACGTCACGTCTAAACTGCCAAGACGCTCTTCGTGAACTAGAACCTGAAAGATTTGCTGCAAACCACTATCTGGATCGCGTGCAACCAAAGTTATGTAGTAAGAGGAAGCACCGCAATTTATTCTCATGTTGAAACTCTTTAAGGTATCGAGCTGCAAGTTTTTCCCCTGACAGATAGATAAAGAAATTGAGAATGTAAATTGGTACCATAATAATAGTTACACTTACACCATATCGGTTAAAAAAGCACTTTTTTGTTTACCTCCAACAAATTGTAACGATGAAGCCCCACAATTGCATAAAACTTGACCAAGGAACCATAAGGATACTTGGGATACTTGCCTTCACACTGGAAGTGACGAAATCTCTGGAGAGTGTTACAGTTTGGATAATCGAAACCCTAAGACCCATTAGAGAAAATAATCACTCAATCAATCAGTAACCTTAACATTGTGACAAAGGAACATTAGTCATTTACAAAGAACACAATCTAAACAATAGGAAGATGAAAGAATTACATCAGATACATTCCTCTGCGGAGGAATTATCTTCTTTGTGTATTCCAACCGACGACTCATCTTTCTCCTCCTCCTCGTCAAGTTTGAAATTTAGCGGCCGATTTTGATCGATTTAGGTTTGCTTGGCGAAGAAGGATTCATTCCTGGGCTTCAGTGGGGCCTTCTCAACTTCAAATCTCATATCAACAAAAAGGGAGAAAAAATCAACCCATTACATAATTATGGAATCTTCAAGGAAAAAAAATTGGGTCAATAAGTTTTAAATTGTTTATAAGATCATTTATATACAATTTTATTTTATAATTTATTTTAATTAATAAGTATTTATTATTACTTTTACAATTTTCTATTTGGACGAATCTAGTTTATATTCGGAACATTTTTTGGTTTAGGGAATTTTTTTAAATCTGTATGAAGATTAGTTAAGATTTTGATATGAGAAACGATTAAAAAATCACAATTGTGCAGATCCTTCCTTTGGAATTTGGATTATTACTTACTAAAAATATAGAGACACTTCAAGAATGTCTGATAATCATCTTGGCTGCATAATCTCTCTTTGACTTTTTTCTCAACGAAAACAAATGCTTGGTTGTACAAGCCTAGCACACAAAAAGTAAACATCTTAGAAAGCAGAAAATTGTCTTTGTGAGAATGTGAAGCCTAATTCCTATATCCATGACATGTTGATTGCTAAAGTTGCTAAGTTTGATATTTTTTTTCATTCAAGGATGGATGAACGAAAAAAAAAAAAAAAAAAAAGGTCTGAGACACTTCAAGAATGTTTGAGATATTGATATGTTTTTGTTTTTGTAATTGTTTTTCAAAGATGAGTAAAACAAAAAAACAAAAAGGTGGTATATGTTGATGGATTATGATATACCAACACGGTCTGGTGGTCTTAAAAAATTTCCAGCAAACTGCTTTAGGCGCCTGAGACAGAAGGGATTGATATATTCAAGAAACAAGAAAAACAGTCCGAAAAGGTTCTTTACGTCTTTCAGATAAAGATGCTCTAAAAGGACAAATGTGCTACATTGAAAGAGAACGCATTTCGGAAGAACTCCCACAATATCATCAGTTTAATTATTGTCGTCATCCTCAGAGTGCTAATGAGAGAATGCACAAAATAAAGTTTATTCTAAAGTTTTAACACTTTGGACAAGGCTTTGGCGCACTTTCACATTCAGCCTATTGGTGTGGCTTTGGTTGTTTTCTCAGAATTGTAGCGTCCTGAAGATGTAAGATTACTTTAAGCAGTTTGGTATTTGACATTATTTCTTACTTTCTTAATCTTATCTTCAACATATTTAAATTGTTTTGTGCAGAAAATATACTATGGCCCCCTAGCAGAGAATACTCAGTTCACGGGATATCATGACGTAGTGATTATTAAGGTAGAAATGTGAAGGATGAACATGTGGCGTAGTGCAAGCTGAGCAGCGGTCTAGAAGTTGGTGATGGTGGGTGCATTAGGGTTTCCCTCGAAGTAATGTACATGGTAGTTGGTGCTCAGAGTAAGGATGCCGATATAGTTCGGCCCACCCCAACGCCAAGACATCTTCTTTCGGATGTGTGTTTCCTTTAACTCCGTCTTCATCTTTCCTCCTCGGTGTGGGGTTTTTTGGCTAAGACCCCTATCATAATCATTTTAGACAAAATTCTAGCGATTGATCAAACTCGATATGAATTTTGAAAGAAAATTGCATGCTGTTTGAATTGAGGGGCAATTGGTCAGAAAAACTTTAGATAATATTTTTTTTAGTTTTGTCTAAAAAATAAATAATTTGAGATAACTAATAATTTTGGGGTGTGAGATTACAAGAATAGCCCTGCTCAAAAAAGTACTATACGGTTGAGCTTTTTGATAATATACTCGTTTTTTGTTAAGATACAATCCTATATTATTATTTGGGGAGTACAATTTATGGATTACCCTTAATTAACCTTTCCATTTGTAAGAATTTACTTAAGAATGCCATTAGAAATAAAATTTTATAGAGTAAATTAATTCAACTCATTAAGGATAAACAAGTCAAATACTATTTTATGCAATTTAATTTTTTTAATTTAATTATAAAAACGAAAATCTATTATTAATTTCTTTAAAAAGAATGACCAATCAAAATGAACATATAAGATTTGATATCTAACTTACCATATTAATTTGTTATTAATCATTATACTTCACCTCTCATCTTTATATGATTCTATTTCTATAAATAAATAAATCATTATATCATCTATATAATAAAAAAAAAGTAATTTTTTTTTCCGCATATACCAAGATTTGAATTTTTAAAAACGAATATAAAATATTCAATGTATGAAAGAACAAATTTAACGGGTCAAAAATTCATATTTGAGTAATATATTCCCCTTTTTTTTAATATCATCAATACTTAATATATCAAAAATTTATGAAGTATAAATACTCTAATTTGATTTTTTGAAACAAATATTTATAATAGGCGGCGGGTTGAATATAATATATTATATGATGAAATGAGTTATGATCCTTATAACTATTTGAATATTTATATTTAATTTCATATCATTTTTTTAAAATTCATAATTTTACATAATACAATAAATTTTTTAAAAGATTTTAATTTGGAACATTTTAAAATAGTTTAATTTAATATATTAAAGAATATCATAAATATTTAATATTAAAGAATATCATATATATTTAATAGATTTAATGTAATGTATTATATGGTAGAAAGTTATGATCCTTATAACAGACGGCATTTTAAGATTTTATGATGAGATGAGTTAAATAAGGTTTGACACTTCTAAATATTTGAAAATTTGATTCTGCAAGCAATTTTGAAAATAATAAATAATAGATTGTGCCGCAATATTTTTATACGGATTGTAAAATGAAAATATAGACTCCACACACGGATTGAATTTGGTATTATTATATACCAAATATATGTTCATAACATATTTGATTATGTGAATAATTGGTAAATTCCGTAATTAGCTCAAACAAATCTCTATTTCAACAACCAATGAATCAGAATTTGAAAAAATAATTTCTTAAATTAATTCAAAATAATAGCTAATTTTCTTAAGTAATTCAAAATAATCTACGTTTTAGATGCGATTCATTTATGATATTTTAATTTTTGATCTAACTAAATTATATGCACTCTTATTTTGTGGTTGTTAACATAAATTAACTCATTGTTCAAACAATATTATTTTTTTTTAAAAAATAATCTTATTTTCCGTTTTCATATCTTAAAAAAATATACATAATTGAATACTATAGAAAAAGGAAAATATATTCATTCTAATATTATATATAGGGACTGACAAAAAAATATTATTTTTTCACTTACTATTATAATATATCACAACTTTATTCTAAAACATAAAATTTATAAATTTTGTAATAAATGAAATTTAACCCGTACTGTAGTACGGGTGATGATCTAGTGAACTTTAAAAGGTTATTTTACCACATTTAAGATTCCAAAACAATTTTGAAATCACCCTTTGAAAATGGATTTTCTAGTCAATTATTCCTTGAATTTATTGTTCGTCAAGCGACCAATTTATACCAACAACAGAAAAAACAAAAAAAACTACGAACTGTTAATATAGGAATAATAAAGACAAAAGATTTGATGGTGGACTAAAATTCTCATATATGACGAGTAACAACAAACCCTATATATTTTACAAACATAAAGAGCCTTATTTATCAACCACATTACATGTTTTCCACCCAAATTTACACATCTCTTATTCCTTTTAAGTAAACAAAAACATCAATGAGGAAGATGATGCTCTCTAATAGAGAAAAAATCAGCTTACATCTCCAAACACTTTCTGAAAGTCCCAATAGGTAACATCATCTGCCTTGTGCTTCTTTCTCTTTGTTTTGTTTGCCTCCTAACTTGTCAAGTGTGTTCTCGTGGACGAGCTGCCCAGAGAGAACTAAGAGCACGCAGCCTATGGAAGTATTCTCCTAGAGCGAGCAAGCCTCGAGCAGCCTGTCTTGTCGTCAATATCTTACTCATTTGCTGCAGAGTCTGCTGTCTCAGATGATCCGCCTGTTCCAATAGAGTCAGAGATTCTGTTTGTGAAATCAATGCTCACAAGTTTCTAATCAAAGCAAATACACTTAGCTATAATGACGATAAGAAGAAACAGTGCGTTACCTGGTTCACAAAACTCTCCAATGCTTGAAGATTCTCCATGGCCGAAGCCATTTGAACCCCGTGATTCGCAGACTCGATAACTTCTATCTGAAATGCTATGCTGTCGACCAAACCCTGCTGAAGTTTATCTAAGCCTTGAGAGAGAGCCTCCTCTGCTTGCTGAGACGATTGTTGGAGGTTACGCACCGCCAAGAGTTGCTGATCGGTTAAGGGCTCAACGTATGGCATCACAACCTAGACAACAATAAAATGGTTGAGCATTTTTTCTCAAAAGTAAAAAGACTAACGTGTAAAAGTAAAAAAAAAAGGTTTACATTTAAAAGCTCGGATGGGCGGAAACCTCCAATCCACTGGAAGAAGCGCTCAGTTGAAGTTCGCCACATTCCCGACATCAAGAAGAACACATCAGCCTTTGCAGCATCAGCTTTCATGCGGAAGAGATTTGCGTAGTGGTTCAAGCAAGTATCTACCAGCATTTTGAGCTCAATGTCACCTATATGAGCTTGGAGCGCTGTTCGAATCTCACTAACTCTCCTGTTTTGCTCTTCTAGCCAGTGTGTGTATTCCATCTCAAATGCAGCAATACCTGAAAAAAATTATCATTGAGAAAATTACTTCTTTATCTACTGAGGAGTAAGAGATTAAGAGATAAAGCAATGCTAATATATGCTTATTTAGTGATACAAACACCAACCTGAGTTCATGTTCCCAGCTGGTCCTAGATAACTAGTATCTGAAGAATTGCGTACGCATAATCCCTAAAACAAGCCAAAAGAATCACTGAGTCAATATAATTCAGATAAAGTTTGATGAACACACAACAAAGAACCAAGCTTGAGCTAACCTGTTGCCTAGCTCTAACAAGTTCCTGCTCGAGCTGTGACAACTTTAACCGGCTTTCTTCTAACTGTTGCACATGAGCCTACAGGCACCGTCATAACTTTGCATAAGCTTTCCTTTTTATCATTACCACAAGAAAAAATCCCACCAAGGGACAATTCTTTCTCACCTTCTTTCTCAAACGACTTTTGCGAGCAGCTTCTCTGTTCTGAGCCAATCGCCGTTTCATCTGTGCATACAGAAGGAACAACAATTCATGTCATCACGCCGTGTCTCTTCCTCTAAAGATTAAAATGGAGAAGGAGGAGTTTATGAGGTCTTCGAAACAAAAGGTACAAGTAGCCTTAAAAAGCTAAAGTCTACCTTATCATTGATCCGGTCTTCGTCCTGATCATTATTACTCGAAGGTTCTGCTTCAACAGAGTTATTATACACAGAAGTATAATTCACCTGCACATAATTAACCATCAATTACCAAACAAACGACACTTCTAAATCAGTCTAAAGCATGAATCAGGAATAAACAATATCTCACTCTATTGTTATCATCTGCTTCTGGTCTAACATCCACCTCAAGAGTTGTTGAAGAACTCTGATTGTTATTTTGATTACTAGTGATATTGCTGATATCTGATTTGAAAGGATTCTCCCAACCAGATAACTGTTGAAATGGCTCATACATCCCCATGTCTCTGAATGATACAACTTGAGTAGTAGAAGAAGAAGAGCTCATCATCTGTAAATCCAACAATTACAGACTCAAGCTTATTGAATTCAAGAAACAGATTCTCTAGCTCAGCTTTCAATAGATATAGATCCAATCGATATCCTTAAAATTACACTACTCACTAACATAACCATAAACAGTTTTAACTATAAAGGTTGAAACTTTATAAAACCCAATTCTCCAAAAATGAGCCTTTTGAAGAAACATAGCCAAATAGAGCAATACCCATGAAACTAGAAAGTTGCAACAAGTAAAAACCAAAATTGGAAATTTTATAGAGTTCACAAAGCAAGAGAAGAAAACACCAGAAACAAAAGTCACAAACCAACCTCCATTGACAAGCAGAGAAGAAATTCATCACAAGGTTGAGAGATGAAGAATGAATCTTGGCATTCTAAAGGAATATTCCGATCAAACGGTGACCACAAGAGAGAAGAGAAATGAAGAAAACTTTGGTCAAAGCTTAGAGGTGAAGCGTATCCATCATTGAAAAAAGCAGAGATATTTATTTTTTTTCTAATATATTTTTTGTGTTGTGTGCTTTTTTTTCTTCGTTGCTTTGATTAGTCCATGAGCGTAGAATAATAAGCAAGTTGAAGTAAACGAACGATGAAACGACAAAAGCATCACCACCGGGAGAAAACAAATCGAGAGAGATGATAAAGTTGAAGTCTTTTCCTCTATGCCAAAAGTTGACCTTATCATGCGCCTCAGTTTCTAAAATACGCGTGTTGATGACCTGGATTCTCATCGTCGGCCGACACGTCAGATGCTTGAGGGGAATATTCCGGACGCCTTGCCCAGTCTCATTACTTTATTTTTTTAAGAATCTGAATCTCATATATATATGATTTGTTTTTTTTTTGACATCATATATGTGATTTTCTTTTTAACGTCTAAATGTGATTTTTTATGAATTGAAAAAACATATAAAATCATTTATCAAAACTTCTAGTCGATTTATGATTCTCATTAGAAAAATTAATCTATAATATCTCTTATTTTTATAATAATATATAAACGGACCGAAATCCGAAAAATGTTGTATCTTGTTCGCAAAAATGTTACACTATTTTGATTGACCAACCAAAAATAAAAAGTTTCAAAATTTGATCCAAAAATTAGATAGTTAACATCATGTTTTTGAATTTTTTATCATGATATTACCACTGTTTGCTGTTTGGTTAGGTATATGTTATATTATTAACGATTTTAATATAGTTGATACTTTTCTGTTTTAAATTAGTTGTCGTTTATGAAATTTTCACGCATTTATAAATAATATTTAATTTTTCTGTTTTATCCCTACTTAATGTATTGTTTTATTTGATATCATCAATTAATAAACTAAAAAAATGTAGATAATAAAATTAGAAAATCTATCAAAAACCTGCATAAAAAACATAAAACAACAACTAATTTGAAATAAATTTAATTTTTAAAACCAAAATTAATTTGGAAAGAAGGGAGTAGTTTATCTGTAGGAATATCTAAAAAAAAATTATTAATTATGTTTTATTCGGGAATTATATTACTTTTCCTAGAAATTAGGTCGCATTTTGTGGAACAAGAGTGCAAGATTAATACTTTAATCAAATTATTAGCTTTATTTGGAGGGTCTCAGTGCTATATATGCAGTGGCATCTTTTAACTTAAGTACCCCTCCTTGGCTTAGTTAGTGAGTAATAATTGGGCCTTTAGTGACCTACCCAACTCTAAGAAAATGATTATTTTTGTTATTTCATTTTTTGCCTAATACAATATTGATTCTTTAGTTAGTTTAGTGCTACTTGTCTAACAAAATCTGCGTTTCGACAGAGACAAATACGTAAAATAAGTGGGGCTTTTGGTTTGGCTTTAATAAAGATTTCATATATACACTTTTTCAATCCTTATGATATGATTAAAAACGTATTTATCAATGACATGCAAAAAGGAAAAATACCGAAACTAAAATGAATCTGTTTCTTCTAGAATTATGATATCCTTAAATCTACTAAGCGGTTTTTGACATGACGTTTCCTTACATGTTAAGTTAAAATACAACATATTTCAAGGTTTGATCAGTGTGCAGTGTGCACTAACAAAAGAAAGAAAATAAATGTTTTCATAGATAACCAAACACAACGGAGCAGAAAGGCCTAAAGAGGAAAGTTGGGCTTAGCTCGTAAAACCCATAAGATTTGTTGAATATTCTCACATGGCAAGTGCACGTGAGAAAAGCAAGCTAAGTCTTTTTTTTTTTTTTTTTTTTGGTCAAAGCAAGCTAAGTCTATGTGCCGCTTTTTAGGCTACTCGTCACCACTATGCACAAGTTTCTTTTGTGTATTGGGACTTATTATTGTCGTTAACCCTAATAATTTTGGTGTTTTCTTGATTTATTTTGTTATAAAACATCTATAGATTTCGGACCGAGACTAATATATGGGTAAATTTACCACTTATAAAGTGTACATTGACGTTGTAATAAAGATAACTTAATATAATTCTGCTAGTAATCACCATCATTATTTTCTGAGTGGAATTTTCCATGAAATTTTGTGTTCAAGAAGTAAGACTTAAGGATAGTTTTATGCATAAAAGTGTTTTGTGTTGATGTAAAAACATCCAGTAAGATGAAAAATTCTATTAGAAAATCGATTTTTGTAGCATGTTCAGCATTCGAAATGCTTGTATACGAATAATTTGCATATTTTGGCAATCGACCACTATTACGGGTGTAAAAGCACTACACCAACACGAATAGAATTTATTGTTTAAATAATTTTTTTATACGATCTATTATCCACTTGATAAGAAAGTTCAAGTACGTACTTGATATTCTGTTTTAATGATTTATTTTTTAAAAAACTGGTTGAGATTCTTTAAACAATCATTTCTCAGCCGAGCAATTAGTTTCCATTAATCGTTTACTATCTTAAGTAATTTGACCAATCTGATATTTTCTAATAATATAATTTGTCCATTACATTTGGCTATTCCAGTTTGCATCAAATTCTGATGTTACCCATATAGATAGATTAGATACTATAGTTATCTATACTTAAATCAGATAACTACGTGACCCTCTGGATTTGCCACGGGAAAGAGAGATGCTGGTCTGCTAATAAATTAGCATATATTGTAACTCCAACCCTTCATTTCCTTATTTATATACGTTTTGGTCCTAATTAAACTTATTATGCTTAAAAATTAAACTAATACGTTAGATTTTATTTTTTCTTATCCGTTGGCTAACTTGACATACTTACGTCTGGAAATTTTTGTTTTAAATTTTTTGAAAAAAGAGAAAATTACATGATTTAGCTTGTTTGGAATAGTTAAGAAAATCCACTCAATTAATTTGGAAGAATTTTCAAAATTTTCCTTTAAAAATGGTTGTACTTGACTATGTGAGTGAATGTTATGTTGTTTTTAGCATTAAAATCCAGGAACGAGCTGCAGGGTTTAAGAAACTCTTAGTATAGCTTTATAAAAATTTTACTCTAATTACTTGTTCAAAACCACACAATAATTAAAAAAAAAAAATCATAAATAAAATCACACGATAAACACAATAGTATTAAACATAAATTGCAAACAAGTAAGTACTAAAACAAAATGACAAAAGATAATTCCAACTTTTTATTCGTTATATTAATTTGTTTAATTTTTTGACGTGACCATCATAGCTTATATATTATTCCGTGATCATAAGATCACAAACTTTAGCAGAGTTTTTCTTGGTGCTCAGCTTTCCAAAGAACCACCGGCCGGATCCTCCACCGTTCTCTTCGATTCCACCGGCGGTACTTGTGGCCGCGGTTGCCATCATACTCTTCATGTTCTCTCTATGAAACTTCCTCACCGTGTAAGCCTCCGCCATAGCCATCCCTCCTAGTCCTGATCCGTCTAGCGACATGTTCGAAAAGTTCACAGTAGAAAAATATAATGGTAATAATTATGAAAAGAGATGCAAATAGAGACAAAGAGGTGATAAAATGTAAAAAGAATTTGGTGAAAGGTGAGTGTGGTTTGGAATTTAAAGGGTAGGGGTTGGGTGAATATATAGATAAATTTGTGGGTCCATTTTAGTTGAATTTATTTCCTATGTTTCCCACTTATTATTATACGTACATTGTTTTGACAGCTATTATACGTACACAAATAGTGGGAATCTAAAATAGTATTGATAATGTTATTGTTGCTTTAGTTTCAAGTGTTTCTATATATCGTCAGAGAGAATGAAAAAACAGTTTGGTTTACTCTATTATTGAAGCGTAAGAGGTTACATCATATCGTTCTTTGTTGAGTGGTTGGCGATGATGAATTCATCAAAACAAATTCTAGAGTCGGAGACTTTAAATCGTCCATTGTTTTCTTTTAAAGGTAAGATTACTATTTATATAAAGTGGACCATATAACTATATTTTCCCTTTTTTTGTCGGCAGAACTATAAGTAATCATTTATAAACTATCGAAATATATTTTCTTTCATGAATGCGATGGCGTAACAAAAGTTATACTCATTTACATAGATTATCAACTATATTAAAATTGTTATTGTAGTAACATATATGTAAATGTTCAACCAAATAGTGATGGCATGGTGGCAAAAAAATTCGATAACATACCGTTGATTCGTTCTCATTTTAATTTAAAATTTATGTATTCAGTTTGGTCATGCTTTCATCGGAATTATTCCTTGTTATTAGAAAAGAAAAAGAAAAATAGGTATATTCTATATATATAGTCTATACTTTTAAATTGTAAAAACCCAAATATAAGAAGAAATGAGCTCGAACTAAACTAATATAATCGGCCCATAATAATAGGGATAAAATGAGGTTACGAGGAAACGTGAAAAACCTAGAGAGAAAATATCGCAAAAGAAAGTCAGGCAGCCGCACGGAATGGACATGATGATGGAAACGGCCAAGGCAGAGGAGTTGGTACAGAGTAAGATGCGCCGGGAGATTACGAGTCTCGATGATGATGAGGTATGCTAATTGCATGAATGATTATCTGTTTATTTATTTACGCCTGATTTGCGATTTTGCAGCTTTGGGCAGAATTTGAACCGGAGGGAATTGATAGGGTCCTGAGTGGTGAAATCAAACCTAAGACCTTGATCACTAATTATGGTGTCCTACGATATCGTGTAAGACCCAGACCCAAAGTGGTTGTATATATATCTTGTTATAGTTACACAAGGTTGTTAAATTTCTCTTCTTTGTCAGCGATTTCCTCAGAGGGGAGCTTTGATTGCAAAGGAGATGCTCTCAGTGTTCCCGAACTCTACATACATTAAGTGGAAGTGGGGGTTTAGCAACTCACTAAAAGAGGTTGCTTCAAAGTTTTTTTTTTTTTTTTTTTCTAAGCTTCTAAACGGGTTTTGTTTATATATGAATCGTTGCAGCTCATAGGAATAGCAAAAGAGAGGGCTTGTACATCTCTCGTTCTCGCTCGGACAAACAGTGATGGATATGGTACGTGGTTAAACTCTGACGTTCCGTTCTTGCTGGATGTTATATATACCTCTAGGATCATATATATTTTTGCTTTCTTGTTTGGTTTGCAGATGAAATACGTATCGTAAGCTTGTTGAATGGTGCTGCCGCTGAGTTCAGTGTTCTTAATCTCATCCCACGGGAGGATATACCGGTACTAGCCTTTCTCTTTGTATGCACTTCCTAATTGGTCCAAATATGTAATTACTCCAAATCTGGCTCATAGTCAATTTTTCTTGCAGGATCAAGCAAGTCCCCCCATACGTCTCTATCCTGAGGTTAATATGGGATTATTTACATCTCCGGCCAGTGTTGGCGCAGCCAGGTTCAAAACTATTTCACACTAGCTAGCTACACAAAACTTTATTTGTATCTCAGTTGTAATTTACTTGTTTTTATTTTCAGATTGATCCAATCACTCTTCCCCAAGGTCACTGATTCCGGTCCAAGGAATGGTGCCTGTCGAAGGAACATTGCATTTTTCCAGAACCAAAAGGGTTGTATCCATTACCGACATTATTGGTAACCACTTTTTCTTGTCTGACTAGAAATAAAATAAAATTAATCAATCTTTTTAACTTATATATATATATTTATTTATGCACTCTCGTGGTCAGGAACCACGCTGAGGAAGTCTCCCGTGTAGGAGACGGAACAAGGGTTATGAAGGTTACCAAAAAGGTTGGGTACTTTGCCATATATATCCTATACTTTTTGCTGAGCTTATCATGTGTTGGAGATGTATGTAGCATTCTTGTTATTGATTTGGCAGGAATGTGGACCTCAATTCGTACTCATGCTAACGGCTTTAAGCAAGATAGCAGTTGAAACGGGGAGTGAAAAACGAATTTGCGTGGTAAATATCACTGCTGCAATTACATTTTGATTATTGTCTGATCTTATCAATGACTGGTTTCTCTTGACAAGGCCCTAACACAACGCATTGTTTCTCTTTTTTTTTTTTATGGAATCGCAGCCGCCGTGGATTACCCTACCCGTACCCCCGCGTATTTTAGGCTCTTAGTCGTCCCAAGTTTTTCTGCACAAAACCGAAAACCAAACTCTGGTGGAGGTTTATTTATGTTTGCAATATTAGTAAGACTAAGAATGTCAATTAGGACTGTGACATGTTAGGTCCTTGGATATTTGTATCGTCCTTTTCCAACAAACTAAAAAAGAAAATAATCCTCAACTATATATTATCAACACTTTAACCCGTTTCCTAAGTACACGTGAAAATCTATTTGAGGCTGTTTCCGGGAGCTGTGTGGACTTTTAGCTATGCGTATTACCTCAGGAGCAAGGTTCTTGCAGTGTTCACACCTGAAGGAAAACAAAATACGGATGACCAAATGACGGAGATTAAGATCATTTTATGACAGATGAGTGATGCACCATTTTGCATTGCTTCTTTGAAAGAAGAAGACTCTAACCCTTTGTTTTGTTTTGATAATCTACAATAACATACTCTCTTCGACTGTTGATCGCACAGCAAATAATGTGTGATGATCAGAATTCTTCAATGCATATTCAAAAATACTTGAAAAAGTAATTATTAATAAATTAATAAATCAATCAATATTTTAGATTATTGCTTGTTAAACCTAAACGATTATTCCTCAAATTTGAGTGATTGATTCCTGATCATTCAGCTACAATATCATATTCGAATAGTCATTACAAAGCAAATGGTGGTTTCTGTTTAATTGTTGTTATCGACAGTAAAGAATTATCAGGCGACAAATACGACAATCTTTCATTAAAATAAAAACTTAAAACGATAGTCAAAAGATAACAAAAATTAACGAAAAAAATGGATTTGATGCAAATCCACGATAGATCCTGATATGATTACATCCACTTCTGTACTATAATATATAATGCAAAAAAAGTAAACGTATTTAGGTCAGTGTTTATAATTAATTAAACGTCACAAAGACGAAAGCATTAAGCATCGTACTCTTTTATGTTTTAGTAGTTATAATATTATCGGAGTACGTCTAATGAAGCAATGAACATAGCCCTTGTCGTGGCTACTGTTCGTAAACCATATAAAGTGGTACAGAGACACACTAAACACTAGCAATTAATTAGTTTGATACGTTTTATTACTCTAATTAGTTAATAGATACTTAGGTTGATTTGATTAATCCAAATATCTAACGAGTCGTATTAGAGGTGCAACTACTAGAAATTAAAGAAAACAAAAACCCAACAGTTCCTAGAGAATAAACAAATATTGATACTTCAACTGCTTCAGTTTTACCAGCCAAAGAGAATGTTTTGTTTCAACGTTATCGAATTTGAATTCAAAACCATTACCACTTTTTTCTTAAAGATAGTCATTAACCTATAAAAACTATAATTCAAAAGACTCGTACCTTTTATTACAAGAAAAAAAAAACAATTCATAGAAATTGGCTAATGGTATCTTTATTTAATTTTACTTTACTCGGATTGTATATTATCAGGTTGTGAAATTAACCAGCTACTTTTGTTTTACATAAGTTAAAATTAAAATTATTTTGCTTTTAAGCTACTGTGTCATTGTTGCACAATAGAATAACGTTATTTACTGTATGATCGTGAGAAATACGATGTTATGGTGTGTTTGTCAAATTGTAGTTAAACCGTTTATCAAAAGAAGAAAAGAAGAAGCATCTAATAAATTAAAATTATTTAGTTTTATTATATATATATATATATATATATATATATACTCACTTTTTTTGGTCGGGTATATATATATATACTCACTGCCCATTGGGATGAGTGGGTCGGTATCAACAGAAACTACCAATAAAATTTATTAGATATTCAGGAAGAAAGTTATATATATATATATCGATCGCCAATATAATATATGCACATACTTTACGAGTACATTAGAAAATCAGCAAAAGAATAAATGATAATGCGCTTGTTCTTTTGATTCCTAAATTCGAAGGATTTATTTATTTGACGTTTTTTGGTCCCATACATGTACAGTACATGATGTACTACAAAACGTTATAAGAAAGCAGTAACTATTAAAAAAAAAGATGGTTGTTAATGGTTTAACATAGCAAACTATTGTTTGTCTTAAAAAAATAAAACTCTATTGACTATTGTTTTAAGAGTGTAATTTTCTATTATTAACGGTATATAAAAGATTAGTCAAATCATAAAACTGACTAATTTCATTCCCAACAAAGTCAACCACAATGTTATGGAGTATTCTATCTGTGTTTATTTTTTATTTTTGACATGAAACAATTTTATAAAGATTAATCCACTAAGCTGATTCTCAATCTACAGTAGTGAAAATAAAACAGTAACAATTTTTTAGTTTGGGCCTTGGCCCAAAACACCGGCCTGATCGACCTTGTGTAGTAAATAAATGTGTTAATCGGATCAACGCCACGTGCAACGATCGCAACACGTGATGAGGATGAGTGGTCACGTGCTAAAGTGGAAAGTAGCTTAGCTGTGACCGGGAGAAAAAGAGACCGGTCGAAACCCACGTGTCCCCTAAGACCATTTTCTTTTATTTTATTATTTTTTTAATGGTAAGAACATGGGATAAGTTATCCCCTTGCATATGCCCTTACACTTACTGTTATTATTTTATTTTATTTAACAAAATGTAGTAGTAGTATCTCAGTGTATTTATCAGAATATAACATTAATTACGATACTAATTCAATATACAGATATGAGAATTTATTTACCACATTGGCACTAATTCAATATACAGATATGAGAATTCAATAGCTTAAATTAGTAATTGTACAATTCCAACTATAAACCACTTACCACTGTCTGCTTTCTAACTACTACTACAAAGATTTTGTGTGTGTTTGATACATTCAATATATTTATACGAATGCGTTTTTATGTAATTTGATCATCAGTGATCTTTTTTAATTTTTTTTTAATAATGTATTGAACTTTTAAACTTCCTGACATTTGGAAAATTTCAGCAACATTTATACTTCTTATTTAAAAATATACTATTAGAGTATTAGATTAAGGCTCTGAAGGTCAAGAAATTTAAGTGTGGTTTTGTGCCTTTATTATTTTTAAAGATTTAACTTTAGATGAGTGGATCTAGAATTTTATGTTGCGCATTCCTTTGATTTTCTTTTTATAAAAAATATATTTTGGAAACAAAAAAAAATTGAACATAAAACAAAAAGAAATAGAACTTTGAATAGTGAATGTGATTATAGTTTTCTGATGAGTCATGTTTTTTTCTCATAGAATCGTACATGCTGAAGTAAATTCTTACGGTCTTTTCCAATGACATCATTAATTAGTACGTTTTTTTTTGTTTTTCTTTCGAAGGTGGATTATTATTATTTTTGCTACATTTGTTTGATCATTTATTAAACAGATATTCATAAAATAAAATTTAAAATTCGAATTGGTCACACACACCTCCAAAACATAAATATAGCCCGACATAATAAATCATCATTACTTCTATTTCAGTATTTCTATAAGAAAATAAAAATGGGACCATATGATATAAAAAAAAAAAACGAAATTAAGGATGATAAAATAGGCTTTGGCGGGATGTCTCTGTTCTTAATTAACTTAACCCTTGTCTAATACTTAAACCCCAAACACTGTACTCTCTCCTGATATTTCACCAAATTACCAACACACTTAATCACTAATCAAACCTAACCTAGTCTCTCTCTTCTTCTAAAATCCCTAATTCTTGCTTCAATCTCCATTACCCAATCTCTAGATCCGTAATGCAGTTTTAATCCCTCTGAATATATTTAGCTTACCCCAATTTGAAATTCACTGACTTTTTTTTTATTATTATTTTTATTAACTTAAGACTCAAGTGGAAAAAGCTGGAGAAGAAGAAGAAGTGAGAGATATCGTGGGTTTGAAGAAGATTGTTCATTGGTCTAGGCGTAATTGTTTGCTTCCGACAGAAGCACCCTTCAGATCCGGGAACTAGGTGATGATCCTCCACTTCATCCCCATTAATGCATAACCAATCAATCAAAGCTTTTTGCTTTTTACTTTTGTTTTGTTGCTATTTTTGTTTTCTTAAGAAGTCACGACTTGCTTCTCTGGGTAATTTTGTTCCCCATTTTTGGATTTCTTCTCTTCTAGTTACTGAATCTGGAAAATGTTGTGGAATTTATCCTAGTTTTATGGGTAAGCATGTCACTTGAATCGGATCTCTTACTCGAATTTATGTGTTTCAAGTGGATTTTAAGTTTTGGGTGTGATTGGATCTGAGGAGAGCTAGTTAGCAAGTGGGCACTTTTAGATTTTGTTTCTCTTTCGCCATTTTGCAGAAATGTCTTTGCTTTTTTTGGAATTGGTTTAGTCGGAGAGTTAGGAAGGATCGGAGGTCAAACATTGGTTATTTGTTAGATTGTGTGGTTTAGTGGATTTAGCATCTGAAGATATTGAACAGCTGAGTGATTTGGATCTAAGTTTGTATTTTGATGGTTTCATTGTTCTATGATTGTTAAATGTAGTAGTCTCTGTTGTTACTAGGATTAAACAGTTGAAGATGAGCATGGAAAAGAAAATTGAGCTCGTTTCATGTGTGTTTGCAGGTGAAGCTGTTTTGATTTTTTGAGTAAAATGTCGAGACTGGCAAAATGGAAGCTGGAGAAAGCCAAAGTCAAAGTCGTCTTTCGATTGCAGTTTCACGCTACCCATGTAAGTCAACTAACTATATTAGCTCAAAAGGTATCCTTTAGTAAATCTGCAAACATTACTCAACTAGCCTCATCAAGCTTGAAATGTAGTTTTTGCTTGTGTTCTTATGCTGTTCGTGTGCAACTATGTATCTATGGGTAGTTATATAAGATGTTAATGCTGCATTGTGATCTGATGGGTGCTTTGTTTATATTATTTTTAAGGTTCCACAAGCGGGATGGGACAAACTATTCATATCTTTCATTCCCGCTGACTCCGTAAAAGCTACAGCAAAGACAACTAAAGCACTTGTGAGAAATGGGACTTGCAAGTGGGGGGATCCAATCTATGAAACTACAAGGCTGCTTCAGGATACTAGGACCAAGCAATATGATGAAAAACTCTATAAGATTGTTGTGGCTATGGTATCATTCTACTTTTTTCCTATCTTTTCTCTTCTTTTTTTCTGACTTTTAATTTCGGAGTTAATTTATTATTCCCTTTGCATTCTTATGAGATCAGGGTACTTCTAGATCTAGTATACTTGGAGAGGCTATGATCAACCTTGCTGAATATGCTGATGCCTTAAAACCTTTTGCTGTGGTATTGCCCTTGCAAGGCTGTGATTCAGGAGCTATCTTACATGTATGGACCATTCGGCATCTTTTCTCCAACTCCCGATAAAGAGATCAACTTCCTTCTTAAGCTCAGAGATTGGTGTCTCAATACTTTGTTTTTTGTTTTCAGGTCACTATACAGCTGTTAACTTCAAAAACTGGTTTCAGAGAGTTCGAGCAGCAAAGAGAACTCAGTGAGAGGGGACCATCAACGACCCCTGACCATAGCAGCCCTGACGAATCTTCTCGTTGCAGGATTTCACCTTCTGATGAGACTCTTAGTCATGTTGATAAGGTTTGGTCTTCTTTTCCCATAAAAGCTTCATGGATGTGTCCTTTCCGGTTTTTATCCCTTTGCTCGTATTGGATCCTTGATTGTCCAATATGCTGCTAAAATAATATACTGAGTTGTGTGTAGTGTCATCTATTCATCGAACACCAACTTTTCGCAGCTAATTTTGGTGTGAGGGTGTTGACACAACTTATAATGTCAATATTTTTTTGCAGACAACTATGAGAGGGAGTTTCAAAGAAAAGTTCCGAGATAATTCTTTAGTGGAAGAAACTGTGGGGCCAAATGACCTTGATTCAGGATTGGGATTTGATGTCTCTTCAAACACATCGGGGAGCCTAAACGCTGAGAAGCATGATATATCCAGCACAAATGAAATTGACAGCCTCAAAAGTGTGGTATCTGGAGATCTGAGTGGACTTGCTCAGAGCCCGCAGAAAGATAAAGACGGTCATGAGTGGCATCATGGCTGGGGTTCAGACTATATTGGTAAGAATAGTAATTTGGGGAATGCAATAGAAGACAACAATAAGCTTAAAGGGTTCTTGGAAGACATGGAATCATCCATTAATGAGATTAAGATTGAAGTGAGTTCGCTGCAGTGCCATGCAGATGATATAGGTTCCAAAGCTCAAGATTTTTCTCAAATACTTATATCAGAGATTGGTTCTGGGGATCATTTGGTCAGAGAAGTATCTGTGCTGAAATCAGAGTGCTCAAAGTTAAAAGAAGAGATGGAGCGCTTACGTAACGTCAAATCACACGTTCTATATAATAGCAAAGACCAAGATAATGTTCCCCACAGTCTACAACTAAGATGGCTGCAAGGACTTTTAGTTGTAGAGGATAACATAAGAGAAATTCAAAACAAAGTTTGCTATGGCTACCATGACAGAGACTTAAGATTGTTCCTCTCAGACTTTGAGTCTTTGCTTGGAGTTCTACAGGATATTAAAAGGCAGATTGGCCAGCCTATATCTCACTTCAGCACAGTACCATCTGAGAAAATCACCATGACCGATAATAAAGAGAGAGGCATGTCGAAAGCAGAGCATTTTGTTTCAGCCTCTGAGGTTGACACTGATATCTATCAACCAGAACTTGATCCACTTCAATATCTTGGTATGCCTGATCTTACTTCTCGTGAACCCAATTCAGCAGATTCTGTTAGTGCCATGAGAGATAAAATACTCGAGCTTGTACGAGGGCTGGACGAGTCTAAAGCTGAACGTGATAGCCTTACCAAGAAAATGGATCAGATGGAGTGCTATTACGAATCTCTGGTCCAGGAGCTTGAGGAAACTCAAAGGCAGTTGCTAGTAGAGTTACAGAATTTAAGGACTGAACATTCCACGTGCCTCTATAGTATCTCTGGCGCTAAGGCTGAGATGGAAACGTTGCGTCACGATATGAATGAGCAAACACTAAGGTTTTCTGAGGAGAAGAAAACTTTGGATTCTTTGAATGAAGAACTGGATAAACGAGCTATGGCTGCGGAGGCAGCACTGAAAAGGGCCCGCTTGAATTATTCTATTGCTGTCAACCATTTGCAGAAGGATCTTGAATTGCTTTCATCCCAGGTTGTATCTATGTTTGAGACCAATGAGAACCTCATTAAGCAAGCCTTTCCAGAACCTCCACAAAGCTTTCACGAATGCATTCAATCAACAGATGATTCAAATCCTGAGAAACAGGACACTCGTGATGTAAAACTCACACAGTTTCAGAATGAGAAAAAGGGGATGAAGGAACGTCCTTTCAAAGGTGATATTATTCTTCTAGAAGATTTGAAGAGATCTCTTCATGTGCAAGAAAGCTTATATCAAAAAGTTGAAGAAGAACTCTATGAGATGCACTCAAGGAACTTATATCTGGAAGTATTCTCAAACATTCTACGAGAAACTTTTCTTGAAGCAAGTGTTGACATAAGGATCATGAAAGCGAAAATTGATGAACTTGGATGGCAGCTGGAGCTTTCAACAGAGGCCAAGGAAATATTGAAGCAGAGGCTAGATATTACTTTGGACGAGGTTTGCTCCCTGAATGAGGAGAAAACCACATGCATTGCCAAATGGAATGCTGTAGCTTTGCAGAATCAAAGTTTAGAGGCAAATTTGCAGAATATTACTCACGAAAACCTCATCCTTCTGCAAAAGATTGATGAACTGGAATCTGTAGTGTTGGAGTCCAAGAATTGGAAGACCAATTATGAGACATGCATTTGTGAGAAGAAAGAGCTTGCCGAGCTTATGGAGAAAGAAGCAGTGGAAAAAGCTCATTTCCGGTCAAGGCTTGCTACTGTGCAGGCTGAGTTTGATGCTGTGAGAGGTAAGTTTGATGATCTGGTAACTGCAAATGGAAATCTACAGCAGAACCTCAGTAGTCTAAAGGAGAAGTTGATAAACACATTAGGCTGCTACAATGAAAAACTCATTTCATTGCCCCTATGGGAAGAGGGAGTGGATCTTGATTTGGAGTCCCGTGATTTAACAGAGCAGCTTGATAAATTCTTGTGTAAGATATGTGAAAAATGTTTCGTCCTTATATCAGAGAATAATGAACTGATGAAAGAAAAATCCAAGACAGAGTCATATTTAAGGGCTGCTGAGTCTGATGTTATGGAGCTCAAGCATAAGCATGAGAATGATGTACAATGTCTGGTCACTAAACTAGAAGCTTCCGCTGCCCTCCTCCAGAGACTGCAGTTGGAAACTGAGTCTATCATGGACAAAATGAAGGTTATTACTGAAGCTGAGCAAAACTATGAGAGCCGACACTTGGACTTTCTTTCTCGTCTTGACTATTTTGAGAATGAAATGCATCTACTTGTGTCCAAGAATGAGGGACTTGGTCAAGAGATTAGTGAATTAAGCTCTGTAGCTGTTGAACATGGAAGAACCAAGCTGCTTGTGGAAGAACTGGCTGAGGAAAAAAATCTTGTTCTGGTTTCTCTTCAGGATAAATCTCAGGAAACTTTGGGTCTTGTGCGTGAGCTTGAAAATTTAAAGAAAACGTTTGACCATGAGTTGAGACTTGAAAGAAGCTCGAGGCAGGAACTAGAAATTAAAATGCAAGATCTTACATCTGAGTTGATCGCCAAAAGTTCTAAATTGATGAGCTTTGATGAGCAAAGCTCTGAGTTGGTCCGTCTTAAGAAAAGGGTTTCTGATCTGGAGCTGGAGAAAGCAACTCACACTCATCGTCTGACAAGATATGAAACATCTCTGAGAAGCTTGACTCGTGATTCATCATATATTTCCGATTTGGAATCTCAATTACTTGAAATGATGGAATTCTCAGTAGCAGCAGATATCCGGATTGTTTTCACAAGAACTGAATGGGAGACTTATGCTGACAAGCTTCACAAGGAACATTTTGAGGTACTGACTGCGTTCAATGACTCTCGTAATGTAGGAGCTCAGCATATGGATGCTAATATAAAGTTGTTGGCAGATCTTGACTCCGTAAAATCAGAATTGAAAATTGAGAGAAGCTTGAGAAACAGCTTAGAGAGAAGAGTTGAAGAGCTCGCCTCTGAGTTAGATGAAAAGCATTTGTTGTTGGAGAATTTTGATTTGCAGAAATCTCAAGTGGAACTTTTGGAGAAGATGGTAGCTGAGCTGGAATCTGAAAAGTCTTCTCAACGTTTGGAGTATGTTAGAAATGCTCATCGAGAGTCTTCTTCTATAGAAGAACTGTTTCAATGTCTAATGGCTACAGATGTTCAGCTTATTTTTACAAAGATCCAGTCTGAGATCTGTATCAATGACCTTGCAGAACAACTTAGCTACTGCTCTACGAGCCACCTTGAGTTACAGAAGAAGTACACTGACGTGGAATCTGCCCTTAACCATTGTCTAGTCAACGAAATGCGGTATATGGATGAAAACAATCAGTTATTGATTAGTCTTGAAGTCTTAAAGTCTGAACTAGAGTCTTCCATGGCTAAAAGTAGAGCTCTTGCTAATAGAAATGATGAAATGTCAGTTGAACTTGAAGAGCATGCAACTAGGGATGGGAATGCAGAAAGAAGTTACTCTGAGAGAAGCTTATGTGCTCCTGAGGTCGAGCAATTGAAATCTTTGTTGTTTGGGTATGAAGAAGAAATAGAAAATTTGACGGTGTTAAAAGCTGAGGCGGAAATTACAGTTGAGATACTGAAAGATAAACTAACTGGGCTTTGTGGAAAAGGTGCCGATGAGCTTGAAACACTGAAAAATAGGTGCAGTGATCTCGCTCAGAAGCTCTCTGAGCAGATTTTGAAAACAGAGGAGTTCAAAAGCTTGTCCAATCATTTGAAAGAGCTTAAGGACAATGCTGAAGCTGAATGCAATCGTGCTCGTGAAAAGGCCGACTATAAAGCCCCGCTAACTCCACAGCAGGAGTCGTTGAGAATCATTTTCATCAAAGAACAGTATGAAACCAAGCTGCAGGAACTTCAATATCAACTGAACATGTCCAAGAAGCATGGTGAGGAAATTCTGATGAAATTACAAGATGCCATTGATGAGAATGAGGCAAGGAAAAAGGCAGAATCCAGCCAATTAAAGAGAACTAAAGAGCTGGAGGATAAAATATTGGAATTGGAGGCTGATCGACAATCTGTTATCTATGATAAACGTGAGAAAACAACGGCTTATGACATGATGAAGGCAGAGTTGGATTGTTCACTATTAAGCCTTGAGTGCTGCAAAGAAGAAAAACAGAAGCTTGAAGCTATTCTGCAGCAATGCAAAGAGGAGAGTTTGAAAATGTCCAAAGAGCTAGAATCAAGGAGAGAATTAGTACAACGTTGCAGCTCTCATAAAAATATTGAGATGGAAGAAAATGATAGATTAAATATTGTGGTGTCGGACTTGGCTGACAAAAATACAATTGCAGTCTCTTCAGGCGACTTGGTGAACAATGAGCAAAGGGAAGTTGCTTGTTTGGATCCTACAGTGCGGATCATCAGTCCCAGGTCAAAAATTCAGGTAACACTCAGTTAGATCCCATTTGGATTATCATTTATTTGGTAGTAAAGAATATTCAAGTTCATGGTATCATAGACCTCATGCTAAACTAGTTCTGCTCCAACCAGTCATGTTAAAATTCTGCTGCATCTTCTTTATGATATGTCTACGTATTTCGATGTTATCTGTAGATAATTCTCTAGTTAGATATTAAGCATATTCTTTCAAATTACTTATCATGCTTATTATATTTACACCTTTTAATGGATGTTTGTTGTTCATCAGGGTGCTATTCAATCGAGCAATGTAAATGGAAACAGAGACCAATTACCTTCCGGAGAAGCAATGGCGCTGGACAAAAGTGAAGAAAGCCTAGCTTTGATCAATGATAATTTCAGGGCAGAGACTTTAAGGTCTAGCATGGATCACCTAAACAATGAGGTAATACTGGATTGACGATTAAAATTTGTTTGTATTGGATGGCAATTCTGAATTACAATATCTACATGTTGGTCAGTATCTACAGAAAGATTTTGCCTAGCGTCATTGGATATTTTTTTGTCTTCTTTACAGCTAGAACGGATGAAGAATGAGAATCTACTTCAACCTCAAGATGATAATGATTCAGACACCAGATTTCCAGGTTTGGAACAGGAGCTGATACAGTTGCGTCAGGTGCAGATGTTTACCTTGAGAGATTGTAATATATTGAAGCATGTGTGTCCAGAAGTCTTATGATCTTGTTTTCAACAGGCAAAGGAAGAACTTCAAAGTATCTTCCCTCTATCTCACGAGAATTTCAGTTGCGGAAACGCATTGGAAAGGGTTCTTGCACTGGAAATAGAACTTGCTGAAGCACTGCGTGGAAAGAAAAAATCGACCATCCATTTCCAGAGGTACACGATGCAAAAATTCTGCTATTTATTTCCGCCTTTGTAAAACCAAGATACTGCAGGAACGAGAAAGGAGTATATTTAGACGTTGAACTTATTATTCCTTTTTGCCTGAAATTGCAGTTCTTTCTTGAAGCAACACACCGATGACGAAGCAATCTTCCAGAGTTTCAGAGACATAAATAATCTAATTGAAGAAATGCTGGAGACCAAAGGCCGGTATTCGTCTATGGAGACAGAGCTTAGGGAAATGCATGACCGTTATTCTCAGCTAAGCCTCAAGTTTGCAGAGGTTGAAGGAGAGAGACAAAAGCTCATGATGACTCTGAAGAACGTAAGGGCATCGAAGAAGGCTATGCTCTTGAACCGTTCATCATCAGCAACTCTTGGTGAACATTAATGCACAGATGTTACTTACCATGTATATAAGCTCCAAGAATGTTGAATAAGTCCAAGTTCCAACAGTGGTCTCGAGTTATAGATAGCGTAATATAATGGTTGCTTATTCAGATATGGGGATCTCGAAGTATCTTCTCTGTATTGTATAGAAACTGAAAACCCTTTAATTAAAAGAATGAAAAGCTTAGTTGAGGACAAGAACACAGATATAGTGGCATGTCTTCTTCGTTACCAGTAAATCTTCTGTTATTTCACTGTTGTTGATTATACTTGTATATTATATCAAACCAGACCCAATTTAAACAGTATCTAAAAAATCTCAAAAATCTAAAATTCACATCTGTATCAACCAAATCTCGTTGAACTAAAAAAAAAAAAAAAAAAAAAAAAAATTTCTCGTTGAACTCGGATTCTTGCTCCAAACAACATGAATTCTTCGGTCTCTTCCAAGTCTCTCTTTTGTGTCGTCCCATATGACCTATATTGACACAAGTGGACACCACATAGAATTATGGTATCATCATAATGATTTATTATAATCACAAGGTATCGACAAGTGGACAAAACATAATCACAAGTAGGTAATACCTTGAGATGTTTCCAAGGAGAGCTAACAAAATGCTTCCGTACGCAAGTGATGAAACCAAACTTAGAAAACGTCCCTGCCTCCCTGGTCGGCCTTGGCAATTCCACATAATAACGCTTTCTCACTCTCATATCTACGGAAAATGAATCATAGAAAAAGCTTGACGTGCCAACCATCGGATAGTAAAGCGCTTCAAACTGAGCCTTGTTCAATGAATTCCCGATAGCTTGCCCTATAGAGCTTCCACAGATAATAGGCCGTTTCCGGTTCGCACTGCACCTGCTACATGTCTGATGTTGTAAAGGAATCCGGCAGGATCATTGTTCATGTTGATTGCGACATTATTTCTAGGAGCCGGATTTGAGCACATTGCTATGAAACATTGCAATGGGGCCCATTTTAGAAGGCTCTATATAAATTTTTTTTGTTAGATATATATGTATATTATTTATTATATATAGATTTTAAAATTGTGTGTGCCTAAAAATTTATAATTGTTATATATAATTGAATGATAAAAGAAAAATATTTGAATTCTAGATTTTTTTAATGTTACGTAAACTTTGATATTATTTTTTCGTTAATTCGTATGGAGCCCCCAATTTCGTTGGTCCGGCTCTCTCCTAATCCCAACCGTGATTTAATCATCCTTACTTTTTAGGAAAATCAAGTAATCTCCTGCATTAATTTTTTTAAAAGAGACGAAATGCGACCATCCATCAGACAGATAGTGGGAACGGCTCGTGTTGTCATAGGTATGCTAAAAGGGCCATTGACGGTTATGTAAATCGTGTATGATGTCAGTCATGTCTTCCTTCTTGAAGAAACTGCCAACTAGGAAATATTGTGTTGTGCTGAGGGAGCATCTACCACTGATATCGTAGTTTTCAAACGCTTATAACAAGTAGAAGTGATGTAACCCCGTACTGCCTCTCTTGATCTAGATGATTCTGCATTATCATCTTCAGGCGGTATGATATTCAAATCAAAACTATATGAGAAAACACCTCGTCTGTTGAAGGATCTGCCAGATACTTGAGAGAAAGAACTCGACATTTGGTTCTTGGACTATGTGCACAAAGAGTACGTACACATATTCAGTTTAGACCGGCAAGTAAGGTTGCGGTTGAGTCTTTGTCAAGGAAAGTATACGAGAAGACGATGTCCTGCTCTGAAATATGCACAATATGTTTTGATGAGTTTAAAATGGGAGAAAGAGTTGTGACCTTACCATATGGATACGAGTTTGACGATAGTTGTATCCTTGAGTGGTTTGCCAAAAATCATGTTTGTCCATTATGCCGTTTCAAGTTACCATGTGAAATTTAGATGACCTAGTACTTAGGTGACACGAGCCTTAATTAGAATTTGGTTCATTGTTTATGGATTTCAGTCCTTGCGTTTTAAAAGTAGAGTTTAAAATAAATTTGATTTTTCATTAACTCATTACGACATTACCTTTGTGGAGTTCTTTTTTCTCTCTTCTTTCTTTTCTCCTTTATTATTTTTCTTTAATCTATTTTTGTCAAAAAAAACAAAAGGAAACAATTATCTTGAATGGTCACACTTCCCGTCCCACGCAATCACGGTAAGGAACTCATCAAGGGTTCAACATATTAATAAATAATAAGGGTTGTGTAAGCTGTTGTTTTATTGTAGACAATGCACCATTTTCTCATCAAGGTGTTCTTTGGGTCATAACTGGTGTTGGCCTAAATATGTGTTTCTGTTGTGAATCTTCGTTAGAGTAGAGTACTTAAGAGTTGTTAGGAGTGATTAGAGTCTTAACTTTGAGTGGTTGCTTCTGTAAGTGAACCTAGTATCTAGAGGTAAGATGAGAGAGTAACGGTAAGTGAGTAGCTAGTAGAAGAAATCTCTTTAAGTATGTATGTAAAAAATGTTGTAATGTAAGCAAGAATGAATGAAAACTAGTTCTAAGAAAAATCACTTTACAAAAGAGTACAAGATAGACAAGAGTACAAAGCAAACTAAGAATTACAACAATGACTTATACGAAAAACCATCCTTCACGGTTAACATTTTGTCGAGCCATTTTTGATAGAAAAAAATGAAAAATAAATTAACAACCACACACATGGAACCAAATTCTGTAATGAAGATCTTTTGTTTTCAATATCTATGCCAATCATTTTGTACTGAAGGAACTTCTCAAAGCTTGTTTGAAGCTACGGAAGCTGTTGTATGAAGATCTTTTGTTTTCAATATCTATGCCAACCATTATCATGAAGGATATAAATCTCTATGATCCAATTTACTCGCAGCTACAAAATGGTACACACGCATCGATTCTTCATCGGTGGATCATTCTGCAGTTTTTCTGTGGAACAGAAAATTTCATATAATGAGATGATATGACCATGATCTCAAGTAAAATTAATTAGCACCAATCCTATGGAAAAAAACATGGAAGTTGGAATCTGAAAGCCATAGTTGCAAGCGAGTACAGAATTCAAGGAAACATATTGTTACACTGCGATAAACAGTATAACAAGGTATAGAAAATTTACCACTCTTTTTGTCTAACGTAGGAAGGCGAAGAACAACATGCATAGTAATGACCATTCCAGGAAGTTCACAAACAGGAAGCCTAGATTCAGCAAGTGTCCTATTGTTCTCCAGTATTTTCCCGGCATTGATAAGCTTCATATCATTTACAGTTTTTGGAGTATTTTCTTTATCTGTGACATAGAGAAACATTTGAAAATGCAGTTCTAACACAACCTCGAGTAGTAGTACCACAGAAAAGAGAGTAAATGCAACAGAAGATTCAAATAAGACCAAGAAACACCAAACACCTAAACCACAGAAGAAAATACAACTTGAGACATCAATCTTATACTAGTTATATAGCCAAAATCAGTTACTTAGAGTAGGCTTTATACAACAACAACTATAAATTCTCATACTTTCCAAAGTTCAACACCTAGACTAGCCATATGTACAAATCATTGCAGAAACAAGAATCAAGAAGACAAATTTTATACAAAATCAAACCCAATGGAAGTAACAAAAAATCAAACAATCAAATCAAATCAAATGAGACTCAACCATCAAAAACCGTGAAGCTGTATGACAAACAATACCTTTAGGCCATTGAGAAATGAGTTTCTCTTTAAGAGAAGAAACAGTCATAGATTGATTGTACTTGCTCGGACCTATGTCTGTGCCATCTGCTAGTCTAAACTTGAGTTCTATCCAATCATCTTCACCTGCCATATCCTTTCAATTTTCCCCAGAAAAAAAAACAAAAACCCAAAAACAAAAAAGAGAAACTTCAAAATTCTTCTCTGGGGAAAATCATCGAACACTTTACAGGCTTGATTTTTCACCAACCCAATTACAAAACCCAAAACAGAACAACAAACAACAAAAACCCAAATCAATCCTCGTGGAAATTTTCAAATCTCTATTGCTAAAAAGAAAAAAAAAACGATTTTTATTCTTTCTGACTGTGATACGTAAATATATATCGAAGCTTGCTTCAAGGAACAGATCCAAATTATGAGTGAAGAATTTTTGATAAAGAAGAGAAGTTTAGGAAGAAGAAGAAGAAGAAGAAGAAAAGAGAGACACTTTGGTTACAAGGCTGTCTTTGAGCAGCAAAACACAAATTAGGAAACTTTGTCAAGTCAGATTCTTTTTTTTATTTTCATAATCATACCTGAATCCTCAATTTGACTTTTCTACCCCTACAAATTCCCATATATATCATCAATAAAGCTGACTTTTATTATTATTAGTGACTTTACTAATCAGGATCAATATATATAGACTTGGAATTAACTTTAGATTGTTTGATAGTGATATATTTTTTATAAACAAATATTTGTAATGATGCAAATACTATTTGTTAAGTTTCTATGGGCTTCCAACTCAAAACCAATTGGCAATGAGTGGAGTGGCCCATATCCCTTTATATATTACTTAGGATCCCTTCCAATTTCCGATGTGGGACATTATGTCCTAATACGCCCCCTCGAGATGATGGCTCTTTGGCCATTAATCTCGGAATATTCGGGCTTAGATCGACGGCATCAATTTTGGGCCTTGTCGATGATTGGACCATCTTTGGGTCGGATCGGGTTGGACATGTGTGGATCGGGCTCTGATACCATGTTAAGTTCTATGGACTTCCAACTCAAAACCAATTGGCGATGAGTGGAGTGGCCCATATCCCTTTATATATTACTTAGGATCCCTTCCAACTTCCGATGTGGGACATTATGTCCTAATACGCCCCCTCGAGATGATGGCTCTTTGGCCATTAATCTCGGAATATTCGGGCTTAGATCGACGGCATCAATTTTGGGCCTTGTCGATGATTGGACCATCTTTGGGTCGGATCGGGTTGGACATGTGTGGATCGGGCTCTGATACCATGTTAAGTTTCTATGGGCTTCCAACTCAAAACCAATTGGCAATGAGTGGAGTGGCCCATATCCCTTATATATTACTTAGGATCCCTTCCAACTTCCGATGTGGGACATTATGTCCTAATACTATTAGTCAAAAACTCTGGCCATGTTGTACAATATCAAAATTGAACAAGTGGATTTCAATAATTTTGATTCCTATTAAGTGGGTATTGATACTTTCCCTTTGATATTGAACTCTTAACACCCATTAATTTTTTTAATAAAGAGAATGATTTCTTGTCTATTATTTTAATATGTTGGCATATATGCCAAATTTATATGATAAGAAGGGCAATTCTGTAATTTATGATGAGCATAAATACACAAAGAAACATATTGTATGTAACTTCGAATGTGTTAGAAAATGGCAGCCACCAACTATAGAAGGCTAACTACTTAAACTAATTAAAGATGGTTACAAGAACATCTAGTGGTGATCTAGAGGGGTAATTCAAATGAAATAATTGACTTTTATGTTTAAGAAATTTTGGTCTAATTAATGCTATAATATTTAAATTCGATTTGGTTCCAAAAAAAAAGTGACCGACGTAGAACTAAAATATCTTCACTTCCAAGTAATGAAACCAACTTTAAACCAACCTACAAGTAAAATATTCGATATTATCGGTTTTTGTTCAAGTGGAAATCATTTAAAATGAAAATTCAAATGTTCAACCATAAAAATTTCCTCCTAAACGCCAACCAAATATTATTATGAAGAAAAAATATTCGTTCGTGCATGCCACAAAAAATAACCAATACATCATTTAGATGGAATAAATAACAGGCTAGTGATATTTTGATATTCATGAAAAGAAGACTGTTTCCTTCACATCAGATTAAAGTACTATAACAAATGTCAAAAAATAATCATAGAATAGATTCGTTGAAATAAATCAAAAGCAACAACTTTCATATAGAAAACAAAGTAAGATAAAAAAAGAACAGAGTTGAAGTGTGAAATGAGAATCTAGAAATGGTTTTGCTTTATGAGCATATGATTCGTTCTAAATTCTTAAGGCATCAACGAACGATACATATCATTTTTGTCTTCTTACTTTCTTTAGGTCCACCATTGTAAACAATCAAAAGAGTTTACATAATTCAGTGCAAGGAAGAGAGATTCTAAACCGAACCGAATTTTTCCGGTTAAGCAAAAGGATTCAAGAAATGTGATCTCTCCCGGTGAAAGTTGAGATGGATTAACCAGAAAAGGATTAGGTTTCAATACCTTTTTGGGTTAAGACTGTTTCAATTGCCCTGAATCAGAGATACACCATAAGTTGCAAAATTTACCTGAAACTTTCTTTCTTTTACAAGTTTCTCTGTTACCAACTAGAGAAATATATGCAGTAGCAAACTGATGTTACAGATTCAGAACTTTTGTAACTGATTGAACTGCTAGGCAATGTAATGCTATAGTATAGTGTATATTTGCGCATGTCAAGAATATCGATAAAACAGTCGCATTATTATATATTTGTCACACAACATTTTATTGCTCAAACTTACTTTGGCAGCCAAATGCCAGAAGAATGTATCATCGAACAATTAGACGATAATATCTTTGGGAAAGCTTCAACCTTTTTTTGCTTCTGGCTGTACACAGAGATTCTCAATGTCCCACGAGAAATGGGCAAAGCTTTTGATGACTTTATATATCTATGACTTGGCAGCTAACAAGTTCTGCAGCACCAAAGTCCTTAGTTGCAATGAGTTTCCAGGTAACAGTGTCTGACTTGTTAGGTGCATTGGTCTTTTCACTCAATGACCGTGAACCCGAAACAGAACTGGAGCTAGCTGATGATGAGGAGACTGGGATGTTGGGGACATCAGCTCGTAAGACTGTAACGTTATGATTAGGGTCTCTGGTAATAAAATGAAGCTTGCCGTGAAACCCAGCAAGCAAATAAGGAGATTCTGAATCTGTTAAGTCATAAACAGGGACTTCCCCGATAACAACCTTCCAAGTATCTTCCTTTTGATCATACACTTTAATCTTCCCGTTCTCCATAGAAGAAGAAGGATCAAAAGCGTATAACTCACCATCCACCACAACACTCAGCTTTGTACCCGCTTGCCTCGCAGGCCAACCTTCACCCATACCAGACGGCATTTCAACCCAGAGATTTGTCTCGGGATCATAAACCTCTCCTCCAACATCAACAAAGAAAGGCCAAGAGTATAAACTCTGAGGAACACATAACCTACCGTTGTAGCAAGTCATTCCCGTGGCAATAGGCTTCAATAAGTCAGCCAAAAACGCATTTGGCAACACTTGTGCCTTTGAGAAAGGCATGCTCGGAACCTCTGACCAAGCATCCGTGCTTGGATCGTAAACCTCAGCTGACTGAAGCGGAGATAAACCTCCCCGTCTCCGATCAACCCCTCCAACAACATATAGTTTTTTATTCAATACACCTGTTTTGGAATAAGCCCGACTCGCCAACATAGAACTAACTTCACTCCAAGAGTTCAAAATCGGATCAAACCGCCAAACACAGCTCACTGTTTTAGACCTAGAGAGCCCACCAATAACATAAAGACAGCCATCAACCGCACCGATAGCGCACCCACAAAACGGCATTTGCTCAGAGGAGTCCTTCCTACCAAGAAAGCTCCTCACAATATCAGCAACTTTAAAACTCGGGCTTATCATATTCCACAAACCAGATAAACTCCTTCTAGCCTCTTCTTCATAAACAACAACCGGCATTGGAGGCAATCTCTGCCATTTAGTAGACACAGGATCTAAAGCATACCACAAAAGCTTATCCTCTTGACCTTTAGTCAACACATAAAGCCACTCCTCAGTCCTCCCAAGTTCTTTCCTCAAACTATAAACCTCAGAGGTCGAAACAGCCGATTTCCACCTCCGAGAAACCAACCGAACACTCGAGTAACATATTCGAGGAAGCCTAGCAAGAATCTGTATAGATAACTCATCCGGAAGACTTGGAATCAATCTACAACACTCTTCTTCATCGTTCTCTGAACATATCTTTCGCCTTTTACGAGATTCGCTTGAATACTCCACGTCCTGACTCGTTGCTTTCCTCTTGGAACAGCTCAAACTCATAACAGAACCCATTATTGATGAAATCAAGAAGAGTCACTGCACCAATCATAAATTCCCCAACAATTAGGCGAATTTAGGAATAAAAAACCAAACTTTACAATCAAAAACACATGATTAAGAAATAGGCTTGAAACACTAATCCGATACAAATAAACCCTAATTTTATTTTCTACGAATCCGACATAGATCAAAACATAAAACCTCAAGAGCTAAGTCCAATTCCAGAATCGATAAAACCTAAAAGTAATAAACTTTAAAAATGGATTTTCGAAATTAGTTCAGACAGTGAAGAGTAACAGAGAAATCAGGACATGAAAATCTCACCGAGGAAGCCAAAGATGAGAAATTGAGGAGTGGAATCTTGAGATCTTTCGTATCCACACGCATGTTTCGGATTTGTCTTTTATTTTTGGTTCAGAGAGGAATTTTGTAGTTGAATCAATTATTCACGCATTTTTTGTGTGATTTAATCGTGACCGTTGGATTGATGTGAAGTGTATCGGATTTTAGGTAAACCGGGTCTAATCATCTTCTAAGTCAACTAATAATTATGCTGGTTTAATGAAATAACAATTTGTTGACAAAATCGTTCTCTTGAATAATTCTTTTACTTTTCTAGTTTTCTTTAATTCGTTTATGATATTTGTCAAATTTTGACAAATGTTTTAACGTTAACCAATAATTATGAACCGGTTTGGTGTTTGGTTTGATCTCAGACCTCTGTTTCCCGCGCAATCCGTCCTTGAACCTTAATTTCTCTGTTTAAGTGAATGTTTTCGTGGTGGTCTGCTTTTTATTAATTAGAATTGATTTATGTTATTTGCTGAGTTTCTTCAAGATTATTTTGGTTGTTCTTTGTCACTCATGAATTACTAAGGATCATATATATATATATATGGTTCTGTTTTGTATATCAGAGCAATTTTTGTTTTTTGTTCTGTGTTGTGTGGTTCTTATATAATGCTTCAAGATATCAATCTCAACCATTATGATAGTTGGTGTAACTATGTTGATTCTTCTCCAAGTAGAAAAATTGAGTTGCAGTGACATGCCACTTCATTAATTAATCACTAACTATTATTTACACTTGCTACTTCACTAGTTTAAATGGTAACAAAAATGCATACGAATCAATGTATGCCAAGTTGCAGATAGACTGTGAATATTAATAAGACTTATTTGATTATTCCTTAGAATAAAGGATTATTTGATTATTCATGAGGTGCACTTGAGAAACAAACATAAACAAGCGTCTTGTTAAATCATAGAACAAGAAACGCTTAAGGTTTAAATAAAGGACACAATTTGGTTGGAACAAAGAAGGCACTCTTGTGGGTTCGAGAGGAAACTTTGAAAGGGCCACGGTCCATGAATCTTTTAGTTAAGTCTTGGTCTTTGCTCTTATTTTAGGAACACTAGTACAATATACTCAGTGTACCATTTGAATTATTCATATCCACATATTGCACAACTCCCATCATCTACACGAACGTATGTCTAGTTTTTTCACCTTTTAACTTGCATATTTGTTAAAACAATTCATCTTTTTTTGTTGGTGTGGGTAAAAAAAAAAAAGTGTAAGGGATGATGATAATGATGACAAATAGCTGTGGAGAGTAGTAGAACGAGAAGAAGGGGCCGACCTTGAGTTATATATAGAGCAATAGGTCCACCCAAAACCATAGGATTAATGATGATATTATAGTTTACTTTTATATTTAAGAGTAGAGTCTCGAAAGTAAAGAAACTTTGACTACAAACTTGAACATAAAATCTCTATTAACTCTATCCTATTAGCCCAATGATTCAACTACCTCCTCATCTATCCATAAACCCTTACTAAAAGTATAAAACCCTTAGAGGTAATACTTTCATTGTCAATTAAGTAAATGGCAAAATTTTGGAGAAGGTGTAGGTAAATAGAATTACAGAGATTATGTCTAAAACCCTAAGAGACAATGCTTTTATTTATTGTTAGAGATGATTCTTTATCTTTCTTGCTTAATAGGTATGAACATATGAATTAGGAAGATCCTTTCCAACAATGTTACATTTCCTTAGACAAATCTGGCTTCTCTAGCTTTTGTCTACGTCTGATGATGTAATGTGATACTGATTGAGTCGAAGTGTGTACAACTACAACAACTACAAAAATAGAAGTAGAGATGCTTTTAGAAAAAGTAGTAACTTTTTTTTTTATTGTTACCAAACCTTAAGCATCACACTTCTCTCTACCACTTGATGTCTTTATGAAATTACAGCTGTCTCTTCTTGATATGACTTGTTCTGCCACTTCCTTCTCACTCTTCTAATAATCACCCTTCTCTGTCTCTCCTCTCTCTCCACAAAATGATTGATCTATTTACTTTGATACAATCTGCATATAAATACATTTAAGTTCAGTCAAATTCATGGTTAATATTTCTTACTCTAGTCCTTAGTTTGAATTGTTTCTTGGCTTGAAGTAAAAGTAACGGTATTGAAATATGTATTACTTTCAAACCAAGTTCATAGAACTTTTCTTCGGGTACTATTCTCTATCTATGTATAATTTATATATAAACACTTGTCATATACATGGATAAGACACTCACATCATCACTCTTAATTGTTTATATGAGAATTTGGACCACATATAAGAAAAAAATAAATTTTCATGTGTACGAATGTATCATAACCACATAGATACATATCTGTCTCCATGAAGTATACAAAACTGGCATTTATCATTTGATTAATATAGTATATCATTGGCTACATCGAAACAGCTATGAATTTGCTTTCTTAACATTAGTTTCAACACTTGATGTCCAAAAATCAAGATAAAAAATAAACACAAACGCAAACAAACAACTAAAACTTCAATGAAAACGTTTTCTGTGACTTTGTTTCGAACCAAATGTATAATTTTTCATCACTGATTTTGGATCCAATTTAGAATTATACAATGGAGAAAAGGTAAATATTGAAGAAAAGGTAAATATCTCAAGATCTTAAGTGGGGGCAGTTGACCCTTAAAAGAATCAAATTAGTCTTATCACTCTCTCTTTCCACCGTCCGATTAGAAATCACTGAATCAAAGATTAAGCAGCACTTATCAATGCTTACCACCTTAATTAATTTTAATCATAACTTCTCCTTCTTGGTAGACAGGTAAATATCACACTTGTCATAGTCACTGTCGATCACTACACTCATTTACATATATAACAATAATTAAAGAAATGCTAAGGCAATACTATTTGTCATCTTGATTTTTCGAAATATTTCTTGCACAACACATAATCATATCAACTCTATTCAATGTCTTATTTTGTATGTCAATGTTCGAATAGTCAACAGTATTTTATATTACAATTTTTGATGTTCTAAAGTTATGACAAATTCGAAATAACTTTTAATGAGTTAGACAGAGAAAGAGCAGTTTATGGACCATCACACAATTAATAAGAAAACGAAACATTCTCTCATAGTAGTATTCTCTTATTTATTCTTGATCCTTCTCTAAGTTGAAAATTGGTAGAGTACTAAGAAAATGGTGGAGACTAATAGTACTTATTTTGAAAAATGATTAATATTTTTTTTTTAACGAAAAAGAATGGAGGGAAAGTCTCTTTACGAAACCGAGGTTTTTGAGTTGTCGACGCTTCCCATAGATTTCATGGTCCCCTTCTTCCACTGCCACTACTCATTTCTCTCGCACCATCCTTCTTATTATATAAACTAATACACATTCTTCATCATATCATTATCTTTTTATACATATATTAACCTACACGACTACACGTAATGGTGTTTTATTGTGGTTGCCAAAAAATATTGATGTTATATTCGGATTAGGCTCATTTGGTATAGATGAACTCGATGAGGACTTTTATTTCCATGTTCTAGCGAACCCGGTTGTGTAATACTAGTCTTTGTGGCGAACGACTACATGCATATCAACCTACTATATGATATCAATTTCTTATATGAATAAAATAAAATCCGACCAAATAATAATTTTTTAAAAATACTACTAATGGACATTCAATATTGGTAACAGAAATAAAGCAAAGTATACTCTTAGCTTAGAAGATATATATTTCACTTTTGCATTTTAATTTATTTTTTCTCCCTATTGCATTTATTATATCTACAACTTACATATCAACTCATTTATTGTTTAAATAGAGTACATAACATTCCTTTTGAGATATCCGCCGTTAAATGGGTCCGAAATACCACTTTGAAGTCTACAATTAAAAAATAAATAAATAAATTAGGATTACATTATTAATAGTTCTCAACGAATCTATCGTCGTACGATATAAATCAATCTCGATCAACTCAGTCACTAGTGCGGCATCTATATGTATAATTTCTACAATACAAAATTAAGTTGTTGACTATTTTAATATACTAATCGTTGTGCTTCTGCAATCGAGTTTTACATTGAAGAGTTCTTTTTGTTAAGGGGGAAAAAAAAAAGTAAAAATTGTTGATATAAGTTTATAGACTGATGATGACTTGCAAACATCACAGAGACCTATGTCCTAAAAAGAATTGTGAGTATGTGCATCGACCTAAAAGGATACATACAAAGAATCTCATCATTCCCATTTATTCTTTTGTGGCAAATGTTGCAAATTGTAGAAAAAGGTGGCATAAACGAAATATGAATAGGGTAAATAGAAATGATACTATTAAGTATTAATCATTTTCTTATTTTTATTTTCTTGGAGAAAAACCCACGAAATCAGTAGCTCGAGGGAGGAAAAGAGGGAAGAAGCACCTAAAAAAGTGAACACTAAAAACTCAAAATATATAAATGAATAGAAATATTAATTAAACCTCCACTCAAAAGCCCTAACATTCAATAGCTCTTTGTTTTTTATTTTACCTTTTAGCAAAGAAAGGGACCAAATGTACGTTAATAATTTATTAGGACGTTTTAGGTTGATCGTTGGAATATCTCAATATTTAATCTTTACCATGTATAAATGTCAAAGTAAATTACCTTTTGAAAAGATCTAAAGGATTTTTTACCCCCAAAAAGATCTAAAGATCTTCTATATATTAACCTACATCACACCCAAACATGTAAAAATATATTTTAGAAAACGTTACACACATTGAATGTCATACGTTTTTGATATACAGTTTAACATCAAGAGTTTAATAATGAATCCTGAAATACTAAATGAAGTTTGGGCTCATGATTGTTAGATTTTTGTTTTCTTTTTAAATTTTTGTGTTTATATTGAACAACTAGAGATTTTATTCATACAAAGAATCAATTCCTCCCAAGACCAAAAAAAAGAAAGCTCATGGAGTATCTTCTACAAAAAGAAACAAACTCATCACAATTTTCAATTTTCATATCTTCAAGTGTAAGACCGACAAAATTAAGATAGATATCATGAAACAAATTCTTGTCCAATATATATTATTTTCATCAAAAATATTTCTTCTCCATAATTTAAATTTCAATTTCTTTTCTTCTAGTACTAGAACCCATTAAAAACAAAAAAATGGAGAAAACAATTTAAAAAAATCAGACAAAACTGCCAATCATCTTTCCTCCTCAGTAGGAAACATCCATCATTGTACCCAACAATCCCTTTCACCATTAGAATCAAAAACCTCAACTTCCTTCTTCTTCTTTTCACTCTTCTTTCATCTATACACATACAAATTTTACACTCAATACACATATACATATTTTTTCACAAAAACAAAAAAAAAAAATACATACGAACTAGTATACATACATTAAATACATACACACACACCTTGGAATCTCTATATAACCTTTTTATTCTCTTCTTTCCTTTTTCCCTCTCCCCCAATTTCCTCACTCCTCTCTCTCTTAATAATCTTTTCATTGATCATCGACCAACCAAAAACAAAACAAAAATCAAAAACCCAAAAAATCAGATCTTTGAAAGCTTTTCTTTTTGAACTCAAAAAATGGATCCGTCCTCTGCAAACTCAGTGAACGGATTCTACTCATTTCTAAACAGATCAATGGAAGATCTCGAAAGAGTTTATCTTTCAAACAATTTCATGTCCGTACACTTTTTACAGAGAGCTCTCTGTCTTCTTCGTACCTCTCACTCACATCTCACTCTCTTAGTTCAAAAACTTCAACTTCCCGTCGGTGATAAATGGCTCGATGAGTATATGGACGAAAGCTCCAAACTTTGGGAAGCTTGTCTCGTCATCAAATCCGCTGTCTCCTCCGTCGAAAACTTCTCCTCCGCCGGAATTTCTATCGCGTCGACACTCGATGGTCATCACCACCACCGTCGTCTCTCTCCTCAGCTTTCTCGTCAGGTGGGTGATCGTAAAGATCGAATCTTTTTCTTGAAAGATTGAGTCTTTTAGTGTTTTTGGATCAAAGGTTTTAGCTTTTGTTGTTTTAATGGTGGTTAGGTGATAAGGGCGATATCAGGATGTAGAAGAGAAGCGATTGGGATAGAGGAAGAAAACAGAGCATTAATGGAGAATCGAGTTCAAAGGTTTCCGTTTTGGTCGGAACAAACGTCGGCGACGGCGATAGAATCGTCGACGAAGTTACAAAACGGATTCAGTGGTTTTCGCGGCGTGCTTTACGCGACTAGGAACATGAGTTCTCTTCTCCTTATGGTTTTAATGAACGGTCTCGTCTACTGTTTTCCCGGAGACGCAGCAACGCAGACGCAGATAACGCAAACGCAGAGTCAAGTCGGTGGTTTCGCCGGAGCTATGGGACGGTTACAGCAGAGAGTGGCTGCTGAGGTTGGGAGGATGGGGATAAGGAAAGGTATATTGATGCATGAGTATCGCCGGAGCAAAGCGGCGTTGGAGGAGCTAAAAGCGGAGCTGGAGCGGCGGTTCTGCGGCGGTGGCGGCGGAGGAGGAGAGAGGGAAGAGGAGGAAGAGAGGGAGTTGAGAGAGAGAGTGGAGAATCTGAAAGGGTATTTTGGTAATTTAAGGAATGGGACAGAGAGTATAGTGGCGCAAATCGATGATTTCTTCGATGAAATTGTTGAAGGAAGAAAAAAGCTTTTGGATTTCTGCAGCCATAGATGAATGAGAATATCAAAAGCTGACATTTTGTTTTTTCAGTTTACAAAAAAAAAAAAAAAAAATTGGGTAGGCTTTAGGTTTTAGATGAATCAGTTGGTAGGGAGTTGTTGTAACTTTTTTTTTTCTCATTTTTTTACTTTGTTGTTATGAGGAAAAAAAAATTTGAAAGTTGAGAATTTTGTCACTCTACTCTATTTTAGTATTTTGATGTTTATATATGTAATTCTAGAAATGGAGTGATTCTCTGAATCATATATAAAGTAAATGTCTGCTTTTCAGTTTTTGGTAGTTCAAGCCGTTGGAAGATGTTTGTTGTTCTAGAAGATGTATGTGTTTCGTTTATAGAAATGAAACATTAGATTATATTAGTTGGTGAGATATACAAAAAAGAACTGCAAGATGATATTTGAACAGTAATCCAATGCTTAAGACACAAATTAGTTTAGACGATTTCAGAAAGACTAATCGATATATAACAGATTTTTTGTGAACATTGTGTTTATACGATTTTTCTATGAATAAATCGGTAAATATTAGATTTGTCGTTGGTATATACTTCAAGCCGAAACTAAAACTAATCGAAATCGCGATAATCAAGTGAAAGTTTACTGAAAAATTTGATCAGCGACCTTCATCTAATAGTACTATATCATTAGACTACCACAACTTAAATAAAGAAAAAGGAATTGGTCAAAATGGAGTGCTTGTTGTCTCTTTGAGATAGTTGGAGAAGAAAAGTAAAATGAATGTGGCCAGGCCAATGATCAAAACTGGAAAATTGATTTGATTTGATTCACAAAGGAGGAGGTCAAGAGAGATATTAATTTGAATTGGTGATTTTGTGATGTTAATCAATGATAATGATGAAAATGGATCCTTTGTAAAGCAGATTTGTCTTTTGGCACTCTCATCTAAATATATGCTTTGGGCACACAATTTGGTGGCTTTTGTGTCAATAATTATGATTATTACCAATTTCACACCCTAAATCCATCCCCACCCACTGTTTTAAAGCACTCCTTGTTTACTTCTTTAAGTTTCTAATTCTTATTTTAATATTTGCTTTACACACAATTCACTCATCTTTGCTTTTCTCCTTTTTCTACCCAAAAAGAACAATTTTGACAAAATATTATATATTCTTTTGTCTTTGTATCTATCTATCAGTAAATCTCAACCCTCAAGAATCACTTGGTATATGTGTAATCAAGTACCAAAAGTGCCATTTCCCATTACTATTAGCTCTCTTAATTCTTGATTTCCAATAGCAAAAAAAAAGTTAAAGCAACTAGAGAACAATCATATCTAACATAGTGTAACATTTAGTTTATCAAAATATTTTAAACGTCCAAAAAAATTCATCTATAGCGGGAAAAAAATGTTCAACTATCTACTACACTCTTGTCATAATAACAATCATCATTCCAAAAATCAAACTTCACTAAGTGCATACAAGACAAGAGAATTCACATGAATGAAGTTTAAAGTTTCATCTAAGCTTTAAGAACATCATCAAGATTATTAGTAACAATTAAGAAAAGCCTTTTCCTATCTCTTTAATTTGTCTCTTTGGCCAGCTATATTTATTTCATCAAAAAACTAGGGCTTAAAAATAAATTCAATATAAGTAAATAAGATATGAATGATAGTAATAAATAATAAAATAATATAGATGAGGAGAGATGTCATTATCAAAACCAAAAAAAATTGCAGAATCTAAATATGCTTTTAGAGACTCTCACCAGAATTCCATGCTTTGCCTCCTCAGTAGGACACCAACTTTCTCAGCTGATTTACCAAATAAACATTACCACTTACACACAATGATTTAAATTCAAAAATCATAACAAAATAAACTAATTATGTATATTCCTTTTGTCACAGTTTTTTTTTGTTTTTCTCTTACATCAGAATATAATGATTTTTCTTGAAGGAAAATAGTAATGATTGAGGTCAGAAGCAAGTTTTCCTCTGGTTACAGAAATTATTTGTGTTCCCCAACATATAAACATCGTGAAAGTATATTATTCCCTTTTCTATAAAAAAAATTTCAACTGCATTATTATTACCATTTTAAAAGAACACAAAGGGATACACTAATACCCAACACAACCCCAATGTTATGTACACAAGCATTGAAGAATAAACGACCATAGCAACTCACAAAAGTTTGTTTTTCCCCCACCAAATATTGATCTAAGTTTAGCCAATTTAGGGAATGTTGACATTGTAAAATAGAGAAATGGGTGTATGGATTACCATGGCAACAAAAAATGAGAGAGAGAGATTGAGCTGGTCTCGTTCTTCAGGCTGACTCACATGTCAAAGGCAGGCATTGCAAACTGGGTAGCAAAAGCTTCGACTTGGTTCCGAAGATCTGCAATCTCTTTACAGTGATAGATGCTTTTGAGCGGTTCCTTTTGCAACTTCCCGTGTTCCCTTTGTGCAGCACTTGCTATCTGAGCAGCTCTATATAGAAACTCAGCCATTGTCTCAAATTCTGGTTCTAAACAACCTCTTGAGGTCATAGCCGGACTGCCTGATACATGAGTCCATTGTCAAGAATCAGACAACAAGAAAAAAGAACTCAAAGCACACTGAGTTTCATTCTAATTCCGAAGTGTTGAAATTTCCTTGAGAATTTAATTTGCTTACCTATTCTCACTCCTCCAGGGGAAATAACACCATTTTCGCTGAAAATGGCGACTTTGTTGACCGTGATATGGCACATCTCGCATACTTTCTCATACACCTTGCCTGAAAAGTCACAAGGCGCAAGATTTAAGTCGCCTTTGGACACAGAGCTAAACATATGCATTGTACAGACGTCAAAAAAGTGAGACTTTGACTTTGGGAAACTAGACATATAAGTTTAGTTACGATCTCAAACAAGTTTGATAAGAAATTTCAGAATGATCATTGGCCATCAAGCTAGTCATGTAGGCTATTCACAACCTAGAGAGATGAGAAATAAGAGATACACTAAGAAACTCAGACGCTGTCTCGAATAGCTTGGTAAAATTTTGCCTATAGACACATGACAAATGGTAAGCAGATGTAACACCATGGAAAGTCAGACACAGTTGCAATGCTGCCAATAGCTTATATGAGGCATTAAATCACATAGTGGGAGTAATTTCCATATCTGCTAAGCATAAGAGGAACTAATCACATACCTGTCAAGCCCAAAGGTGTTAGATCCCAGAGAAGCAAATGATTATCGGTGCCGCCTGTTATCAACTTGCACTTTCTGCTTATCAAAGCAGATGCTAAAGCCTTGGCATTTTTTTTGACCTGTCGCATGTAAAGCTTGTACTCTGGTGAAGCGGCCTGCTTGAGGGCAATGGCTAGAGCAGCTATATGGTTATTGTGAGGCCCGCCTTGCAACGATGGAAAGACAGAAAAGTTGATTTTTTCTTCAAAATCATACTGGATATTGCTCTCACAGTGATTAAGATTCATGCTTTGCTTCTTGGGCTTCAAGCCTCTCCTGTAAAATATGATGCCGCCCCTAGGTCCACGGAGAGACTTGTGTGTTGTTGAGGTAACAATATCGCAATAATCGAATGGATTTGGACTTTCCTACAACATTGACAGAAACTAAAAACGTCAAGAGAATGCCAAGAAAAGCAGGCTAAATAGATATCACTGTGTCAACACAAAGATCATGTGCATAAAACCTCCAGTTTAGTGACTAATGCCAAAGAAAAACAATCCACAACGCAATATGAAAAATGAGAATGAACATACCTTGGCAGCCACTAGACCGCTAATCTGTGCCATGTCAAACATCAAAACAGCTCCACATTTGTCTGCAATATGCCTAAACCTAGGGAATTCCCAGTCTCTCGGATATGAACTCCCACCACAAATAAGTATCTTGGGACGATAGTCAAGCGCCTTTTCCTCAAGCTTATCATAATCAATATACCCTGTACGAGGATCAACCTTATACGGAAAACTCTCAAAGAATATAGACGCACCAGAGACTTTCTTCCCACCTGGTGTGTAGTACCCATGACTCATATGACCACCTGAGGGAGAATCCAATCCCATAATTCGTTCACCGGGCATTAAAAGACCAGCGAAAACAGCGAAATTGGCGGAAGTGCACGAATAAGGCTGCACATTAACTCCCCATTTCTCATGATGAAGTCCAAAAGCTGCAAGCGCACGCTCTTGGCAAAGAATCTCAATCTGATCAATATACTGATTCCCCATATAGTATCTAGCTCCAGGCATTCCTTCCGAGTACTTATTAGTCAAATGACTACCTAAAGCTTCCATCACCGCTCTACACACGAAATTCTCAGAAGCTATAAGCTCAATACCTCTAAATTGTCTCTGCTTTTCCTTCTCCATAAACTCATGAATCTCAGGATCAGCTTCTTCAATCGACTGATTACCCCAAGCTCTAACGGCGGCTCGTCTACTTTCAATCCCTGAATCAACTACAAATCTCTTACTTGATGATGACATTGAATATGAATTCCCACCTCTACCTCGTTTCAACTTCATAGGATGACCCAAGAGAATAAATTGCTCCTCTTCTCTTTGATCATCATCATCTTCTTCATCATAATCACCAACAACATCATCTTCTTCCTCAACGACTCGGCTACACGATCCGGTAACATCGAATCTCTGCTCAAGCAACTGAAGCGGAACAGGAGGCATAGGATTAGACGAAGGACGGAAGCTAGAATCAATCTGAAGCGTGATTGAGTCATCAGCAATTGGGATTCTCGGAGGCTGAGGTAAAGCGTGGGAGCTACCGAATCCTAAAGAGAGATCTGATTGAGCAATACGGTCCATAACCAAAACCTAGAAGAACCCAATTCTACAAAATCGAGAAGCAATAGAGACAAGAGTTTTTGAAGGAGCTGATACAATGGAAACAACGAAAGCTTCTTCCTTTATGATTATCTTCAGATAGGGTTGAGGTTTCCATCCAAATTTCACAGAAACCCTAAAAGATCAAAAACCCAGAGCAATTGAATTTTGCTTCTTCGCTCGTCGGAAGCTATGGATGAGAAGAAGAGAGATTGGGGAAAGGAGAAAAAAAAAAAAGGAATAAACGAAAATGGAATTTGGAAGGGTTACCGGCTGAATAGGTGAAGACGGCTACGTGACTGATTCTAGACGCCGCGTACTTTTCAACCGGAAGTAGCCGGTGACTTATTTCGGTTTGATTTGGTTTAGTTACAATCATATGCATTTACGCGCAAACGATATGTTGCCCTTGCAAACCAAACCAATCACAAAAAAAAAACAAAATTGAAATAAATAAATTAATTAAATAATTGAAAATTTAGTTAAAACAAAATTTAATTACATGAAAATTCCAAAATATTCATTTGAACATAAGAAATAAACATCTAATTGAAATGTATAATAATTACACAAAAACTATTTGTCAAAGAAATAAATTAGTTGAATCACACGCCTCTCCTTCCGTAGTGAATACAATTTGCATGCAATCCTAATTTCTTTTTGTATCGAAACACAAAACAAATGAAATATGCAAGTACCATCTATTTCTAAGAGAGATTTGAATATATATCTATATATATTTGATTGGTTGATGACTTATTTATTAAATTAAACATGAATCTATGTTAGTAAAAAATTTATAAAATTTTATGAGAATTTTCCTAAACTGCAATTTTGAATATTTTATTTTCAAAACAAAACCAAAAAATCTTAAATTTCCAAAATATCACAAACTTGTGTGGTTCATAAAAAGAAAAACTGTTTAAGCGTTGAAAATAATAATATAATTAAATAAACTATATAAGGTTATTTAATTTGTTTTGTTGGTAGTCAAGACTCAAGAGTTCATTTCTTTGAACATCTAATTAAAATTCATAAGTGGAAGTAAATCACCTGACATATTAGATACTTTGAATTAAACAGTCAAACATGCATTTAATATCAATTTATATAGAGAGTGTTACTAATTTCTCTGCATGTAGTAACAACTTTTCTTTCCGTTATTAAAAATTATACGTCTTGAAAGTTTTCTCCTCTCTTCTCTCATCGTCTCTCTTTGTGTGCTCACAATGAAGCACAACAAAGTCTCCAAGAGACTAACTATGACATGGGTTCCTATTCTTTGCATTTCTTGCTTTTTCCTCGGAGCAATCTTCACCTCCAAGTTCTGTTTCTTTTTTGAGTTTCTTCTTCTCCTACAAAATAAATTCATGTCTTTTTGCTTTTTCATTATTTTTCTTGTTTTTGCATTTTCAGATTGCGATCGGCGTCGTCGGATTCCGGTAGCCAGCTCATTTTACAGCACCGGCGTGATCAGGAACTTAAGATTGTTACCCAAGATTATGCTCATGAGAAAGTATTTTTTCTTATAATTTTAATCTCATTGAATCTAAATTTCTCCTAAAAGTATTATTTTGGTGTTGAAAACTCATATTTTTTAATCTTTTGATTTTACCCAAAAACAGAAAAGATCACAAGAAAAAGATGTAATGGAAGAGGTTTTAAAAACCCATAAAGCAATCGAGTGAGTGAAATGATTATTATTTTTGTAAATTTAGACTTGCATGTTAATTAATTAATAATGTTTTGATGTTCATAGTCTTGTGTTGTGACAACAGATCATTGGATAAGTCAGTTTCTATGCTTCAGAAGCAGCTCTCTACTACACATACCTCTCAACAGATTGTGGATGTCTCATCAACCAATTCTTCAACAAAAGGAAACCAAAGGAACAAAGTTTTCATGGTGATTGGTATCAATACTGCATTTAGCAGTAGAAAGCGTCGCGATTCGCTTAGAGAAACTTGGATGCCTCAGGGTATTTGTGATGTCCCTCCTTCAAATCTCTGGTTCCTTTCATGCTTCATTACCTCTAATTTTATTTAGCTTTTATATGTAATCTATCACAGGGGAAAAGCTTGAGAAATTGGAAAAAGAGAAAGGAATTGTCATCAAATTCATGATTGGACACAGGTAAAGTCATGGAATATAGTGAATAAATGCAATGTAGTCTAATGTATTTTTTTAAGTAGACTAAGACTCTTACTTGAATGTGTTGGCAGTTCAACGCCAAACAGTATATTGGATAAGGAAATTGATTCAGAAGATGCTCAATACAAAGATTTCTTTAGGCTGGTTAGACCAATTCTACAATCTTGATTCTTCTAGGATTTGGTTTACGGTTTTCTTGACTTTTTTCCTTTCGGGATTTCTTTTTAACTCGATGCAGGATCATGTCGAAGGATATTACAATCTATCTGCAAAAACCAAAAGCTTCTTTTCCAGTGCAGTTGCAAAATGGGATGCTGAGTTTTATGTCAAGATTGATGATGATGTTCACGTCAATCTTGGTACCAAAATATGTTTCTAGCATAATATTATTTTTATCTTTTCTCCTTAGATTAAATTGTTGAATATCTTTGCTTTTTCAGGTACGCTTGCTTCCACATTAGCTAGTCACCGTTCTAAGCCAAGGGTCTATATTGGATGTATGAAATCTGGTCCTGTCCTTACTAAAAAGTAATAATCCCAATGTGTGGTGTTATATCAATTTTTCGAATATTCTTTTCTATTTATTTGGATTTCTTACCAGTTTTTTACCATGTAGGACGGCCAAGTACCGTGAACCCGAGTTTTGGAAATTTGGAGAAGAAGGTAACAAATATTTCCGACATGCTACGGGACAGATTTACGCCATCTCAAAGGATCTTGCCACATACATATCCAACAACCAGTAAGTGACCAACTTTGTGTTTTTTGGATTTTCAATAAGGTAAAATATGTTTTACCAAGGGAAATGATTATTAACCAAACATAACATTTGATGTTTAACTTTGCAGGCCAATTTTGCATAAGTATGCAAATGAAGATGTGACACTCGGGTCATGGTTCATCGGTCTTGAGGTTGAGCAAATCGATGATCGTAATTTCTGTTGTGGTACTCCTCCTGGTAAAATCTCTTCTTCTTCTTTTTTTAGTATGCCTTCAGAAATTAGTAAAAAAAAAGATTTTGAGTTTTTCTCATGTTTCTACTATCTTTTTTCCTCTCTTTCGCAAAGACTGTGAAATGAGGGCAGAGGCTGGAGAAATGTGTGTGGCGTCATTCGACTGGAAGTGTAGTGGAGTATGCAGATCAGTTGATAGAATGTGGATGGTTCATGTGATGTGTGGCGAAGGTGATAAAGCTGTGTGGGACGCGGATTTAAAACTCTCTTAGATCGGAGAAAGAGACAAGAGGAGATGAACATTTTGTTTTGTAAAGAATTAAAAGGTATACAAAATTAGCTTGCTGGAGAAGAAGCTGATGAAGACCTTTTAGTTCAATATTTTCTTTTCGTTTGTGGAAAAATAAAAATTAAAAAGAAAGATATGAGACTTTCTAATAGATTGCAGACGTGACAAACTTGCTTCTTATACAATTTTTCCTCAATATGATATTTCTATTTCTTAGTCATTTTTGAACATTTGAAAGCAAGAGTCTCGTATACTCTCCTATCTCTCCTGTTTCGTGATTTCGAGTCATCTAACTTGCAGCAACGACATCAGCGACCATATCAACCTCAGCAACTTGTACAACAATCACAAAACCTACAACAAACACAAATCACTTATGCAACTTTCTTAAATGTAACATCATTTACCTAAATTCTCTGTTTTTACTCTGTTTTTGTAATAATAAAACTTACTTGCATGCCATTCTCAATCGGATATCAGTGGTGCTCTGTTAGAGCTAAGAACCAATTCCAAAACTCAAAACCTTTATTAAGATAGTAGAAAACAACACGAAACCATAACTCCTAAACGTCTCTTCCCTATAAACCCCAAATCCCTCCAAACAGATGAAGTCCACAAACGAGCTTCAACCTTATATTTATAAGAAAACATAACACCAAACAAAACAAAAAAGGAAAAGAAACAAATGATGTTGTGTTTCCTTTTCTATACGTGAAAGATGTTCCAGTTAGGCTCTTGGATGTGCATTACGCTCTCATCAACTGGGAGTCGCATATCCTCTTCGTCTTCGGATATCATCGTCTCTTCCAATGGTAAATACTCTTCAACAATCATAGCAGGAGGAGGACGCATAGGCTTAAAGGTAATATAAATTGACAGAGCACAATCTAGATAGTTAACCAAGTAAAACATGACGTGAGTGACAAGTCTACTGAGTTCCGTCCTCGCTAAATTAACCTGAGAGACATCGAGACGTTCATCATCCTCTAAGCAATTCAGTTGTTCCCATTTATACCTCGTGTAGCTAGCCCGAAATTCTTTGGCAGGCAAAGAGAAAGCGAGTACTGGTCGACAATCTCTTATAGGATATTCCGACACTAGGATAGTCACATAGACTTTGATTCTTCCTGCGTCTTCAGGTTTAGGATTGTAGTCGATTTCATGCTTGAGGGATACTTTTTCGGCCATTACTAAGAATACGAGGTGTGTTTTTAGGGTTTCTGCTCCTTGTTGCGACGTTGTCTTCTGATTGTACTTTATATTTATAGAGGCGGTGGACTCTTGCAGGGCTTGGATCTAGGGTTCAATCTGGATTTGGTTCAGTTTTGTGTTTGGTATTAATTATACGGTTTTCTAGGGTTTTCTGTTTACAGATAATAAGGTTCAATTTGGTTCCGGTTCATATTCTAATTTTTGACAAAACATATCCTTGATTTTTTTTAAATTATGTTTTAGATCAAAATTTTATTTTCTAGCAATGGGGGTTTTATCGTCTTCCGTGGTGAAGAGGCTCTCTCTCGTCTCAGTTGAGTTGTGGAGTTTCAAGCACAGATACAAACTCTTTATTCAGGCCCGGCCCATAGCATAGGCAAATGAAGCAAAGCTTGGGTTACCATAATTTTTGAGGCATATTCTAGGTAAAAAAAATTAAGTTCTTTATAAAAGAAAATATTTTAGGCTTTTTACAAGATTAATTTTCGTTGGGTCTTTTTCAACCATGCTTGTGGAGTTTTTTGACTTAACAAAATTTTAATTAAGTATGATATTAATTTTTTTATTAGTAAGATTGTGCTTTAGAAAAAAAAACTTCTAAACAACGACCAAAAAATTTATGTGGATTGAATCAATTAGACGATTCATATTTCCTGTTGATAATGTATGTGAGACATGCGTGAGATCAGTTACAAAATCGAAAACTTGCTTTGATTACATTTACATATATGTAGTCATGTAAATGTCTAACTTTCGCAATTTCGTTCAAAGTCGGCATTGAGTATTGGTGTAAAAGGTGAGCTGCATCTGTGTTTGATATGACGCCTTCAAAAAGCACAATATAAATTATTGGTTTAGTAATAATTTACGACAAAATTTTGCCAATGAATATAGATAAAAAACGCTAGGTACCTCCAATGATAACAAGGCCATCTAACTTCAAATCTCTACAAGCTTTTAGTGCAGCGTTAACCAGGATTTGATGTGATTCTTGTCTTTAGGGAATATTCAGCGGCATATGATCTATTTAGCATACCTTTCAGAGGTATTGTTCAATGGGATGAGGTACTTTTTGATTACAAAACGAAAGAAGTGGAATTTGCGGGGGAAGATGGAGATTGGCATAAGAAAGAGATGTTTAAGGGGGTTAATATGGTAAACGTTATATCTTCACCATATTAACCCCCTTAAACATCTCTTTCTTATGCCAATCTCCATCTTCCCCCGCAAATTCCACTTCTTTCGTTTTGTAATCAAAAAGTACCTCATCCCATTGAGCAATACCTCTGAAAGATATGCTAAATAGATCATATGCAACCATCAACACTACATGGTTGCAACCAAAAAGTAATTTGTGCACCACTTGTTCGACGGATCCAGAAAAAGAATTAGTATGAGGCAAATTTTAAGTATTTGGTATATTTTAAAAAATTTAAATTTGTCAAATTATTGAAAATTGCATGACTTTTTAGAAAATATGATTTTCATTGATTTTTATATCTTTATCTATGCAAATGTTTAGAAATTATATTAGTTTTATATATCACACCAAATTTAGATTCTAAAATATTACATCAAAAAATATAATAAAAACAGAAATAATATAACTTACTAAATTTACTACATATTATTTTTATTAATATATTAAAATATAATGATCTACTTTTAGCGATTTAAAATTAATTTGGTTAAAACTGAAACCAATGAAAAAAACGTAAATAGATGTCAACATGTAAAGATAAGAAAGAAAATAAATATCATATATCATATATATTGTAAGAAATAAAAAGAAAGGTAATAATATAAAGATGTCAACCAAAAGTAAATGTGATATGGGATACTCGAACTCGTCACTCTCAACATATATAGACAACACCAATAACAAGTTGACCTGAAAACTAAATACATGTGTAATGTAAATATGGAATTATTTTAAAGTAGTATGGGGCGGACCCACGTTGAAGGTAGGTGGGGCCTGTGCCCCATACTAAATTCTATAAAGATCATAGAAGCTGTACATTCACAAAACAAATCACGTAGCTTAAATGGTTTTTAGGTTACTGTGGCCCATATCAACCCAAGTTTTTTTTTTTTTTTTTTTTTGTCGGCCAACTTATCATTTAAGATAAAACAGAAACATTACATAGTGTTCGATACATAGTTAGGAAATCCAAGAGATAACATACTCAGTTTCTTCAATTCTAGCCTTTTTTGCTAAATCATCAGCCAAGTAATTTGCATTCCTACCAACAAATTTAAACCGAAAATCATTGGTTGCAAGCGCCTTGATGTCCTCCAGGTAGTTTTGTATCACTATTGGGATCTTGGATGAGTGACATTGCATATCAGCTTTCTCTAAGCATCGCATATCAACCCAAGTTCAAGTCCCCAAGCTGCTACAATTGTAATGTTTTTTTTTTAATCATAATATAATTTAGCTAATTGAATTATATTTATTATTTATATATGTAGTGTCCTATATAAAATTATTTTTTGGATCCGCCCCGCACGTGCCCCACCCTTTGCCTACGTACATCCGCCACTTCTTCCAAAAATCTATTTATGTTTTGTGGTTTTGTTTAGTTTTTTGTCTTAAAATTATTATAGTTAAGACATTAGGCTCTAAGTAATGACATAATTATCAATTAAGACGATATATATATATATCCAAATACGAAGTTAGTGACAACGTATGATTGTATGAAGCAGAAAGTTACGTAAGTATTAACACAGTGATTAAGTGATAATAAGATGGACATATAAATAAACATAAAAAAAAAATTGAGTGTAAATATTTCTGACTTAGTGACTTGGGTATACGATATAGCCTATAGGTGATTAATGCTAAGATTATTTCATGGGCTTTTTCAACCCAAATCTACGATTTATTGAGCCTTCCCATCATTTGTTGACAATTAAAACGCTGTCGTTTTATACCTTTTAGTGACACACATGAAACCAGATACTATTTAATATTTTCTCGTTTAGTTTTCTAAAATATGATGTGGTAAAATATTGGACCAATGGCACAACATCAATGTAATCAGAAACTACGTAAACTATAAACTGCTAAGATTTAACCATGCTTGAATACAGAGGTTGGTACATAATTTGAAGTCAACGTAGCTAAGATCAATTCTCATAAAATCTTAGAAGGTCTATGTACATATCAAGAGAGTGAGGAAAACAATTATAAAAGGATACATATGAAGAGTAACCATGAAGATATAAATATTTGGATGATATAAAAAATATGAAAGATTAGGAATAGATATTTCCTTAATTAGTGATATCATTCATGATTATATTATTACAAAAGAATGATCACCTACGCAACATCCAATGTATTGCAATTTGTATGTATATTTAAATAGTGTCATGAGTCACGAGGTTTCTCGAGGAAGTGAAAGACAACATCATTAGTATTAGGATAATGCTTCTAAAGATCCTTGCTTATTTTAAAGATTACTTTTGTTATATTTATTCCACAAATTATACCTCTTTTCAATTGTTTGTAACAAACGAAAGAATTATAGAAATACAAGAATAATGAGAAAGGGATAGCTAAGGGGAGATGTCCCCTTCATGGTGGGACATTATGTTGGGATGTTAAAAAAATATTGTAAGCTCATTTTTAAAAATACACGAATGGGCACATTTGGTGGCTTTTTCAACTTCAGACAAACTTAGTCCCAAAGTTGAGACCAATCCCTAATTTCCCATTCTTCTTGTCTTCATTTGGGCCTCCATTGTCAAAATCTCACACCCCATGTGTCTGAATCCATGAAAACTACATCTTCTTTTTTAATAACAAATTTTCCTAATCGAAACCCACACTATCGTAAAATATGTTTGCACCACTCAGTTCTTATAATGCAATGTTTAAGGAAAAGCATACGTGGAGAAACACAGCTCAACCATGTTTCGAACCAATAATATATAACAAGCTTGATCGGGTATAACACCACTAAATTATAACCGTCTGACTTATTGTATCAGATTTTGTAAATGAAGAATTAATGCGACAAGTTCATATTTACTACATTATGTTGTAAGTATTGAAACTTACGACTAACATATGTATTAAACTATTGTTTCTAAGATCGAAAGAATAAAATCTTAAAGGATAACATAATTATTCACCGAGAAAGGGGGATAATGAATCATGCCTAGAATTGACTTCTAACCCTAATACATTTTCCAATAAAAAGCCTTCAAAAGGTTCATACTCAATTCTTCCTTTCAAAATTCAAAGTTCTAAAATGCTATTGATTCCATGTATAAATCGACGTACTCGTATTAAAATATGAGATCGACTTTAAAAATTTACGTCAATATTTCCAGTTTTTAGAAGACAGACATGACGACCCAAAGATTTCAACGAAAAACCCTTCTTCTCTCTCGAGCCTCAGCCGCCTAAAAGGAAAAAAAAAAAAAAATTCTAGATCGAGGCTGGATCGCGGTGGCTTCCCCAGCATCGGCTCCAGCCTCTCCATTTTAGCTTTAATCTCGTCTTTGCTTCTAGTTTCTTTGTTGGTTTGGCTTTGATTGGAGGTTCGGTTTGCCGGTTTTGGTCGGGTTTTGGAATTAGATGTGGCTTGCGATGGTTGGGTTCGCCCTTTGTTGGTGTGTCTCCAGTCGTGGCCGCCTCCTGGTTTCCCCGTTGTGGCCAATTATTTCTTGGTGAGGTCGTTTCTCTCCTTTCCCGGTGGTTGCGTTGTTTAGTTGGTTTGCTTGCAGAACTTTTGGCTTGCGTATGGGGAGTCTTTTTGGTTGTTTTGAGTTTCGATTTTGGATTTGTGGAAGCGGTAGTTTCAGGAAGATTTGGGTTGTGTGGTTACGGAGAAGATGTTAGTAATTCCGGTTCTGGTAGTTCTACGGTGTGGCTCGATTAATAAGGTATCTTCTTTGCTTGATCCTACCCTTGTTCTGTTCCCGTTCTTGTGCATCTCATCGTTTTGAAGCCGTTAGTGTTGCCTGGCTGTGTTTGCGTTTTATCCGCCCAGCCTTTGCCTTTCCTCTCCTCCTTGGTCTACTCGCCCAGCCTTTGATTCCCATAAGGCTCGGTCCCTTTCTAAGCATAGGCTTCGTTTTGTTTGGTGATATGTTAGTCTTCAAGGGTTGCTTTTGGCTCTTCTCTTTGTTGTGGTTCGCTGTGGTTGATAGTTGTCTCGTTCCAGCTCGGTTGAGCTTGGTTTTTTCGAGAGGTTAGGCTACGCTCCTTGTCCTTGCGTTGCAGGCCGGTTTGACCTGATCGCGTTTTTAAAGCTTCTACCTAGACGATAAAAAGACGCTGAGTCGTCGTCGTCGCATCCGGAAGCGTGTTCGAGTCTTTGCTTGCCGGGTTATGATAGCTTTGGTTCTGGTTTCGAGAGATTGGCTCTCACTATGATAGGAGGTGGTTGATGTTATCTTCGGATTGGTTTTGGGCGTCCTTGGTAAGTCTCTTCTACAGGTGCTTCAGATGAAGAGTTCTTTTTGCTTCTTGAGTCTAATATGTGTCTTAAGGTTTTAGCCTAGTTGTTTATGTTTTTAGTTTAAGGGTTCGTCCTCTTTCGTTTTGCTTTGAGTTTTTCTGCATTATGTTTTAGTACCTTCAGTTTCCATTCTATAGGGCTTAGACTCCGGGGATTTCTCGTTTTCCTCCGGCTAATGACTCCGAAGACTTCCACTGCGTCTGTCGGCTTTAGTTTCCCTATTTTGGGCTTTTGTTTCCGGGGATATTCAGTTTTTCTGTCGGTTTATGTAATCTCAAAATGTATCCTTCGAGTTTTTATAAATAAAATCAGATGACCAAAAAAAAAAAGAAGACAGACATGACATAATAAACAAGACGTTGGAGATCAGCCGGTGAGACAAAAGATCTTACTACTGTATATTTGGTAATGTCTTTGACCAACGCAGTAAAATGGAATAAACAAATACTATAACTTTCTTAAGAAAATTGGTAATCTTTATGTTATTAAAGAAAGGAATATTAGGCATGCAACGATTTGACAGACACCTACAAGCTACTCTTTAACCTCTGCCCTTTTCATACTCTCTCATTTCAGACTCTCTCTGATTAAGGGAATTAAAATTAAACTCTCTTTTTTTCTCACTAATGATAAAACAAGCTCTTAACATTAAAAACGAAAAAAACACTCTTTCAAAAAAGTAAAAATGGAATTGGTCCCAATAATTCTATTACAAAAGGATTAAACTTTGAGTAAGATTACAATGTCTATGAAATTTGTCAGGATGTCTTAAACAAAGACTAATATTAATTTATTACTTTGGGAGTTTGGACACTAGAATCTGAGAGAATGGGAAGATGATGACATGTTAGTTAATTGCGCTTAAACCAATAAGTTGAAAATTTTAAATACTTAATTATTATGACTTTTGTTACTTGCTTCTCTACCCCTATTGGTAGGATTTCATCTTATTTACTTATTTCAAATTCCAAATTGGTATAATCTATTAATATCTAGACATTGTAGTTCTTAGATAGTATGTCAGCTTTTAACATCTAGTGGATCTGTGAATAGGATATCATGTGACTCATGTCTATATGTTGTTTATTAATTAATGGGATTAATTACTTTTGCTGATGTACATTAACATGTTCTTTTGCAACAAGAGTTGTTTATAATTACCAATGAAAGCAATAATATGGACTGTACAAAGTATTAAACTTAAATTAAAAAAAACAATAATTGTCTACTATATATTTACTTCAGAAAGAAAACATCTAAATTTTCTTTTAATAAAAACATTCCTTTCAAGATTAACCAAGATACAATATATCATGTAAAGTCTGAAGAAAAGCAACTTTGAAAATTTAGAGAATTATCGATGATGTAATATGGATTGTTGATTAGATTAAAAAACAAATCCAAGTGTAGTTAAATGAATTATAGATAACCAAACCGTTTCAGCCTTCTAAGACTTTTAATTTTGTTAAAGATCTCAAACAATAATTTGAATAAGAGTCATATACTTTGTGAAGCTATCACATATGAAAACTAGACTTAGAGAGAGATTTAAGAGAACATTTTCGAAAAGATTTCTTAAAGAAGAAAAAAGAATGCAAGGAAAAGACATGTGGTGTTCTAGTTTAGCTTTCTCTACTTTTCATGAAACCAACCCCAATTCAACTCTTCCTTCTTTGACCATCTACTATTTTACTAATCAACTATTTCGTTTTTACTGTTTACCATTGACATTGCTTTAGGTACATAGAGTATGAAACTCGTAAAGTTGCATTGAAAGAAAAAAAACAACAACAAAATAATGGACCCCTTAACTTTGTATAGTTAGAGGGATCCTATGAGAATATGGGATTATTAAGAGAGTAAATTAATGCTATTACTTTCTTTCTTTTTTTTACTTGTACACTTTACTTTATTCCACATTTACGGAATTTTCAAACCTTTTTTTTTTCATTTCCTTGTAATTTTTTTTGTCTGCCTATATGTACTAAAAACTTTCACAATCTATATTCACATATATTAAATTATATATAAACGGCTCACCACAAAAATAAATAAAGCCCCTCCCCAACCCAAAACTTGATTGATCATCTCAAAAATATATGTAAATAAAATTCCCAAATCGCCTTTCTTCTATCTTTGAGATTTACCTTTTTACCCATCTCGGCGCAGCTTTCTTCACATTTCCGTAGAGCAAAAAGCCGAGAATGTTAGTTAAAATTCTTAGCCTTCTTTATCTTTAGCCGTCTTCAATGAAGATCCTACTGATGAAGTCTCTGAACCTCTTTGAATAGAGCTTAGGATCAACAGCTGAGATTGAAGCAGGATCGGCTTGTAGTGACTTATACGCATGCTCGATCTTTTTGGTTATGTCGTAGTCTTGCAAAATGTCAATGACTCCAAAGTAGAGAACCACTTCGTACATCTCACCGTGAGATGGATAAGACGCTCCTCCTGATGAATACTGATCGAAATCGCTTCTCCGGGCCATTCGTTCAGCTCTTGCTGGCATGTTTGCGCCTAATCTGATAGATGGTTTCCTGTTAACACAAGATTGAATATTAAGCAAAAAATTGATGAATCATGAATTGATTGATTCTTTTCTAGCAAACAGGACCACATGACTTGTTTTCACACTCCCCACAAGATTGCCAAGCAGATTTAATCATTCCTACATTCAATAATACTAATCCGAAATTGCCTCAACCACTCCATGTCTCAATGGCTATGAATGCAAAAAGCTTCTTCTGTGAAGTCAACTTCTTAACATTAAAAATGAAACCCGGATCAATGATTGTTACCTGCCAGCTAAAATCCGGTCCATGTCTTGAAGTTCAGCCTCTAGGAAGCGACAACCGCGCATGAATTTCTCATTCTGATAAGAATCTATCCTACCTGCACAAGATATTGACATAAATCTCACGATAGGTCGACTTCAGTGGGGGGGACACAGATAGAGAATGATGTCTAAATTACCAGATCTCAAAACGAATGGAGAAAGCCCCATCTTTTCTCCTGTGTTGTCATCACGGAAGTGAACACCAACTAAAAGGCTATAATCCATTATCCTCTCGGCTTCCAAGAACTCACAGTCGCGTTTTATTTGCCTGATAATGAATATCGATCAGTGTTAGACACATGTTTATGTTGCTGAATACTTTGCATAAGCAAAAAAATACTGAGAAGCATGGAGCTTACTTCATAAGCTCTTGATACCAGTTTCTCTGAAGACGGAAAGCAAAATTGAGATCAAGGTCCTTGAGAGTCGTGGTCTCATCAATTTCTCCTTCAGGCTTTGCAGTACTACGTCCATGAGAAGACCCTTTGAGGTCAAACCGTCTCTGGATTCTATACTCGGAGCAGAATAAGTTGCCCATGACGATAAACCGAGTCTGATAAAAAATGGTAAAGAAAACAGTAAATTTTCTTGACACTAAGAGACCCATGAAGCTTTAGATGAACAAACACATACCTTTTGGCCACCAACAGGTTTGACACAATGAACACCGTAGAATCTAGTCACAAGGGAGTTTTCGTATTGGCAGACATGTTTGTAGTAACTTGGAAGCATTCTTAGAAGAACCTGGATAGAAGAAGACAAACGCTTCAGGTCAAATTTCATTAGCTAATCACAGACTTAGTGGAGTTTATGATTGAGAAAGTAATGTGAAAGCAAAGAAACAAACAAACAAAAGGGTGTCCCATCCGCTAATCAAGTAAATTAACTTGAACAGACAAGCATTTTCAAAGATGACAAGAGACAGGTCAAAAACAAGAAGAGGCAACAACTACTAACCTTGACTTCTGATTTCTTCACCGTTTTGATCATAAATCTATCATCTTGAGTTAGGTAAAAAAAGCTTCCACTCTTTCCAGGTGAAGATAGTTCGCGGAGAGCATCATTTCCACATATAGCTAACATATACTCAGCTGGATCCACTTGGAAAAGCTCCCTGAGACGTCTACAAACAAAATTTCCCCAAAAAGAAACACAATTCATCACAAATAGATTCACAATCTTATCAACTAGATCCAGATTTGGGTATAGCCACATCATCAAACCTAAACGCATTCAGCAATTTGCTAAATTGAAACACTTTTTAAAAAAAAAGTTAAAAAGTTACCTGAACACCAAAGGGCAATAATCCTTCCACCGGAAATCCACTGACTGATGCGGCGGTGTGGTCTTAGTCCCTTCCGGTGGAAACCTTGTCCAAAATTTCTCCTTTGGATCAAAATCATTCTGTTTAAGATCACGAACAATCGAAGCATGTTTGCCGACAGAATACCTAATCCAATCACACACAACCTTCGTTAGAAACAACAGAGAAAAAGCCATCACACACAAACAAACAAACAAAAACACCAAATTTGAGAAATTTACCTGATTCCCAATTGCAAATTCAGCATCAAATCATATTTCTTATGACCTTTAGATATAGTCTCTCCAGGTTTCTTAGCCTCACCATCAAACCAACAAGGATTCTTCTTAAACTGCCTAAACCCATCACGATCCACAGAGATCCTATCTCTATAAATCATAGAAGCTTCAACATTATCAATAATATCACAAGTGATATCCCCAGCTTCACCATCAGATTCCCAAATACAGATTCTTGGAAAAACTTTCTCACCTCCCAAACTCCCAGCTCCACTATCAACAGAAGATCTCTTCCTATTCCCCACAATCAAATCATTCTTCTCAACACCATTAAAAAAACTCCTCATAATCTTACTCTCATTCCAAGCACCAACACAAGAACTTCCATCATTCCAAGTAAACACACCACTTCCTTTAGGAATCCCATTCTCCCACAAACCCTCATATCGATTCCCATTAGGCCAAACAAGTAAACCTTTCCCAGAAATCACACCGCTACGCCACTCTCCAGTATACTGATTCCCATTTCTCCAAACATACCTACCTCTACCATCTTGTAGATTCCTTCTCCAAGTACCTTCATAGAAATCTCCATTTGCATAACGCTTTTGTCCATGACCATGTTTCCTATCAGCAACCCAAGTACCCCTATAAGTATCTCCATCAGCTCCAGTGAAAGTACCAAAACCTTCCATTCTCCCAGATTTGAATTCACCTTCGTAAGTAGCTCCACTTGGCCATGAGAATTTCCCTTTCCCTGAAGCTTTACCTCGTTTCCAGTCACCTTCATACATGCACCCATCTTTCCATAGATACTTCCCGGATCCATGTGGAAACCCGCCGGAGAAGCTTCCGATGTAGAGATCTCCGTTCGGTAGCGGCTTCTCAACATCCAGTAAAGGCGTGGGAGTCACGCGCCGAGTCGTTCCTTGAGATCTCGATCTCACCATTTGAGTAGATTGAGCTAACAACACCAAACCGTCTCGTCTCTCTTCTTCCTCCTCTTCACCAAAACGCAGATTCTTCTTCTTCTTCTTCTCAACGACGTTTCTGCTTAAAATGACTTCACTAGCTTCTTCTTCTTCGTCTTCTTCTGATTCACTCATCAGAGAAGAATCTTCACTCCACTCCTCGACTCACAATGTTCTTCAATCCCAGAAAAAGTCATTCGCTTGAAATCTAGGATTTTTACAGAATCCGCCGTAGAAAAACTCAATGGAGAGAAGAAATACACATTTTTCCGGCGACTCACCACCGGAATTTCAAATGGGTTGAAAAAAGATGGAAACTTTTTGTTGATTAAAGATTTTCACAAGTTTTCTAAATCTGAGAAGAAACCTTGTGAGAATTTGTACAAACGCTACAAGAACATCAAAAAGAAGAAAAGTGGTAATAAACAGAGACAGCACTCAGAAGGGAGATACAGCAAAAAATAAAAACACACTGAAATGTTTTAATTTATAAATAAATTTTGTAAACCAAAAAATTAATTAGGAAAGAAAGAGAAAGTATTGGGAAGCGGACACAAAAAGCCCACCAGCCCGAAAAAGAAACCACAATATTATTAAAATTTGAAAACGACACCGTAGTGTAAACATACTCGAGATTGTTTCGAATTTGTCTTTGTATAATTTAAAGCGATGATGTATTATGTAGTATGGGCTACTTCATACGTTAATAGTATACAAAAACCCACGTAGAAGACCAAATGATTATTAGTTTATGGTCTACCTTTTTTTTACTTATTTATATTTTTTGTAGTAGAGATATGGTTATGATTGAGGATTATCGAGAAATCTTGATTAGGAAGCGAGTTTCCAGGTGATTGTCTTTGATGACTTACTTAATTAATTACTTTTTTTATTCTAAGAATTTTGTTCTCTTCTGTGATTAGATGATCGTTGTCTTGGTGGGTTTTATCTTTTCGAGTTTTGATTCTCTTCCTACTTGCGATGATTTATTAATTTAAATTATACTTATATTCCCATACGGATAGTGATAGATACACAAGCCTGCTTGTGGATACTAGTATTGGAAATTATAAAGTTGTATTTCTTTGTTTTTTTTTAATTACATTTTATGTTGTTGATATTGATGGTGCTAAAGGTTTACATTTAAAGTTGAGTTTTGTGTCCATCAATTGTAAATTACAATTTTTTTTATTTGATATAATCAAATTTTACAGTTCGGTAGTATCAGATAAATAGACATATTAATAGGTTCGTGTACTTTGATTAGAAGTGCTAATTGGACATGATTGTGATTCAAATGACCACAACATCATAAAAACTAGAGTGCGACCGTGCACGTAAACTTCATAATTCACAACATCTTAACCAAAAATAAATAAATTATAAACACACCTAATACGCTAATACAACACAAATTAAGTATATATTTCTAAAATTGTACTACGTACGAGTGGTTAGTGGTTACTACAGCGGTGGTGGTTAGAGTATCAAACACATTTAGTTACCATTTAATTAAAATCTTTATAAAATAAGTACTAAGTTACAACCGCACTAACAAAATTAAAAATTTACAAGGGAACGTGGGCGTACGTAATCTGAGGTTGAACTTTTTGAAAGAATAAAAAGAAACAATTGAATCACTCAAAATGTTTTTGAAAGCTTAATTCAAGTTTGATACTAGTACTTATTTTTATATCCTCACAAAGAACCATTTAACATTTGTTTTCTTGCGTTTGTTTACGTGTTACTTAGAGCTATTCGACGCTTATTTATGTTCTTTCGTCATTACTACACCGTTTATATTTATTTCGGTACTCGAAGCCGACGTGAATGTTGGGGTGGATCCCCAGTTAAAACCTAAAAGCACTAATTAATATTTTGTCCACATCAATGAAAAATCACACGAGACGAGAAATATAATTATCAGGAATATAAAATATTGGGAAAGAGAGAGTGTATGGTTGAATGTATTTTCCCCATTCATACACCATAACGCGTTGGTACTCTACGCCATACTTTCCCATTCCATATTCAAGGCATCTCCTAACAAAATCATTACTCTTCGCTGTATAATCTTATTCATACTTCAAATCTGAAAGCTCTTGTTTCTTTTTTTTTTTTTTTTGCCGCTTTCAATTCTAAAACCCACGAGGCCACGACCTTTTTCGATTCTTAGCCATAATTTATTTTTATATATAACTTGTTTTTCATTTTTATAATGTCACAGAATACACATTTTGATTTGCAACCAAAAAAAAAAATTGCTGGTGAAATACCGACTTAATTGTCCACAAATAATCTAATCGATTTATTCAACCCACAAACTATGGTATTGGTAGTATACTCCAAATCTGATGCAAAACATCTTTGTTTTTTTGGTCAACTCCCAAATCAAGAGAATCTCTAAAATTAGTTTTACACAACATTTTATTTTATTGACAACTGATTTCGAAAGAATACATGTTTTTTTTAGTGTCTTTGGTTACTTCTTTTTGACGAAAATAAATATTGGCTTATCAAATTAGAGTGTTTAGGCAAATTAACACGAATACAGTATTACGTGTTTAATCTGCTAAGTAACGCAAGAATAATACTCGTACATATTCGACAATATTCAAAAAACTTTTTTATATATTAGTAACTCGTGGCCATTATATATGCCCATAAGGCCATAACTATGTGACGATGTTAAAAAGAAAATAAATCATAATTAAAATAACAGTCCTTATCAATAAACCTAATTGACTAAATTTCAACCTCAAAGAGGGAGGAAGGTGAGGCCAAACAGCTCCTTTTACAGTTGGACCAATAAAGCTGACCTGGCATACAAAGTGGGATCCATTTTTATGTTATTGGGCTGTCACGGCCCATCCTAAAATGTCGTCGGTTACGAAGCATCCACGACATAGACGGTGCCACATGTAGAAAAACATTTCGGCGGTCAAGATTCTATCCACGTCATCAAACTTCTGAACAGTCCACGTGTCTGTCATAGCTGGCGTCAAAGATTACGTTTTCGTCGTTTGTTTGTAGTTCACACGTGCAATGAACGCGTGCGACGGTGAACGTCGTATCAAAAATTTAATTTTAGCCGTATAAAGAATCTATCTACAAAATTTAAACCCCATAATTATTTTTATTTTTTTCAAGTGAGCCCATAATAATATAGGTTCAGATCAGATGGAGGTACTTTTCATCTTATTGGGACATCATTTCACTAACATCCAAAGATTAACAAGATTATGATGTTAGTGAAAATATTATTTTGGAAGATTGGTATGGTTAGTCATATATAACAATACTTAAGGGGGAAATTGAAAAAAATGAAAAGACTGGTGAGCGATGGCCGGTGAATCAGGTAGCCGTCCTACAACGTGGTTTGATTTTAGCAAACTCCTATCTACTCTTCACAGTTCACACTATTGAAATCCCAAATGTCACTACTACTTTATAAGAGGAGAAAGATAAACATTTGCTTATTAAAACGTGATTTCATTATTTGCTACCATTGATTATATTTATCAAGTCTTCACGTTTTTAGTTGATACTTCTTCTCTCATAAACATGTCCACAAAAGGGTAGGTTTTACTAGTTCAAAATATTGCCTTAGTACTAATGTTTTATAGTTTGATCCTACCATCATTGCGAGAAGGGTTGTTAGTTTGGAAGAAATTAAAGATTTATGCAAATGGGTAATCATTATGTCTGCTATTTAGGAAATAAATTATGATGCTTGTTGACGTGAACATATTAATTTGCAAAAATAAGCAAAGGATACACGAGAGAAGCTCAGATATTCACGTAACGATGTTTCCTCTGTTCTTATGGAGAAAACAAATGGCCATAATATAGCCTACAAGGTTGTCATTTCAACGCCGAATCTACCAAACTGTTCCATCTCTCATTATATATTTGTTTGATTATTAAGTAATTAGAATCATCATAATCTTTTTTTTCCCTGCCAGTTTTAATGCAGAGAAATATATGTAGGTTCGGTTCCGAGGTTTGCTCGAACGTAGGTGTGTACATGTATTATCGTAGGTTTCCAGTTTTAAATAACATAATCTTTGTCTCTGTTTATTCATACGTCCATATATTATTGTTTTTTTTTTGTGCAAAACCATATATTATTGTAAAAATCGATATTTTGTGATAGTGTGTCTAATGTTTTGATTTCTGGTAATTTTTTTTAATTTATTATTAAACTTTAATCGAAGTACAAAAAGTTAGATTCACAACCTGATGAAAACATAATGGATTTATTGGTAATGGTTTGAGTGTTGTGCACATCCACATGGCTTCTAGTTAGTATTACACAGTCCTAAGTACATCTTGTGGTGGGATATGAATCATATGATATCAATCTGAAGAATCAATAATTTTGATGGTTGTGTTTGTATGCGTCCATTGGGGAAATCTGCCAATATTGGTAACCAAACTTAGGTTCAATATTGGTTCTTTATTAATTCCCATAGGTTTGTCCATTTTAGTATGGGCTAGATCCAAAACTGGTCATGGACTGGGCTGTTAAAACATTTTCTCTTTGTTTTTCAATTTAATTTAAAAAATTATTTTAAAAACTAACCAAAATTCATCATGGTATTCCATCTATTTCCTATTTATTAAAAAATATAACCAAAATAAATGTCGAATTATCCTATCTATTTCGTCTAGTAATCTTTTAGAGACTCTAAATTAGAGTGCTAGTAGTTATCTTTGATGTATATAACCATGAGGTTGATGTTTGCTTAAACTTTGTATTTCTTATGGTTTGAATGAAATTCAGTATGTTTGCACCCAAAAAAAAATCCATGTGAGAGTTATTTATAAAATTTAGTTTATTAAAACAATTCTGAGATTTCTTCTCGAATTTGTTGAAAGAATTTGGTCTCTCTTCGGATTTAAAGCTGCTTCTCAAGCAAGTACAACTTAAGAGGTTTGGTTATTCTTAAGAACTCTTCAGTCTTGCTTGTAATGGAATCGCAATTAACCTACATGGCTTCTTATATATATTCTTTTTGTTTTAATGACTTCTTTATATATTTACGCATGTTGATATGATATCATGATCATGAACATTATGTAGGAATAGGGATCAATCCCAATTCCAAAATTGATTAGGAGTTATTTATTTTCTAGTCAGGGACGAAATTAATTTAAACCAAAAAGAAGTTATCAAAAGGGAAAAAATGAATAACAATTGTCGAGTCAAAAAAATAACTTGTTTAAACGCTCTATAATAATAGAACAAGAAAACAAGTCAAAGTCAAACAATATACATAACAAAAAATACATATGTCACAGCTGAGTTATATGTTCCAGGGAAGACGAAAGGTTCGGTAAAATTACATTACGGCTGAGTTATATGTTTAAGGGAAGACGAAAGGTTCGGTAAATTTACATGTCACGGCTGAGTTATATTCTCCAGGGAAGACGATAGATGGGTGTAAATTATATGTTACGGATGAGTTATATGCTTCAGGGAAGACGAAAGGTTCGGTAAATTACATGTCACGGCTGAGTTATCATTCAGGGAAGACGAAAGGTTGTGTAAATTATATGTTACGGCTGAGTTACATCACGTTACGGCTGAGTTACATCACTTTACGGCTGATTTATAATACAGATCGGAAAGCAACATTTTTTTGGAGAAGACAATATGAAATTTATTGGTCAAATAACAACAATCAAATTAAGATTCGTAAAAATATGTTTGAGGGATACATAGGAGGAAGACTAAACCGTATGAATCAAAACATAGATAGAAGTAGAAATGTCTCCAAATAGATCGATTGAGAGGAAGATTAAACGAGAGACATGTAAAATCAAAGTAAAAGAGTAGCTATTCTTGATTTCAACTCAAACCTGTAATGAATCATGTAGAATTCCATAGATCTCTTTGTTTTGGGTTTTGATTTTTGATGACTTTTTTCGTGAGCGTGGTTGCGAGTAGATCTGACGAAGCTTTTGATTTGGGACCCTATGGCAAGCGTTGTGGCTGTGAGGTCTAGGAAGATCCAGCACAATCCTGCAATTTGAAGATCTCTGTCAATGTTGTACCCAAGTTAGTTGCAGATTATTAGATCTAAAAGCTTTTCTTGGATTTGGAGACAAAAAAAAAGAGAAGAGGAGAAATGATCTAAAAGCTTTTTTTGGATTTGGAGACAAAAAAGAGAAGAGGAGAAATAACGTGAGTTTGAGGAGTGTGAGATTGGTGATGTGGATTAATGACATGGATAATCAAATTTTTATTTATTATTTTTAATTAAAAACGAATTAAAAATTATTAATTAAAAAAAACTAATGAAGGGTGTTAATTGTAATTACACAAATGCTCAAAACATATGAGTAATTTTTAGAAAATGTATGATATTCTAATAATATTCGAACTTTTGGTTAACATCTGAGTAAATATTTCTACTATTAATCTAGTAGATTAGTCCAACATCCTTATTAAACCACCTCTCGATGAAAATTAAAATAAACCAAACAAATTACATCAGAAAGATTGAATGATGATAATATAAGCAACTTCTTAATGATACACAACACCAATCCTAGTTATTGTAATTTTTGTAACTTTTTTTTATTTGTTTCTACCAAATTTATCCAAATAGAAATTGATAGAAACTAACAGATAACTAACTAATGCCACAAAAATCTTTATCAACCATTGGATTACTAGGGTGTTGGTTTTATATATTTATTGGTTATTTATGTATTAGAAAATGTAAAGCAACATTCAATTGTAAGTTTGTAACATGCATCTAACACCAATATCTTTTACTAAACTTTTGTAATTCCTTAAACACTTTAAAATGCTAATTCAAATAAAAATACATTAAACGTGATACATAGTTTAAAAAACAGTAGAGTTATAGCTTATTTTCGTAACGCATATTTTCAAAAATTTACCATTTCAAGTAAGAGAATCTTTTTAAAAATAATTTTCAATTTCATTAATTAAGAAACAATGAATTTAATAAAATGTATATTTTATTAAATTTCAATAAAGTATATATAACTAAAATAATGCCACGTAAATCATTCTCCGCCGTTCGATAATCAAATACTTTCTTGATTAAATATGTATTCAGAAAATGTTAAAACAACATTTATCTAGAAAAAAGAGAGCCTCATATGTGTAAAAATCTTCTTTCTTTCTTAATAGAGTCTTTAATTTTTACTCAATTAGCTTTGGTAATTTGTGAAAAAAACAACCAATAAGAGAAGAGCAGTTTGACTGGCCACATAGCCAATGAAATTAGCCAATGGGAAAGAGATATAGAGACCTCGTAAGAACCGCCTCCTTTGCCATTTGTATCATCTCTCTATAAAACCACTCAACCATCAACCTCTCTTTGCATGCAACAAATCACTCAAATAATTATTTTATAAACACCAAAAAAAAAAAAGACGGCAGAGAAACAATGGAACGTGGAGCTCCCTTCTCTCACTATCAGCTACCCAAATCCATCTCTGGTAATCTAAGTGGCTATTTATATATATACTTGCCTCCATATATATTTATATGCTCATGAAAATTTGGAGACTTGCTTTATAATTTTTATGAGTCTTTTCAAGAAGTAGAGGCTTTCTTTCTCGAAAATTATTTTAGATTTTGTGAAGGTTTTGAGAATGGCTCGGAGAAGGCGATTTTATACATGCATGCAAGAGTTTGATATGTGTATTGTTTCATCATGGCTGAGTCAAAGTTTGATTCAAATATTTCCATGGTGTGGTATTAATTAAACAAATCTTTCATATGTGTTCATTGAATATACCCGTGCATGCACGAAGAATGTTTTTGAGAATCATTTTTTTTCTTTTATCAAATTTATTTTTCGATTCTAAAAACGTAGAGGAGGGGATTTTATGTATTGGTTTTCTTTATTAGTTTTCTCGTTGTAACGGTTGAGTATTTTTTCTTCCGTTTCAAAATGAGATTCTCGTTTGTCTGCCCTTCTCTAAAAACATCTACGGTAAATTAGAAGACACTAAAAAAACAAAAAATTAAAAGACACTAATTTTTTTTATACTTAATAAACATTTAACTATATATAAACAGTCTTACTAGTCCCAAGTTTTACTATTCAAAATCTATTAGTAATCGTTTTTTGGACTGGTAAATTAAAATCTAAGTGAATTTTTGTCCAAAATTTTCCTTTTACTGTGTTTATTTATTCTAATGGGTGTCATTAACTTTAATCTTGTGATTCTTTTAACGTTTACCATTGGGAACCTTCACATGAAATAAATGTCTACTTTATCGAGTCATACCCTCTTCTCCGTAAATTAATTGATGTTCTTCTCCAAATTTTGAGTTTTTGGTTTTTGTAATAAACTAAACGAAAGAAATTGGAAATACGTGTTTATACTTTTATAGTTATATTTATGTTAAAATTTAAGTATTTCGAGAAGAGGAAAGATCCTTTTGACATTTTTGTTCGATAGTTATTATAAACGTAACGGCAAGAATCTGAACAGTACCTACTCAACGGGGTCCATAAGTCTAGTCAACAAATGTAGACCCCACAAACTTATCTCTTATCTTATTGGTCGGTAACAAAGAACGTGTCCCTTGATACTATTGTTTTCTACTATTCAATTCGTATCCTAAGTATTTAATTTTCATTTCCAGTTCAATTTATCTTCTTTACGTGCTCAATTATTATTTCCTAAAGATTTCAAAATCTCTCTGGATTTTCTATGAACAGAATTGAATTTGGACCAGCACAGCAACCCAAACCCAATGACCAGCTCAGTCGTCGTAGCCGACGCCAGTGACAACAACAAGGGTATCGTGGCCCAGCAGCAACCACCATGTATGGCTCGTGAACAAGACCAGTACATGCCAATCGCAAACGTCATAAGAATCATGCGTAAAATCTTACCGTCGCACGCTAAAATCTCTGACGACGCCAAAGAAACGATTCAAGAATGTGTCTCCGAGTACATAAGCTTCGTGACCGGTGAAGCCAACGAGCGTTGCCAACGTGAGCAACGTAAGACCATAACTGCTGAAGATATCCTTTGGGCTATGAGCAAGCTTGGGTTCGATAACTACGTGGATCCCCTCACCGTGTTTATTAACCGGTACCGTGAGATAGAGACCGATCGTGGGTCGGCACTTAGAGGTGAGCCACCGTCGTTGAGACAGGCCTATGGAGGAAATGGTATTGGGTTTCACGGCCCACCACATGGCCCATCTCATGGCCTACCTCCTCCTGGTCCTTATGGTTTTGGTATGTTGGACCAATCCATGGTTATGGGAGGTGGTCGGTACTACCAAAACGGGTCGTCGGGTCAGGATGAATCCAGTGCTGGTGGTGGCTCTTCGTCTTCCATTAACGGAATGTCGGCTTTTGACCAATATGGTCAGTATAAGTGAAGATGGAATAGAATTACTCTTCATTTTCATGCATTATCTATTCAAAACATGTATTTGGATAGATATTTTTATTTTTATGTCTTATCAATAACATTTCTATATAATGTTGCTTCTTTAAGGAAAAATGTTGAATTTCAATACTTTTGAGAACTGATTTATATATGCAAATGAAAATCAAAATTCAAAATGAAGCAAGTGGTCCAAATGCATTGACCACAGAAACACTTTAATAACCAAAATATATGTTTTTTGTAAGGCTCTCAAGTCTGTTGCACAAATGCACAGTGCTGGTTAAAGATTTCAAAAAAACAAAAACAAGTAAAAAAATAAAATCAGATCTTTATTAGGTTAACTAGGTTATGAACCCCGCGATATCGCGGGGAACTCATTTTCAACAAATATATTTTATTACGTTTCTGTATTAAATTATTATTATAATATATTCAAATAATTGAATTATTATATAAAATTAACTATGTCTTAAAGTTATATCGTAAATATTTTTTAAAGATATTAAAAAAAATTATGAATAAAAATGTAAAAAAAAAAATAATGATTAAAAAACACTTTTGAAACATTTTTTGTGAATATAAAATTATTTATAAGTGACAAAATAACTAATGAAGAGTTATAATATAGAGAGGAAAAATTCTAGCGGGTCAAAACCAAAAAGATATAAAAACACAACCAGAAAAATAACCGTCAACACAAAAAGTAACCGTCAATATTTTAACGAAGAGTTGCGATAAAAAGACATAACCGTAGATATTGTAACGGAAAGTTGCGATAAAAAACACAACCGAGAAAAAATAACCATCAATATTTTAACGAAAAGTAGCGATAAAAAGACACAACAAAAAAGTAAATGTCAACATTTTTACGAAAAGTTATGATAAAAAGACACATCAGAAAAAATAACTATCAATGAAAAATATAACCGTAAATATTTTAACGAAGAGTTGCGATAAAAAGACACAACCGAGAAAAAATAACAGCAAATATTTAAACGAAAAATTGCGATAAAAAGACACAAACGGAAAAAAATAACCGTCAATATTTTAACGAAGAGTTGCGATAAAAAGACACAACCGAGAAAAATAACCGTCAATATTTTAACGGAAAGTTGCGATAAAAAGACACAACCGAGAAAAAGAAACCGTCGATATTTTAACGGAAAGATACAATAAAAAGACAAAAACAAAAAAGAAACCGTCAATATTTAATTTTAACTGAAAGTTACGATAAAAAGACACAACCGAAAAAATAACCATCAATGAAAAATTGTAACCGTAAATATTTTAACAAAGAGCTAGGACAAAAAGATACAACCGAGAAAAAATAACCGTTAATATTTTAACGAAAAGTTGTGATAAAAAGACACAAACGAGAAAAGTAATGTTAATATTTTAACGGAAAGTTGCGATAAAAAGACACAACCCAAAAAATAATCGTCAACGAAAAAAAGAACCGTTAATATTTTAACGAAGAGTAGCGATAAAAATACACAATCGAGAAAAAATAACCGTCAAACTTTTAACGGAAAGTTGCGATAGAAAGACACAAACAAAAAAAATGACCATCAATATTTTAACGGAAAGTTACGATAAAAAGACACAACCGAAAAAATAACTGTCAACGAAAAAAGTAACCGTCAATATTTTAACGAAGAGTTGCGATAAAAAGATACAACCGAGAAAAAATAACTGTCAATATTTTAGCAAAAAATTGCGATAAAAAGACACAACCGAGAAAAAAATAACCGTCAATATTTTAACAGACAAAAAAAGACACAATCGAGAAAAAAATATCGTCAATATTTTAACAAAAAGTTATGATAAAAAACAGAAACGAAAAAAATAAACCGTAAATATTTTAAAAGAAAGCTGCGATAAAAAGACACAAACGAATAAAGTAACAACCAATATTTTAACGGAAAGTTTCAATAAAAAGACACAACCAAAAAAAACCCGTCAATATTTTAATGAAGAGTTGCGATAAAAAACACACCCGAAACAATAACCGTTAATATTTTAACGGAAAGTTACGATAAAGAGACACAACCGTTCAGAAGTGCAAAATACATTTATTGAGATTGTTATTTTGGTTAATAAAACCAATTTGATATGTAGTCTAATGGTTGATGTAAAAAAACTTCGTAGTATTACTAACTATACAAAAAATGCAATGAAATTATATAATGGAAAGACGTAACTTTACATGAATAAATGCAACTATAAAGATATAACTGTAAACTGAAAAGATACGACTGTAATTGAACAAATATAACCGTAAATAATTCAACGAAAATTCAAAGAGAAAATTCAATAAAAAGACATAACCGTAAAAAAATAACCGATTTAAACGAAAGGTTGCGATAAAAAGATGCAACCGTTCAGATGTGCAAATGGTATTTATTAGATTGCTATTATATATAGATTTGTTACACTCCTCCCTCTATATATTAATAACCTCCTCTCCGATATCTTCCTAATTCCAATTTTATTTCATCTAAAATCTCAAACTTTTTTTTTAATCGTTTGCTCTCAAGATTCATTCAAGAATCAAGAAATATGGATGCTCATGATCATCGTCAAGCTGCAGCACAGGAGAATCGATTTCGACTAATGAATCCAGCACTGTTCATTGTCTTGCTCACTGTCGTGCCATTTCTCTCATCCCCGGTCGGTCTCAACCCAACAAATCCACCTCCGGGGATGACTCCGGCGACGTTTCAAGCCATAAAGATAGCATCTCAGTGTTTTTATCCGTTGAGCTATCTAGGCCTCGTCTCTGCTCTCGCGGCGATAATAGTTCTGGCCGTCGACGGACCTCCGGTTCGAGCCGTGCGAGTCGCCGGCAAACTTATAAAGATCGCTCTCCTGTTTGAGATGCTTTCGTTTGGGTGCTTGAGTTTCATTAGGCTGAGTCCTAACACGTTGCTCTCTGGTCTCTGTCTTCTTCAAGTATTCGTAACGTTGGTCGTTCTCTGCTTCTGCATTCACTTCTTCAATGATCATAACTGAGACTTAGAGTTAAATGTCTGGTTCAAGTTCAATTTCCGGTTCTTCTCTGGTTATCTTTCGGTATACCTTTCCTTATGTTTGCTATTTCTAGTTCAAGTTTAATTACTCTAGCTTTTTAAGCTTTATGTAAGACTCTTTTTATGGTAATGAATCTTAAGAAAATCAAGATTTAAGTTCTTAGTCCATCAGAGCGTAAAAGTTGGCTCTGATGATGGCAATGACGAGTATTGGTTTGGTGCAGTTGGATCTTCCCGATTATTTGGAGAGGATACAGAGAGCTCAAGTAATCGCCGGAAAGTTTCTGATTGTCACTCTCATTTCACAGTCTTAGCTTGCTTGTTATGTTTTATCTTGTTCCTCCGGTAAATAGGATCCTCTATCCTCTGTTTTCTTTGCGAACGACGCCGTTTTGATTGTGATCACAAACTTTCGTTTCTTGTTGCTTTTTCTTTTTTTTGGTTTCTTTGGTTTGTACATATGAATGATTGTTGAAAACCGTTTGATATATTCAATTCAATATAAGCATAAAAGCTTGATTTAGATGCCGTACATTTATCGCAAAAACAATTGAAAGATCCAAAGGAACAAAGAGATTAACTAAATGTCATCTTTTATATATCATCTTAGGCTATATAAATTCTAAGCTCCCTTAAAACACTAGCCCAAGATTGAAAACCTTAAAATTCTAAGCTCCCTTTAACCCTTTAACTTTTTCCCCAAGTATTAGCTCATCTCTTAACACGGCAACTCAAAACGGCTCAATGGACAAACATGATCTTTCAAAAACCATTTCACAATACATCCGTCGTCAAACTCGTGGCCACATGGTAAGGTCACGACTATTTCTCCCTTTTCAAACCCCTCCAAACAAATTGCGCACATGCTGTCGTCAGAGTTGGACGTCTTCTTCTTCTTATTGTTCTTATATATTTTCCTTGCCAAACGACCAACCCCATGCTTATTTGCCGGTCTAATTAACTGGATATTATTAGTGGTCTCATCGAACGAGTCAATCCGAGGAGGAGAAGGAACAATGACTTTACAGTACATGTACAATATCGTAGCACAAACTGTAGAGTCTACCGTAATAATCGACTTACAGATTCGTTCAGTAAGTTGAGAGTTAGAAATGTCAACATATTGGTCGGAGAGCCCTGCTAAGTACAACCAATCATTCAGTTGTTTCAAGTCATTAGGGTAGGAGGATATGACGCCTTCGTAGTCATTGTACGAGAGAACGAAATTTGGTATAAGACTAATTGATGTGTCTGACCTTAGGGCACTTACGCGGATTTTGAATGATCCAGCATCTTTGAATTTAGGTTTGAGGTCGACTTAGCTGCGGAAGGATATTTCCGCTTCCATTACTATCAAAGAGAAAGAAAAAGAGTGAATCGATCTAGTATCTATTTATTGACTACCCTAAAATTGCAACGATCTAATATTTTCGGATACGAAGCGGTCGCCTAGAGGCAACTAGACGTCCCAATTTATTTTGTTTCTTTTTATTTGGGGAATTAATATGGGATAAAAAATCAGAAGTAAACTAAATATGTAACCAGAACTTCAATAAACCAATCCTACACGTTATTAAATAAAGCAAATGGAGCTCATCTAGAAACACCCTCTTTAATATCCAACATAGAACTTGTATAAACTCTGACAATGTAGAAACATATTACTATGTTAGGAAACTATTACGCCAAAGTCAACCATGGTTAGATAAACTCATAAACCCCATTCCTCTTAACATACTACAAATCCTCGAATTTTCTTCTTAGAATTTCCATTCCTTAGTCCCTTGAAAATTTTCCCTAAAAAAGTCCGATATGGATGGTGTTCGTCACCGTCCTCGACCACTTCTTATTATGATGATAGCTTTCAACATCATGTTCAACACTCTCAGACCAATTATCATCCCACCAACTGCTCTCAACGCATCATGTCCAAAACCGGAGATGATGACAATAGCGAAATTTCGTGTCAGACAAGTAACTATAAAGAGTTTTTGGGTGTTTAGTAACTCAGCGTTTGCCTTTGCTCTTGCGGCCGCATTAGTTCAAGTCTGGACGCAGAGAGGAGAAAGAGTCTCCTTTACGCTTGTGATGGTCGCTTTGCTCTGCATGTCGATTTCGAGCAAGTGCTCGATGGTTGTTAACTTGTGGCCTTCTTGGTTTATTTATGCTTCCTCTTTCATTGAAGGACTGTTACTTCTGCTAACTATTTGTCTCTATATGTGATCTCTGTTATGTTCACGGTGGATATCGTTGTGTGAGATATATAATAAGTTCATTAATATTCGATCTTTTATATGTGTGATGTGTTTTGCTCTATTGTATCATGAATGTTTGCTCTATTTTCTAAACCAAGCAGAATAAATTTTCCACGAACCAACTTGTTTAACCGGAAATATCGTGTTTAGTAACGAATGAAAATTGTGTAACCGGTATTTCACGGTGGCCAAAGAGGTCAGGTCCTTTAGTTCCAGGTCATCATCACCACTCACGCCGTTAGAAAACGTTCTGTTATTATAAACCATAGTTAATAGTTAAAATTTAACCATGGTCAAAATTAACATTAAACCCCTTTTCCTCTTTTTTAACAAACTCCAAAACCCCTTCTTCAGATTTTTCTCTATGATTTATTTTTAGTTTTGCTTTTCACAATCTTCTTCGTCTCAAATCCTGCAAGATTCCGATCGCCATGGATGATGATGGAGCTGTTGAGAGACGTGAAGTGCAACGTCGATTGATCGTTCGTTTCGCCGTCGCAGTCACGCTCGTTCTTTTCACCGGAGTCTACAAACGAGCAGCTGGTTTCAATGGTTCGGATCCAAATTTGGGAACGGAGACGACGGAGAACGAACACGATGCGTTCTATTGGGCATCAATGTTCAACAAAGCAGCTCAGATTTATTCTTTGGCCGCGACTATCCATACCCTACCTACGACGCTAATGTTGGCACTAGTGATGAGATGCCGAATATACTGCAACTGCGATACGCAGATCCTCATGTCTTTCGTCTGCTTAACGATCTCGCTCTCTCTCATGGCGTATCTTCGCTGGTGGATGAATTAGTTAGTCGCTCTTCGCTTTCTTTGTTTACTGAGACCATCGTCGATGGTTTCATTCTCTATCTTCGTCGTGGCGTGAGTAAGAATCATCCTCTGCTTTCTCTACGGAACGGTGTCGTTTAGTGAGATTATCCTGTGCTTTCTCTTTCTTCTTCTTATTTTTTCTCTGTTTCTTTGGTTTGGGATTGAATATGGTTTGTTGATAGAGATCTTGAACATGATTTTATGAAAACCATTTGATTTCTAAGTCCGAGATTTATCCGTTCATAAGATAAATTGCTTGTAGTAGTTTTAGATTTAAAAAGTTACATATATCGCATTATCTTTCATAATGATTGTACCTCATTAAGCAATTACCATAACCAATAAGATTACTGAGTATACAAAAATGTTGTGAACATCCAAATGAAATAATAATCATGAATACTAGCGTTTTTTCATACGATGATATAGTATAGCTGTATGTTTTAATCATATGTTTAGTTTTATAACTTATCTTTAAATCATTTCATGTAGCCAAACATTGAAACAATGAAGAAATCAAATATTTTATCTTACTGCACTGGGTATCATCAAACTATTTAGTCGATCCCAAAAAATAAAACCTTGCATGCAGAAAAGTTTGACGTACTTTAGAACAAGACAAAATAGACATGGCTTATTGTAAGCCGTCCGATCAATCCATCTTTCCACGTGTCATAATATAAGGTCACTAGTTACTAATTTTTTTTATATCAAATCTCAATTAATAACCATAGTTAAAAGTTAACCATGGTTCGGTTAACATTAAACCCTTTTTCCTCTTTTAAACAAACCCCAAAACCTTTCTTCAGATTTTCTCTCTGCTTTTCACAATCTTCGTCTCAATTTTTTCCTGCAAAATTCCGATCGCCATGGATGATGGAGCTGTTGAGATACGTGAAGAGAAACGTGAGAGACGTGAAGAGCAACGTCGATTGATCGTTCGATTCGTCGCCGCAGTAGCGCTCGATCTTTTCACCGGAGTCTACAAACGAGCAGCTGGTTTCGACGGTTCAGATCCAAATTCGGGAACGGAGACGACGGAGAACGAACACAGTGCGTTCTTTTGGGCAGCGATTTTCAACACAGTAGCTCATTTATTTTGTATGTTGGTGATTTTTCATATACTTTCCTCGGTGGTGGTGTTGGCAGCACGACGGATGCGAAGTCTCCGAGAAGACTGCGATCTGAAGCTTCTGTGTGGTTTCATCTGCGTAACGATCTCGCTCTGTCTCATGGCGTATCTTCGCTGGTGGGTGACTTGTTAGTCGTTCTCATCGCCGATGGTTTCAATCTCTACCTCGCCTTATGTGTTCGCTCTGTTTCTTGGGTTACCTTTCTCTGGTTCGTCGTGGAGTCAGAATCATCCTCTGCTTTTTTCGTATGGAACGGTATCGTTTTTGTGAGATCATTGCCGATGGTTATTACTCTCTTTCTTTTTTTTCTTTCTCTGTTTCTTTGGTTTGGGATTGAACATGGTTTGTTGATTACAAGTCTTGATTTTATGAATACCATTTGATATTAGAGTCCAAGATTTATCCGTTGATAACATGATTGCTCGTAACAGTTTCAGACTAAGATATCGCATTATCTTTCATAATGATTGAGCTCATAATCACTTCCAAATGGTCTGTGCAATTTCCGGAGGCATAATTTTTAATTTTAAATCACCAATTACCACTACCATTAAGATTACTGAGTACAAATGGTGTGAACATCCAAATGTATTTAAAGATCATGAATGCTAGCGTTTTTTTTATATAGCTGTAGGTTTTCATCATAGGTTACATGTTGTATATCTAAATATAATTAAACGTAGATTGATCACTAAAAATTTATAAACTATAATTGAGTCCACTGTAAAAAATATTATTGTGTAGATTGATCGCAAAATGATGATGGTAAAGATAGAAATGATCTCAATAATTAAATAAAATCTTGCATGGAGCTAGGAACCGAATTTTAAAGTCGGATTTTAGATCAAGACAAACTAGTCGTGGCTCATTTTAAGTCATCCGATACAGCAATCGTTCCACGTGTCATGAGATGGGGCAATGCTTATAAACACAAAAACCCCTTAAGCTTGAACAGATTTTCTCTCTCGACTCTTGTTTGTTTTCTTTTGTTTTCATTTTCACAATCTTCGTCTCAAATCTTGATCTTTTTCCTTGCAAGTTTCTCTCGCCATGGATGGAGTTGTTGAGATACGTGAAGAGAATCGTGACGAGGGACGTGAAGAGCTTCGTCGATTGAACGGTCGTTTCTTCGTCGCAGTGTTGCTTGAACTGTCCACAAGAGTCTGCAAACGAGCTGCTGGTTCATATCCAAATCCGACGAAGACCGGACACGTGGCGTATTCTTGGGCGATGGAGTTCAACTTGTGGGCGCATCTGGCTTTTACGCTTGTGATTTTCAGAACCATTTTTGCTCCGATGGTGGTGAAACTGGAAGGGATGAGAAAAGTACGACAAGAGTGCGACGTGCAGCTACTCGTGGGTTTAATATTTGTCGTGCTCACGCTCTCTTTCTCAGCCTACCTTCGCTGCTTCGTCGGGTGAGTGGTGTGTCTCAGTTTCTTCCACCGTTACACGTCATCAAACTCTATGGACCTGTGTCGTTTTGTGAGACCATCGCCGATGCTTATATGATCTCTCTTTCTATCTACGTACTTTTCGTTTTTTTCTTTTTCTTTGGGTTTGTGTTTTCAACATTATGGTTTCTTTGATTAGAGGTTTGAACATGATTTGGACCTGTGTCGTTTAGTGAGACCATCGCCGATGCTCTGTATCTGCTTTTCGTTTCTTTCTTTGGATTTGTGTTTTGAACATTTTGGTTTCTTGAATAAACAAGATTTTCTGAATATTAATTGATATCGTAGTTACAACTTTCAAGCTTTATCACTTCATATTTACTTTAGATAAAATGCGTAAAAGTTTATGATATTGGATTAAGACTAATCACTTGATCATTTTCTTAAAAGTTTCAAATTTTAGCTCAAAATGTTGAAGGAAGCTGCAAAATGTAGTGAACCGTTTAGATAGTTATTTGATCAAATACTAAACCATGCAAAGAGCGAAATTTTGTAACTAGTAATTCAAGAAAACATCTTTTTACAGTGACCAAAAGAGGTAAGTCCTTCGTCCACTCAATATCATCAGTCATCACCTCTAACGTTGAAACTTGTTCAACACGTACGGTTAGTATTTACCATGGTTAGAGAAAACGTACGGTTTAAAACAAACCATGGTTCATGGTTAAAATTTAACCATGGTTAGATTCTATAAACCCTTCTTCTTCCCTCTTTAACAAACTCCAAAACCTCTCACAGACAAATTTTCCCACCGTTTCAAAATCTCCATTGTTTCCTGAAAGATTCCGAGATCGCAATGGATGATGATGATGGTGGTCGTGAGAGAAGAGAAGAGACTCGTCGAGTAAACGATAGTTTCTTTCTTGCAGTTTCGCTCGCCATTTTGACCGGAATCTGCAAATTAACGATCAGCTGGTTTTGACGGTTCATATCTAACGGAGACGACGAAGAACGGGCACGTGGCGTTCTACTGCGCATCAGAGCTCAACAAGATGGCCGATCTGTGTTTTATGGTGGCGATTATCTGATTCGGTTTATCGATGCTTGGACTCACTTTTGCGCCGGTGGTGATGCGTACACTACGAGAAGAGTCGGACATCAAACTTACGGTGGGTTCTATCTGCCTACTGATTTCGCTCTGCTTCTCTGCTTATCTCCGGTTGTTCGTCGTCCGATGAGTTTGAGTTCTCCAGAATCTTCCTCTGGTTTCGATTTGGAACGGCGTTTTACTGAGATTCATCGTTGATCGTTATAATCTTTCTTTCTTTGTTTCTTTAGTTTGAAGATGAGTTTGTTGATAAAAGTTTTAACTTTGAACATGAGTTTTTGAATACCATTTGATATTGGAGTCCAAGATTTATCAATTCATAATATAAATTGGTCGTAACAGTTTCAAATGATTCGTGTGCTACAATTTCCGTCATTGATTCTTGTAAGTCGGAGTTTGTGTGAAAAGACGAGATTGCCCTTGCAATTTGTTGTGGAGATGACAATGTAGATGATCAGCTTTAGGTTGCAAAATCATCATTCTTCTTTGTTTTCTCAAGACACATGGAATAATCACAATAGCTTGAAACAAGTTTAACTTGTGAGTGGCAACATAGTACATCAAAGTCTTATTGAGAAAAATGTAAAAAGATTAGGTCATGGAAGAGTTATCCTCAGTCTCTGTGTTGGTTGTTGTTGTGGCATTTTGAGAGTCTTGGAGTAACTTCATTTGGTGCTCTGCGTGTTCTCTCTCACATTGACTTACACCAATGATGATGTCGAGCATTGTTCCCGTTGTGCCAAAGAACACTAGTGGACCAAGAGACTTGCGTTTGATGCCTACCGGGATTGCAACCAATGCGCCTAGGACTGAGAATACCCATGTTCCTAATGCACTGCACCACAAAAAAATCGAAACTTTTACACTTTAGGATGTTTCAACTTCGAGAATAACAATCACACTGTGTTTTACATTAGAAGATACTAGATACCAATATTGGGTTCTAAGGTTACTTCTTTGAACAAATCAAAGCAATGTAGTGGTTAAGTATGATGGTATGACCAAGTGAAAATAGAATGGGCTACATAACTGATGACTCAATGACAAAAATATAAATCCTAGATAACATGAAACCAGGATCACAGACACAGTTAAGAAACAAACACTTTATACACGAGAAGAATGGAATTTTAAACACTTAAGAATGTTCCAACTTCCAACTTCAAGAACAACAACCATAAGATACTAGATACCAATACCAATACCAACGTTAGATGCTAAGGTTACTTCTTTTTCCAAATCAAAAGCAATGTAGTGGATAAGCATGATGGTGTGAACAAGTGAAAACAACTAAGACTGGCTACAAAACTAATGACTCACTGATAAAACTATGATTTCTAAGTCAAACAATATGATACCACAGTGAAGAAACAAAGGCTGAATATATGTTCCTTACTCTTTCTTATGAATAGCAAACAATCAAACACTATTGATGTACGCATAAGTAAGAAACTAACTTGGAAACAGTGCATTCCTCGAGGTGTTTCACATTCTCCTGACTTCCCATCTTTGATCAGTCACTGAAAAAGCGATAATGCCCAGTTAAAGTTTTCACCAGACATCTTCTAAATCAGATAGAAACTCAAATGAACTGAAGTACTTTTCACAAATAAAATGCAATTAGGCTATATCTTCATGTGGATCAAGAAAGCTCTAATCTTGAGTACTCAATACAATGCTAAACCAGAAGAAAATGATGGGTAAACAACAGACTTAAAAGACTAGTGAGCTACAATTATGCAGATTCTCATCTCCATGAAACCAAGAAAGGCAAATACAAAAGCTATATCTTGAATACACAAAAACACATAAATCAATGGAAGACAGTACTGAGACATCACAATCTGGAAAAGAAACTTGGATTTGCGAGAATCATTGAACAAGTTTCCAACTTTTAGAATTAATAGCACGAAATGAGCATAAAGGAGCGAAGATACACAAACAAAATTACCAAAGAGATGAGAAACGAAGAGCATAACATGAAACAACGACAACAAAATCAAATTCATGTCACATAATCAGAAGAAAGATACCAAATTTCAGCCAAAAACTATCATGAATCGTATCAAAAAGATCATTCCAATTGCTAAAAACGAAGATTACCAAACGAGAAACGAAGATTGAGCAAAGTTCCTTTCTCGATTACCAAACGAGAAACGAAATGGTAAAGTCAAGCTTCGTGTGACTAATCGACGAGTCGGGTCGGGTAAGGCCAGAGAGTGACTTAATTGGGTCAAATTAATTTTGTCAACCGGAACTAACCGAACCGAAATTCGTTTGGCCAATTGGGGATTTCTGTTTGACGGTTTTCAGGCAAAACGACTATTGATGTAGCCAATTTCGGTTTTAGTCGTTCTCTGATTATGGTTTGATTACAAGGATTTGTAACATTAATAACAATAAGTTTGTTTGGATTACCATAACACTATATCACAGAGATGCAATCTTCACCACCGTAAAAGAAACACGAACAAAAATAAACCAATTCTAAAAATAGATAACATTAGCTTCACTATATAAATCACTTAGACAAACACAACATTCTTCACCAAATCATCTTCTTTATTTATAATATTTGTTCTAATCAATATCACAGCATTTATATACGTTATGGCAGCTCAAAGTTTGAAGAAAACATGCAATATTCTGATTGTTGCAGCTTTAATCACAATGATGTTTTCAGCACAAATCTCACATTCTAATAACGTAGAGATGTGTATCAAACATTGTGTCTCAAACCAATGTTTGAAAGAAGTTAAAAACGCTACTTCTACAATATGCGAGGATGCTTGCAAAAAACTTTGCTATGACCTACAAAATGGTAAAGAAAAATACATTGTGCCTACTAAAAGCCGGTTTTGCACATATTTTCCTAATTGGTGTGGTGCTACTATTAATTAATCTATAATCACAAAAGCTCTCATTGTTTGTTTCTTCGTATACATATGTTAATCCACTTCTTATACAATGTTGTCTAACTGTTCTCACATCAGTTTTCTTGTAACAAATATGCATGTTGTCGCTCATTTTATATATTAATCTTCCGGCTAAAGAAATTCAAATGATGTAATTTAAATCGCATTTTATTGTTTATCTTTTGGGTCGCTTCACGATTTATCTTCCGGAAATCTAAAACCTCAACCTTGCAAACAACTCTTCAACTCCTAGATTGAATCCAATTCAATTGAACTATACCAAATATATCGGAAAAATACATATGTAAATGAAAACCGTTTGGTTTTGTTTATGATCAACCCGATCGGTTTTGTGGTTTAAAATTTACATTAAAACAAATCATTTTTAAAAATTTAATATATCGACCAATATTTGTATAACAACTTATTATTAGCGATTTTTATTTTTAATGCATATTTAAATCTCTCCACTCGCAATCGTTTAGATAATTTTTATTATCAGGTTTACATCAAAATTGTCCTAGTTTACTTTAAATTGCGAGTTCATCACATTCACCAAAATCACAACAAAAATCTTTATGAATATAAGAAGTGTTTTCTCACATTGAAGCGTTTGCAGTATCAGGGTCTATCCAATGAGCTAGACTCATTGAGAGGAGAAGCTTTGGTGGCATCGAAGAGCAAAAAGAATGAAGAACAATCCTTTTGAGAGTGGTTTTAGCCTTTGCACAAGAGCCCATCACATTCTTAATCAAAAATAAAATTAAACAAACCAAAATATAGTAATTATATAACTACAATTTTTATTATTCACATCCCTTCATCGAATTGCAATGACGTTAGTTGTGTTCTTTATTTCTCTCTTTTTTTTTTGTCAAAGGCTCTTTATTTCTCTCTTGTTGTATATGTCATATCAAAACATTTCAAACTACGAAAACCGATTGGGTTGAATATATAAGAAACCAACTTTAAAATAAGAGTATATGTTGGAAAAAGGTATTTTCATACCGGTACAATTTGCAAAGTATGTTTTCATACCCGAATAAATATGTAGGATTAATTCCAACCTAAACCATAAAAAAAATTAAATTTCATATTAAACCTTTACATTTAGTGTCTTTTTCGAAGTCGTAATTAACAAGTGTTAGTCAATCGTCACCGTTGCTGAGTCAACTGACATGCGTTTGATGGTGTGGCTTATAACGACGTCGTTGTGTTTTTTTGAATTAATATTATAATTTTTGTGTTTTGCAAAAATTGGGTCTCGACCCCCCCTCCCCCCAAATCTCACTGGTTGTGAGTTATGAGTTGTGTAAACGAGTGAGATGTCGGGAGTTTGAGACCCGATTTTTTTAAAAAACTAATAATAAATATAACTCCAATAAACACAACGGCGTCATTGTAAGCCACCTCATCAAACATGTGTCAGTTCACTCAGCAACCGTGACGGTTGACTAATACTGGTTAATTACGACTCCGAAAAAACACTAAATCTATAGTTTTTTTTTTTTTTTTTTTTTTTTTTTTTGATAAACCCTATCGGCTGATCCGGTCAGCCCCGGTAGAAACGCACCGAAGTGCTTCAGAGTGGACTTCTCCCCGAAGGGCCACCACACTGTCTATCCCGAGTTTGGAATGCTTTCCGACTAATGCCAGGGGGTAGCCAGATCGCCTGTTACTGGACTACCAGGTAAACTGCTTGGGCCTTTGGCCCAAACCCAGACTTCCCACACAAATGTGTTTTTTGTTTCCAGCGTGGATCGAACCTGGGTTAGTTCCTAAATCTATAGTTTGGGTATGAAATTTAATTTTTTTTTGCGGTTTAGGTTATAATGAACTTTACGTGTTTGTTCAGGTACGAAAACATACTTTGCAATTTATACGGGTATGAAAATACTCTTTTCCCGGGTATATGTTGACACTGTGTTTTCACATTTGTGACCAAAACCAAATACTAAGCGGCTGGGCTTTGAATGAAATGGGCGGAATTAGTCTTACTAAATTCAGACCCAAAAGCTTGCTCTGCTTCTGTTGTTGGTTTTCTTTGAAGCTTCGTGAATCGTGAGTCTATCATCTGTCTATGTTCACGTGGAGCTCATTTTTTTCCTCTGGTATTGTTGCAAGTTAGTTACGGAGTCGTTAAGGGAATAAGGCCTCGAACAGGAGGATAATAACTATGTTATTTACATGTGAAAACAATTGAAGAAGTACAATACATAATGATTGTGTTTCATATTCTCTTCCATGATTAAATCTCTAATAATTTTATTGTACATGCTGCGTAAGATGTGATCAAATGACAACTTACATAAGAAAAGAAAAAGACCAGGAATAAAAACATTATCAATCATATATATCCTCGTAATCATGTTTATGTACTAGAGTATAAATAAGAAAACTCATTTCTGTATATTAATGGATTACAATTTGACAAGTAATAACCCTTTCTCAAAAAAGAAATAGACAAGTAAAAAATATGACTTTTCTAAAATGTGATAATTTCGAAGATAAACGACTAATTAAGATGCCCACGCATGGCTCTGTTACAATTGGCCTTGTCCAAACCGAAAGTTAAATGATAATATCCTGTTTAATCCATTTTTTAATCCGACGTTGTTAGCAATAAAGTAGTAATGAATTAAAAAATTATCAAGTGGAACTAATATCACGGCAACTATACCATTGTTGTATGATTTGACTAGTAAGAAAAAGACTGTTGTATCAAAACCATACAAGGATTTCGATGTAACAGTCTAAAGTAGTTTTTAGTTAAGTTATGTTGTTTGAAATATAGCTAATCTCGGAGGCTAATAACATGGAATATAGCTAAGCTTCGTGTGACTAATCGACGAGTCGGGTCGGGTAAGGCCAGAGAGTGACTTAATCGGCTCGAATTAATTTTGTTAACCGGAAACTAACCGAACCGAAATCGTTTAGCGAATTAGTGATTTGACTGATTTCTGTTCGGTTAGTCGTTCTCTGATTTGGTTTGATTACAAGGATTTGTAACATTTTAAACGATTAATTATTGTTTATTCATAACGATAAGTTTGTTTGGATTACCATAACACTAAATTATAGAGATGCAATCTTCACCACCGTGAAAGAAACAAGAACAAAAAAACCAATTCTAAAAATAGATAACATTACCTTCACTATATAAATCACCTAGACAAACACAACATTCTTCACCAAATCATCTTCTTTATTTATAACATTTGTTCTAATCAATATCACAACATCTATATACGTTATGGCAGCTCAAAGTTTGAAGAAAACATGCAATCTTCTGATTGTTACAGCTTTAATCACAATGATGTTTTCGGCACAAATCTCACATTCGAATAACGTAGAGATGTGTAACAAACATTGCGTCTCAAACCAATGTTTGAAAGAAGTTAAAAACGTTACTTCTACAATATGCGAGGACGCTTGCAAAAAACTTTGCAATGACCTACAAAATGGTAAAGAAAAATACATTGTGCCTACTAAAAGCCGGTTTTGCAGATATTTTCCTAATTGGTGTGGTACTACTATTAATTAATCTATAATCACAAAAGCTCTCATTGTTTGTTTCTTCATATACATATGTTAATCCACTTCTTATACAATGTTGTCTAATTGTTCTCACGTCAGTTTTCTTGTAACAAATATGCATGTTGTCGCTCATTTTATGTCTTAATCATCCAGCTAAAGGAATTCAAATGATGTAAATTTAAATCGCATTTTATTGTTTATCTTCTGGATCGCTTCACGGTTTATCTTCCGGAAATTTGAAACTCCAACCTTGCAAACAACTCTTCAACTCATAATTATTAAAAAGGAAAGAAAAAAACTTTCTAATTATATTCCTAGATTGAATCCATTTAAATTGAACTATACCGAATATATCGAAAAAATACAAACGCAAATGAAAACCGTTTGGTTTTGTTTATGATCAACCCGATCGGTTTTGTGGTTTAAAATTTACATTAAAACAAATCATCTTTAAAAATTAAATATATATCGACCAATATTTGTATAGCATTATTAACTTATTATTAGCGATTTTTATTTTTCATGCATATTTATTATCTCGACTCGCAATCGACGGTCTTAGAGTCTAGATTCTTTCTCGTGTAACTAGACTCTATAAAGTTGTGCATCAATCAAATCAATTAAGATTTCTTTACATCAAAGTAGTCCTAGTTTACTTCAAATTGCGAGTTCATCAAATTCACCAAAATCACAACAAAAATCTTTATGAAGATAAGAAGTGTTTTCTCACATTGAAGCGTTTGGAGTATAATGGTCTATCCAATGAGACTCATTGAGAAGAGAAGCTTTGGTGGCATCGAAGAGCAAAAAGAATGAAGAACAATCCTTTTGAGAGTGGTTTTAGCCTTTGCACAAGAGCTCATCACATTCGTAATCAAAAATAAAATCAAACAAACCAAAATACAGTAACTATATAACTACAATTTTTATTAATCCCATGCACCTTCATCGAATTGCAATGACGTTAGTTGTGCTCTTTATTTCTCTCTTGCAGTATTAAAACATTTCAAACTACGAAAACCGATTGGCTTGAAAATATAAGAAACCAGCTTAAAAATAAGGGTATATGTTGACACTGTGTTTTCACATTTGTGACCAAAACCAGATACTAAAACCCATGAAATAGAGTCTTTTAGCACTTAGTTAATACCTTTCATGTAAGATAATAAGATACTATTATACAAACAAGCGGCAAATATTTTTAGAGACATTGCATACTTTTGTAATTTTGTTTAAAATAGATTTTTGTATGCAACATATATATGGTTACAAGTTCAAAAAATAATTTGGCATTTAGTTATGTGCTAAGACTTTCAATATTGTAACAATTAGCTATTGCTGATCCTTAGATATCAGTTGATAGACGACAAAAACAATATAACAGAACTAAGTTGCCCAAAATTATTTGATTGATTTACCTCAAAACAAAGAAACAAGAAACAAATTAACCTCCTCATTGTTGATAACTTCTAAAAATCAATTAAAGTAATTTACTATTTAAATTACCTACGTCGATCAACAATTCTTACCAAATCATATTGTACACAAAAATCCAACACCTTTCAAGATTTCTAAACTTTTCATCATGGTGGCTCAATCGCTGAGAAAGATATGCGGTGTCTTGACGATTATTGCTTTATTCACAATGATGTTTTCGGCACAATTCTCTCATTCGGATACAATGGATACATGTGTTAAGAAATGTGTCCCAAACCAGTGTATGAAAGTGGTAAAAAACGGGACTCCTGCAATATGTGAGGAGATGTGCAAAAAATACTGTCTTGAAGGGCCAGTCAAAGTTGACTACATCGTCCCTCCAGGTGACAATTCCTATCTAAGAAAGTTCTGCAGATATTTTGGTTTGATATGTTAGTAACTTAATCTAATAACATATATATATGCATGCTTTGTATCATTGGATTGATCAATATCTCCAATATATGTATCTATTGTTCTCAATAAATAAAGAGACTAATTTTACTTGTGTGTGTCCTTGTTCTTGTGCACGAATATATGACTATATCTCTTGCTAAGTGTGAGCTCATATCGATATTATGGTTCCAGAATGATATGACACGATGTAATCATGGTTTGGTTTATGCATGCATACTTGTTGATTTAAGATCTAAGTGGTGAACATCAAAAGAATTAGTAGAACAAAGATTATGTATATGAAATGGAGGTGAATGCAACAGATATGACAGATGAATATTTTTGTTTCACCCATTTCGATCAGAAAAACTAATATCATTTTGATCAGAAAAACCCAAAACCGAAAAAATATACAAAGCTTGATTAAATTTGGTTCCTGAATGTTGAAATTTAAATTTTTGGGAGGCTAAAAAACAGCCTAAATCTAAGTGGCTGGGCTTTGAATGAATTGGGCCGAATTATGTTATTTACAGGAGGATAATAACTATGTTATTTACATGTGAAAACAATTGAAGAAGTACAATACATAATGATTGTGTTTCATATTCTCTTCCATGATTAAATCTCTAATAATTTTATTGTACATGCTGCGTAAGATGTGATCAAATGACAACTTACATAAGAAAAGAAAAGAAAAAAAGACCAGGAATAAAAACATTATTAATCATATATATCCTCGTAATCATGTTTATGTACTAGAGTATAAATAAGAAAACTCAGTTTTGTATATTAATGGATTACAATTTGACAAGTAAAAAATATGACTTTTCCAAAATGTGATAATTTCGAAGATAACGACTAATTAAGATGCCCACGCATGGCTCTGTTACAATTGGCCTTATCGAAGCCGAAAGTTAAATGGACGTGAATGAAACAGAGTTTTGACTTTAGATCTCATTGAAAGAGATGTTTGCTTAAATGATAATATCCTGTTTAATCCATTTTATAATCCAACGTTGTTAGCAATAAAGTAGTAATGAATTAAGCCTACCAAAAAAAAAAAGTAGTAATGAATTAAAAAATTATCAAGTGGAACTAATATCACGGCAACTATACCATTGTTGTATGATTTGACTAGTAAGAAAAAGACTGTTATATCAAAACCATACAAGGATTTCGATGTAACAGTCTAAAGTAGCTTTTAGTTATGTTGTTTGAAATATAACTAATCTCGGAGGCTAATAACATGGACTGCACCAAACGAGGATGTTTGGTTAAATGGGTTATTCACGATTTGATTAGATCCAACCTCTCTTTTTTTTTTTGGCCATAAATATTTTGTTTGAAAAATGAAAACAAATTCCATGTATAGTAATTAATCGGTTTCAACAATCTTGCTGGCAGATCACCCACCAGATTTCTTACCAAAAAAGAAAATGAATTTAACGTTCTTGTTGAATGTTGATACACACAAGTTATTACTATATGCATGAATAGTAGAAAGCTGGCATATGGGTGATGCTATATATGTTTTTTTTTTTTCCAAAGGGTGATGTTTATTTATGTCATACTATGAAAAGTTTTAATTTAGATCAATTGAATTTGTAAATTTTATTTTAACCGGAAGATTCATGTATACTTGATTTATTCATTTTTTTAACTTCAAATTAAGGCTAATCTTTCTAAAAATACTTGGCCAACAAAAAATCTTGCTAAAACGTATTGGGAAATGGCAAAAATACCACTAATTCACTCCTTGTCATTTTTCAAAATTTTAGATAGCAATTGCCAATTTACCTTTAGAATTAGGTGATAAATTAAAAATGAATTAAAGTAAATCATCAAAAAGAGTTATACTCTGAAGATAACCTTATAATAAATATATGGTTTATATAAAAAAGGTTAACCAAAGAAGGTATTTGATAAAATTTCTCATATAAGGTGGAAACTAAAATTAAATTTAAACCAAAAAATTTAAGTTTGGTAAATATAAGTTATTTCTTTTGTTATTCAAGTTAAAATATGAAATGTAATGCTGGCATCGGGTGGCATAATCTATTTTTAGAAAGAATGTTTGATTTAGATAAACCTCATCCGATTTGAATAAGAAAAAAATCTCATGTCAAAAAACAAAGTTGTAAATTTCTTTTGATGTCCAAATAGTTTAATACTGAGAGAATAAATAAATAGAAACTCTGCCAAAAAAAGCAGAGATTTTTTTCTGTAAATCAATTTAGTAATAAGACTTATGTCATTGTCCCAAAAAAAGAAAAGAAAGTAAATTAATTAATCTGTGACTGTGTAATATAGTGGCACGTGCCAGCTTTGCAACAGTAAAGCTAAAAAACCGTTCATGTTTGGATCCGTCGACCAATATACATATTACCGTCATCACCGGTCACCCCTCTCTTTTTCTCCATCCAACGGCTCTCCTTCTTCGATTCACTTAATCAACCGTCAGATTTTAATCCAACGGTCCTTATTAAATCCAATTTTATCTCTTTTTCTCTTTAAATTAAACCCAAACCCGGTCTAGTTTCTCTTCTCTCGATTCTCTTCTCTCTCTCTCTTTAAGTGAGCTTCGCCGTTAAAATTTCTCCGGTACCGGAAAATTAACAACGAAGAAAGCGAAAAGTCACTGTTACACTAATTTACAAATCTCTCCCTCTCTCTCTTTCTTTGTCGAAGTCGTGCGTGATGCTAGTTACGGTGGTGAAGCAGCGGTTAGTGTACTCTCGCCGGAGAAATCGGTTATAACCGGAATCACACCTCCGTGATCGAAGAATCTGTTTTCCGTTTGATAGTTTTCGAAGTTTTTGAGAAGAAATGGAAAAACAGGCGAAACTAACGAGGACACAGTCGTCGTTGCTCCGGTCATCGTCGAATCTTCGTTCGTCATTTCAAAGCTTATCTTCAATCGTCGAAGGCGAACAAGATCTAGAAGCCGGAGAGAAAGAAGAGAAACAGAGAAGAAAACCACCTAAACCATTCGGTTCATCAAGTCCCAAATCCGGTTTAACCCGGATAAATCCCGGTTTAGCTTTCACTATGGTATCTCTCTCTTTCCTCAGTCTATCATCGTTCTTCTTCTTCGTCGTCTTCTCACAAACCGATGAGATTCTCACATCGGAGAATCTTTTACTAGCTTTAATCTTCGTCGCCGTAGCTCTCTTCTTCGCCTCCAAGAACATCGCTCTTCTCAACCAAACCGTAATCGCAATCAAACAAATCTGCGACGAAACCACCAAAAACTTTCAGGGAAGAAACTCGAAATCAAAACCGGTACAATGGTACATCGGAGACGATTCTAAACCGGAGAAGAAGATCATAAAGAGATTCGTTAAAGAAGGAGTTCAATTCTACAGTAATGGAGATTTCTACGAAGGTGAATTTCACAAAGGGAAGTGTAACGGAAGTGGTGTGTATTACTATTTCGTGAGAGGAAGATATGAAGGAGATTGGATTGATGGGAGATATGATGGTCATGGGATTGAGAGTTGGGCTAGAGGAAGTAGATATAAAGGTCAATATAGACAAGGTCTTAGACATGGTTATGGAGTTTATAGATTCTACACTGGTGATTGTTATGCTGGTGAATGGTTTAATGGTCAAAGCCATGGTTTTGGTGTTCAATCTTGTGCTGATGGTAGCTCTTATGTTGGTGAGTCTAGATTTGGTGTTAAACATGGTCTTGGTTCTTACCATTTCAGGTATACATATCTGTCTTGAATCTTGATTTAAAGTTTTTTTTATTTTTTATGTAATCTGATTTTAAAAGACACAATCTTTGTGTTATTGTCAGAAATGGAGATAAGTATGCAGGAGAGTATTTTGGAGACAAGATTCATGGGTTTGGTGTGTATCGATTTGCTAATGGTCATTGTTATGAAGGAGCATGGCATGAAGGTCGTAAGCAAGGGTTTGGTGCTTACTCGTTTAGAACAGGTGATGCTAAATCTGGTGAATGGGATTCTGGGAAGCTTGTAACTTCTCTTCCTCTTACGAGTGAGCCAGTTTCAAGAGCGGTTCAGGTAATTTTTTTGTTAGACCAGAGTTGACTCAGTTGTTGGAATTGACAAAAAGTGAACAACTTTAACTTGAAAAATATTGCAGGCGGCTCGAGAAACAGCGAATAAGGCAGTGAATCGGAGACGAGTAGATGAGCAGGTGAGCCGAGCCGTGGCTGCAGCTAATAAGGCTGCTACGGCTGCAAGAGTGGCTGCTGTGAGAGCCGTTCAGAATCAAATGGATGGTAAATTTTGTCAAAGTTGAAAACAAAAAATGTAAAAATCTTTTCTTGTTTTTTGGGTTTTTACCGGTCTTTCTCTGTAACCCTGATTGAGCTAAAAAAAATGGTAGCTTGTTTCAGAGGTTTGTAACAGAGAGTAATTTTCGATCTTTTTACTGATGTAACAAACTGTAAATAGTTGAAGAAGCTGGTGTTTTTACTTTTGTTGTAAATCCAACGGCTTGAAATGGAGCTTTTTTAGTTTTGTTTTGTTTTGGTTTTGATCGAATCTTTGGGAACAAGTGATTTTGATTGATATTATGATTCTTGATCTGGATCACTGACAATATCGATTCCCTTTAGATATTAAACAATGAAATAGCAAATTGTTTATTCGGATTACTATAATAATTTTGGTTGCCCAAGAAAAACAAAAAATTTGGGAGAAGCATGAAGAAGATTCTTTGTTCGGCGCTATAACCATTGCGATTTCCCAAAATTATTGTTTTAAACAAACATCCAATGTCGTGATCCAGAAAATATCAATTGCATTAATACAACTTATTTATGGTCTCTGCTGTTTTAGGTGCAATAATTCTGGAGTATTTTTTTATTCTTGATTTTTAATAACTATTTTAGCTAAATTCTTTTACTATTTGTCTAGAAGTTCCAATTCTTTTGCAATATTGAGGGTTAGCAGTTTATTTACTTCCTAGATTATTACATGAAACAGTATTCAGTTTGGAAATAGAAACATGTTTCTATGTTTTGTTTGATTAAATTAGAAGCTGACATAATATTTTATGGATGTTTATATGACTTTTCAAATATTATGTAATGTTTTTGAACCAAAAAAAAAAGTAATCTATAGTTTTAGTAATTTTATGTATCAAAACATCGAGTGTCCGAATAGGCGTCGATCTCAATGTTTCGTTTTGAATTGGTTAACTAGAAAAGGCAAATTTGAATTATTATTTTTTTTTGTTACTTCAAAATTTTGAATTCTAGGTGACAGCAATGTGTTACTCAGTTTTCTTATTATGGGATATGGATAAGATTTTAAAACTTACTTAATCAAGGAAAAAAGATAGTCAGCTACACGAAGTATAACAGAATACATGGCTATACATGCCAAGTTTAAAAATGTACAACCAACTACACGAACTAAATGTATTGCATGCCCACATATACCAACTATATGACGACATGTAGTCAACATCACGAACATTTTATTCTGGTACACTAATCCTCAAAATCCGGCATTGACCATCGTTGACCGGTATTGACCAACAAAAAAATTCAAAAAAATATATTTTTATTTATTTTAAATGTTTTTAAAAAGAATTATTCTATAGAATCGGTTATGGTGTTGTATAATAATAAAAAAACACATTCTATATTTTTAAAATATATATATATTTTGTATGATAATAATAATTAGTTAATTTTTTTAATTTCAAAACTAAACTAAAAGCGAAATAAATAAAATTCTATTACAAAAATTGAGTATATGACTCTTTAGTCTAAATTTTGCATGGTAAACAAATATAAAGTTTTTTGCTAAAATCAAAATCATAATACATAAAAAATATATATAGAAAATTTTATATACTCTTTAGTCTAAATTTAATATATTGTTAAATTTTTGTAATTAAAATTATCAAAACAAATTCTCGTAATAACGCGTAAACAATAAAAAAATTCGCAATGTTTATTTTTAATATATAGAAAATAGAAAATCTAACGATATTGATTTTAGCAAAAGCATTTGTAAAATAAAAAGTTAATGTTTTTTATTGACAATATACAAATAAGTAATTCACTTAATTATTTTTATTTCACTTTTATTTTAGTTTTTAAATTGAAAAAACTAACTCATTATAATAATCAATATATTAAATATATATACAAAATATCTTTATGTTGAATTTAATATGTATTAGTTTTGTTTTTAATATTAAAATAAATAAAAATAATTTTTTTGCATATGTTTGTTGGTCAATGCCGGTCAACGATGGTCAATGCCGAATTTCGACGATTGGTGTACCGGAATAAGATGTTCGTGATGTTGACTACATGTCGTCATATAGTTGGTATATGTGGGCATGCAATACATTTAGTTCGTGTAGTTGGTTGTACATTTCTAAACTTGGCATGTGTAGCCATGTATTCTGTTATATTTCGTGTAGCTGAATATCTTTTTTCCCTTAATCAATCATAGAAATAGTTAAGGATATTTTTATATAACTAGTACAAAATAAAATTATTTTGGTTACGACAGGAACACATCCGATGCATACATGTTTGGTCGCATAAAAGAAATGTTTGAAGAAGCCATGTGTCTTTATCGATCACCATCTATAGAGGATATCATTTGGGATTTATATCTAATTTTATATATCCTTATCCTTTCGTTTTCTTATATATCTATAAAACTATACGCCACTGATCACATGGTTTCTTGCTGGATTGGTCTCCATTCGATCGCATCAATATAATCCAAAACAAATCTTGAAATTATAGCAAAATTTTCCAATATATTCATCCAAAATAATTACGAAATTCATATTTGTAAACTAAAATATAGTGTTTGATAAATATTTTGCTATCTTAAAGCTTATTCCAAAACGTTTAAAATATACATACAACACTAGTACATATATTCGGTAAGAATATTCTAATTACCTTCAAATAAACCATTAGACTGTAACCTGTAACAAAATAATTCAACATAGGTTATTCTCTTTCAGTTGAACAATGAAAAAGACAAAGGTTATTCTCTTTGAAAGAAATTCAAAGAAGAGTGTCTTTTTTTTTTTGTGCACAACGAGGGTGTCTTACATTATAATTCCAAGGATGGGTTATTTCATTGATTTTTTTTTGTTCTACTATTCAATACTTAAAATTTTAAATTGAAAAATCAATAACATTCCGAAGAACTCATATGTGTATATTTTAAAATGTTCGAGTTATATCTTAGATTTCATTTTATAAAAATTTACATAAATTTTATCGACATTTTGTACCAAAATATTAATTAAATGTTATATTCTTGAATAATACTAGATTTTATAAAATATTTAAAATATTGATTAAATAACACTAAATTTTGAAATCTCTGAAGTATAAATATTATTAGATGCAACAATATTAGATCTTAATGTGTAATATTATATTATTATATAACCCTTAAAACAATTTTCTATTTTAAATAATTTGAAAGCGTCACTTTTTATTTTCTTAAAAACTGTTTTTGTAATCCATGTAACTGTATTATTTCTTACGGCCCCCGCATGTAATTTTTCTGACAGCACTTTGACTAAAATGTTGACTTCGAAATCTAACCACTCCACATAGAAATTAATTATCCTGCAGATAGAGAATTACTGGTTTACAGATTTCCCATAAAATTTAAAGTACTGTGCCCTCAAATACCTCAATGCATCCATTTTTAGTTTGAACTTTTAACTATATATTTTTACATATTTTTTTTGTTAAATATTATACATATTTTTTGATAAGGATTGACCTTTTTAACTATTCAAGTAAGCTTTTAAGACAAAAATAAAACAAGAACTAACAATTTCTTACTAAAAATGAAAACAAGAAAAAATAGTTTACTTCTAACAAATATACATGCATGAAATATAATTTAAATCCTCGTCAATAATTGATCTGTAGAATTAGAGAGCCTAATGTTTCTTTAATCACCTATACCTTCAATTATTTGCTATAATTAATTGGATATAATAATTTAACACCTTAGTATTCAAAAAAAAAAAAAAATTGTGGACGAGAGAAGTCAGAAGAGGAATGCTTGTTTCGGCATGCATGTCTCTGCTTCTTTGGTGTCGAAATTTATTAAAATGTACATAGTCGCATATAATAAACTCGAATAATCATTGTTATGACTTGTGCGTTTTTTAATGTATTTGAAATTAATTGTTGTGCATGTATATTTAATACATATTGTTACAATTAAATTAAACGAATGCGGGGATTGCTGAAATTGTTGGTCCAATGGGGTGCCATTTACTGACAAAAAATAATAATACCTTGGTCAATGTACGTCTTCGAAGTTACTCTTACACAAAATATTATGAGGCTAATTCTCCCATTATTTCAGCATACCTCTATGTTATTAGGATTGGGCATAGAGATATATTCGAGTTGAGATAAACTGGTCGAGTACAAGAAATTACATTACGTAAATATGATTTAAGTATTCTAAGTGTTTGAACTTCCCATTATTTGAATTCAAAAATTGAACGGACAAGTTAAACTCTCCAATGCAATCATAACGCTTACAAATAATATTGAAATTTATCTCTTTTGGTTATTTTATTTTAATATTTGGAGCATTGATCTCTTAACTTTAAGCAGGTTACTACAAACATGCAAGCAGACAACATAATTACAACTTGCATTATTAAATTTAAATAAAACGAATTGAAGTTGCCTTTTTTTTTTTCACTAGAAGGATAGATTTCATTGATAAACATGGAATACAAGAGCCGGCAAGGGACAAACCCTTCCAGAGTCTAAGCCGGCGAGTACATGAAGACTCCCAGAGACAAATATCAAACTAAAGAGAAACCTTAGGGGAAAAAACCCGAACAACTAAAAACATAACATCCGAACAAGACTTCCCGGATTCATAATCCAAAGACTCAAATTAAACTTACATAGCCTAAATCAAAATAAAATAACAGATCTGAGACTAGAAGACTCTCCTTACCACAACCTAAACTCGATGGAATTGAGAGTCACTTGTAGGAATGAAGGAGAACGAGATCTTCAAGGTGGAATTTCAAAGTCTGAGGCGAAGAAGGATCGGATCGAACCTGCGCCTTTGCCATGGATGGATCGGCCAGATCTGAGGCTGAGCTTGGAGGAGAACAAAAGACAAGCCGCAAGAACCCAAAGGAAGAAGATTTAGACTTTATAAATTCAGATCTGAAAATCTAGATGTGAAACCGTTGGAAGAAAAGAAGCTCGGATGCACCGGTAGAGAAAGGGAACCGAAACTAAAGCATGGAACAAAGAAAACCCCGGTTCCGGTGCTGAAAAAGCCACCGGAACCGGTAACCCTAGATGGAGGCGGCGGCTGTGAGGCTTTTAGAGAGAAGGCAGAGAGATTTTTTTTTTAGAGAGAGAGAGCGTGTTCTTTATGAACAAGCTGCCGATTGAAGTTGCCTTTTCAATTTGATGACCTTAAATTTGGAGTTTGTCAATTTGCTATGGGCCATTTCCAATTTCCCAATTGGTTGGCTCATCTTCCGATATCATTTTTAAAGTTAGAACTATGTTATGTTAATAATACTCTCGTTTGCTTACAATTTAATCAACCATCTTTCTCCACATATATTGTGGGTTCCAATATAATCTTCAACAACTATACTAACTGAAAGTGTTTATGATTTACTTTTAACATTATGGTTTAAGATCCGATCACACATGATGAAGAGTTCGTAGAGATGCCTTTATCATATTATATACTAAAGAAAACTTTGTTAAGGCACATAATTACGATATCACTTATATATGGGATTGGGTAAAAGACAAAGCACATATGACCTTAACTTTTAACTCAATTATACATGTATAGGAAAAAGTTTACTAGCAAACAATTCTTTGCTACAGAGTCTCTTTTCTCCAATACAAGAAAGTGTTTGGCATGTAAAGCTTGGCGTCACATGTTTGGTAGGCTACTGATTTTTGAAAGCGACCAAAAATTATTTTGTGTTTGGGCTATATATTGATAAAAATGTTAGTAATTGAATTCTTCTTTTATTCAACATGACAAGTAAATGATAACTCTGTCACCGCCGCCAATATTTTTCAGAATCAAGATAAGTACAAGTAGAAAATATATGTCGTGCCAAGACACGAACGAATACAACTTTTTGGAAACCGTGTTGCAAAAAAGTAACTAAACCTAATCCTGTGGACTAGATTGACTTCTATTTATCCTATATATTATTATCTTAAGCATGCCCATAATGATGCTTTTTTGTTGTAAACTTTTCTTTTTGGCCTGTAAATCTATCTATATCAAACAGCATTTTGCTATATAGAAATCAAAGATAATCATCGAAAAAGTATATGTTTCTTCCACACATTTCGTGAAGGGGATCAATAAGTTTCAGTTCGGAATCTACCACTTAGAAGAAAAAAACCATCACAAGTTTTCATCTTTACTAAAATATATGTATATTTCCTGATTTGAAAATTGCAATTCTATATCGCATTGTATAGTCCACTAAAATTCGATAGCCCCATCATTGCCTCTTGTATTCAGAAACTGTAATTAAAGAGTTCAATCCAGTTTATAAAGCCTTAACTAAACCAGATTATGCTGGGCCTCTTCTTAAAGCCCAATGCATTTTGCAAGCCTGTTCACTTTAAAAATATTAACAGGCCTAAATATTAACATATTTTAAATTTCTCTGTAGAAAATGATTTTTTAATTCAAAAAGATACAGTTACTATTTACAAAGAAAGAAATTATAGAAAAACAATTTACAGCTGATAGCAACTTTAATGATATTTTTCTTTCTTTTTTTTTTTTTTTTTTTAACTTAGCCGATAGTTTAAATATTCACGAGGAAGGCCTAAATGGATAATGAGCTAGACAAATAAAAAACTCGATAATGGCCCCCAAACCAAAGCCCATGGACGCCTAATCCTATATCACCAAGAAAATAGAAACGACCAAAATAAGATCGTTGAGACTAGAGCAGGAGACAAGTCATGTGGCTTCAAAGGTTTTATACTTTTATCCCAAATATTGAAGTTTAGATGTCCCTTTGACAAAGAAATACTATAACACTTTATACAATCAAATTTAATTTTGATGTGAAATGATATGAATCATATGAATGTCTTATCAAATCACGTTGTCTTCTTAAGTATGGGGTCCCATTTTATGTATAGTTGGGACCTCAAAATTGTGAACAAATCATTTAACTATGTCCTGTTTTCTATTATATAGCCGATAATGTCTTCAAGATTTTTGTTTCACTATAAGACCAATATATCATACTTAACTCACATGATAACATCATTCTTTTTATATATATGATGTTCGTATAATGTAGATTCATGGGATATGATCACAATATTTAACTATTAGACCAAGTTCATCTACGCTTACCAACAAATAAAATTGAAGCGTATACGTTCACACTTGGAAACTATTATGCTTGCACAAATTCATGTATTGAAGAATGTAAAGTTGTCTCATAAGTTTTAAACGATGTTAAAAATAAGAATAATAGTTGGAGCAAACTTGTGAAACTATTCGAATGGTAATCTCGAAAACATCAATATTCAGATTTGAGTTTGCAATTGAGATGGATGACCTAGGCTCTAACATATTGACCGAGTGAGCAAGCTTACTAATTTCACTTGTAGAGTAGATGGCTCTGGTCTTGGAAAACAAATGATACGGTACGGTTTAGATTCTATATATAGAGGATGCATGGATTAATTGATCTGATCAGCCCAAAAAGGAGTCACCAAAGCGTCCCCGCTCAACAATTGGAATTACAAATCCTGATATATATAAGCTATGCAATGAATAACATAATATACATTATGCTCATTTTGTGACACATATAATCGATTTGGTTAGTATATTGTCAACTTGTCAAGTCCCGAGGATTGGTAAGTTTTAGCTTCGAAGTTGGCAGAGATGTTTTGAAGTTTTTTTTCTTCCAAACTTTATGTTGTGAACCGCATTATATGAATGATGAAGCGGATTTTCTATTAGTTTTTTTTTCTTAATGTAAAAACCTTTGTATCGCATTGAAGCAGTAAATTTATTAAATTTTAAATAATTTATTGGGCTTAACATTAGAGATGCAGATCTTTGAAATATTATGACCCACAACTGGCTATAAGAGGACAGTTACAAATGTTTGTCCAAAAAAAAAAAAAAGAGGACTGTTACAAACTTATGTACTTTTTTCATCAGATTAAAACGTTTCGTGTGCACTCCAACTACCACTGAGTTAAAAGGTGGAACAAAAGTATATGGCTTGGATGGCCTAGACAATCAACTACGTCAACCACATCTCTCCTTACATTATAAATTTTATTTGTGGTCTAGTGTTTTTACGCATTGCATATTTTTTCAAAAAAGTTTGTTAACAAAAATCGAACCTCAATATGACTAACGATCACACTTTGCGGTCGAGAATATCACTCTTACATTTTTAATTAGTTATTCGTTTAACAAACTTATATACATTGATCTATTGATAGAACCCAACACTACAAAATAATGCAAGGACTCTTAGAGATCTGATTAAAATTAAGTTTCATGATTTGACTAATTAGAATACTCTGAATATGAATATGAAATCAGTTTACAGTGGTCATTAGTAAATCATATAAATAATTCTACTGTAGTTATTTATATCCCTTTGACTGCAGTTCTGTCTCCATGGGATTCTTTCCCAAAAGAGGAAAAATACTTTAAACCAAAAAAATCTTTTTTTAAGTTCAAGTTTCAAAGATATGAACTTTGTCCCCAAGCAATGTGTGCATTATTTGCTATACCAAACTTTTCCACGGCACATGAAACAGTAAGATTCCTCTGAGTATAGTACTATTCATAATAGTATTTAATCAAACAAATTATGAAGAGACATCGGGAAAAAGTTAATTCACATTTAATTAGCACATTAAATTACATATATAATTATCTTATCATCATAAGAACTTTACCATTGTCAATGATGTGTTCTAACTTCTAACGAATGATGGTTGTCAAGTAGTGAAAAAAAAATGATTGTCAATTAAATACATCATCGGCTTTACTACTTACCAAAATAAGAATTAAAAAACAAAGATAATGTGTTGGATTGCAAAATCATCACATATTGGTAGCAACTTGGCACATATATACAAGTAAACGAGTTGGAAGAAAATGATACAAAATCATATATAGCGGCAGATTTATTTCATAAAAATATCGTGCGAAGTATATCATTCCAATATAACAAAATTATCACTTATTGTTAATAAAATGATTAAAAAGGAAATCTCACATGAAAAAGTCAAGAAATGACAATAAAAAAAGTCTATTGTTCATGTGAACTTCCTAGATCCCTATTAAATGAATTGTATCGAGTATTGCTACATATAAAATCTTGAATTATAGTATTCTATATTTAGTATCCGTCGTCAATTCTCTCCAAGCAACAAACAACTTGGAAAAAAAGAATTACGACGAGGGTAATTTAATTAACATATATAAAAGAATTTAAAAAATGATTAAAAAACTAATTAAAGCATGTATTATGGACCGTTGGATCAATTGAAACTCCAAAGCGGAATGTCAGCATCTTCGTAGAAGTACTCATCGAGCATCGTCGTCGAGTTTAATTGAGGAGAGTAATTAAACGGAGCTCCATCATCGAACAAGAACATTCCATTATGATCATCATACCATGATGATGATGGATTCATCAAAGACACATTATTGTCCACAAAAGATTCCATCAAAGATTGCATCCCATCATCATCATTATCATCATGATGCTGATCATGATCGGACGGTGACGAGACGGCTGATGAAGAAGGGGCAAAAAGGTCAAGTGAATTGGCAGCTTGAGCAGCTACTCTTTGGATGGATTTGGGGGATAAAGTGGTATTTTCATCTAAGAGATCATCAAGAAGATGATGATGAGAAGAAGAAGAAGTAGGGAAGTTGAGATTGGCTTGAGGACCTTTGAGACACAAGAGTGCAACATCGTAAGCCCTAGCAGCTGCTTCAGCTGTTGAGTAAGAACCTAACCAAATCCTTGTCTTTTGATTTGGTGCCCTAATCTCAGAAACCCATGATCCCCAACTTCTCATCCTCACTCCTTTGTACTTCTTAATCTTACTCTTCTTGTTCTTGTTCTTACTCGAAGACGAAGACGAGGAAGAAGATGAAGATGAAGAAGAAGATGGTGATGATGACAAAGGCATTTCATTTTTTGTGTTGGCTTGGATCTTGCGTTCCTGTTTCACCATGGTAATGACTTGTTGTATAAATCACGTAAAGGCTTTGTAGAATGATAGGACAATGTGGTGTTGATCAAGTGAAGAGATTGTTCTTGAGTTTTTCTTTTGTTGTTGTGGATATATAGAGATTTTTTGATGAGGATTAGTGTGAGCTGAGAAGGTTATATATAGAGATGGATTTGATTTGGGAGGGGTATGGGAGACGAAGAGATGAAATATTATTTATTGATATAAATCTAAAACAGGGTCAAATGAATTATAGTATGGTTTCTTGTGTATGAATGTGACATTGTGGTGCATGACAGGTGTTTTTCTTCTATTTTTTCTTTATCCTCGCTATTGGCATTAATACATTTTTGTTCCCTTCTCATTAAAAACAAAAACAAAAAAAAACAAAAGAAACTAGTGAACTTAAATATTTGGAATTTAATTATTTATTCGAATTTGGATGCATGTTAAGGCTTTGCCCAATTGTTCGAAGTTCGAACAATGAACCTGAACATGGCCTCCTCTTAACCTTTTGCTTGTTTTGCATCTCCTTATTAAAAAAGTTCATGTTTTTTATTTATTTAAAAGTTCATGTATAACTAATATTCTTGGTATTTAGAAGAAAAATACATAAACGTATAATGATTTTGATTGGCTTTTTGTGGAATCACAAAAACAACAATTTATAATGCGACCACGTAAACTTTTGTCAAGTGCATGTTCTTGCTAAAAAAAATATTTTATAAGTATACATTTTTTATTTTACAATTTTAATGACAAAATCATTAATTTTCACAGGGCCCATTTTAAAATTAGATTTATTCTCCCTAAATTTATTTTCTTTTTTTAACGTTTTGGATTCTTTCTAGAAAATTTCCAAAAAAATTTACTGATTCAACTAAAATAAAGTACCGATTGGAGTCAATTTTGTATTTTTGTTAGGAATAATTAACTCGGAGCGTATAACGTGTATACATATAGCTAGCTGTACGGAAGCCACTTGATGAGCAAATCGAGGAGTGATGCTAAATATCATACTGTATAGTACAGTATTTTATTAGGTTGAGATATCAATTTTCTTTTATATTTGGACTATATACGTACCTATCATCACTATCAGGAGATTACGAATTACAGCTGCGTTTTAACGCGTTAACTCGTATACGATCTTTCCAAGAAAGTGGCCCCATTTATCGTTTAATTATTGGTGGTCTATGTTTATTCTTTATCGATTAAACTAGTGTGTTTATTTGTAGTTATACTCCAAATTTATATTACTGTATCATATAACATTTAACATTAAAAGTCTAAAGAAAGATCTGGTTTAAAACCTATATGACAACTTGCTATTGAATTTAACATTTTATCATCGTGGCCCATGACTTTGTGAATTGTGAGTAACTTACGCGTTAACAAAATAGAGACGTCGTGTACGCCACAGTAGTTTTAGTATAAATACGTTTGATAGTACGTATATTATAATCACTAGATCTTAACCCGCACATATGTGCGGGATTTCATATTTTAAAAAATGTGTTTTAATAAAATTTAATTCAATATAGATTCTTTTGTTATTTTGGTCATATATGTAGATTCTGATCAGCACGTACGTGTGGAATTTATACCAAGTGCAGTTTGATTCGGTTTCAGTGTGAAGTATAAAATAGTTAAATGTTTAAAATAACAAAATTTTGACCAGTACTTTGAAGCAGATGGACTGGAAATAACCGTGAAGCGGATTAGTGATCTATAAGATTTTTATTAAACTTATGAATGATTAAAGATCTGTGAACCGATGAGATAAACTAACCGGTTGATAGGTTCCCGACTCGTACCCGTCTCGAAAAGAGGGTATATGTGACCTTAGGGTCAGGTAAAAGGTGTAATTATGTTACCCGTAGGTAAAAGTCAAGTATCAGATATATGTCTTTTTAATACTTGTCACGTTACCCGGTATATTTCTCGCTTTACTACGTGACCCGTAAATATCCAATTTATTAGTGTTTTATAATTTTTATTTTATTTTATAAATATATCTTATAGTAAAAGTTAAAGCCTAAGTTTGTAATTTTATACTTTTTGGAAATATATATTGTATATGTTTATGAATTCTTTTTTTGTTAAACAAATACTTCTATTTTGGAATATGAAATTATTATGCGGTTACATAATTTATTTTAACACATGCATTTTGGTCCTCAAATTTTAGTCCAGCGAGTAAGGGAATAGGTTTAGGATTCGGATGGGATACATGTATTATATTTTTTGTATTTTCCATTTGAGTATTTAATTTTACAAAATTAGTGGAAATTATCCATTTTTTTTTTAATATTTCTCACTTATGTCTTAAAAATACCCGAATTTCTCAGAACTTTTATCTTGAAATATACCTTTACCCGTACCAAAATTGATAGATATCTAAATTAGTGAGAGTTTAAGAATTGAATTCAGCTACCTTAAATTTATGATACCTTCATATTACCGTAATTATCGCCCGTTCGTGCGAAAATATGTTTGTTAAGATTTAATTTGATGTAGCACTTATAACCTGCATACATACGGTTTCGATTCGACTTAGAGAGAAGGAGTATTGGAATTGTTTTTGTTATCCGTAAAGGCAATTATATAAAAAAAAATGAGAAAAAGTAGGAAAGTCCATTTCGGGACGGAAAACCCTTCTCAACCCAAATCTGTCAGAAATTATTCCATCTTATAACCGTTTTTTTTAAAATAATTTACACGTTTGCAATTTTATATTTCAGTTCAACGGGTAAGAGAATAGGTCTAGGATTCGTATGAGATACGTGTATTTCTTGTATTTTTTGTTTGGATATTTAAGTTTTACAAAATTAGTTAAAATAATCCACATGTTCTTTATATATAATACTCATATATTTCTCAATAAAAGTAACGTTTTCATGTAAATCATAAATATTTGAAACACACAAACCTTCTAAATTGTTTCACCTTGAATTTCTTTTTTGCTTCCAGATTCCCAATACGCAGGCTCATTGAATCAGACTCTTTGGATGAAATTCTTTGGATGAAGATCTGAAACAAACCATCAAGTCAAGACATGTGAAAATAAACAAAATAAAAGGTATTAAAATTCATCTAAATAAATAAATTAGAAAAATCGACTTGTCAATAGAAGCAATATTTATACAAAAAAAATAAATCTATAAACGATTTAAGTATAAAGAAAATATCTCTCATCATTAAAATGTGTATTTAGATATAGAAATTTTTTTCTTAATAGGTATGGTTCCTACAATTATGTAGAAAAATTGGTAAATAAACAATAATATACCATTTCGAATTAAGGCTTTTTTCTCTCGTCAAGCTCTTTTCATGTGCTTTTACATCGGGTTGAAGACCAGATCTTTACATCTGAAAAATAAAATATTCAATTAAGAGGATTAGAACAATACTATTACGTACGTGTATACCAATACATCACACATAGACCATGTTGCATTCGTTGCACTGTAAAATAAACGCACTGAACCTTTCACAATTATGTTTCACAGATTTTTGGTATCAAATTCTCTCATAAAACACATGTCTTTGGTTTTACCTTTAAACGGATCATTAAGCAGTTTCCAATCGTTGTCTTAGCCATCAACAGAAACAGTCGTCTTCATGAATCACCACAATCTCCCTTTTAGATGTTTTACGCGTCACATCGATGCCATAAGTGTAGATAAGTGGAGTTTTTATCTGCAGTGACAAAAGCAAAATAATATTATTAACTTTATTTTGACAACAAAACCTTAAATCAAACCGAGTTAGCTTGAAATGCCTTTATTTATAGAGAGATAGTTTGTACATAATTTAGGTTTAGCCGACTAATCTAAATATATTTAACTACTAAGATCATAACAAATATGGTGATTTTATTATTAAATTTTAAAAACTATCCTTATATATAACCCAATTTATGATTGAAAAAGAAAAATTTTTGATTCCCATAATATACGGAATCCTAAGTTGCAAGATACATTACGATTTATATTTTTTAAAATCAAAATTATATTCAAAAATAAATTTTTGTTTCCTTAACTACAAAATCTTTACGTGGTTAACAATTTTTGAAAGATTTTAGATTTTATAGTTAATGATAAATATATTTTAGGAAAATTCGAATATTTTGTTGACTTTTTTACTGGTGTTTGTTGTAGTTGCTTAATACAGGGGATTTGATTTTGCGTTTTTAAATTATAAGAAACAGAATATAACAAACGAAATCAATAATTGATGATAAAAGATTTTAAGGAAACTGAAAATATTCTCAAAGATTACGAATTGTAGTAATACACCAAATCGAATAATAACTTTTGTTTAATTATAATTCGAATAATACCTTTTGGCTAACTATAGACGTGAAAATAATAGTTTCTTGATAAATTCGAATAATATAATATTTTTTCAATGATATAACATTTTTGAATAATGGATTAGTATATAACATTTTCAATAACATTTTCGAACTATATGAGTATTATAATTCAAAATAACATTTTTTATAAATTCGATTGATATAAAATGTTTTCAATGATTTATCATTTTCATTAACAATTTCAATAACATTTTTGATAACAGTTCGAATAATGGATTACTATATAACATTTTCAATAACATTTGCGATCACATTTTCGAATAATAGATTAGTATATAACATTTATACTATTTTTGTAATATTTTTGAATTGATTAGTATATAACATTTTCGAATTATATTAATTGTGTAATCGTTTGAAGAAATATTTTTCGAATTATATGAATTATATAAATAAAATCTTTTAATATCTTTAAACCCGTTTGACCCGTTGACCCGTTAATATATATTAGTGAAATGGAATAAAATGATTATAATTAGAGATCTCTAATGGCATATATTGTAATTTTTTACAAAATCTAAGTTATGACTCTTAGGATGTACTTCCCAAATATTAGTATAGGATTTGGTAATATTTATAAATCATAACGCAACATGTTACATACAAATGCTAATAACGAGGAAGGATATCGCCTTTTGGCTTTATCCATACACCATTTTAACAATAAAACCTAAAGATATTATAAACACAACAAGTATAAGAGCAAAATTATTACCAATCAAAATTACTGTTAATTTTTTAATTAACGGACCAATATTGATTGATACAAATAATCAAAATAGATATGTGATAATAAATCTCTATGAAAAGGTTAATAATAAACCTAAAGAGACATGTAGTATTTTGTTAGTAGAAATGGAATATACTTAAGAAAATAAATGTTTTGAAGAAATAGTTGAAATGAAAATAGCGACGAGTGAAGTCAGAAGAGTGTGGGAGAAGGTGATGATGCTAAATTGATAAGAGAGTGACTTCAAATTACAGCTGTTCTCACTCTGTCACTTTGCTACCCAAATCCAAACCGCGTTTTCTCTCGTCAGTCGTCACACTCACTCGTGTATTTAATTATCTTCCTAAATTTTGTAATCCTTTTTCAAAAATAATTCATACTACTTTCAACACTAGTGATACATCCATGCATATCGAAAATATATGTGTATATCCAAATTTGTTATAATTAACATCGTTTTCTCCATATACAACTTGTGTTATTAGAAAAAGAAAAAAAAAAGAAGTATATACAATTTGTCTTTGATTCATTCTATTTCAGAAGATTTAAAATCAAAGAAAGCTCGATTTAATTTGTTTTGTCAATTTAGGATTTCGAATTGTGAATAAATTTTGTCTTACGTAACTTTAATACATATAGCGATACCAACATAATTTATACGACGGACATATGCTAAAGATCGATATAAACAATTGAAAAAGGGGGGAAAAATAAAACAGTAAAGCATATAACTTTAGGACACGCAAAGAGCACATGATCGTATGTAAGAAAAGATGGAAGATGACATGTTCTTTGTGGACAGCCTTGACTTTCTCACAAAGCTTAAGATTAATCATGGGATATGGTACTTTAATTTGTTGTCTTCGTCTTTAGATTTCACACTTTGGTCTTAAGCAAAACTCTCCAAGATGTCAGAGATCAGTTAGATAAAGGGAGAGAGAATATGGGCGGATATATTGTCAGCTTTCCAGCCAAAACATGCGTTTGCATGACGAGAAGAAGCATCTCGATCGTGGCTTCTTTCAATTTTAGCTTTTGAGTTTTGACACTTTGTTCATATTTGACACCTACTCGAATGAAATTTTCTCTCTTGAATTTTGAAATTACAAAATAAATTAGTCAATGTTTCTTATATTCTACTTTATGTTCCACATTATTTTTAGTGTGAGATTTCTAGCAAACATTTTGCTTCTTTTCAAACGAAATCAATTACACATGAATAGACATATTCAGACAGACCCGAAATGCAAACCTAAAGGCTAAGGCAAGTAAACAATTAAACAAACATTGCAAAACAAACATTTTTGCTTTAACAAACAAACAAAAACTAAAACAAAAGGGATCTTTCTTGATAAATGGAAAATCCAATAAACTGTATGTATTAATTGGTACCGTACTCTCTCCGTACCAGTTCCCAACAAATGACTCAACGAGATCACCACGATACAATCTCGACCTCAATAGTTTTTACATTTATTATTGGTGTACTATTCATCCTAACAATTTCGGAGGATTACAATATATTTTTTTTCTTTATTATTACAGCATGGCAAGGAAATGTCGAGGAAGATGAAATAGTATACGTTGAAGTTTTTATTTTTCATTAAATATGTACGTTGAAGGTTCAACCATGTATAATGGATCCAGTGAACTTGGTTCAACCACCAAATCCTTATTCTTTTTTTTTCACAGATCTATGATTTAGTCGGTTTTGAAAATGTTAAAAATGATGTGGGGACATAAAATAAGTTAGACCCCATACATATTTGTTTTGGTATATAAATTCATATATAATTTCATTTTCCGTCTACAATGCATACAAACATTTTTTATATTTGAATTTGAGTTATGGCACGACATCAATACAAATGAATAAGCTATAATAAACGACAAACACATAGCAAATAAAATATATATCTTCTTATTTCATGTTCTCTTACAGTATTTACCGTATATGTAAAAAAAAGATTCAACCGTGAGTGGAAAAAGAAACAAGTAAAGATAGTTGCAAAGGCATTACAACAAGTTAGGAAGGCATTGCAAGCCCAAAGAATATTATCGGCCATGTATTGGCCCATTTGAGAATCAGTTTGTAATGCAGGCCTACTTATTTCCAAATTGTAACGTTTGCGTTTTTCTTACGAATTTTTTTATTTCCTTCTTTTGTTTATTGTTTGCATTTACAAAAATCAAATAATATTAATTCATCTATTAATATAACACAAAAATGTTATACTAATATAACACGAAAATGTGTTTTTATGAAATAATTTATCTCATAGCAGGGTAATGTTTATACACAATTTGTGATTTAAAATGATAACAAAACACAATAATCCCAATAATTTGGTTTCAATTCAATAGGCCTCACCGTCACAATAATTACTCATTCAATGTTGTACCTGTAATCTTTGGCTCAAATTAACGATGGTAATTAAATGCAAAAATCCACTTTGAGAGGAAAATAACAAAAATGGAAAACGAAACCCTCTAAATCATTAAGAAGGTAAGATCAACACAATGACGCGCCACCTCCTTTAAAGACACGCCACGTAGACCATTCCTCAGAATCTGATTGGATGATCTTACGTTGAAACAAGTCACCAAAACCCATCAAATCCTATTAAAAACTCCCCCACTCGCACACGCGCGCGTGAAGTCTCTCTTGTCTTCGTTTGTCTTTGGTTTTTGGACTTTGACCTTCCTTGGCTTTGGACTTGAGACAAAAAAGGAGAAGAAGACCGTCGTTGTTCTCCGATGGCGATTAACAGAATTTCTCATGGTTCGAGGGTTTTGGCGGTTGTATTGTTCTTGTTGACGGTTAATTACGGCGAAGCTATATGGTTGACGATTCCGACGACGGGAGGGACGAAGTGTGTCTCCGAGGAGATACAGAGCAACGTCGTCGTTTTGGCTGATTACTATGTCGTCGATGAGCATAATCCTGAAAACACTCCTGCTGTTTCTTCTAAGGTACGGTTCCGATTGTGCTTGAATCGCTTCAAAATTGAATCTTTTTTAGGAGATTGATTGGTTCAAATTTTGCGGGTCTTTAGGGTTTTGATGGTTTTGTTTTGTGGTTTAATCATCAAATTGTGAATTCTCTGTCGGTGACTTGGTACGGATCAAACTCATTGATGTGTGTTATTGAGAGAGCAATCATCAAACAATTGAAGATAATCAATAACTTTTATTATAAAGTTTTGAACTGTTTTATTTTATACATTACTCATATCTCACCATTAGGTAAATGATTGAAAGATGTATAAACTCTGACGGATTTAATCGAAAGTTACATGTTTTGTGCTATACCCTGATATTTGCAAATTTTCATGTTCTTAATGTTTTAAAGATGCAGATTTGTTGTTGCATGTTAATGTGGCTCATGTAGAAGCTAATCATTGGCAATAAGATTCATGTTGTCTTGTTTTTCTGTGATTACTTTGGATAGGTAACTTCTCCTTATGGGAACAATCTTCATCACCAAGAAAATGTAACACATGGTCAGTTTGCGTTCACAACTCAAGAAGCTGGGAACTACTTGGCTTGTTTCTCGATTGATTCCACTCATCCCTTAGCCAATCCTATAACCCTTGGGGTCGATTGGAAGATGGGTATTGCAGCCAAAGATTGGGACTCTGTTGCTAAAAAGGAAAAGATCGAGGCAAGTCTTCTTTGAACATCTATGTAAACATCTTTTTTCCTCTTCTTCTTTCTGATGTGAAAACTCAACGGTTGTGAATGTGTATTTTCAGGGTGTTGAGCTTCAGTTGAGGAGACTTGAAGGGTTAGTGCAGTCGATTCGTGAGAACATAAATTACATAAAAGACAGGTACGTGTCTTTCGCCCCGTTGAGTTGGGTATGAATTGGGATAACAACATAGTAATAAAAAGAAAATTTTGGATGCAGGGAAGCGGAGATGCGAGAAGTGAGTGAAACAACCAACTCAAGAGTGGCTTGGTTCAGTATAATGTCACTCGGGGTTTGCGTTGTGGTTGCAGGTACACAGATATTGTATCTGAAGCGGTATTTCCACAAGAAGAAACTCATCTAAAACTTGGCCTGAAGGATACTTACTATATAGTAGTAACATCACACATCCCTACTTTGAAAAGAGGGATAAGCTCAAGAATTGTAGAGTCAATTGGTTAAAATCGAACAACGCCTTTTCATTTATATTTTCTGTGAAACTTTACTACTGTGGTTAGTTAGAGATCATTGAGTTTGTGCACAGTCACTTTTGTGTTTTGATTGATCTCTGTTAGAGTTAGAAGAAAAATACAAGTAATGTGACAATGTACCAAAAGTTCTTTATTTCTCAGGCATTTTGGGTTAATTTTAGTATCCGAAATATCCAATATGATTAATGGCGCTATTAATTCAAGATTAAAATTACGTGACACAAAAAATTAAGATTAAAGTAAAATAAAATTGGGTGGCGTAATTCTTGCGAAGACGACAAATCTGATTTATCATGTAGACAAGCTTATTGTATGTTATGTCGTTTTCTATCATGTGTGGGAACAGTTAGACATCAGATCGAACATATATAATAAATGTGTTTATTCATAATGGAAGAACCAAATACATTTGGTTAGGTCATCTAAGCATTCACCACTAGTTTATTGACAACATTTTGTCCAAAACATTTATAAGTGAATTTTAAATTGCCTAGTTAAGGTAAAATATTTATATTTTTTTATTTTTTTCTCGCTTTCTGAATTATAATTCTACTGTTGTATTGCTGATATCATCATCGTGCTTACGGCTTACCTATGCAATGGATCTCTCTTGAATAACAAATATGAAAAGTTAATGCGATGAGAAATAATAAAAGTTGGAATATGTATATTAATTAAAAAAATTAAGAGGTGTAATCCATTAGCCCAAGTTATGGAAGATGGAAGTCCAAGCATGAATCCAACCAAAGTCCTTTCACTTTTGCCTAATCTCTTAATTCTTTCGTACGTCATCGTACGAACCTCACACTTACCATTACCAATAATTACTTTCACTTGTTGGCAAGGTAAATTTTCTGTTTTACATTGGTTATTAACATTACCATTTAATCACTTTCATTTCTTTGGTTTTGATAATTTATACTTCTTTTTATTGTTACTATTAAATTTTTCGTTTTTTGTTTTTTTTTTTGTTTTATGAGTTTATAACATTGAAAAATAAAAATAAAAATTTTAATCGTGAATAGGGCTTTCGATAACGTTAGACCAACCATATATATATATATATATAAAGAAAGAATCATCATAGTTGACAAAATAAAAATCATATATTCAAGATTGAAACAAGACACATCTAAAAAATTTAGACTCATGCTCTTGTGGGAGAAAATCATGTGGGTGGACGTGTGACTCCCCTATAGGCAACGAAGGTTAGGCTCGATGGTGAGCAAACTTTTCTGAAGTGTAATACATGACAAGCTCCCCAAGTCCTCAAGGCCAACAACAGAGAATATCGCATTAAATTTTTATATAGAGATAAATGTTTTGGGTTAGAATGTTTTATTTAATATATTAAAGCCGTAGAAATGTAACCAAGCAAACATTGCTTAGTTACTTGCTCATTCTCTGATTATGTTAATATCTTATAAGATTATAAGTTCCACTCCCAAAGGAAAAGAACAAAAATCCAATTGGCTGGTAATGCGTTTCATCCCACGTCATCGTTGTTTGTGACGCAAACTCACAAAGTGTGCGAATTAATATCTATTGATTCGCAGAAATTAATGAACCATGAAAGTAATTTATTCTCGTTAGTCGATACCATCTTTCCAATTTGCATAGCAAGTAAAATCCTTGCATAATTTGTGAAATGCTAGTCGATTCGATGCCCGTATATATATTTAGGTGTAATAATAAGTCGCATCCAAGGACCAAGATAGGTAAGATATGTTCGAATAAATTTCGTCGATTGAGAGGGAACATAATAAGAAGCAGCATCTAGTAACGTGGAAGATTGATGCCATGCTTAAACAGGCTAAACAAGAGAACATAGAATGTAATCCCTTTTACATGCATATATGTTTCTTTCTTCTTCCTTTTTGTTTTTTTCGATATACTAATAGTTTGTATATGTGAACTAATCTCAAACTTAACCAAGCACTCATGGACCACTCACACGCATTTTGATTGATGAGTGACCTGCAGAATTGATAACTGATAGAGCCTTAAAGAGTTTAGATAATTACTGACGTCTTAAATACTCATAAAGTAAAATTGTCCACAAAATTAGCAGATTGACGGCTATAGTTGAGTTTTTTTTTTTGTTTTTTTCCTCTAATAACGTAAAACCGTGTATTTGTTTTCTCTCCCATGTAGAAAAAAACTGATGTCTGGATTACAGATTTGAGATTTGCTAATGTTTTTTTTCTTGTTTGTTGCATGCGTATATGTTTGTTTATAATATTCTTAGGAACATAGAAGAAACCAATCTTAAAACGATCTACAAATCTTTAATTTAATATGAATATAAAACGGAACAACAAAAGTAGGCAGCCTTACTGATGACGAAACGAAGAGCACTAGTAGCCGCGTCGCATTAGAAGGACCTAACCAAGCTTGTCGTTTCATGGGACGAATCACAACAAAAGTGTATTACAAAAATCACATTTATTTTGCTTTCTGCTTCATTAATTTAGGGTTTCTTTCTTATAATAATTGTTTATAGTACTCTTGATTACCGTACAAAACGTGGTTCAGTTTACTCCGACCAGTTAATACGAAATATGCAAACATCATCTGCCATCTATTGTAGAAGATAGTCTACTTAGGAATGTTTACTAGATATAAGTTTGTGTGCCTTAATTAGTTCAGTCTCTTGAAATCAATACAATAGTTTCGTTCTAAATAGTAACTAGTAACTTTAAAACCAGACAAATAATGATAGGAAAACAATGATAAATTTTGACAGTATGATAATGGTTTGTTATAATGTATTCTAAATTAACATGATAATGGAAATTACCCTTTTTTTCTTGTTTTGGTTAAAAGAAAATTACTTTGTTGTTTAATTAACTAGTGGTAGGCATAGTTAAAATGTTCATACAAACAAATTTGAATTTTAAGATGAAGATTCTCGATATTCTATTATTATTATACTAATGACATAAATTATGAAAAAACACAAAATTTAAATAATGTCATGCAGATCCAGATGAAAATGTATATATTTTTGTTTTTGATAAAAAATGAAACTGTAATTTTCGGCTTCTTTCAGCTTATGATATAAATTAATTTTTCACACACCATTTTTAAAACAATAGCATAAACAAAAGGCAGCTAAATTAATCAGTGAAATCATCAAAACTGTTTTGAAAAACTTTTTTTTTTCCCCAAATAAAAAAAAATCGATTAGTATTGACAGTCTTGATCTTATATATTGGTTTTTTTTTTTTTTTTTTGGTAAACTGATCTTATTGGTTACGTTATAGTCACATGTGCGCACCACTTATAAGTACTTCGTCTCTAAATGTGGTACGAACTAACTTGAAACTAGCCTATTGAATTTTTTAGAAATTGATTAATCTTTGGACGAGATGGTGTCCACTCTTCAAATCACCACAATGTCCCCTATCTATTTTCCGCGACAAGATGAATAAGACTATGCACTAAACCTAACCATCATTCGCTTCTACACTATATTAAACTATAATATTAAATCAGCTAAAATTCATTTCTTTTTCCCTATAAAAAATTCAATATTTTTGGGTCATTATCTACGCGACACAACGGATCATTCACGCAACAGATCATTCACATACGGCCGCGCATAAAATGAATTCGTAATTCCCAGAAAATGTTAATAAACTATTTGAGAAATGAAAGGGTCATGTGTCCCGTCAATTCTAGTACTTATTTATTCTGATTTTCTTGCACATATATACAGAGCCGTCCCTGAAGTTTTGGTGGCCACAAGCAAATTTTTTTTTTGGCTGATATTCCCTTTGAAAAAAAGGGAAAAAAAAATCTCTTTTGCTGGGGATCGAACCTGCGACCAAATCTTTGTGTGGCTAGTATGTTTCCAGCTGAACTAAAGGATTTTCACGGAAAAATGGGGCCGATTTAGTATATAAATATATTGGGGCCGCAAGCACCAGCTTTGGTGGCTTGTACTCCTGGCCGGCTCTGCATATATAGATAGACATATATTCGTGGTTAGAACTTGTTGGTGCTACAAAAATGATAATCACCCACGTTACTCATGAATTAAAAAAAAGTTGCATAATGTTTTTTTTAGTTCAATGCATAATGTTTTATATACACTTATATATAACTATCTTTAACATTAACAAACAAAAAGACATATATATTAATCTAACAAGAGGTGAATAGTTTCGTGAATATCCAGGTTGATACTAAGTTCTCTTTTTGTAGATTCGACAAGTGTGATGAGTGGATAACAAATTGGATGACGTCTTGAGTGGATTGTATATGTACAAATATATAATGTAAGTGCATACTTTTTGATTCTTCGAAACTATTTGGTTATAACTTTCGGATATACATGGTTCGGCTTGGACGTAGAAGTCTATATATAATTTGGTATAGATTGGCACACTTACATATATATACTTTTTATCGGTACGATACTTTATGATTCATTATATATATATTAATACCACATTGACGAGAACATTCTCATCAGTGATCGTAGATTAATAATCTAGCCATCTTATTTATCAAAATATATAATCCAAAAAATGCGATATTATTTTCCATACGCAAGTGTTTTCAACCAATAGTCCAATATGGAGTATAAATTAATTAAGTAGGTATGTAATGTAACCAACGAAATTACGACCATATCCAGTTTTAATTACTAAGAACAAGACTATAGTTAGCCACACATAATGGATACGTACTCGATAACAATTAAAGAATCTATACTTTTTAAAGTGATGCTTAAATAACCAATATTGGATTGAAATATGCACTCGTATATTGCTTTTTGTGTCAGCACAATTTGGCTATATAAGCAAGTACCCTCTTGTAGTGTAAAATCATTCACAGTCATAACTAAGTACACTTGAATACATCAAATACCAAGAAAGAGAAACTTAGAGAGAAAGAGATAACATGGCGAGTGAGAAAATGTGGGGAGGGTTAATGAATAGTGTGAAACCATACTTAGCAATGATATCTATGCAATTTGGTTATGCCGGTATGTACATAATCACCATGGTCTCTCTTAAACATGGCATGAACCATTACGTCCTAGCTGTTTATCGCCATGCAATTGCCACTGCCGTCATCGCTCCGTTTGCTCTTTTTCATGAAAGGTATGGTTTTCATTAGTGATCATCATTAAAAGTTGTTGACTGCTTATCCATCTCGATTAAGAACACATAACCAGCCTGGTACATATGAAATTATCGAAGATTGATACAAACTATAAGTAATTTTGTTGTTTTGTGTGTGTGTCACTCTCATATATATAGATTGTTGTTAAACGTAAAACTCAAGAGAAATAAAATTCATGATTGACTGTAGCTAGCTAGGTTATACATATATAGAAGCTTCACTTTACATTAACTAATCAACGTAAGTAATTTTGTGTTATTGTTGATTATGCAGGAAAATAAGGCCCAAGATGACATTCCGAATATTCCTCCAAATTGCGCTGCTCGGTTTTATTGAGTAATACTCGTTAATTATTCTCATATATCATTCACACAAAAAACAAAACTATCGGAACAGTCTCCGATCCATATATGTTAATATATATAGTTAATGAAAATATTAATTGGAATAATTTTTCTAAAAAAAGTTAATTAATGAGGGTCAATACTCAATAAAATGACAGGCCGGTGCTGGATCAGAACCTCTACTACGTCGGGATGACTTACACGTCAGCAACTTTCGCTTCGGCTACCGCTAATGTCCTTCCGGCCATTACCTTCGTGTTGGCCATTATTTTCAGGTTTACGTTATTATATTTCTTCTTCTTATGAATTTATCAAACATTTTATGCCTATGAAAACCCTTTGGGGAAAAAAAAACATTTTATACCTAATATATTTTTACTGTTTGTGTTAAATTATGCGAAATATTTCTACTTTGATTCTTATCTTGGGAATTTTTTTTTTGACTTTTCCCATACCGTGGGAACAAGATTACCGGAATCATAGGAAAAACACAGTTAGTATGTTCGTGGAACATGATACCACACTAATTAAATAATTAACTATTATACACTGAAAGAAATATACTGGGTGAGATCACCATTTCCACTTACCGACTTACGTAAGATGTCATTATAAGTCTATATGGAATCTATAGAACATTACTGTTTGTTCATGCACATGTAAATTTAATACAGTAATTAACGATTTTGATTTTTAATATATAAATTTCAGATTAGAGAGCGTGAACTTTAAGAAGGTACGAAGTATAGCCAAAGTTGTAGGAACGGTGATCACAGTCTCCGGAGCACTTCTCATGACTCTCTACAAAGGTCCAATCATTGACTTTATAAGATTCGGTGGTGGCGGAGGAAGCGGTGACGGTGCCTCCCACAGTGGTGCATCAGCGGCGGCGTTGGATAAACACTGGATTCCGGGAACACTTATGCTCTTGGGAAGAACTTTTGGTTGGGCCGGTTTCTTCATTCTACAAGTGAGTTCCAATTAATTTACTTACAATTTTCGGTTTACTAATTTAACCAAACCATATGAAAAATAAAAAATCTAACCGGTTTTTGTCTTGTTATGTTAAAACGCAGTCGTTTACACTGAAGAAGTATCCAGCTGAGCTGTCACTAACAGCGTTAATATGTCTAATGGGAACGTTAGAAGGAACCGCCGTCTCATTGGTAACGGTACGTGACTTGAGTGCTTGGAAAATCGGCTTCGACTCTAATCTCTTCGCTGCTGCCTACTCCGTAAGAACAATTACCTAAATTTAATTTTATATGATTAATGATGATAAGGAGTAATTGAAAGTTGTGTTAATTAATGAACTAAATTAATGGTGATTAGGGGGTGATTTGTTCGGGAGTGGCGTATTACGTGCAAGGAGTAGTGATGAGAGAAAGAGGACCAGTTTTTGTTGCGACATTTAATCCACTTTGTGTCGTTATAACTGCTGCTCTTGGTGTTGTTGTCTTGTCTGAAAGTATTCATCTCGGAAGGTATTTATTATTCTTTCTAAAATTAGTATAAAATTTTTGGACCGAACTAATTAATTGTTTCTACTAAATGTTTTCAGTGTGATTGGAACGTTATTTATAATCGTGGGCCTATACACTGTTGTATGGGGTAAAGGCAAAGACAAAAGAATGATGGATGATGACGAAAATTGCAAAGGACTTCCGGTTAAAACTCCAGTTAAACCGGTAGATACCGGTAAAGACTTAGCCGTAGAACTGGAGATGAAACCAAAGGAAGGTCAAGTGACTAAGGCTACTCAAGTTGAGATTTGAGGATGCTTATGTGATGATGGAGACATAAATCAGTGTTTCTTTCTTTGTATATTTTAAGTTTATGTTTTTTGCTTTCCAAGGTTACAGAAAGATTTTGGCACATCAGATGTAATATGATGAGATGAATCAATCATCTTATAGTTTAACTAAAAGTTTTTGTGAGATATGCAACTTCCAAAATTATCAAAGAGATCAATAACCAATGTTTTGGTTTTACTCGTCAAGAATTGCACAAAGGAGTTTTTAATGTGCGGAAAATAAACAATTGTTGTTGAATCAAGATGACAAAACAAGGGAAAAAGAAGCAATGGAGATGAGAAATGTGATAAAGAAGTAGCTAACTGAGGAGGCAGAGGCGATTGAGATGCTACCGGCTGGACCATTAGCGGGGTTACCTGGGATGGAATCACCGCCTGAAGGAAGCACAGATGATCTTGGTGAAGATGCTATGGATCCTGGACCATCAAAATCTGGTGAAGGTGCTGGTGCATACATTACATCCTTTGGAACAGTATCCGGTGGAGCTAGAAGCGGCGCAAATTGTTGAGGTCCTGCATTTTTACCATTACACTTACATGAGACAGAATCCTAGCACATGATTCTCAATTACAAAGATAATATTGGTTAGATATAACTTACCAGGACATCGGGGTTGAAGAGACCTGGTCAGCCTATAAACGAAAGAGAAAGAAGTGGTAAATAGTTTGGAATCATTAGTAGGGGTATGTTGATAAGAGGAGAAGACAAAGTGAATGTATTTCTACTTACAAGGTCAATATAGTGCCGTTGGCAATACCATTGTAATCACAAGATGTAACATTACAGCCAGCACTACTCTGCTGCACCGTGATGTTACCAAGCATGAGGTTGCTGTTTCTACACTGCATACTTGAGCAAGAGACGGCTAATGAAGCAGGCTCACAATACAAACTGCATCACATCAGACACACCACAAGTGAGTAAAAATGCAATCAGAGATGATTTGATTAGTCATATCAATTAACATAGCTTCAGAGAGACGGAGAGAATCTTAAATATTATTACTTGCGACTCCCAAGTGCACAGCTGCATTGCACGCAGTGACCTGCAGCTAGAGCGTAGCTACCATTTGGAACGATCAATCCGAAATCCGATGCATATCTGGGGAACTTTGAAGCACAAGCTGAGAGAAGGTAAAAGACACAGAACCAAACATTAATAATCTGCTATTGCTCCTTGCAAAAGAAAACTCAGCCAAAAAAAAATACCACAAAGAGGGAAACTTTTGGTAGCTCAAACTCATACAATGCCAAAAACAATACCTTAATAAGAATCAAAACCCACAAACCAATCAACCAGCAATGAAAGAAACAATCAAAAGTTCACAAAGCTACACCAAAAATCCCAATTTGGCAACAGGCATTGACTGCAACTAACAATAGAAACTACTTCCCATTATAAAAACATCTAAAGATACAACTTTTAAAGATTGTATAGACCTGACCTGACAAAGGAACAGCGAGAATATCTCCAGAACTAACATCAGGAGCGCCCATAGCATTCACATTCATCAAATCAGTAATAGTAGTCGAATACCTCCTCGCAATTCCGACCAATGTATCAATCTCCCTCACAACATACGACAAATAAACCGCCGGCAAAGAATTGTCGGTGCCATTGAAACAAGCGCAAGGCAAGGGGATAACAAGACTCGTCCCAACATCAAGCAACGACGGGTCATTCACCGAGTTAGCTTCCTGGATCTGCTCAGCAGAGACCAAACCTCCATAAACAGAGTCAGCAATCGATCCTAGATTGTCGGAAGGTCGAGTTTTGTAATGGGTAGAGACAGATTTCCTGATTCCGTCGACGCAGGAGCAAGTGATTGGGATTTTGAGGAAGAGCTTTGAAGGAAGGATATGGTTTTCGACGTCTGGGTAAGAGATATCGATGGCGTTAGCTAAAAGGACTGAGATTGGGTCTACTTGGAAGAGAGATGCGACTTCTGAGACTTTGAGGTCGGTGTAGAGTGTGTAGCCGAGTAAAGAGTTGCAAGTGTCGTTGCTTGAGCAAGGCTCGATTGTTGATTTCGCTGTAGCTGTGAAGGTTAAGCTCGAAGCTAGGATTAGAGAGACGAAGATGAAGAAGAAGATGGGTTTTTCTGGGTTTTTCATTTTTGTAGTTTAGGGTTTTACAAAATTCAAAACTCTTCTAGGGTTTTCAATCTATCTTACAGGACAATGACAGAGAGAGTACAATGAACACAGTAAGTTTGGATTATGGAAGATGAATCTGGAGATTTTCAGGAGTTTGGTAGAGACTAGAGAGAGAATCTCTGGTTTTCTTCTAGAAAGAGAAGAAAAGTTTCACTTTTTTGAAATGGAGAGAGAGAAGAGAGGAGAGGAAGAAGGAGACAAGTGTGTTGTACAGAGTGAACAGAAAACGGTAGCTTTGCGATCTCCAAGACAGACAGACATCTTTTTTTTGTAAGCTGTTATGACTGAATTGCCCTTTACTCGTAAGTCCTTTGACCGGTTTCAGTCTTGCAGACAATTGTAGCATGAAGATTTTTTCAAATTCATTTTCCATAATGGAAGGACATGGCGGTAAATTCAGCAACATAAGTCGAGGCCCACTAAAAAAGCCCATTTTTACTTTTAGAGAAGCAACGAATTTTATGAGCTGTGTTTTAGAGCTAAAAGAGCCGCATTAATATTCTTTTCCCTTAAACACGGTTAAGCTCTTTGGTCTAAGCTCTTTTATGTATCAAGGCGGGAAAAAAGGAACATCCTTTCATTGTCAAATTAAGGTTATAATTTGATTCTTCAGAGATTCTCAAACTGGCAAAATTTGTCATGTATTAAGCCTGATGTTAGAACATGCATGAGAGGTAGGGGTTTTAATTTTTCAGAGTAGCTTGTAAAGTTGGTGTATCGTCAATTTAGCAGTATTTCTTGTTGCAAAAAATAAAAGCTGAGGTATGTGAAATCACTACCATAATTGACTACAAAATGGGCCTGCTTTAAGTATCATTGTGGTCATCTCTGAGTTGGTTTGATGAGGATATATAATTTAATAGTTCTATTATATGGGATTCAATTTATGTAGTAGCTCTTCTTTAGTAGCTAGCAGGAGGGAAGAGTAACTAACCACATAAAATGGCACTTTTTTTCTCTAATTTCTCTGGTTTGAAGTAAAAAGAAACACATATATTGGGATATCATTTACCTTTGGAAATCATATCCCGTAAGTTATGCAAATCACAGTAATTAGTTCCCTTAATCTCCGCTGTATATTCTCTCCAAATCTTTGGTATTTACGTTTGATTAGCTTGGTGACTACGCCTTTGTAATGTATATATATCTGTAATCGATTCTCAATGCAATGACATAGAAAACTCTTTCATCTCTACTCTTGATTCTTTATTATGCAAATCACAGTAATTAGTTCCCTTAATCTCCGCTGTATATTCTCTCCAAATCTTTGGTATTTACGTTTGATTAGCTTGGTGACTACGCCTTTGTAATGTATATATATCTGTAATCGATTCTCAATGCAATGACATAGAAAACTCTTTCATCTCTACTCTTGATTCTTTAACATAGTTAAACTAAAGTCACTTGGGGATGCTCAAGATCAAATCTAACTTCTCAGTCTGTAGAATTTACCTATGATATTCAAACTTTACTCTCGAGTTTATCATTAACAAGAGGAATCAGTTCTGTTTTGTTCCTTGGGGTACGAGGGGTTCGAGGAGTTCGAGGAGTCCTTGGAGTTCCTGATTGTTGCTGAGAAAGCATGTGCCTTACATAACCATAAAATGTGCAGCCCACAAGTGTGATTCCGCAGCCAACAGCATTCATCGGTGATATCGGGTTTCGAAATATCATCCATGAAACAAATACAGCCACTGCAACCTGAAAATCACATACCATCCATCAAACTTAGTGAGTTAGATTCAATTTTTGGTTTTGGAAACAACCACAAGATAAAGATTAATGTTATGTGGTTTAAGATTTGTTGATGTACCTTAAGGTTTCCAGCTACATTGAATGTGACTGCTGTTGTGGAGTGAATGACATAGAAGATGGAGAAGTTTAGACAGAAAGCGAGAACACCTGAGCTGAAAATAATGACGAGGGCCGACCATGGAGACGGGTGTGCTTCAAACCAATCCAAAATTCCATTGCCTTCAAGTAAAAATGCTGGTAACCCGAGAATCATGGTCGCGAAAGGCGCCATATAGTATACTGTGTTTATGCTATATAGAAACACATGGAAATGAGAAGGAGAAATACTAAGTTCCATAAAATATAAGACAGCAATCAAGTGTGCAAACAAATAGAAAACAGAATTCACACTTGGACTATGAGAGCATGACATGAACAATTACCGAGTCCAACAAGGCATGTCACTGAAACCAAATGTAAGTATCATACTTTCAACACCTATAATGTGAAACTGAAGATCAAAACCTCAGGAATCAGAACACTGACCTGTCAAATTTGTATCCATGAAGAAGAGATTCAGCAAGAATGGTCTTTGTAGAGGTAGCTAAACATCCAAACAAAGCAGCACAGAATCCAAACACATTAAAGCTAAGCTCTGTAATAGAAGTCAGAAGAATCCCACCAACAATAGGCACCAACGACGCCCAAATACGCCATTCAAAATATTTCCTCCATACCAACCACTGTAACACCACTGCCCTCAAAAACCATTACACAAAAACCAATAAGAACATCAAAAAAAGATCACTGTTTTTTGCAAATTCTCAATCTTAAAAAACCCTAACCTGTTGTTGCAGGAGTAAAAGATTTGATAGTCTGCATAAAAGAGACAGGAATATATCTAAGACTGATATTCCCCAACACAATGTTGATACAGAACACAAATGACATTGGAAAAATCCTCTTCCACCTATCTTCTGGATCAACCACAATCAAAGGTTTAAGCTTTAAGACTTTGATCACAATGTAAGCTCCAATCGAAGAACATATGAAATGAACACATGAAACTGACAATGGAAATTTGAAATCCAGTTTCTGCAAACAAGGAAAGGTACCAAATTTCAAACACAGATCAGATCAAACAAACGAAAGGCTAAGTCTTTAATGATAAAAGTAAGAGACTTTAACCTGAAAGATCCATTTGTTCATGATGATAACAGTAACGTTAAAACCCCACCATTGAAGAATCGATAACAGAGATCTGAACATACTCCATTGATGCCACAGACTTCCTTCCTCCATTATCACTCTCTATTAGAGCCGCGAATCAAGAAAACCCCAGAAATTTTTGATGGGTTTTGAGAAGTGAATCAGTGAGAAAGAAGAGAAGGATCTAAAAGATGAGACTTTTAGGAATGTTGCAATTTGCAAAGAAACCCTAATTAAAGCGCGAAGAGGAACAGAGTAACGGTAGCAGTTAATGCAAATATCGTTATGCTTATTATACAAGTTACAAAATTTCAGTTGTTACATATATAAATGTAAATAATTTAGCTTTTTAACAAATCTTACGTATATAAGTAAACACAGTGCCGGCTTAGCTAGGAGGGCAGAGTGTGCAGCCACCAGGGGCCCACAGAATAAGGGGGCACACAAATTTTTTTGTTTGTTTGTTAGCATAGCAGAAAAAAAGTAAATCTTCGTACGAAAAAAAAATTTAATTAAAAAGGGTCCATAAAATTTCTGAATTTCTTTCTAAACGTAACAATTTTTTTTTTTTTAATTGGGCCAAAATGTTGATTTACTTTAGCCCAACAATTAATTGATTTATTGGGCCAAATTTTGTCTACTTAAGAGCAAGGGTTTACACCAATAAACGATTAATGTTCTCACAAAACTTTTCACCTTCTCAGTTCTCACAACGTCTCTTTGACGTGATTGAATCTCTTTTCTAGCAAGTGTTCACGGATCAAGACTCAAGAGACAATAATGAATGATTTCGTTTTGGATCTTATACAATAGTCAATTCAGTTCAAGTTCTCTGTCTCTGTTTATGTAAGTTTTCAATTTTCGGTTTTTATTGTATTTTTGCTCTGTTTGAACTCATGTTCTGCTTGAATTTTGCTCTGCTTTTTCTAAAGTTGTGTTTCCTAAAACTGGAACTCACTTCACTAGTCACTAACAACTGGTCACTAATATCTTTCAGGTTTACATTGTTCTTTTGGCATTCAAAAAATCAGATTCATTCTTCAAAATCAAGGTGCTATTCTTCTTTACTTTGCATTTAGATTGCATCATGACGGGACAAAAGCCTGGATGTCAGAAAAGAAAAAAAAAGAAAACAAGATGAATTGTTTGTTCAATCACTAAGAGGCTCTTTAGATAAATTTGTGACAAGAGCAAGTCCAAATGAAAATTCAGTATCTAGTGGTATAAATAATGTTTCTCAATCAAATAATCATTTTGATGATGACGTTAGTCACTTGAGTGAGCATGATAATGTGGTTAATGCATCTAATGTTGAAAGGTCAAATGTTTGTGAGCATGATAATGTGGTTAATGCATCTAATGATGAAAGTTTGAATGTTTGTGAAAACCCAAGTTCTCTTGTTGATAAGTTTGATCCTAAGTATTGGGAAAACCTTGATAATAAAATGAGAGATGTGTTAGTTAAAAAAGGGCCTCAAAGAGAAATGAATCTTGTGTTTCCTTTAGATGAAAACAGTAGGCATTTCTCGTATAGTTATTATTCGAGGAAGTTGCGTAATGGGGAAACTAGTGATAGAGATTGGTTGGTTTACTCAAAACATGTGAACAAGGTTTATTGCTTTTGTTGCAAATTGTTTAAATCGAGAAGCTGCTCAAAAAATTTGCTTGCAAGTGATGTAAAGGTCTATATTCATGGAGATGGAAAAGCTACAAGAATCTTACAAGACGTCAAGGCTAACTAGAAACAGAAGAGAGCACAAAGTTATAAGAAACACTAGAAAATGAGCGCACAATGAAATTTGTTTTGTGATTGTGGTTGTTTTTACATTTGTTGCTTTGTTTATGTGAACGTTGTTTTTTTGTTTTTTATTTGTGTAAACGCTTTTTTTTTTATATAATAGGACTCTGTTTTTGTTTTTGTCAATTTGCCCCGGGGTCTATCAAAAGCTCAAGCCGGCACTGAGTAAACATTGTTAAAGAAAAGTAATTATAGAAGAAGTACTTGAAAATATTGATGGATACAATGATACAAAAACATAAATATATAACTTATGCATAAAGAAAGGTGACAATTTTTGTAATTTCGATCATTTACGGGTTACAGATCCAGCTAAATCGTCTGCAGAACCTTTTGATAGGACCACCATTACCTCGAGGGGCGATGTATAGCCCACCGTTCATTGGATCACACATTATCTTGCAAGGATTGTCACATATGGCTGGAGTCGCTTTTTTTGATGCTTTCATGCACACATTCACGACACAATCTTTGACACACGCATCTATCGAGTTGGAATGAGCTGAAAACATCGTTGCAAATAAAATTGCAATCATCAATACACTGCAGATTGTTTTTGACATTGGAGCTGCCATGTCGTAAGTATCGTGAGTCTGCAAATCTTAAATTGTAATGTTTTTTGTTTTCTTTTTGTTGTGGTTTTCGAACGAGATGATTTGGTGAGAATGTTGGGTTGATGTGGATGCTTTATATAGTTAAATAGTTTTAGCTGATTTTAGAAGTAACTAACTATTAGGAGGTTAACTTTTTTTTTTCGTTTCTTTTTCTTTGGTAAATATATCGATTGATTTCTGGACAACTTAAATGTGTTATACTGTTTTGGTCATCTAAACAACTATTTGCTATGCATAAATATAGTAACACTAATTGCTCATATTAAAAATATTAGCCAATACAACACATATCTTAGTGGCATTTTCCTCATAAAATTCGTAACCACGTTTCGTTACGAATATCGTAATATACACATGGTTAAGAATTTGTAACTTTATCAATAACGGTATTAAAATACATCTATATTAAATGATAGAAGATTGCATGTGCTGATGTAGTGATGTGCATGTTAACTAGGAATGGTTACCTTTTTGTTTGACGGCCAGATTGAAAATACTTTACGCCTAGGATGGCTTGATATAATGAAGAAAAGTTGTAAGTTGTAGAAAAAAGAATATATGAATTGGTTTTCTTCCTTATGATCTTTAAATGCAAATGCCTAGTTAGATAAATTAAACAAATTATTCAAATGCCTAATTTAATGTTACCATAACCAGTAACATTAAATTACAAAATATTATTCAGAATGCCTAATTACATAAAATAGTAATTAATTCAATCAAATTATTCAAATGCCTAATTCCTTATATGTAGAAAGCTTTTTAATTAATTACTATTTTATGTAATTAAGCATTTTGAATAATATTTTGTAATTTAATGCCTAATTCCTTATATATTATTTTGAACAGTAGTTAATTAAATAAATTATTCAAATGCCTAATTAAACCGAACTACCTTGTATATTTATAGTTTTTTTTTTAATTAAGTAGTATTTTATGTAATTAGGAATTTTAAATAATTTTTTGTAATTTAATGTTACTGGGTATGGTAACTGTAAATATTTTCTTTGAATCTATCAAAATTTTGATGTTATCAAATCATGACTTCTAAAATCCAGTATCTTTTGAATTTGGATGAACAAAATCTAAAAACCATAGACGATCAGATAATGCTTTGGGAAACTAACTTATGATATTAATGTATCTTCATAGATTAGTCAAATCAAAACAAACAAATGAAGATATTTTAATTTTATTTAATTAACAAAATGTGGAGAAAAAGAAAATTGTTTGACTGCATATTTTAGCATGTTATTTAACTTTGCTTTTTTTCTCCCACACAACACATATATAAACGTTTTCACATCCTCTTTGTCAAACATAAAAATGGAGGTCAAAAGCGTGAACACCACGGCGATGATACTTGGTCTATTGTTTCTAATCAGCTTCGTCGCTGCGGAAGATCCGTATAGATTCTTCGAATGGCACGTAACGTATGGTAACATATCCCCTCTCAACGTTGCACAACAGGTGCTTTATCTTTTAACCTTATCCCCACCAAATTAATTATTTGTTGGTTTGTTAATTGGATTTAAGTTTATATATTTACCATTTTGTCTAGTAGGGTATATTGATCAATGGGAAGTTCCCAGGACCGAATATCGTCTCTGTTACCAATGACAATCTCATCATTAACGTATTCAACCATCTCGACGAACCTTTCCTTATATCATGGTATATATGTCTCCTTTTCCTTGAGAGTTAAGGTTTTCGTAAGAAAAACAGACATTTATATTTCATTTACATGCATCAAAATCATTTTAATTTACTATATGTCTTTGTTAGTTAGGATTAGGATATACTCTGTTTGAGAATATAACTATACATGGATATTTAAAAAAAAAAAAAAAACTATACATGGATATGCGTATATTCTCAAACAGAGTATATCCTAATCCTAAATAACAGTCTTCAAATTCATATTTTAGATATATGTCAGTTGCATCTATAAGGTATATAAATCGTTCCATAATAGATACTAACTTGTTCTAACCAAAAAATTTGGAATCATATAATTCTTCAATTTAAATTTAGACGGTGTATTTGCATGGTGATTATACATGAAATTTTTAGGAGAGGACTCATTGTTCCTATTTGATGTCTTTTTGTAAAGGAGCGGGATTCGAAATTGGAGGAATTCATACCAGGACGGAGTGTACGGAACGACGTGCCCAATCCCGCCAGGAAAAAACTACACCTATGTTCTTCAGGTTAAAGATCAGATTGGAAGTTTCTACTACTTCCCCTCTCTCGGCTTTCACAAAGCCGCCGGTGGATTTGGAGCTATTCGTATCTCCAGCCGCCCCAAAATCCCCGTTCCATTCCCAGCTCCCGCTGATGATTACACCGTTCTCATCGGTGACTGGTACAAAACCAACCACAAGGTACAATTCTCCTCTTACGTATGACGCAAGGAAAGGGGGGGAAATAGTAGGGCGATAAAATGATTATATTTTGTTGACGGTTTAGAGAATGGGACAAAGTGTTTGTATTTTGAAAAAATTTGCAAAGCTGCATGCATGATGTATATATATATACTTAAACGTTGTTGCTTGTTGGAATTTTGAATTAAATATTGTAATCTCTCCTTATAGGACTTGAGAGCACAACTCAATAATGGTGGAAAGCTTCCTTTACCAGATGGAATTCTCATCAATGGTCGCGGTAGTGGCGCCACACTCAACATTGAACAAGGTTTTGCTCTTTCACTTTCTTTGTCTTGTTTATTGGTGATTCTCTGACTGTAGTGTTAATAAGTTATGATGTGAGTTTTTCTGTAGGTAAGACTTATAGACTGAGGATATCAAATGTTGGATTGCAAAACTCTCTCAACTTCCGAATCCAAAACCACATGATGAAGTTAGTTGAGGTCGAAGGGACACACACTATTCAGACTCCATTCTCTACGCTTGATGTTCACGTCGGTCAATCTTACTCGGTCCTTATAACAGCTGACCAACCTGCAAAAGATTATTATATTGTGGTCTCTAGTAGGTTTACCTCCAAGATCCTTATCACCACCGGTGTTCTTCATTACAGTAATTCTGCTGGACCTGTTTCTGGACCTATTCCAGATGCACCAACTCAGTTGCAATGGTCTTTTGACCAAGCACGAGCCATCAAGTATTGTTTCATTCTTTCATTGACAATTACAATCTTTTAGTTACTTAGTGGTGCAACCGTGTTTGAGCGGGTTTGTTTGTGTCTTATAGGACCAACCTTACAGCGAGTGGACCAAGGCCAAACCCTCAAGGTTCATACCACTATGGCAAGATAAATATCACTCGAACAATCAGACTTGCTAACTCTGCTGGAAATATCAAAGGCAAGCAACGATACGCGGTGAATAGTGCATCATTTTACCCAACAGACACCCCTTTGAAACTAGCGGACTACTTCAAAATTGCCGGTGTATACAATCCTGGAAGCATACCTGATCAGCCCACATATGGAGCAATATTCCCTGTTACATCAGTAATGCAAACTGATTACAAAACTTTTGTGGAGATTGTTTTCGAGAACTGGGAAGATATTGTCCAGACCTGGCACCTTGACGGTTACTCTTTCTACGTGGTTGGGTAAGTTAAACATTCATATTTGCATCCACAATATCCACACGGTAAAGTTTGGTAGCATTCTCTAAACCAAGATAGAGTTCTTAAGAAAATCGAAAGTTGTGTACATTTTCAATATTTTTGACTGATGATACACTTGGTAACTATTAGAATGGAACTTGGGAAGTGGAGTGCTGCCAGTAGAAAAGTCTACAATCTAAACGACGCAGTCTCACGCTGCACTGTTCAGGTGAGAGTCCTCTAAAGCTTTAGATTTTGTTCACACAGTTGGCAATAAAAGCTCAGTATGGGTTATAAAAAAGGTGGATCATTGGATGAATTTGTGCAGGTGTATCCCAAATCATGGACTGCCATATACATATCACTGGACAATGTAGGAATGTGGAACCTAAGATCAGAGTTATGGGAAAGACAATACCTGGGACAACAGTTCTACATGCGTGTTTACACAACCTCCACTTCCCTCAGAGATGAGTACTTGATCCCGAAGAACGCTCTTCTCTGCGGCAGGGCCACTGGCCACCACACCACGGCGCCGCTGCTGTGAGTGAAGTGAGAGGTTTGATAGACGATTGCAATGACTTTCTGAAAAACAATTCATATTTCCTTTTGGATTCTAGGTCACATATATATTGTTGATTAACAATAATTATTTAAAAACAGATTTGTCTGCAAATACATAATATGATCCAAATGAACAATTAACAATATGCACATAAACTACAAACAAGTATAATTTGATGAACTAATTGATGTAACCTCAGTTCTTTCCATTGATGAGGAGGACAAGTGAGGCTATATCATATGCTTCATCAAGAACAAAACAGTCTGGAAAACAAGTAACCGTGGCAACCTTGCACAACATCCAGCAAAGGAGAAGTCTGACATGCTTCACTAGCTTCACGATCCATCCATTTCTCTAAAACTGTTTCAGCTACAATAGCAATGCGATGCTGCATCACGGAAGCACCCATCGGTCCCACTATGTTCAATCTCGTTGCAGCCGAGAGAACATCTCTAAGCGTTACAAACAGATACGCTCTCTGAGAAGTCTCGGGATCCATACCGAGTAAGCCACATACAAGCCCGAATATCGGTGCATGGTGGAAATATACATTTTTGGAGCCCAAAGAAGCGTCACGAATCATCTTAAGATTCGGTATCTCAGTGAAAACTGAAGCAACTATACGAAACAACGCTGATCCTTGTGAAATCGATGCCTTGGAAGAGACTTGGTTAGTTAAAGTAGCGTTAAGAATTCCATCAAGTTTGTGCCATGTCTCAATATCAGGAGATTTGAGAGTAGAGTAGACAAAAGGAAGCAATAAGCTAGCTGTGTTATCCAACAGATGAATGATATGAGTTTCTAAATCTTCAGGAGACGAAACTAACCGAGTCTGAACCGCTGCTTCTAGACCGAAAGAATGAGCAAATCCTCCTGTTGGTAAAATTGAATCAAGTAATTGCCACTGACTCCACTGCATACAAGAAGCTGCTCTTGACATAACAATGTCGCATCTTTCGTCTTCTTCCATCAATTAGACCTCTTTCTAAAGAGAAGTAAACACACAATGATGCATCAATATAGAGAAACCATCAGAGCAATGTTTCAACATAAAAAAGCGATTTTTATACTTGATAATCTAAGAAACTGGAACAGAACTATAACAGTGACTATATCAAGATTATTCAGATAAATTCGGATTCTTGATTCCATTGAATAGGTGAAGATGAAAACAGAGTATGCTCAACGAAATCCACAACGCAATCGATCAGAAAAAAAAGTCTAAAGATCTCCTAACAAATGAGATTGAAAAACCGACAACGTAATCGACAGAGGAAGCTCTTTTGATTACCGAGAAGCGTCGAAGAAGATGAGTGATAGAGAGAGATAGACTTCAGTGTCTCGACGGATACAGTGGCGGAGGAATAACTCCGGCGGAAGACGAAGGAACTAAACATTATTAAATCAACTTGATTTGGTTTTTACGGTTAAATTCAAAACCAAATGAGAACCGACCGGTTTGCATCTAAACCGAACCAAACTGTTTTGCAGATTTTTTTTTTTAATTAAAAATTTGTTTGTTAAAGAAAAGGAAGTATTTATTTCACAAAAACAATGAACATGTCTACTATAGTGATATCAAACAAATACATCACACATACAAAATATTTATATGTTAGTCATGCAGAAAATAAAACAAGGGGAGTTTTCGTAATTCGGAACTAGCAATACTGAGGCATCCATCTACAGAACCTGGAGCTTCCCTTAACAGGAACAATAAATTTTTGACCACCGAATAGTTGATTGTTGCAGATTTTCTTGCAAGCTTCATCACACATTGCAGGAGTAGGGTTTTTTGCCTCTTTCAAGCACTGGTTCTGTGCGCAATGTTTCACACACATTCCTATACTGTTTGAGTGAGCAATGTGTGCTGAAAACATCATCATCAATATAGCTACGATCATGAAAACATTGCATGTTTGAGTCGCCATAACGTCGTTTTTAATTACTAGTGATGATTTAATACAAATGAGTATTACAACTTTTTTTGTACTCTTTGTTTATAACTGTGAAGAAGATGATTTGGTGGGTAATGTTGGGTTAGTCTTGGTGATTTATATAATGAAACTAATGTTGTCCATTTTTAGCAATTGTTTTAAATTTGTTTCTTGTTTCTCTCTGTATATAGCCAACAAATTGTAGAGTTAGTTGTGTTTTACATTTTTAGTTGTCCAAACAAATTATTGCTATGACATAGCTTGCAGATATACCCATATGCAATTTTGGTTTTATTTTGTAACCACATGTTGTTACGAATATTGAGTTGTAGTAGCAGCATAGATCTATTGGATTAAATCTATTAAATGGTTCAGTAATATATGTGAATATGAATGCTGTAACGATTCCAAATCCAGATCAGTTAAATTTGGTCACAGAATCTCTAAGCTCAAAAGAGACATAATCGTAGGATCTCGATCGCTACTGTCGTCTCTTATCCTATTGTTTTCTTGTCTTTCCCCATGTGATGCTAAAAACTTTTAATTGAAAACACTTAACAAAAAAAAACCTTAAGGATTTTTTTGGGGTAAAAGACTCAAATTGAAAACAGAGAAGTGACCCACAAATATGATACCCATACCATAAAATCCCATAATGGGAACATTACTTGAATCCTACCCAAAGATTCTCCATTCCTCCCATGTGATCATTCTTTTTTAGTTTTTTGTTTTACTTCACTTTTTCTTATATAAAAAGGTCCTTTTTCTTTGTGTGTTCTATAGATAACCTTGTAGGACTACTTTCATTCTTTCAAAATTGATAAGATCGTATAATTAATTACACGGATCTGAATAATGGCCATGTGAATATCTATCAAGAAGTGGACTGAACAAGACTTTTATCGAATTAACTATGCAACAATAAACTGATATCTATATCTATATTCTGGAATAACGTTATCTTTAGGAAAACGTATTTTGGACAAATGGTAGATTATCTTATAAGTCCAAGATCCAAAATAACATCTTTCAATCAACATTATAACATTTTTCTTTTGGATCAATGGATCAAACCACTCGGAACCACAGATCAATAGACAGGTAATTTTCTTAAATATAAAAAGTTAATTAGCTCTTATCTCTTAAACTATATTAACAGTGACAAAAGCTAGTTTAAACCGAGATTTCTTTATTTTTCAATTTATCATGGCCGGAACCATCCGACCGAACCGGTCCAAATTGGTTTGAAAACCATTGTTGTTTAATTAAGTCATACACTAAAAGCTTTGATCATTGTGAGTAGTAGTAGTATAGTGTAAAGGAAGTATGTGGGATGGTCTAATTGAAAAAGTGATGATACATTGAAACTCATCACTACACATAACATATCACCTGTCAATGTCTCTCTAAGTGTTTGGGTCTTTAGCTCTTGATATTGAAGCCTGTCTTCTTCTTTTTATTTTTTTAGATCACGTGAACGCTCAAAGTTTTTGACCAACAAATAAAATGGACCCCTTTTATGTTCACATCCAGACCCCAACTTTATAAATTAGGTCAATCTAGCTCATAAACTTTAATCATGATTTATTTACTTATTCAATTCACATTTGGATTATAAGCACGTGATTTGAAATTTGTGAAGACAAATAGAAGACTTATTTTTAGCAATTTTCAAGATGATTAGCAAATACGGGGAAATTTCATCAAACCCTAAGCTAAATCTGATCTTTTGTTTCGCCCAAAGAAGAAAGAATTGCAGATGAAGCGATATAGTCTTGATAATGGAGAATTGCCCATGTGATGTGAGAGTGCCATTTAAAATTGAGAGGAAAACATAATAATTCTCACACGGAAATAAAATGAAAACTAAAATAATTTATATAACACATAAGTCGATCTATTCATTAATTATCAAATAATGTTGGTTTGAACTAAACGTCGACATGATGAATTCTAAGTTCAAAGAAAAATTGAGTTTCTAAAAAGAAAGGGTTTGAGGATTTGATTTAAATACTTTTGACAAGTGTTTCTGAATGTAAATAACTATAGGCCGAAATTTCGACCAAGTTGTAAGAAAAAAAACTTGAAGTGAAAGTGAGGAGATAGAATTGAATATATTGTCGAATATGGAGAGAGACCTTCAAAATCACTCACACTATCAAAGAAAAATGACTTGTATTAATGGGTCCCTTATATTCGGATACATTCTCTTTTTAATTACGAATGCTACAAGTGGATGTTTCTCGGCCAACACGTCCAAAAACTAATTTGATTTTTTCTTAACAAACAAATATAGATTCTCTGTTCACAGTATGTTTTAAAAATTTGATTACTAGTTTTTAATAATATCTATTACACATGCCACGGATCCACAAGCGATCAATCATCCTGCTCTAACTATCTGTTCGAGTCTATATCTAGTAAGACCAGAACATGCTTCGTCGAGTTGGCTACTTAACAATATCTGAATTCTAATATATTATTGATTTCTTGAAGCAACAACGTTCCTAGATATTAAAATCGGTTTAAGTATTTGTCTGACCATCGTAAATTTATAAATACTTTGATATATGATATCTCGAATACCCGTAGGCCATGATAAAAGTGCTAAGTTCAATATACTTGCCTCATCCTGTATGCTCATCAAACAAATAAAAATTAACCAACTCTAAATCTAGGGTATACTATTATACTATATACACTAATTTTCTAGATTATGTCATTATCTGAAAACAATGATGTCAACAAAATCTACTAATTAAAATGAGCTTAATATTAATTAAAATCATGTCATATTAAATCAATAATATTTAATCATAATTAAAAGACTTGTCTTTTTTTCTCTTTCTTTTTCTTCCGGCAACTAAAAAGGCTTTATCTACTTGGAATTTTTTTGTTGTTAAAGTACTCGGAAACAATATGAAAAATATATAAATATATCCGATATATATATATTACAAAGCTTCAATTTCAGACCTAAGCCCATCTCTTTGTTACATATCTTTATATATCTCTCTCTCTTTCCTCTCTCTCAATTCTCTTCTCCTCTCTTCGGAAGTGAAGATGGATATGTACAAAGATGATAGCTCACCATACTGTTATTTCCATCCGAAGGAAGAGTATGTTGGAGTTTGTCCTCTCTGTTTGAACGAGAGGCTTCTTGTTTTAGCTTCAAAACAGAGATCATCAAGAACCAAACACTCTTCCTCTTCACCAATCATCAGCCTCCCTAAGATCTTCGCCTTGAGCTCTCTCCTCAGTCGCCTCGATCTCCGTCACCGGAAATTCCATCCCTCCTCCGATCTTGACGTCTCCACAAGCCAAGAAGGTACACAATTTTTATAAATATCACTTTAATTATACACATATATTATACTTCATAATTCAAGATCTAATTCCAATTGTGTATTTTCCTTTTTTTTCCCCTTGACATACGGGATTTTCCTTTTACCAAATTAAGATTTAATCCTTATTTGCAACCATATGTACATATTTTTTAGTAGAAAGCCATTTATCAAATAAGGATCATATAGAAACATTCATATACACACTTATATTAGACTTTTCTTAATTCAAAATGAGTGAATAAAATATTATCTTAAACAGCCAGCTGAAAATTTTGTTTTACTTGATATACGGCTAATTATCTTTTATAGTTGGTAAATAATGTAGTGTATATTAATATAATATCTTAATTAATGTACAAGATCAATTATGATTGAAATTTGAAAAGTTTTATATATTGTTCAGATTCGTTTATATCGATAAAATTCGAAAACGATGGAAACGCGTCGTGGGAGAAGAAAGCAGTAGTGACAAAGGTTTGTGTAGACAACAACAAGAACAACACAACAAACTCAACATGCAAGAAGCAGCAATCTCCTATAACGAGCAATACCAGTATCGTAGAGCACAATAGTGCCAAGTCATCGCTTAGGTGGGGCAAACGTATTGGTCATCTCTTCCACGTCATCAAACTCAGATCAAGATCATCCACGTCGTCTTGCCACGTGGCACCATCCAAGGTCGAAGGAGCCAAAGTGAGGAAACAGGGTTGGATGGTGAGGACCTTAACCAGAAGAAAATCCAGGAAAAGTAAAAGTTGAATTTTTCTTATAATTAATTTTATTACACTTTTTAAAATATTTTTCTACATATTTTTTTTTAGTTTAATATTTGGTTTGGTCGTTTTTTCAATGATTGATGCTTCTGTTTGAAGAAGAATTATGTGGAAGTTTTTTTGTAAGTAATGACGAGACATGGATTTAAAATCGATTGAACTATCCATAGATTAAATTATTGAGTTGATTAGATTTTTGTATGGAGATGTATTACATATAATAAGCATATGTAAAGGGACAAGAGTCTTACCCTACACCATACCTCTTTGTAGGCATGTGGTCTGAATGTGATAAAGCCATTAAAAGATGGGAGAAGGGTCAAATTAGCCTTTTATCATTATTTCAATATGACAAAAAAGAAAGTTTTGAACACAAAAGAAAAGAAAAGAAAAGAAAAAGGTATAATTAAAGAGAGCGAAGAAAACTAGAAAAGTGAGATGCTTTAATATAAATAATTTTGCATGGGATTCTTGAAATTTTTTCTATGACTATAGTGCTCTCACCTTAATTTCCTTTTTATTATTTTACAAAGAAAAGAAAATGAGAGTAGTACAAGTTATAATGCAAGAAGAAGAGTCCATGTTAGGTTGTTCACAATAGTGGGAAACATTTGAGCATAAAAAATGGACCCCAAAGCATTGCCCCATTCACATTGTCTTATAGTTGTCTCTTTTCTATATACATTGTATATTTTGAAATCCCAAATTTAAAGAATTTTTTTATACATATTATTAGAAATTATCGAGATAGTTATAGCACATCCGTTTATGTTGGAGAGTTGTTCATGTCATCCGAATATACATTGAGTTTTACCAAGTTCATTTTGACTCGAGCGGAATTGGTTAAAATGTTAAAATCAATAGTAGATTCATTTGACAACTGATTTTGATATTTGATCTTTATTGTGTTTGAGGTGACAACTCAAAGAAAAAAGTGGCTTTATTTTGTCTAAGTTCAAGCAAAAGTAGGAAAGCAATGTGACTTCTCCAAAGAAAATTATGTAAGAATTTATCAATGTGGTAAGACTGATGCGAAGGAAAACCTAATTTTTAGGTTAATAAAAGGACGAGTAGACATTTGTTTGTTTTGTGACTTTTGTCTACTCATTTTTTGCGTCCGTTTTTTGAAACTTTTTAAAGTGTTTTGAAGAATCGAAACTTTAAACATGTATTAAAAAGTAAGTATTACCTCTTGAAACAAATTAAAACGAGGTTGGATTGTCAAGAATATCAAAGAGAAATAGTACGTAATTGAATGTTTAGTCGATTATTAGTTTTGTTGATTATGGTAATCAAGATTATTTGCCACCGTTTGACACATATTCTCCGATTTATGATATCAAATGTATAGTGAAATTTTTTAATAGTTTTTTTTGCATGAATTTCGTAAATTTTTTGTTTCTTTTGTCGAGAGCGTTGGCTGTAGGGTTAAACGGGACCATTTCAATAGATGATCGTATTCAAGATTAGGAGGAGGACCACCTCCTACCTATTTTTTTAACCTAACATAAAAGATTTTGGAAAATTAAAATGAAATTTTCATAAAATATCCCCATTTATATATGTTGATCCAAAAAAATCTTAAATTAATTATCACAAAAAAAAAAACACCAAGACAAGGATCCTTGATCAAGACGTAAGCCCTATTGGTCTGCATATATATAGACACGCCTATACGAAAATGCGAATCGTATAAAACGACTTGGGGATTAAATTTAAAACATTTGATTTATATTAGTACAAAATATGAGATTTTACGACAATAATTTGATATTGAATGATAATGCATGGTCTATATCTATAAACGTAGGTCGTGGTGATTCATGAGTGACAATAACATGTGGGATTCAAATTTCAAAGTCTTGAACTAAAGAAAGTGACGTATACTTGGAACTACTATCAACTACAACATTTATCCAATTTTTTTTAGACGATATACTGTATGTGTTTGTACTTAATTCATGTCATTTGTATGAATATTTATCCACTTAGCGCTCTGTTTTTTTTTTTTTTCCAGATAAATAGATGTTATGTGGAATATGTTGAATATCTCACAGGGCTTGAAATTTCTAGATTAATGGGCTTGAAATTTCTAAACTAATGGGCTTGGACCAAATAATGTACTAGATCCATAGTAAAAGGTTATTCAAATTTGTAGTGTTTCATTAAATGCTTAATGCTGAAGAAAAAGTTAGATATACGATCTCATATTCTCCCTCTCTTCCTCTTTTGAAAATTGAAAAAAAAAAAACATTTCAAAATTGTAAAGAAATAACAACCACAAAAAGAAAGAAATTCTTCCTTTTCCTCCATGTTATTTATTCTTGATTTTGGAGACGAATCATATAAAGGGCTACATTAATATTGCAGCTGTTTCTAGTCTGGTAATCTTATTTTCTCCTCAACTCTTTCTTCTAATGTTCTGTAACAAATTGTTATTATAAGAAACACAAAGATGTTGTTATAGTCCTTTTTTTAATGACATGTTATGAAGTGATTGATAAACTCATTACCAGGTTGTGTTCTTCTGTGAATTGTTGTGGTCCAGTCCAGTAAGATAGTTTAAGTACTGAAGATTGTTGTCAGAGTGTCTTGAAAGCAAAATCTGTGAAGCTGATAAGCCAAGTTACCTTTTTTTTTTATATATATGTTTATTTCTCTGTTCTTAAGGTCCTTGAGTTTGGGATGTGATGATGACTGGTACTACTTTGATATTGGAACCAGCTATGGATTCCAAAGATGAGCTTGTGAAACAACATGCCAAAGTTGCAGAAGATGCTGTTGCTGGTAATTAGTCTTTCTCTTTGTTTTTTTTATTCTGCATCTGGAGTTTGTATTTTCTAGTGAAAACAATTTCTCTTGTGGTTTCTTAAGGGTGGGAGAAAGCTGAGAAGGAAGTGGTTGAGCTGAAGCAAAAGCTTGAGGATGCGGCTGATAAGAACATTGTGTTGGAAGATAGAGTAAGTCATCTTGATGGGGCACTTAAGGAGTGTGTTAGACAACTAAGGCAGTTTAGAGATGAACAAGAGAAGAAAATTCAAGAAGCCGTGACTGAGAGTACCAAGGAGTTGCAATCTGCTAACACTGGTCTAGAGAGGCGAGTTCTTGAGCTCCAGAAGGAAGCAGAAGCTGCTAAATCCGAAAACATGATCATAAGACGCGAGTTTCTTGCAAAGCGAGACGAGCTTGAGATTGTGATGATTGAGAGGGATTTGAGCACTCAAGCAGCTGAAACTGCTAGTAAACAGCATTTAGATAGCATAAAGAAGGTGGCGAAACTCGAAGCTGAATGCAGGAAGCTTAGGATTTTGGCTAAATCATCATCATCTAATCAATCCTTAGATAGTCATTCAGATGGAGGAAGGGAGAGAGTTGAGGGAAGTTGCTCTGATTCATGGGCATCATCAGCATTTATTTCTGAGTTAGATCAATTCAAGAATGAAAAATGCGGCGATAGAAGTCTTCAAGGAACTACTTCATCCACTGAAATTGATCTCATGGATGATTTCCTTGAGATGGAACGTCTTGTGGCTCTGCCTGCTGAGAGACAGGCTCAAAATTCCAAGACTGAATATGAATTAAGTTTAATGGAGAAGTTGGAGAAGATACAAGCAGAAAAGGATGAGCTTGAAAGCGAAGTTAAATGTTGTAGAGAAGCGGAAAAGAGATTGAACTTGGAGCTTGAAGCTGTTGTTTGCGATAAAATCGAGTTGGAAGATATGTTAAAGATTATGGAAGCTGAGAAAGCTGAAGTAAAGATATCACTTCAAGAATCTAGAGTTTGTTTTCAAGACGTTGAGATGAAGTTGGAGAAGCTACAAGCAGAAAAGGATGAGCTTGAAAATGAAGTTAAAAGATGTAGAGAAGCAGAGAAGAGATTGAGCTTAGAGCTCGAAGCTGCTATTTGTGATGAAATGGAGTTTGAAGATATGTTCAAGAAGACGGAAGCTGAGAAAGCTGAACTAGAGATATCGTTTGACGCCATCAAACATAAATATCAAGAATCTAGAGATTGTTTTCAAGAAATTGAGATGAAGTTGAAAAAGCTACAAGCAGAAAAAGATGACTTTGAAATTGAAGTTAAATGTTGTAGAGAATCGGAAAAGAGATTGAGCTTAGAGCTTGAAGCTATTGTCGGTGACAAAACAGAGTTGGAAGAGAAGTTGGAGAAGATGGAAGCTGAGAAAGCTGAGCTAAAGATATCTTTTGACGTAATCAAAGATCAATATCAAGAATCTAGAGTTTGTTTTCAAGAAGTTGAGATGAAGTTGAAAGAGATCAAAAGGGAGTTTAAACTAGCTAATGAATCGAAAACACAAGCCAAATCTCAAATCATCAGAATGGAAGCAGAGGTGAGAAAGGAGAGGATTGTTTCTGATGAGCTAAGGGAAAAGTGTGAGGCTTTTGAAGAAGAGATTAGAAGAGAGATAGAAGAGAAGACAATGATGAAGAGAGAAAAAGTAGAACCAAAGATCAAACAGGTTCAGTTTTGTATTTTCTGATCACCGATTAGTCTTTTTTTTTCTTTCTCAATCCTTGTTTCATTAAAGTTGATTCTGTTGCAGGAAGACATAGCAACAGCTGCAGGAAAATTTGCAGATTGTCAGAAAACAATAGCATCACTAGGGAAACAGCTGAAATCCCTTGCAACACTTGAAGATTTCTTGATGGATACAGCGAGCATTCCAGGTTCTGCAAGGTCAGTTCACAAGAAGGAAGTTTTTTTAGGAAAAGATCCTCATGAGTGCATTAAAACAACCAATGGAAGATCACTTGAGTTTCTTGCAATCAAGAACAGCAACAACAACAATACCTCACCTCCTTGTTCATCTTCTTCTGATTCAACAACAGTGTCATTAATTATGACATCAAACCGAGGGAGTTCTGAGAAGAATCGCAATGGATTTGCCACAGTTTTCACTCGAAGTAGGAACTCAATACATTAGCGGATTTAGGAGAAGCTATAGGTTCTTGCAGTAGCTAGAGTCATCTATTGTTAAGCCGGATTGTTTACCATAATTTTCAGATTCTGACTTGTTAGTAGCAAGAAAATCACCCTTGTTTCTTCTGCTACATAGTGTAATCTTCTTTAACGTTTATGTCTTCTGAGATTCATCTTTGTTGTTTCGTTTTCACCAATTTGCTGGTCTCATATGATGTAATATGGTTACTTAATTGCGAGACAAGTAAAATATTGTTTTTTTTTTTGTTTTACTCTCCAGGTTAGATAAAGACAAAGAAGACTGCAGTTGTGGTGCTGATGTTGAATCTATTCATTGGTCGTGTCTAAAACACAATTTGTTAGATTATATTCTAAAGTGGTACATGCAACAGAACAGGCACCTGAGGTTCTATGGTGTAGTGGTTAGCACTCTGGACTTTGAATCCAGCGACCTGGGTTCGACTCCCGGTAGGACCTCTCCTGCTCCTGCATTTTTTTTATTCCAAACATTGGTGGAAACTGAACCAAACAAAAATTCATCAACTCAACACTAAACAAAATTTCCAAAAAAAAATAAGATTTTACCAATTCGAAATAACCAAACTGAACTTCAATAAAATTAATTTTTATATAATGAATATGATATATAAATACATTAAAATATACCAAATGGAATATAAAATTAATCAAATATACTAAACCAAACCGGAGAGCAAGTCTTCAAACTGAACCAAAATTCTAGTTTGGTTCAGTTTTCCAAACCCCAAGAAGAAAAAAAAAAAAAAACTCTGTAATCATCAACAAATAAGATTTACATATAGTTTTCCTATAGAGTACATACAAATCCGAAAGCTATTAGATAAACAAGAGATGAGTGGGTACTAGTCATACAACAAACCATAGCATCGGTAATAGATGGCTTCTAAATTAGCTATTATTCTCCATGGTCGTGATGGTTGTTGTTCTCTTGATTCCTTCTGTTGCTTCTCTCTCTTCTAAAAGCATGAAACAGATCCAATCCGAGGCCGACATTGAGGATGTTCATTCCCGCCATACCAGACAAAGCGAGCGGTAACTCCACGCCTTTCCCAAACTTGTGTGCGTCTTTGATCAGCTTGATAGTGATGAGAATGTGAGGAATGCACCTCGCAAACACAAAGGCTGTCCAGTTTAGTACCCACTCCAGTTTCACCAATGCTGTGTTGCTGTCTCGGATTCCCGCCATTCTCCTTAGCTTCCTCACGTGTAGAAAGATCGAATGCATCTGTTTACACATTGAAATAACAAAGGTCACTCTGGTGAGTAAGTTGATATTGTGGAGTTGAAATTGTAGTATATATCTAACTATATTGATATATATGAGACTAGAGGTACATTAATGTTAGCATAGATTCGGAAAAGAACAGAGAAAAGACAGGAAGACAAAAGTGGAACGTACCTCACAGATGAGAGTAAGAATCAGGTAGTTGATGGTTACATTTCGGTATAGAGCCAATGTGAAGCAAACAAGGAGGACGAGATGGTGAACCAGAATGGAAGGTATCAAGCCGCTGTACAACCGGTACTGAAGCATATCCCACTGGTCATATGCAAAGTAGCCGCATGAGAAACACAAAGCTGGATATGCCCATTTCCAAGTACCACCAACCAACTCAGAATGATCGAACATCTCGTCTAAACCTTTGGCTAAGCATTGATTGAGCAGAATGAAAACCACTGTAGTAACACAAGAGCAGTGTTGAAGATTCAAAATCATAATCAGTATGGCTTGGTGAAGAAAGAACTGCATCATATACAAGATATGGCAAAACAGATGGTGTGATGGTCTTTGAAACCATTTAAATAAACACGTTCAAGGGCATAAACCAGGTCTTAAAAAGGAATAACTACTGAGACTAAATGATCAGCATGAATGGTAAGAGACAAGAAGCGACGAGTAAGCTCCCCGGAACCCAAGTTTATATAATCAAGGTAAATGCTTTATGCACTCCAGCATCTATAAGAACAGTTACCGCAATCCAAGAAACAAATGGCCTTCTGAGACACAACAAGTCATCCAGCCACATCCCGATCATGGAATCAACAAAGCTACATCAAAATTGGAAGTTGAGTCTAATAGTGAAGGACATGCTTGTTGGTACAGAACAAACCTTTCAAAGCAAAAGATCAAAACCTTGAAAATGACATCAATTTAGTTTAATCTCCCACATGAGATTCAGGCTTATACTTTACCCTTTAACCTTTAACATCAACTATGTCACTGGCTAAAATTATACGGGAGATTCAAGTGATTACAAGATATAGCATAGAGACAACAACCATACCACTAATCAAGCAATCATAAGACTACTCCAATCGGAAAGAAGAACTACATTTAGCAATGAACAAATGCAAGCGTGAAAACACACATCACCAAAGAAAAATTGAGAATGAAATTGATCAATACCAACGACCAGTGACCAATGATAAAAATTTCCCCATTAACAGAGCACAATGCTATGATAAAAACTCAAACATAGAGAGAAGAGAGAAAGAGAGGGACCTGATGCGGAGGTGATGATTGAGTGCAATAGCGAGACAGAGGTATTAACAAAGAGAGGGTCACGAGAAATCCAAGAACGAACCACCCAATTCATCAATTGAAAGAAACATCCACCGCAAATCACCCATAGAAGCTCCGTCCGGAGATTGAAAGCAATCTCAAACACGACGGAGACCAGCCAAAGAAGCAGCGTCGCCAGGAAAAACTCCCCAGCCCCATTCTTCTTCACTCCCGTGTTCCCAATCCCGTTCCTCACCATCGAAACCCCTCGAGAGATTGCTTGAGAATTCGGCAAAGATAACCCTAATTTGGATTGTTCTTAGCTCAAGCTCCGATATCCATTTCCAATTTTGGCGGAAGAGACGATACAAATGCCTTCACGTTTTTAAGCTTAAAAGAGCCTCTTTGGGACGCAACGGACACGTGTCGGTTGATTCTTGACTCTCCTGATGCTGACTCATCTAATTAAAACAAAAAAACGTACGATTTCAACATCGACAAAAATATCATATTTCCTGCCGACATTCGATGTCGACACATTTGAGGCCCATTTGAAGCTCGGCCTAAACAACCAGAGGCAAAACCCACTCAATACTATACATTGGAGAGTGATACAACAGAAAATCCAGGGTTGTTGTTAGTACACACACACACACAAGGGAACAACAAGACTATAAACAAAACACCATCAAGCTCAAATATTTAATGCATGTGTGTAAAGTATATTAGACCGGTTTCCACACAGACAAAACCTCTTGAAACATCTCCAGCATCAGTTCTCGATCAGCTTGCCTGAAGAAATTGCTGATTTCTTCTCTGACATCATAAATCTTTCCGAAATCAAACAAATACATCAAACACCCTTTCTTCAGTTTCTCCAGCTGATAAAGCCAAGCCTCTTGTAGTCTCTCGAGCACATTACTCGAGTTTATATCTTCCATTAGGCTTTCCTCGCACGCTGCTTTCAAATCTGTTATGTCGTATTTGTTTGCAGCACCGAGGAGGGCGAGCCTGTGTTTCCAGAACTCTTCTTGGGTTATGTTTCCGTAGAGGTAACTTAGTAGAGCCATGCAAGATTCTCTTGACATGTCGTCGATGTGGATTGTGGATGATTCTTTTTCCTTGAGGTCGTGGTGGAACATGCTTTTGAAAACGGTTGAGCTAGCCGAGAGGATAGCTTTGTGAGCAGAGAGTGTTCCATCGGCTGTGTGGATGATTACATCGGTTAGGATGCTTTCCTCTAGCATCCGGGATAAGCATTTGAGAGTGGTTTGAGTAGAGATTGATTGCATTGTTGAATCGGTTGGCCAAACAGGAGAAGCTTCACCACCCTGGATTTGATAAGATTTGATCAACCATCGGTAATGAATGCTAGAAAGAGAAAATAACCATTCTGAACTCAGAAAAGCTCAAAACTTACATTCAAAGGGCAGATTTTGAGATCCAGAAATTCGACATCAATGGTGAATCGACCATGGAAGCTGGAGTCCACATGCCACACACAATCATCAGTTGTACGCAGCAGTTTTTCATACACTGCACCACAATACAGAGTATACACAGAGCTAATTCAGTTCTAACCAGTCCCATAAGAATTTATAATCTGCAACTAAATTTAACATCTTTCCATCTATATGCATCAACTTCTAGAGATTTCACTGTATTGACAAGCTGATATTCATGAAAAGCAAATGAAATCCATTATAATCAAAGGGTTCCTGATAATTGAATATAGTTTCTGAAATCCCTAATTCAAATTCCACAGTATAATTCAAATTCCAAATTTTTGCAAACTCAATTCTAAAGAAGACCACACATATATACCTGGAGAGATGTAGAATCTACGATTAGGACCAACGTTGGAGACACGAAGAACAAATTTGGCAACAGGAGGTTGCTCTTTAGATACTCGAGAAAGCTCTGGGAAAAGCCTCACTGATAGATAACGATTCCTCTCTATAGACAGATGCCTTCACATCCCAAAACAAACAAAATCAAAATTCCGAAGAAAATTTCCCAAAATAATAAAGTGAAAAAAAGCTTACCAATTCCAAATTCCGACTTTAAAAGGATCGGACTTTTTGAAAGAACAAGGTCCAAAATTTTCAATCCTCCATTGAGCTAACCTCGAGATTGTCTCCACCTTCGTGTCCCCCATCCACTCTCTCTTTCTCTCTGAAGTTTTGACTTCTTTTCTCTCTGAACTACTTCACGCCAAATAAACACGACGAAGCAAGCAAAACACTCTGCCGCCTCCATCGCCTTCCACGTGTACGACGATTATACGTTTTATTTCAGTAAACCGGTTTTTCCCGGTTTAGCAACAAGATAAGATCAATAATCTCGGTTTTAAATAAAAGAGAGTGAGTGGACTCAGAGAGACATATCAGATAAAATGGCGACGAGACCGGCGATGGAGAAACCAAAGATCGTGTGGAACGAAGGAAGACATAGATTCGAGACTGAGGATCACGAAGCCTTCATAGAGTACAAGATGACGAACGATGGTAAAGTCATGGATCTGGTTCGAACCTTCGTACCGCCGTCAAAAGCAGGACTTGGTTTAGCTTCGCATCTCTGCGTCGCCGCCTTCGAACACGCCTCCGAACACTCTTTTTCCATCATCCCCACTTGCTCCTACGTCTCCGTACATTACTTCTTCCTCTCTTTTTTTTTTCAATCTCCGATGAAATCAGATTCTTGTGTCTTACCAAAATTATCTCGTTTTCGCAGGAAACGTTTATTCCTCGATACCCATCGTGGGAGCATCTGGTTCACTCAGAGGATGATTCCAAGAACCTCAAGTCTAGCATCTGATCAAGTCCTGCTTCAAAGCCTTTGGTGTATAATAAAATTTGAAAACATTATCTTACAATATTAAAGCTTGTTTCATGTCATCTCTGTAAACATTAAACAAACAAAAATCCCAAAATGTAATGTTTTTTCACAATTCGACAGCAACAAACAAACACTAATGTTTGTCTTCATCATAAATAAAACGTGAAAACATTATTCTATGATACATTTTTGTACAGATACGACGCTGTGTCTCTTTTAGCCAGTGACATAGTAATCCATTTTCTCCGGTGGTAAGTTCAGAACCGATTGTTCAACCTAATAAACATCAAGGAAAAATATTCAGATCAAAATCAATGTAACTGAGCTTATAGATGGGAAGGGTATATAACAATTAACAGTTTACTTACCTCTTCGAAAGGAACGAAGACGAATGGAGTCATACCCCTCTTGTGTGAGACGGCAGGTATATCCGGGTTGTGAGTTTCATCGTCTTCCCAACCTTCAACTACCCCAAGAATGTCTTCTTCTGTGCTGCTTATTTCCTCATCGTTCACACCACTTGTCACAAGTGACAGCAAATCCATCCGGTTATTCGCTCCAATCGCTGTTCCTCTTAACCTAACCACACCCGAAAACAAACCCACAGCATGTAGATCAGAATGGCTATGAGCTACTAAAAGTTCAACCTCATCTTTTCGCTTATCATAGAAATATTCATCACATTCACCGGATCAGATAAGTCTTTAGATGGATGTACTTGACACGGTACTTAAAAAGACAAGCAACAGGCCTTCTTCCCAAAAGGTTTAAAACGAGTCTAGATTCGCCATAAGTACCGCATCGTTACCGTCTTACCGATGCCAGACCAAGGTTCTAAATGCTACTATTGAAAATAAATTTTCTCTGTCCTGATAGTTTGAAGGATTGAAGTACCTTAAACGAATCCTTAGGACAGTAGGGCGCGTCCCTGGGTATAGAACAGCTGCTTCAATCTGCAAAAAGAACATTGTTTTTCAGGATAATGATGTAATGTTGTTGATTTCCAGCCTATAGGCACTTTGAGGTAGCTAACCTTATCATCTGACATTGACAATGTATACGTGCCTCTGTAAAGACTGTCAGATTTAGAAGCCTTAAAGTTCATGTACTTGGCAACATCCTTCAATTTCTGCGAAGAGTTCTGAAGGATAACAACAAATACCGATGTATATGATCAGAGACTCAGAGTAGATCACGCCAGCAGCTTAACGTTTAAATCTACTTAGATTGAAATTGTGCAAACCTTGTAAAGAAATCTGCCAGAAGGGTAGAACCTTATGTAGCGGAAGTAACAAACCTGCAACAAAATTTCCAAAAGAAGAGGCAAATTATTAAATGTGTCTGTATGGGACAGATGACAAAGAAAAGAGAGCAAGTTTAATAAAAAGACAAAGACTTTACAATGTGAACTGGATTTGTAATCTTCCACTCAGTAATTCCAGCTCGAATGTAAGTATTCCTACTCACATATAGACCTAAAAGAAGATCCACAAAGTTTACAAAAATCAATTCGTTATTCAAGAAATTAACAAAGAAAGGAAAGATCATAATCTATACGAAGACTAAAGAGTGGATAAGTATGAAATAAAGTTACTTTAATGAAGAAAGATATAACAAAAAATGGTGTTAGTCAAGGCATACAGAAGAAAAGATACCACAACAATCACTAGGCGGTAGAATTTAATGAAGCAAGAGGATGAAGAAAGAAAGATTACCATCAGTACGAACTCTGGATCTAAGAAGCCACATTTTCCTCCATGATCCATCATATTTAGACTGCAAGATCTTATAGTTTTCGATAACCCCAGCGGTCTGCCAAGCTTTCAAGCAGGCATTACGCCAGAACACAGGGTTCCGAACCGTGTACCTCCACTTTCTGCATACACAAGCTGCTCTTCCTAAGTCATAAGGCATCATCCGAGCAAACACCTTCAAGTAACATATCCACAAATCAAATTTCAGTACAATGGGAAAAACTAGTATAAAACGAGAGAAAAAGAAAGAAAGGAAGCTCCAACCTCGAAAAGAAGCTCATCAGGCAAGCAACGATGAATCAAAGCTGGATCATAATGAGGTTTACGGCTTGTACTTCCGAATGGTGGCACAGGCCTCACATGGACTCCATAAAGATCTGCAAAATGTAACTCATTACAAACTATAAACCCACTTGTGATAAGATAAAAACAGACTAGAGAATGGGTGTTAAATGATTAGATGTACCAAGCCAAGGCCTTTTTGTAATAAAGTATTGTACAGTCCTGAGCCGCAATGCAGATTCAAGCTCAGACGGTATAGAGAGAGCATCTGTGACAAGGGATTTTGATTTCAAAGAAAATATAGAGGAAATTTAATCAAATCGAAAAACAGAAAATTTCTCAAAATTGATCCGTTTTCGATGTCATGTATCGATCCGATGAAAAATTCGTCAAAACTACAAAAATTCAATCGGAGATTGAAATACCTGAAGTCATGGAAACTGATAGACGATTTGAAAATCCAGCGATTTCGTAGCCGCCCGTGCGAGCTCCCTGTTACCGGGAAAAAAAAGAAGGAAGATATTATAAACAGAGAGAGAGACTCTTTCTCTGTCTTTTTTGTTTATTTATTTAATTTGTTTTCTAGAGGTTCACATAATTCACAAACAACGAAACCGACATTTCTTAGTTAAAAAATCAATTCAAGGTCGGTTTCAATATCTTTAACCAATTGGTTTAGTTTAACTGTTTCTTTCATTAGATCGTTACAGTGAATAAAACTGAAAGTATTAAAAAAATAATTTAGTTTAAAATTTTCAGCGCTCGTCCTTCGGCATGACCACGGTTACGGTTATTGCGGTTACGGTTTATTAACCACCGGTTACGGTTATAAATTTTTTCTAACCGTAACCTTAACCACTATATATACGGTTAAAACGGTTACGGTTAAATACGGTTACGGTTACAACGGTTACGGTTAAATATGGTTACGGTTATTTGATGATTACGATACGATTAATATTAAAGACAAAAGTTTTTTTTAACCTTTAGAATAAAAAATTAATGATGATATATCAAATAAGATTTATTTTATAGTATCTAACGTATGTGATTATGTGTTTCAAATATATGTAGTTAAGTAGCTATTTTGTTCAGTTAAGTAAACCAACGAATAACTAAATCAATGGTCATAATTATAATGATTGAGTTATTGTCATATTGACAACACATATTCCAAACAATACTATAGAAAGGATGTGGTGAGAATTAAGAAACGATTACAAGAGTATAAATAATAACTATCTAAACTATTTATGATTTGATTTATTGAAAATGGGTAGTGGACTAGTGGAGTGGATTAAATTTAGTAGTGGGTGCATTGAACCATCTAAGACTTTGTTTAGTGAAATAATTATGTATTTAAGGTATTAACTATACGGTTAATTATGCGGTTAACCGTGCGGTTAACCGTACGGTTAACTAACGGTTTTGCTACGTTTACGGTTAATTAACGGTTACGGTTAATATATTTTTTAACCGTAACTAATCTATTTTTACGGTTAACGGTTACGGTTATTAACCGTTTTATACAGTTACGGTCCGGTTACGGTTGAAAAACGGTCCGGTTACGGTCCGAAATACGGTTACGGTCCGAAATACGGTTACGGTTAGCTTTTTGTCCTAAGGACCTTAGGACAAAAAAGAAACCAGCATGTTGAACAACCTAACAAGTAACAACAACCAAAGTAAGTAGCCTTTTGTTTTCTTTTCAAATAGTAGAATCAATCAAGAGTCGAGACTGGTATATTATCTTAGGTTAGGTATATGCTTCAGAATTAATAGTTTTAGACTTTAGTGTTCGAAACTCGGTCCCAACATATGCCTCAAAAACTATATTAAAGGAGAACTTGAATTCAAACAAAAAAAAGAAGGTAAAATCAACCAAAAACAAAAGGAGGCAGCCATTATTGTTCTGCAGAGTGCACATATAAAAACCTAATGAATAGATAAAGAGATTCTCTCTGTCTGTCTGTCGTCTCTCTTTCTCTCTCTGTCTACTCAAAGCTTCTGTCTTCTTCTGTGTATTTTCCTCAAAACTACCAAACTAAGCTAGCAGCTAAGAGACACAACACACTTCTCTTTTCAGAGCTCGTCCTTGACTTCCTCAGTTGTCTCTTCCTCCTTCTTAGCCTCTCCAACTGTGTCCTTGTTCTTGTCGATGAAGCTTATGAAATCTTCCTTTGTCCTGTCTCCTTCGTAAACCACAATGTTTCCGCTCGCTGATTTGAAGTAAATGGTCGGGAAGCCCTTCACATCAAAGGTTTCACGTGGGAAGTCGTTTGCGGTTGCATCCTGGACAAGTGAAAGAGTAAGAATCATGATCAAGAATCCATACTCTCAAATGTGAAGAAAGAGATAGGACTTACTAGCTTAGCTATGACTACACTTGGGTCGCTTTGGTACGACACAGCGACTTCGTCCAATATTGGAGCAAGCTTTTGGCAGTGTCCACACCATGGAGCATAGAATTCAAGCAAGACTAGAAGTAGGAGGAAAGAAAAGGAATTTTATAAGTTTTTGCTACCAGCAAACAGGTATTTGTGATTTAACAATGTAATGTAACTCACCGTTCTTTCCAGAGTTTAAGACAATGTCGTCAAGGCTGTCAGAAACAACAACCTTCACTGGCTCGTTGTTTTCGGCTGGGATAGGTTGAGATTTTTTGTGGGCAGCAATTTTTCCATCCTTGAAGTCCTTAACCCATGATTCAATCTGGTCAACCTCCACATTTGTTTTCAGGTATTTCTTGTCGTCAGCAGTCTGGATGATGATGAGTGGAACTTGGCTCTCTTCAAGTCCAAAGTACTGTTAATGGTTCAGAAAGGAAAGAAATATGTTCAGCAATTTGTAACCAATGCTAACCTGGAGATAAACGATTGGAGATAGATGAGGAAGACTAACCTGGAATGCACCTTGGCTGTTCTCAGCATCACCTAGAAGGAAGCTAAGACCCTGTCCCTTGTTGGATGTAGCAACTTCACGGTACTTTGATTTAAGAGACTCGGCTCCTTCTCCAGTGAAGTTCATGAACAACATCGCCTGAAAATAAAAATATTACCCAGAGCATCAAAAAAACCAAAAACGAAGAAAGTAATGGAGACTGAGGATTCTGGAAGCTTTTACTGAGAATATTCAAAAAGAAAACTATACTACTGTCAGATTCAGCTAATATGGCAAACACTCGCAGCTCCTTTAGCCAAAACATAATTTAGTAAGAAATATCAACTTCTACAAATAAACTCATTTCAGAATTTCTACAAATTAAACATACTTCTCCAGTAAAATTAAATGAACTAATATGAATCCATCTTTGTAGTATATCATGAACTAGTTACAGCGTAATGGAAGTGAGATATTTGGTAACTATACGATGAGTTACCTTGGTATTAGTGCTTTCAAAGAACTTGATAACATATGGGTGGTTGTTTGGATCTTTGTCAAAGACTGTGATAAGAGGAATGCTGGATTCTTTGACAAATTTCTCCAGAGCTTCACCATCGAAATCCTGAATGCAAAGAAGCAAATCAAACAAACATTCCGCAACAATAGACTATATAACAGGACCAATCATCCATGTAATACACAAACCTTGGAATCAACAAATTGTTCATCAAAGGGTTTGAACAGCCTGACTACAGGTCCTGTTACAGATGACTCTCCACGGGGAAGAAGTTTAGCATCCGAGGTGTGTGCGAAATCTAACTCAGAGCGCAATTTCTCAGCAATGGCCATGAAAGAATCAAACTCAGAGCCAGATAGTTTAGGGAAAATCCCAACCTAAAACAACAGAAATAGACGTCATTTGACTACCATACATGATTAAAATAATTGAAACAGAGGCAAAATAAAAGAAACACGTTTGATACTTACCACAACAACCTTCTTGTCACCAACAACCTCAGCAGCATCATCAGCTGACTTAATTTCAGCTGATGCAGGTCCACTTTGTTTCTTCAAGTAAGTAACAATGCCGTCAGCTTCACGAGGTCCATTGTATTCTTGAACAGCTTTACCTCCGTTTCTGAAAATCTTGATTGTTGGGAAACCCTGAACCTCGTATTGGGTTGCAAATTCTCTGTTTGTTTCCTCACTTGCATCAATCTTAGCAAGAACAACCGGAGGGACGTTACTGCTCAACTCTGACGCAGCCTTCTCGTACTGTAAACACAAACATCATCACCAATTAGTCACAGCTACATGAATTAGACAAAGAAAGGCAGAAAAAAAATCTCAACAAAGTGATTGAAAAATTACCTCAGGAGCAAGCTGCTTGCAGTGTCCACACCTGAAGAAGAACGAAACACGAATTACCAAATGATGGAGATTCAGATCATATACTTTCACAAATCAATTACAGAGTAAAATTTAAATCAGACTACTTAAAAATTCGCAATTCAAATCAGACAACACAATTTACATAGATCGGAATAGATCGAACCGTTCAAATTACAAAATTTCTGACTAGTATAACAAACAGATCAGCTACACCAATTTCAAATCACGCAAGCGAGGGAATAAGAAATCATTCGCATGCAAATCCAAAAACACAAATGATAAGATTCAGATCCACTAGATTCACGAATCACGACACAAAACACATGCCAACAGAAATCTCACAAGTAAAAAAGATTGAAAAATCACAAAATCTCAATACCATGGGGCGTAGAACTCGACGACGATGAAATCGTGTTTGTTGATGGTATCGGTGAAGTTAGTGTGATCCAAGGTCAACACGAACTCCTTCGTCTCCGTCTCTTCGCTTCTGATAGAAGAAGCGAACAACGACAACACAAGGATCGAAAACAACGTGAATCCCCTCATCGCCATTATCGCTCTCTCTTTCTCTCTAACAATGTTTAGCTTGAATTCTGTAAGCTCTCCGGGGTTAGCTCTGAGAGATATTTATCACTGCAAAACACGAAAACTGAGTGCTCCTAAATGGTCACGTATCCACGTGGCAATCTCTAATTGGGTATTACGTCGTCATAGTTTATAGGGATTTGGCAAGAATTTTAATGTTATACAGTGTCTTTGACAATCTTGACCTTGGCGGTTATAATATGATTTTGTTATTTTCCCCATTTTTACCAGCAGTAAAAAGTAATTAAAAAGAGAAAATTGTCTACACCAAAGACACTCTAGTCACAGTGTTCCTCACCAATGTACAAGCGTCACGATATTGACGAATGACGTGGCTTATTCTCTTTCGTTGATCTTGCTGTGAGCTTGAAATGAGATCTTAGGTCCGTGACTTCGTGCAAGTAAATGGTCAAATTAGTAAATTACATATAGATCTGACCATTTTTTTTTTTTTTTTTTTTGACATCTTTGAACCGACAAGATCCGATCCATACCCAATCTCTACTACGCGGGGTAACGCGACTTAGTGGAGTCGAACTCCGGTGGGGAAGGCGGAGTCAAATGGACTTAACCACTTGACTAAAGGCACATCCACTGACCAATTATGTTTGGTTTCTTGCCATTATTAATCATAGATCTTCTTTATAATAATTTTAGTATATGGTTCAGAAGTAAATTTAATTTAAAGATCTGAGAACCTTAAATAGAAAAAGACTAAAAATCTACAAGCAAGTAGCCAACAAATCAATGAATATTATAAATGCTAAAATATGTACAACAATTTTTTCCTAAATCCGAATCTAATTTCATTACCAAAACTTTTTAATTCGTGCAAAATCAATCTTCAGACTGAGGCTGTTGTTGTTGTTGAAACCTAAGATCTTCATGAGCTTTTACAACTTGTGAAGTGAAATTCCCCAAGGCCTCAAAGATTGGTACTAAACCAGCTTGTAAGCTGCTTGAAGCTGCATTGTTCACAAGTTTAATTGTTTCCTTGTGTCTTGCTCTTTCTTCTTCTAGCTTCTTCCTCATTGAGTCCAAATCCACTTTCAAATCATCCAACGCCGATATCCCGCTCTCAGACAAGACCACGCTTTTCTCTGATGCACCGTCTTGTAGCTGATCGTTTCTCATTCTCACTCTCGCCCTCTCCATCCTAAGATCATTCAACCGTTTCTCGAAATCGTGTGAGACATACTCTGCTTTCACTCTCTGTCTTTGCTCCTCATCTTGTCTCTCCCATAATTCATGTAGACTCGAGGCAAAGCCTTGCATAGCGTTTGAAACGTTCTCTCCAGAGATTCTTGCCATTGCTTCTTGCCAATCTTTGCATATAACGAAGACCTGTGGAGCTCCAACACTGCTAGGAGAGAAAGGGGCAATTCCGTCCTCTGTTGATTCAGGTTCATAGTGAAGACATCTTGAGAGCCATCCATTTAGAGACTCCACATATAATTTCTGAGTATTGACCCAATGGTTGAAGCTAATGCACCATTCTCGTAGCTCCATCTCCAGATCAAGAATAGCTTTCAGACCAGAGTCTCTTTGTAAGCCGGTGTTTGCCCTGAGAGATCGAACCTTGCTCTCCATAATTGCCTGGAACTGCTTCTGGTGGCACTTGAGCATTGATCTCCACATTCTTATCAACCTTCAAATCCCAAGTATCGGATCACAAAAGCGAAAATATATAAACGTAGGAATAGTAAAACAATTGAGATCAATTTATACCCGTGAATCAATTGAGTGAGTTGCGGCTGCAATTCTTCATCTCTCAGTTTATGTATCCTGCTCGAGATGGAATCAACAGATCTTATACAGACGTCGAGTTTGGTTAGCAGCTTTCTAATGGCTGCTCGAGTAGTATCAATCTTGCTAGATTCCGCACCAAGACTATCCAGTTTTTTCAGTGTTCTGCACTTTTCTTCATAGACAACACGAAGCTTCTCTTCATCCTGCCATAAACAAGCAACATCATCTGTCAAAAGATGCTTCGATCCAAAGAGATGTTAATCCATTTGAAATCAAGAAACACATATATACCTTGACTTCTTTATACAGTTTCTTTTCCCAGGCATAGAGTTGCTCCAAGGTTGAAGAGAGGTTTCCAGATAAGCCTTCTCTGATATCCTGACCATTGTATGATTTTGCAATTTTCAATATCCTAGATGTTAACCGTATTGACGGTTGAGGCTGAGAGCGCGATGACACTGTGGATGGCGCCACCAGATACATGATCCGCGAGAAGATAACTAGAGAGGGAAAAAGTAAATATCATTGGGAGAAGCAAAAAGGTAAGACTCAAGTGATGCAAATCAAATCTATGGCTCATAATCTAGAAGCTCATCAGAAAAGAAAGAGCCCATAACAGTTCAATCAAAAGTAACAAGAGCTCAACATTATTTCCCATTACATCAAAATTTAGTTCCTAACTTAAACAGATCCAAGGTATAATGAAGACAGTTCACGAAAGTCAAGTAAATTACTAGAGTATACATATGTTTCTCCTGCACGAAGAGATCCAAATTACTGCTAATTTGAAGCTATAACTCTAATCTATTATCATCTCCACAAGTAACAAGATTGATCTCGAAAAAAGGTTTCTAATGTATAAGTTAATTCAAAATGCAGGAAAACCCATTTATGCAATTAAGGAAGCAATCGCATTCACAAACAGAACATGTAAAAACATTACCTTTGAGCCCCGAACTTTTCTGCTGATAAGGCAACTTGCTAACCTCAAGCAACACAGCCACTTCCTTCCCATGTGAAGAAGCAACCTCAAACTCACTCTTGATCTCTTTCACAACTTCTCTGAGATCTCTAGTGGCATGAACCGACAATGCAGACAGACTACTTATCTTGGAAGACTCAACATCAAAAGAAGTAGTTGCATTTTCATCCAACTCAAAGCTCACCCCTTTCTTCCTCACATATTCTTCTTCTACTTCTCCAACACTCTTAGTAGCAACTGTCTCATGCCCACTTAAACCATTACTGCTACTCTTTCCTTCTCCGTCATTAACATGATGAAACTCAGATTCTTCTTCACTACTCGAAAACGAAGACACAGTCTTTGAACCAAAAGAACTCTCCGTAGCCCTTTCTACCATAGGCACTGCCCTTGATGTTCCTTCACCTGAATCTCCTCGTTTCTTGATCTTTCTCTCGTGAATCTCATTCTCCTGTCTGTGTTGTTCTTTCACCTTCTCAATGCCTTTTCTCTTCATATGTTTAAATGTTTGCCCAATGATAACTTCTTGCTCTGTTTCTTCTTCCAACTCAGGAATCCCTTCCCTCTCTCTCACTTCCCTCGAATCAGGACTGCTTGAATTTGACTTACCTCCACCCATGGCCGGAGAAAACCCAACTCCGGCACCGGAACTTTCACCACCACCAGCTCTAATATAATCATAAGTATCAAACACATTCAAAAAATCCCAACTTGAAATCCTAGGCGGAGACGGAGGCGCTGGAGTCGGCCTCACCGGAGACGGTGGCTCTCTACGTTGCTGCTCCGGGTAACCAAAATACCCAGTGTTAGCATTTCCGGGAAAATAATTAGAGTACCCAAATCCATTCTCCGGTAACCATTGCCCATTCTCCACTCTATGATTCTCTGGCTGAAACACTACCGGCCGGGACGGTGGCGCAGACTTCTTCATAAAATACATTCCCGGATTCGGGTTCGGGTACGGGTTTAAATCCGGATTCTCTCCCATAAAGCCCCATCCTTCAACCGGATACTGATACCCAGCCGAGTAACCCGGTTGATATTGATATCCCGGCGTAAAACCAGGCTCATAACCGGGTTGATAACCGGGCTGGTAATTTTCCGGTAAGCGTGTTTCTTTCTCCTTCACTTTAGGGCTAGTTTCAATGTGAATGTGACCTAATGAATCATCAGATCCAGATTCCGATCCAGAATCTAACTCGGATCCAGATGATAAATGCAAATGCTGATCTTCTCCTTCTCCTTCTCCGTCGTCTTCAATAACCGAATGCGAAACCGAAGTAGAAGAAGACGAGATCTTGTGTTTATGAGACTTCCCTTCGTCAGACGGAAGCGTAAGAACAGGAGAATCAGGTGAAGAAGAAGAAGTACCAACGACGACAAGTTCTTCGTCGACGAAACGTTTAATAGATTCACCAACGTCACAGAGAGATTGAAAGTAAGAGAGATGAGCAGCGGCTAAAGCACAACGATGATGAGACGCAGCTTTGATAAGTTCTTTCCTCTCTCTACAGAGAATCACAAGTGGTTGATCATCTACTTTGGATCCTCCGCAACCCATGTGAGAAAAACCCTAACTTTATATCGTCGTCGTCTCCACAACTCCAAAATGCTGTATCAAGTCTCATGCTTTGGTTAATGGAAAGACCATTGCTTTCCCCAAATTCGAAATCTGGGTTTTTTTTTACAAATCGGAAAACAGAGTTGATGATTGATTTGTTGTCGTTATGAGAGTGGATGAGAATGAGAGGAAAAAACAAAAGAAGAAACGAAGGAGAAGAGAGGTCTCGTGCATGCGAGAGAGTGACAGAGAGAGGAGGAGAGACAGAAGAATCCATTGGGGTTTGCTGATTTTTTTCTTTAAACGTGACCGTAGCAGACAGGAAACAGAGGAGAGAGACAGAAAGCAAATACTAGTTAAATTAAATAAACTAAAAAAGAAAAAAGGATTCGTCTTGTTGCAATTAATTTCGATTTCGATCTCTACGAAATTTAACGGATAGGGATGTGTGTAAGAAAGCTAGGGATTTGGGAAAAACTTAAATGCAAATTGGAAATTGGGAAGAAGAAAGTGTGAGAGACGAGGAAAAAAAACAAAGGCAAATTTGGTTTTTGTTTCTGAGAATTCAACATAAAATTTTCCGGGAAATAGAAGAAATGAAGTCGACGACGAAGGAGGTTGGGGATAAGGCTGTTTTTTTTTTGCCTTATTACTTTCCACTTTTTACCCTTTTGCCCTGTACTTTTACTTTTATCAGTAAAAAGTAAAAAGTGTTACTAGTTTGGTAGGTATATAGAAATGTTATAAATTGACAGGTTTTGTTTCTTTTTAGTATAACAGTAAACGGAATCTGTGTAATGAGGCAAATTAACATTATAAAATCTGTGCTTACTGAAAAAAATAATAGAGGTTTTTAGATAACACTTTACAGATATACATTATGGGGACACTCGGAAATGTAAATAATTAATAAAGTGTTTCAGTATAAAATGTGGTGTGGGAGAGCTTCGATGCTCTCGAAATACTAGTAACAGTGGGGGTAATAAACAATTGCATGCAGGAAACATGAACATGTTACGAAGCTGAGACCTGTATTAAGGCTATAAGAAAAAGGGGAAAAAACCCGAAAAAACCTCCATCTATTTTTAATTTGGCTGTTTAATACCTCTAGTATTAAATTTGGAAGAAAAAAACTTTAGTTAATTTTGATTGCCTATTAAAACCTTTGTTTTTTTAAAGTTGGTATAATCGTACCTCCGAGTTATCTTCTGTTAACTATCATAACGGAATCGTTAACTGTGGTCAAAACTTAACTCATGGTAATTAAGTATATATATACAATCACTTTTCTTTCTTTTATGAATGTTTCCGTAGTCAGATGGTTAAACGTTGGTTTAATATACTTCAGAGCCTGGCTTCGAGTGCCTCCTCCGTCTCTAAAGACGTTTTTTTTTTTTAAACTTTTTCTTCATTATAACTCATTATCTTCTCACTGTAAACCCTAGATCTTTAGCATTGCGATTGAATTGAGGAAATCTCTGATTAGGATCTTCTAGTTTTCACAATTGAAAAATAAGAAGATCTAGGGTTTAACATCAATTGAGACGAAGAGAGAAAAATAAGTATTGGCAGATTTGAAATTAGAAAAGCCCAGATGAATTTGAGGAGATTAGATCAAAACCCAAATCAATTTAATTCTTCAATTGCTTCATTGATGGAACTGATTATCATGATAATGGTGACTAACTGAGAAGAAGGGTCGAGGAAGAAGACGAAAAAAAAAACAGCAACAAAAAAACCGTAGGTGAGGTTTCGAACCAAGGCTCAGGAGAAAAATAAGCCCACGTTAAACCACCTGACTACCGTAAATTAATCAGAAAATGAGAAAAGGGATTGTATATATCTACTTAATCACCATGGGTTAAGTTTTGACCGCAGTTAGCGATTCCGTTAGGATAGTTAACAGAAGTTAACTCGGAGGTACGATTATACCAACTTTAAAAAAACGAAGGTTTTAATAGGCAACCAAAATTAACTAAGGTATTTTTCTTCCAAATTTAATACTAGAGGTATTAAACGGCCAAATTAAAAATAGATGGCGGTTTTTTCGGGTTTTTTCCCTAAGAAAAAGCTGAGACATGCCACTAGGAAAGTGTGCCACTCACGTGCTGCCAAATCCGGTTCTCATGTGCTTGTCAAATCCGGTTCGCATGCACCTTCTCGTCCCAAGTTTGGAAATCAATACTGATTTAATTATTCAACTTCTTCAAAAAAGTTTTTGTGAAGCTTACTGAAATTCATATCTACCTATATCCGCCATCAGAAAATTCATATACTGGATCTACATTGTAGTTAAGAATTACCAAAATTGTACCCTTGTTATTGCACGGCTCAAAAAAATATTATGTCCCCTATGACACAAATTTCTTTGTTTTTTTTGGTCTATTGGGACCTTTGTTCTCTCGAATATTATTATGTTTAAAATTTTGAATTTTTGTACCTTTTATTATTAAAATAAACTTCGAGAACTCTTTTGGTATGTGATTTTTATTTTGATTTGGTTATGTAAAATATATAAACCCACCAACACACACATGCACATACACTAGTTTCTCTAATTTAAAATACTTTGGTCATAAACTGTAGTTCAATCTTGTCGAGTTTTATATTTTTTTTTTAACAAAAAAAAAAAAAGAAGAGTTTTATATATTTTAGTTGAAATGCAAGATGTTTTTTTCTCTAAAAATTGTTATTTGATTTTACAATAAATATAGTATTGTTTCAAATTACATTTCACATAAACACGTGTAGTCGCGTTAGTTTTAACTAGCTTAATCGATCGACTCTTAAAAGCCGAACCTAGCGAATTGGCCACCGATAAATTTGGCATGCAAAGATCGACATAATAATCAACATCTAAGCAAATAGAGAGGCGAAGAAAAGCAACAGTAGGTTATCAGAAAAAAGGCAAAAAATAAAAGCAACAATAGAGTTAGGTTTAATGATTATTGCTCTATTTAATTACCTTATCTTTGTATTTGCATGTAACCCCCTACTCCTCTCATCATGATCAAGTATGTATACAACCATTACTATATAGTTTTGAACGTAAATATATCTCTGATCTTTGTTTAATTTAAAAAGTAACATGATTTTTATTGAGTAAAACATGGTGATTAAAAACTATAGCATCTCCAGAGTTTCAAAGAGAATCGGTAAAATATGGTGATAAGTGATAACTGATAATTAACGAATGATAACACACATCTTGTGGAAAGAAATGATTAGACAAGTATATTTTTTTGTCACATAGGAGGCAAAACATGTAGTATATAGATTTTAATTTCACCTTTTAGATATTTAAATCATATCTAGTTCGAATTATTGTAAATTGTTGTTTTTATCGCTTTAACCTACGTATAGTATTTTTATTGTGTACTTGAATTAAGAAACTTAAGAGTCATATTATATTATCTTTATTCTTTAATTACCCACCAAAATGCTAAAAAAATATCATCTATCATTAATCATATTTTTTAAAGCTCACATCAGAATATTTACCATTTTAAGAATTATAAAAACGAATTTAAAGGATATATATGACTAGCCATTTCATTTGATTTTTATTCTTTGAACACCATGCCATTTCATTTGATTACTTTACTATTATGTGTGAAAAAAACTACTCTTAAATGTTACTAGTAGTATTTTTTATCAAATGGAATAAATTTATTCATTTACAAGTAGACAGACCGGTCGAGAATATATCATGCAATAATTAATGTAAAGTTAATGAGGTAATTAATGAAGTGATGATATCACTTTTGAACCTTAAATTCTTAATGGTTGTTACATAATGTCCAAAGAAATGGTGAGCTGCACGGAGGTAAGAATAAGATATTGAAAGGTGGTGGTTGTTTCTTCTAACTCTAAAATTTTTCTTGTTTACGTTAACTCCCCAATTTTAATACTAACAATTCTTTTTGGTATTCAAACTATTTTAGATGACATAATCACTTTTGTACATTCTTTTATACATCACCATTTTACATCTATATATGTATATAAATTCCAAAATACACATCACCATTTTACATCTATATATGTAAAAGAATTTAATAAATCAATCGAGAACATACGAGTCCAAACCAATGGCCTCAACATGATATCACTTAATTGGAAGGATGGGAAAATGAGTCTAAAACCAATCGCTTGGGCTCACCATAAGTTTCCAACTTGATGCGTCATCATTTGATGGCGTCTATATGAGTCCCACCACACTTTGACTTTTGTTACTTCGCAAAATTTATTTTTCAGTAGTACTACTTTGTCCAAAAAGATCAAAAAGTACACTGAAAACGACTATTCTGTTTACATATCAAAATTAATTAAGCTCCCATTGGTGTAGGAACACAATTGTGTCTAGAATTTTTAGATAGTAACCGGATCAACATTCAAAGTTTGGATCATTTATATGGTTTTGTGGTATCTATATATATATGCAATATATGTTTTTGATTTTTTTTATCAAACAATGATCGATTCTAATTCATTACTGTTTATATATCTATCTGATAAGTATAAAGTGCAAATGTATGTTTTGTGGTTAGTAAGAGTTGGATAACCAAAATTATTCTATATCAGAAACTGAATATACAAGTAATTTTGTTCGGAGTTTCATCAAGTATTAACTAATATACTTAAATTTCTGTAGTTTTGCATTTTTTTATTTGTTCTTGACGTCAACTAGATACTACAGAAGAAAATAATCCACCAAAGATTCCAATGAGAGCACGAATTGCTTAATAATGAAGATATTTTTGTCAACATTTATTTGTCAATCTCGTAGAAAAGAATTCTATATGGCAACATTAAGTCTAAAACCAAGCACGTCCATATCGCCCGTGTCGTTGAAAACTAACTTAAAAAACCCTATCGTTGATGCATTAGCATGTACAACGGTTAACCTAATCCGGAAATATAAATTTTCTAAAGTACCCATAAGAGGGGAATCTTGAATCTTGAATGATCAACAATTAACACCAAACCCCAATTTATTTTTGAAAATAAAAAGTACTAGACGTACTCGTGATTCAAAAGTCAAAACCCCATGAAGACTGCCGCGTTTCGTGATATTGTGACTTAGAGAAATACTATAAAATAGTTAAGACTAAGTAAGTCTTAAAATAAGATAATACTACTATCTTCATTAATGTATTGAGTTTCTTATTTTCAATTCATCATCCAGCTACTACGGTAGCCAAATGTGGTTTCAGTTTTAGCATAAATTAAACAAAAAGACATAACTTATGTAAGGATTAGGTGAATACGAGTATAACGACCATTTTCAAGTTGGAAAAAAAAAACAAAAGAAGAACAAAGATGATGATGTGAAAATTTATGAGATTTTATTTTATAAATTAATTGGTGAAGTAAGAAAACAATAGTGGTTGTGGAGAAAAGAAAAAAAAGCTTGAGTGTTGTAACTTGTAAGTGTACACTTTAGTATTTTTGGATTTTATGTAATATCAACCTATTTCTAGTCCCTCTCTCTTTTCACAAACAACATCATGCTTTCATCTCCATTATCATCATTCCAATGCTTTGCCTTTCTTATAAAACTTTTCCTTGCAAACTTTGTTTATGTTCAGTTTATATTTTTTCATCATATATTTCAATAATCTAATGAGATTTTGACCAAAAAAGTTCAAACCACGTTAGAGAATATGTAGGAGATCTTCATCTTAATTTGGTTAATGCCAATTTCAAATATCAGATCAGTTACATATAGCTAAATAAAGTTAAGCTGAAAAACTGACTATGGAACTTGTTGCAACATCATCGATTCAACCTAAGACGAACATACAAAAATAGTGGTCACTGCGAACAAGAAAACAAATTTGTGAGAATATTCAATATTTACATCATGTGTTTGTCATCAGACGTTAGAATTCAAAATACTATCGAAGTGATACAAACCAGTTTTTCTGGATTGAATCCTTGCCTTTGGGAGCATCATGATCTCTTGATCCCTTTGATGGATCAACATCAACACCTTCCAAGTAGTCTGAGATTTGCATTATCGGTCAATGATGATGATTTACTTTGCAGCATTATCTTGAAGCTGGAGTCTCCGAGCAACAACAGAGAGACCTGGAACTTTTTCACTTGCTGAGTTTCGCGTTTTCATTGCAGAGTCTGGTAACTTCTTCAGCCAAATTCTGGAGTTCTACTGCTGCGGCAGACGCCAATTCTTTAGCGTAAGAAGCTTCTTCGGTGAGTTTCTTGTTAAGTTTTCCAAGCTCATCTTTTTCCTCAATCAATCTCAGCTTCTCCTTCTTCAGATTCTCTATTTCCAAAGCCTAGTGAGGTAATAGACCACCAAAAATGTTTTATCACAATGACTTAGTGTGTCAGGTAGATGAATGAAGGAGCAAATTTTGTATGGGAAAGATACCTGAGAGTTGAGAGCTGTTTCGTTGTTGATCTCTTTAGTCTCTTCCTGAGCAAATACTCTATTTAAACTCATCACGCTAGTCGGTGTTCCTGCTCCAGAGTATATTTCTGACTCCTCACAATTTCTGTTGTGAGTATTCTTCCCTGATGATTCATCTCCTGCAATTTGCTGTGTTGATTGTCTCTCGGCTAACGAATCTAGTTGTTGTCTTAGTAGAATGATTGTCTCTTGCATCTCAGCGTTTTCTGATTTCTGTGTATATTAGGGTAATAATGAACTTCAAATTGATAATAATCAAATTGTTTGGACTTTAACAACACAGAACCATTATATGGAGTTTTTAACTTACAGTCATCTGCAACTGCTCCTGAAGTATCCTATTGTCTGCAGACTTTATCTTGAAAAAGGCAATTCATACGAAAACATTGTCACTAGTTCAGTGAATCTGGTTTAACAATACTGAGAAGTAATGACAGCAAAGAGAAAGGGGAATGAGTACCTCATGTTCAAAGATTTTCTCATTTAGTTGCATTGTGAGCTTCGACAGAACCTATATCAAGCAAACACGAGAATCTTATCCAAGAAGCGTATTGAAATGGATTCATTTAAGCAGACAATCCTGAATGAAACTATTTCTACATCTAAACTCTTGTTTTTGTTCTTCATCTGTTATTTTACCTGGGACATTCCAAAAGAATCTGAGGCATAGGGAGTCATTCCGAAAATCTCAATAATTTGTTGCTCGAGAACACGTATTTGATCCTTTTTATCACTGATTTCATCCTCTAATTTATGTATTTGATCCTGCAGTCGACAATGCAAACATGAAAGAAGCACGGTGTTATATGCTAATTATTTTGGCATTGTTAAGCAAGATCACACGAGAAGCTCACTCTGATGTGAAAATCCTCAGGGTTGCGAGCAGCTTGTTCGGAAAGCCGATTTAATGAACTGGTATGCAACGCTACTTCTCCAACAAGTATTTTTGTCTGCTCGTGAAGAAGATCCATTTGATCCGCTATAGTAGTTCCAATCTGTCGTACAGTATGTCATTTTTGATGGTTATGTGTCAGTAAAAAGGTACACAGTGACCACTTAAAAACCTACGAACCAATCACAATATATGGTGTTCAACGAATAACAATTAAGACGTCCCTACTTTCTCAAGTGTAATCACGGAAGCAACAGGAAGGTGAAGGAACAATATTCTCTTACCGGAGAAGAGTCTCCTGGTCCAACAGTAGCACTGAACAAGTCTCCAGCAACAGTTTTTTCTGGAAAAGACTTGATAGCTGCTGCATTTTCTCTTCTAGTTGTTTTTGTTTGTGTACACTTGGAGGAAGATGAAGGAGATCCACTTGCTTGGCTCTGGTTACCATCAGTCGGCAATGTCCCGGCCACACCATCAGATTTCTGCAGCATATACATTAGGGTCATGTCTATTGCCGAAACAGTCTATTCACTATTTATGATTTTGGATTGTGTCATTTTTATATATCAGTCCACAATGACTAACTCCACCCATAAATTTTAATACAACAGAGGGACCAAGGAAGATTAGAACCTACTTTCAGTTTTAGCCAGCCAAGCATTCCACGAGTCTTGTTCTTTTTCCTGTCCTTTGTCATCTCGTCCAGACTACTATTGCCATCTCTTGGTTCCTTTAAATGTTCAGAAACTGTGCTTTCAGCACCATCATCAGTCATGTTCTCCCGTCTTCTATCGGGCAAGTATGCTAGCTGTAGGAACCATAATGTTAAAGTTTATACATCAATATCACATGGTGTAAAGGCTGAAACAGAAATATTATTGTTCTACCAAAATGGAATGATATCTTCAAACAACGTTAATTTAACATATATACCTCATCCTCTCCAAAAGCTTGCCTCCATATATGGTCAGGTTTTACAGAAGCAGCTTGGAGTGAACTTTTTGTTGAAACCAAGATTAATTTTGTCAATCGCTGAATTCTTCCCATCAGAGCTGCTTTGGCTTCTTCATCCTCCTCCAACCTTGAATGAAGTTTAACCTGACACGATTTCAGCATCTAAAATGAGAGAGAGCACAATGAAAGCAAGGCATGTTATTTCTGGGGAATGCATTTTTTAAATTCACAGATATAATATAACCAACAGATTCTAAAAGGCAAAATTTGATTAAAGATTAATCACTTCAAATGTTTAGCTAGTAATAGCCTAATAGGCATAGCTAAAGACATTTTCATTCAGAGTTTTATAATATCTGGCCGCAACAACAAGAAAAGCCCCAAGGAACTATCTGCATACACCAACCTGAAGTTTTCGATCAGCCAAATCTTCTTGGTTTCCACGCCTCAATTGCGTAAGTTCCTCTTGTAAACACGATATTTCTTTCTGATACTTTTTTATAAGGGACTTTTCATCCATAATCTATATAAAAAAAAATAGAAATCTTAAGAAGACAGCTCTAATGAATTTAAGGAACTTCAGAGACATATATACCATAAATGCACCTTATTTCGTGAAGCTTTGATTTCAACATGCTTGCACCTCTGGGCGAATTTCAGTGTGTTGTGCGTCTCTTCACTTGTGCTGGATGCAGGTGTGATAGTGCAAATAAGCTGTAAAAAAAAAGCAGAGGGGTTAGAAAGCCAATATTGAGACACAGTCTCATACTTACAAGAGAGCTATGTCATCAAATGAAAGTTCATAAACCAAAAAACACACCTGGCCTTCAGAAACTTCAAAAACAAATCATTATTGACAGGCTCGTCGAAAGATTGATTAATTAGGGAAGCTTAGAGAACTTACTGATACTCGTCCATGACCACTTAGTGTTGACTGCAAGAGACGCGTAAGTTTAGAATCCCTGTAGGGTATATGAGCTGCCTTGGTGTCTGTCAATTTAGATATAACCTGAAAATGGAGATTAGAAGTTTACACACGCTTAAATAGAGAAGAGTAAATGTTATATTGAAAAAGAAATTCCTTACAGTGCCAAGAGTGAGTAAACTTTTATTGATGGAAGAGCCCTCTTTCCTCCGCTGTCCAGTTATTTCAGTTTTAGAACTTTCAGATCCAGCAAGATCAATAAGGTGCTGCATCAAACCAAGAATCGGAATGTTAGATACGGACGAGCACCTGAATACACTTCTCAGCAATGAAGTGCGACATGGCTTCATATACAATAGCAAAATAAGTATGAGTCTAGTAATTACCAATTGTGAGAGACTAACATCTTCCCCGTCATCTCCCTTTCCATGTGGACTGCTTTCTATAGTCTGAAACGCACTGTAAACTCTAAGGGAAAGAGCTAAAAATAGTGGCCAGCTGTACACTAAGGATCTAAGGCATATGTGTAGTTGAGATGGAGACAAGAAAGATACACTACTAAGTATAGGACTCACCAAGGTGAACATTGTGTGGCTCCGACTGCTAAAAAGATTGACATTATTTGAACCAACATGCCTGTGTTCTGCAATAACTCCAAGAAAGACAAAGTGAAATCACAGAACCAAATAAAACATAAATAAGAGAGGTAGAACCTTATAAAGAGAAGCAAAAGTTGCGACCAATTGATACTGAATGATATTACTAATAAAGTCAACAAAATCACTAGTTAAAAGAATATGACCTATGACCTTAAAATACATGATTTGTAGATATTGTTAATGAGGAAACTGTGTTTTAAGGACGTAATAATGAAACTATGTTAACCGAAGGATGAGCTGATGCTGAAGGTAAACAGGTATATAATTCAGGATCTTATACCTTCTCCAGATGCTATTAGGGATAGAGCATGGGCAGGGGATAAGACAACCTCATCTTTTATACCTTCAACATATGTGCCCTATCAACATAAACACACTCACTTATAATACTGAAACTTACGATGCAAATGAAGCTTGGGTAAATGAAATGCATAAGCCCCACATTAAGATTTAATCGGGTTTTCTGCTACATAATCCACCAGTTACCTGAGCATCCTCTCGTATTCTTAGATTCTGCCCTGTTGGATCTAGTAAGTCATTGATGACCTGCAAGAATAAGTCAAAAGACCCTCAAATCATGCACCAGGTGATTGTACTAGAAATCACTGGGAAACTGAAATTCTAGTTCTGTGTCAGAACAAACAGCCAATTGTCTTTTTGCAGTTCATGACTGAAATGGGAGTTCCTTGTAATTAATTTCTTGAGCATACTCACTGTAGTAGGTTGGACACAGAATCGCATTTGAGGGCTAAATTCTATAGCATTCTTCTAAGCTTCTAGGCAATATTAAATCAATAGTGCCACAGGATACCATGTCCATGGAAACTTAACACAGTTTAAACTACAAGCAGGTCATGCAAATAAACAGAGTCAGAGCCTACCTCATTGTATATCTCTAGATACGAAACACGAAGAAGAAATTCCCGTTCTGGTGTCTGGATAGCTGAAACATTATTAGCTAAAGAATAGAGTAAAAAAAAACTTTGAAGAAAACAGAACTAAAGAGTAACCTATCACCTCCTGAATAATGCTAAATACATCCTTTACCGCCAACGGAATTATTCCAGGTGATCTTTGCTCCCCCTAATAACAAAATATATCATTAGTCAAGGTCTACAAGGCACAGGCACCACAAAAGTGGATGTGCTCAAGAGAACCACTTTCTTGGATTCTCTTTTGGACTTGTAATATGCCTATACTTTAACCCCTAATAAGAGACATAAAGATATTTTTCAGCCTAGTAACTTACATGCATTGTATGAGTCTTCCCACTGCTAGTAACTCCATAAGCAAACACAGTACCTACACATGGGCAAGGAAAGTATGCATATTTCAAGCTAAGGAATTTAAAAAGCACCTAACTTGAAGCCCTACCAACATCAAACGCACAAGAAACAATTCTCTTTTGGAGCCGTTAGAGAAGATCAACTAAGATAAGATGAAACATACCATTAATCCCTGACATTGCCCCACTAACAACTTGTTGAGCAGCAATATCATAAACACGCCGAGTAGTTGTTGGTGGACCAAATACCCTATCTGCAAAATACACTTATTCAATTCGAAAACAAAGTCCAAACAATTCCTCTTAAACAGTTCAACAATCTTCTGAATAAGAATAGTAAAATTGTCACTAACCAAAGCCATAACAAAGAGCTGGATTGTACTCATTCCTAATAGTATAGTCTCCATCTGCATACCAGGCAATCTCATCTCCATTATTGACCTCTCGTGGACTATTTCAAATTTACCAAAAAAATGTCAATAAACCAAATACATCACCACAACTGAAGTAAGGAAAAAAACAATCCCAAGCGCAGACCAAATTAACCTAACCTGAGAGGACGAAACCGAATCGTGACTGTAATATTCTCCTTCAGTTTCGTGGAAGCAACAGCCGTACCAGAAGCGGCGGCGGAGGAAGTAGACGGACTAGGACTAGAACGTAGTAATGGACTGGAAGAAGTAGCCGGAGAAGCAGAAAAGTGAGAGGAAGAAGGAGTTTCCGGCCGTTTCATCGGAATACTCGCCGGCGATCTACGAGGACGAGCCGGCGAGATCGTGGATGATTTCTGTGACCTAGTAGCAGACATTGTGAGAGGAATGGTTCCAAGAGACAGTTACTGTGAGAGAGAGGGAGAGAAGGAAGAAGCTCGTTCGCCGAAATCAATGGAGGTCACGTCATTCATGTATCGATTTTTTTTCCCACTCCCTCCAAAAAAAAAAAACCATAATTAATCTGACGAAAATAGCCTCAGATATTAAAGTACTGCTACCTAATTGGTTACAAAACAATTCTATATATGAATTTATTTATTTTTACTCTCTGCGCTACATATTATTATCACATGGACAAAATATTTAAATTATTTGATGAACTGACAGAAAGAATTAAATAATTTTGCTGAGCTGCCAAAAATAATAATTTTTTGAAGACAAATTGTTGGCTCTAAGAAAAAACATTTTTTTTTAAAAAAAAAAAAAAAAAAAAAAAAAAAACATTTTTTTTTGGTGATGTTTATCTCAGGGCACAGGCAACATTATTTTGTAATTATGTGAATTAATAGTAAATAACGAAATTACCCTCACCTAATCATCATTATCAAGGGTAGAATTAGAATATTTTTTTTAATACTTTGATCAACCTAAAGTGATGAAATTCCACAAGTCTTAGACCATCTCCATTGGGAGTGTCTAGGTGAGACACTTTCCAATAAAACAGAATAAAAAATTAAAAAAGGAGGAGAGAGGACAGAAACTGTTTCTCATTTGAGAAACTCTGAGACATCCATTTTTACAGTTCTCTCTTTCTGATTGGTTTAAATAAATAATTAAATAATAAAATAATAAAAAATTAATATTATTTTATTTGTTAGACACTCTATTGAGTGTCTGACCAATGGAGATGCTCTTATAGTTATCTACTTGATTGTGTTTGCACAAATCGAGCAACCTATCATATTACATGATTCATGTTAGTAAAAAAACAAACCTCAGTTAGATTATTTTGTAGTTTTGTGAACAATTGATGTATTGACCAATGAAGACAGATTGCTGAAACTTGTGTTCTTTTTTTTCTGTGGTCCTTTAGGTACATCACACATTCTAGCTGTTGCCCCTGAAGCAATATGGAGGAGCCCAATACCATAAATATGATTCTTGAATTGAATGCATCAATATGATAAGAGAAAAAGGCAATAGATTCAAGATTTTGCAAGCACTCTAAAGATTCTCATTCAAGTTTTGGTTTTGCCCCCATAACAAAACTAAATATTTGGTTTTATTTTGCTTACAATACTTATTGAACCGAAAAAAGCAAGAAAACATAACGAAAAGGTCCAAGAATCAGAGAGATTGCTCTATAAAAATTGACCCATGCAGCTGGTCAACTTTCAAGAAGAGGAACTAGAAAGCTCAGAGGTAGATCATCTAAACTCCTCAGATTTTGTTTTTAGAATATACAATCCTTAAGGTGTTTTATAGCTAGTATTAGAATTGTAAGAAACAGGAAAAAGCATTTGTCAAAGAAATATGTGGGGCAATATAGTAAAGAAAAATATCATAAAATAAGTTATTTCTTAAATTTTTAAGATATATCTTAGAAGAAGTTATTTAATTTTATGAATATTTAGCTTTTAGTTATATATTGAATTATATCAACATATCACTTGAAATTTAATATTCTAAAAAAAATCGGTCTCTAAATTGTTAATTGAGAAATACATTGAAAATTTATATGAAATTTCTGAAGAGATTACTTCAAATGCCATAATAATTAAATGAAAAATCTTATAAATATATTTTCTTAATTGAATAAAAATACGTATATTTTTTATATTATGAAAAACTATTCTCATGTTTCTTGAAAAATGTGGTAATATCGCATAACCTTTAGATTAAACAAAAAAAAAATCAAGGAATAAATGTATTAAGAAGACTGACATGGTCATTTTATTTATTTTGTTTTAGTGTCTCAAATCTGAACCTATAGCTACAATTTTCATTTGTTTTTAATACCTTCTTATTTTTGTTTATAGTTTGCTTATGTTTTGTTTAATTTTTTCTTATTATTTGCATAATTTTTTTCAACTTGTTTTTTTTTTTATATATATTCAGTTATGGGAATAAAAACACATTCAAAACAGATGGAATTAATGTATTCGGTTAAGTATGAATATTGGTTGCGATGTCAAGAGGAGAAAAAAAATTGGGATATATTAGTTCAAAGTCTCTAAATCCTTTAAAAGAAAGTATATGAAACATACATTATACACTCCCCAAAGTGGCGGAACCAGAAATATATTTTACATAAATTAATTTAATATAAATATATAATAATAATATTAATATTAATAATGAATTATTCATCTCGTATACACACTTTGTTGTCAATTATCAAAATATTTTAGGCATGACTATAATATGTAATGAAAACTGATAAAAGTTATATGGGCATAGACTGGCTCATCATGGATTGAAAATTCAAGTTTTCGTCGATTCTACGGAGGGCAAAACGTAAGAAGAGATGCGCCAGTTGTTCCAAACAGCGACCGATTAGACGGCGGAAGAAGAGGTGGTGGTTCGTGAGGCCAACAGATTTTTGGGACTTTGAATTTAATTACATTTAGGGGATAGTAAAGCATAATTTACCCACCTAAATCTACAAATAGTTTACACACAACTTTATACATACGTACCATACCATATACCTCCATTTAGTCTCTTAGAAAACCTTTAATCTCTTAGAAAGGTGGTAAATAGATAGTGGAAAACCACCACTCTCTCTACTTAGCATCACACAAGATAGTAAAGCATAATTTTACTTGGCTTGGAAATGATGTGTAACACTATGTACATTAATAGCAACACAACTCTTGTGTCACACACGAATTTTTCTTGTCAACGGTTTTCCCCTCCATCGAGTTGGCGAAAGCTTCGACCAACAACTCGAGAAGCCAGTCGATAGCAAGGTAGTCCGTGGCCTGGCCGGATCAAACACAAAGAGGGATTGAATCAAAAAGACAAAAGAGACAGGGTAGATTAGATTTTGACAGAGATTGAAAGAAATAAAAACTTACCCTCAGCATGTCCTTGTTCGGAAGGATTTTGCCGACATTCCCCTTTTCGTGGTCAGCGCAAAGCTTCAGAATCTTCCCCAAAACCTCGCCGTTGACGTTAGGAATAGGTATCACCTTCTTCCCTGGTATCTTCGGTACCTTAAAACTTTTGTTGTCATTGCTGATCACTTCGAGTGAATGAATAGTATGGTTCAACACTACCTTATTTACAAGGCAGAAGAAAACCATTAATCTCTTAGAAAGGTGGTAAATAGATAGTGTAAAACCACCACTTTCTCTACTTAACATCACACAGGATAGTAAAGCATACTTTTACCGACCGAAAATCTAAACATAATTTACACACAACTTTATACATAATGTACCATATAGCTCCATTACTCTTATTTCCAACAAGATTCCTAATCTTTACTACTCTTGTTACGTTGTTCCAACAAGTCTTGAATTGCTTCTCCAAAATCTCAAAACTTTTTCTTTTATATGAAAACAGAAACACCACCACCACTTCTTGTCTTGAAGCAACTACGATTCGCCCCTCTGAATCTCTAAATGATCAGTTACCATAGTTTGCTTGAGAATACCTCGCTAGCGGCTTCGACTCACTACTAGCAAACCGTACCACCGAGAGACTTTTCTTACCGCAACTTACACATGGACTGTAGAAATAAATGTATTAAGAAGTCTGACATGGTTCATTTCAGGCTCTGCGAGGACCATGGTGAACTCGACTTCTGCGTTTTGAACCCTTCCGTGTAAACTTAGACTCTCTGCTCACTCTAACACCATGAATCGGACTACCACCATCAGCATGTTGGCTCAAACCCGAGTCAGAACGATGGTCTTTTCTCACACCAACTCTAACACGATGGCTCCTCGGTCTCAAAGACTTTCTAAGACGCTCTTCTCTTCTGCATTCTCGCCTCGATCTATGGTATGTGAACGACCCATTATCGCCATCATCATCGCCATCGTTATCACTATTATCATCATAATCATCCTCTATATATCTGTGGTGTCTACGTCTTCTTCTACGTTTATAGTGTAGCAGATCATAGCAGAAGAAACTACAACAATAGCTAATCATGTAGAACCAACAAGAGACCAAAACCCAGAGGAGTCTGCAGAAACCGTGGATGATACAATGCCAAAAACCAACTTTGTATAACATGTAGATGAAGAATAGAAAGAAGTAGGATAAGATTAGGATTAAGGCAGCTTTTGCAAGATTAGCCACGCAGAAATTCTCAACGTAGCATATGAAATCCCACGGTGATGGACAAACCGAACTGTTCCAAGTAAGATTTCCCCTTAAGCAAATCAATAAACTATGAAAGATTATCGTAATATAAGTGATGGTTTTGGGTATTTACCTGCAAGATTTTCCAGATAGAAAGTCAAGTGGAGAACCAAAGAAGTTTCCGATAGAATGTGAGAAACCGGTGAAGAATGAGTCCAACACGTTACCCATCACGACCAACTTCCGATTTGGATTAAACTTGATTAGATATACTTATATGAATCTTTAGACGGATTAGCAGACATAACAAGCCGAAATTAAGACAAGAAGTTAAAGAGGAGAAAGCCGCTTTGTAACTGCTTAAGATCTGGTGGTTACTGTTAATTTGCAGTTTTCTCTGTTTTTCACGATATTTCATTGCCTTTTCTTTTTGTAAAAATAAAATAACGGCAGGAAATAAAACCAGTGTTATTAATTCGTTAACTCTACGAATTCAAAGAACAATAGATCAAACATCATCCAGAACCCATAATTTCAGAGAAGGAATATATGATTAAACCGGAATGCGAAGGTTACTCTACTTTAAACCGGGATTACAGCGAAAAACAACTTGGATAGAAGAAGTGAGATCAATCCATCCTTCCCTTTAGGATCCTCTCCTTAATCTCTGTTGGTGTTCTGTACAACATATCACCACGGAAGAATTGTTTTCAGAATCATGTGGGGAAAAAAAAAAGAAGAAACCCATTGAGAATAATGAGGACTTACACAATGTAGACGTGCCCTCCCCAACCACTCAGACAATCACGGTCAACCGACGAGAGAAGTGCTTGCGATATTGTCTCGAACAATTCCTCAGCTTCCTGAAAATCCTCATATATTAAGCCAGAGTCTTGATACGTAGGTCTAATACATTGGAGTATGGCTAACAAGCTCAGACTATTAAACACCTCATGCTAAAAGGGACAATTGAAGATATCAAAGAGAAAACTAATGGCTATTGTGATTCCTACGGCCATTATGCTATGCACCCTAATGATCACACCAATTCAAGATTCGACTTTATACATAGTAACACTAAACCTTGAACCTACCAAAACTACAACGCCTAAATGTGGTAATTTAAGCATTTTCATTGACGGGATTTAGAAATAAAACAAGAGATGATGAGGTTTTTTAGTGGACAAACCATATCTGGCTTGTACATTGCCTCACAGGCTCCATACAGTGATTCTGAAGCAGTTCCAGATACAACAAAATCTTTAGCCAACTCTCTGCATTTAGAAGAGAACAACTATTAACACAAGTTCCCTGTTATATCAACAGCGAACAAAATGCAACAACCAGGTTGAAAAAAATGCAGCCATTTTCTAAAAACAACAAACACAAAATAAATAGATGTATCAAACCATATGAAGACGAAAGGGAAAAAGGAACCATGAGCATTTCCCACTCATAGGATGCTAAAATAAGTCCAACAATTCCAAAACCAAAACCAAAACAAATAACATCCACAAGACATCTGGCTCAAGGACTATATAAACCACACTAACCACGCTAATGACATAGATATGTAAAAGGGAAAAGCGTCCATACAAATCAGAGATTTAACCAAGAAAAGATGTGAACATACTTGGCTCCAATAGAGTCCATCGTGCAAATGAAAGGCTTGTCATCATCTCCCAAGCCAGCAATCACAGGTTGGCATAAGTAAGGACCAAATCTGAAACAAAGCAACCAATCTGATTATCTTTCTAAATCATGATTCAGAGACAAACTAAGTAAATCATTCCTAACCAAACAGCTAATCAACACACGCACTGACCTCTTTTCGTAAAGAATGGCTGAGACAAGACTAGCGAAAGTTTCAGGCTTCATGTCTCTCTCTTCACGAAGCTGGTAAAGCTTATGACGAAACACCAAGCGCTGGTACCTTCAAACATCAAAGACAAAACCAAGAGAAAAATCTTTCAGTTCAATTCAAAATGTGAAAACAAACAAATATGGAATATCTGGAAGCTTGCACGATATTTTACAGTGTTTGAACATCGGTAGCGAGACCGGAAAGACCGATGAAGACACGATCGTGGATCTTGGAGATTCTCTGGAAATCAGTGGCGATTGTCTGTAGCTGAACACCGAGTCTCCGATCACTGGCGATGGCGAAACAGTTCTTACCTACCATAGCAACAACGGCACTTCCATTGTACTCGAAGATCTGCATCACCACAAATATCAAACAAATCCCCGTTCAGTCACTATTAAATCATAGAGTTGAGGTCTCTGAAATTCAATTAAGAAAAAAACTAGGAGTGATCAACTTACCGACATCGGAAACTTAGGGTTTTCAGAGTAGAATTTGGAGTTTTTTCCGAACGGAGAAGAAATCTGAGAAGGAGGAGGAGAGAGAGAGAGTACTAAGTAAAGTCGACGGTGGCTTGGAGGAAAATCCAGCCGGACTTTTTTTTTCGCCTCCAATATTAGTTTTGGGCCTAATTTTAGGCCTCGTTTTATTGGGCTTCTTGAAGAAAACTATATTCAACGAATTTTGTTTTTTGACAAAAAAAATCTCATTTGAACCAGAATTTCAATATTCAGTAGAATTGCAATTTACAAATGAAAGTCAATGTGATAACAGAGAATTGCAAAGGGAAGTAGGGAACAAACAATTAGAAGTTTGAATGAAAAGCTACAAGTACAAATCAAGATTTGGTTCTCTAGTAAATAATGATTATAAGAAACAACTACACTAGTTCACCAACACTAAACAGGGAGCCAAATATTGCACCCGCCTCAGAATTTCGGTCAGTCCTTAGCTCTTCCAAGTTCAACTTTCTGGACTAAACGATTCATGGTGGCTTAGGTAGACAGCATAGTCATGGCTTCGTCGTGTCACAGCTCGTTTCATTATCTTCCGCAGAATTATCCAGTTTGTTAATGGTCTGGGAAAACGATTGCAAGAGAGTTTTTTGTGCAGGTAACTCGGCAATGAAAAGCAATGTTTGAGCCCAACCAGCATATTCTCCATATTTACTCACAAATGCTTCTGCCACTCTGCCGTGGAGTTTAGGTGTCAGTTTTGCACCAGCAAGGTCTGGCAGTAGATAATTTGTTGCGATCTGATCCATTATCCAAAACAGAACAAAACAAAGTTGCTTGAGTCATCACCAAAATGTAAATGTAATAGAAATCGGAGACTCGGTGGACTTTGTTACCTGCCAGACATGTGTGTCAACGGGAATAGCACTATGCTGATCAAGAGAAAACAGAGCTATGCAAGCTGCTACCTTTGGACCAACACCAGGTAATGTACACAGAGCAGAAACTGCCTCTTGGAGATCTAATTTGCGTAGAGAAAGAAGCCATTCATCGCCACCACCTGGCTTTGATTGCAAAGCATTTACTGTACCTGTTATGTATTTGGCTCTGCCACCACAAGATGGAACCAGAATCAGAGTTTGCAACTGAGAACAGAACCAATCAGAGAAACGGCCACGCAATGATTATCTAGCTTAAAACAAAAATTAGCTTCAATTCTATGAATGTATGGCCACAGAGTAAATGAAGATATAAGCTTCAAGCAAAGTTTTATCCTAAATGGCTAATTGAATATGATGTAACTAACAGTAGATGAAATCACTGAAAGGAAGTAAATTTAGATATTGATGAATCACCTGTAACCAAAACCAGCCTTCCTAAACTCTGCTTCAGAAACCCTAGATAATCGATCCAATGATGGGAACTGATGAAACTCAAATCCATCAATATCACCCAAATGTAACCCTAAAGACGAAACAAAATCAACCATCTTCGTAATCCTCCCAATGTTATTGTTCGATGAGCACAAAAACTGTATCAAGCACTCGAGCGGATCCTGCCGTAGCACACGCGCACCACGAAGATGTTTCGCTAATTCTCCAAAACGAGGATCTTTCTTCGAGAAATCAGACCATAGCTCAGCTAACGAGATCTCAGCATTGAGAAAATCAAGCAACGCAAGTTCCGCTGATTTAGGGCTAGTGCTGCAATGGACCGAGTAGGAAACTGTGTCATCACCTGGACGTTGTCGAAGAGAGACGAGATGAGGCCCAATCGTTCCGCTATACTGAATCGCTCCAGTTTGCTTCCACCGGAATGTTTGACCCGTCGGGAAAGTTAACGGTAGAGTGAGCTCCGTGTGGGTTAGTTTTAACGGGAACCATTTAGGTGTTCCTGTTCTGTGTAGCTTCTGTTTGAGAATCGGCGTGACCGGCGGAGATAGTGGTGGTTTTACGGTGGTAGAGATCGACGGCGGTGATGTAGCTCGAGGTCTCTTCATCGCCGTTACTCGTTAGCGGAACCACCACACCAGTATTTCTGCGCGACGGACGACTAATGTACCAATGTACCATCAATTGAACCGGTTTAACCAATTTAACTAACCAAAACATTAAACCGAAATTTGGATTGGTCAACGAAGCTTGAATTTCGAACTTAGAACTTCCATCTTTCGAACCCTCTTGTTCGTCAAGAAGGTTAGGTCGTCCCGGAGAATGAATAAAATATATAGAGACTAAAGAAGGTAATGGCGAAAGAAATTGCGAGAAAAAGGTTTGGTGTTTAGCTCGAGAGCTGGAAATCAGAACGACTCGGAGCAGAGAAGACAAAGAAAGCAATTCTTTTTACTTAGGTTCTTGCTTTGATTCCACAGAACTCAAAACCTCTCTTTCTCTATCTTCACCCACAAGAATGCCAGCTTCTGAAGGTAAAATTGCATAGCGAAACGACTTTCTCATCTTTATATCTCTCTCAAAATCCAATTTTGAATTGGGATTTGACTTACCCACATAGATCGTAGTTATGGGTATTTCGACTATGCGAGAATTCGTATGAATTGAATTACCCTTTTTCCAATTCCGTCGCAGATAGAAGAGGGAAATGGAAACGGAAGAAGCGAGGGGGATTATCGGCGGCGAGGAAACCGAAACAAGAGGAGGAAGATATGGAGGAAGAAGAAGAAGAGAATAACAACAACAACAACGAAGAAATGGATGACGTTGAAAATGCCGATGAGCTTCACCAAAACGGCGGCGCAACTCCCGATCCGGGACTTGGTATTGGCGAGGTAGTTGAAGATTCTGGTTCGCGCATCTCTGATTTCCCGGCAGTGGTCAAGCGCGTTGTGATCCGTCCACACGCGTCTGTAATGGCTGTTGTGGCGGCAGAGAGAGCTGGTTTGATTGGGGAGACTAGAGGGCAAGGTTTACTTCCAGCTCTGGAGAACATTTCGTTTGGGCAATTGCAAGCGTTATCTACTGTACCGGCTGATTCTTTGTCTCTTGATCTTGATGGATCGTCTTCGGCTTATGTTATCTCTCCACCACCTATTATGGAAGGAGAAGGAGTTGTTAAACGCTTTGGGGATCTGGTTCATGTCTTGCCAATGCATTCAGGTTTGTTTTTTTTCTTTCTTTTCCTTCAATTCATGAGTTTGCATATACTTTGAAGATAACTATGTTTATACGCTCATTTATGTTAGAGGTGAGGCTTTATGTAGTACCAGCTTTTGCTGGTCAGTAGTCCTATAGTATATATCTTGTGGTTGGATTGAGAATTAGTCAAAAGGGTTTTTATGCTGGTTCTCCTAAGCGTATAAGACTATAAGTTCTTATCTTCCTTTTGTCTAGTGCATGGTTCTTAGTTTACATTATTAGTTCTTAGCCTTAGGTGACTTATCTCTGAAGTGCTTCTTGGATAGATTATGCAAGTGATGTCCTTTTTAAATTTCATTTGGGCTATTTCCTGGATTCATGTGCCTCAAATATACCGTAATTTTCCTCTTTAGTTTTTTTTACTTTCTGATATTTTTGTACCCAATGCTCAAATTTATGCTTCTACTTTTGCTGTTACAATTGAGCAGATTGGTTTGCACCAAACACAGTGGATCGACTTGAAAGGCAAGTGGTGCCACAATTTTTCTCTGGGAAATCGCCAAATCATACACCCGAAAGTTATATGGAATTCAGGAACGCCATTGTTTCAAAATATGTGGAGAACCCTGAAAAGACACTGACGATTTCTGATTGCCAAGGATTGGTAGATGGTGTTGACATTGAAGATTTTGCACGAGTTTTCCGTTTTCTTGATCACTGGGGAATAATCAATTACTGTGCCACTGCCCAGTCACATCCTGGGCCTTCTAGAGATGTATTGGATGTGAGGGAGGATACAAATGGTGAGGTCAATGTGCCGTCTGCTGCTTTAACATCTATTGATAGTTTGATCAAATTTGACAAGCCCAACTGTAGACACAAGGGGGGTGAAGTCTATTCATCCTTGTCAAGTTTGGATGGTGACAGCCCTGACTTGGACATCAGAATTCGTGAACACCTATGTGATAATCATTGCAACCATTGTTCCCGACCGCTTCCAACTGTGTATTTCCAATCGCAAAAGAAGGTTCTTAGGCTGCTTCCCCTTACGTATTGCTCTTTGTATATCACTATCTGATTTTTTCCAGCCAGTGATGTAACAGACTCCAAGGCTTATCTTGCTTACTGTTTCGGATACTGGAGCGCTTCTAACTAATGGGTCTTCATCTCTACGTTACAGGGGGATACACTCTTATGCTGTGATTGTTTTCACCATGGAAGATTTGTTGTTGGACATTCTTGTCTTGACTTTGTAAGAGTGGATCCAACCAAATTTTATGGCGATCAAGATGGAGACAATTGGACTGATCAGGAAACTCTCTTGCTTCTTGAAGCTGTGGAACTCTACAATGAAAATTGGGTTCAAATTGCTGATCATGTTGGTTCCAAGTCAAAAGCTCAATGCATTCTTCATTTTCTTCGATTACCTGTGGAGGATGGTCTTTTAGATAATGTTGAGGTTCCTGGTGTAACAAATACGGAAAACCCTACAAATGGATATGACCCCAAAGGAACAGATTCAAATGGGGATTTACATGGTGATTTTGTTTTATTCAATTTGTAGCAATGAATTACTTTCCATAGTTATTTCTTTTGACATGCCATACTCATTGTCGGCTTGCCTCTGCAGGATATTCTGAGCAAGGTTCTGACACTGAGATCAAACTTCCATTCGTGAAGTCTCCGAATCCGGTTATGGCATTGGTTTGTGAACTTTTTTCCGATGCAGATTTCATATGCGCTTCTCATTATCCTTATGATCTCACCAGTTAGCGATATCTGATCCATGAATCGATTAATCTGAGAGCTAAATTGTATGCATATTTTGAGTGGAGAATGGTCCTGTATTGCACATAAGTTTGGAGATTATGAGGATCCTGATACCGAAACATTTTTAGGTTGCATTTTTGGCATCAGCTGTTGGACCTCGAGTTGCTGCGTCTTGTGCCCATGAGTCCCTCGCGGTTTTATCTGAGGACGATAGGTTAGTGTATTATTTAGTCTCTATCCAATTTAAAGATCTCTGTAGTATATGATTCAGTTTAATAAATAATATGGACGATGTTGAAACTTCTTGATCTATCAAGAATGAAATCCGAGGGAGTGCAAGGGAAAGAAGCCAGCTTGCTTGATGGAGAAAATCAACAGCAAGATGGTAAGGAAGTTTTTTTATTGTTCTCTTTACAATAATTTCTTGGCTCTTTTGTTTTAACCTAATCTGCAATCCCAACATGCTTTAATTGTAAAAGAAAACTCAGGAGCACACAAAACATCAAGCCAAAACGGAGCAGAACCGCCGACTCCACTGCCACAGGATAAGGTTATGGCAGCATTTAGAGCCGGTCTATCAGCTGCAGCAACAAAAGCAAAATTGTTTGCTGATCATGAGGAACGCGAAATCCAAAGACTTTCTGCAAATATCGTTAATCACCAGGTAAAATAGCCGAACCAGTTACTGATGAGAATTACTATAGTTATTAGTTGATTTATTTAGTTGTATAGTGTTTATTGCTGATCTGAGTAAAAACCGCAGCTGAAGAGGATGGAGCTGAAGCTAAAGCAGTTTGCAGAAATTGAAACATTGTTGATGAAAGAATGCGAACAAGTAGAGAAAACCCGTCAGAGATTTTCTGCAGAACGGGCTCGTATGCTCTCCGCAAGATTTGGATCACCTGGAGGAATCTCTCCACAGATTAATAATAATAATCTCCAAGGCATGTCTCTATCCACAGGTGGTAATAACATCAATTCTCTCATGCATCAGCAACAGCAGCAGCAGCAACAACAAGCTTCAGCAACTTCTCAACCAAGCATAATCCCGGGATTCAGCAACAACCCGCAAGTTCATGCACAGATGCAGTTCATGGCACGCCAACAACAACAACAACAACAAGCTTTCTCTTTTGGCCCAAGATTACCTCTCAATGCGATACAGACCAATGCAGGATCAACAGCTTCACCAAACGTCATGTTTGGCAACAACCAACTTAATAACCCTGCAGCAGGAGCAGCATCAATCAACCAGCCTTCGTTTAGTCACCCGATGGTTAGGTCTTCCACGGGTTCAGGCTCAGGGTCCGGCTTAGGCTTAAACTAAGATCCATCTCTCTAGCTTATTTAGCTTATCAGTCAAGTATCCATATTTATTTTGCCTTGTTATTTTAAAGATAAGTTATTGGCTTTGAGACCGTAGTGTTGTTCTAAGTTAGTGTCTTGTAGTATCAAATCATCTCTGAACCATCATCATTGTGAATTAAAACAGTTACCAATCTTAATATCTCTGTCTATGTCTCTCTATCAACTCAAATAGCCTGTGATAATGATATAGACAATTCCATTACAAATCTACATGTGTACATTAGTTCTTGTCGCAATGAAAAACTCAAATCCTTTTTTATTTGATTATAACTTCTAAAATGTTTTTCTTTTTCTAAAAAAACAAAATGGCTAACCGAGGCGGGAACGAGCCATCATTAAAATTGTTTTTTTCTCATAAGAACTTAAATCCGAATCAGTTCGTTTCAGCGGCGAACCACGGCGAGAAGAGAAGGACGATATCGGCGAACCCCACCTCGAAGAAACCGCCGATCCGTGGCTAGAATCTTCCGACGGAGAAAACGTTGTTCCCGATTCATAGAAATTGTCAGACTCCGATGATTCCTGACCGGTCTTTTTTAAATCGCCGCTCTTACTCTTCTTCAACCCGAACAATGACTTGGGAAAAAAACACCGGGGCAAAGAACCACCGGCTCGAGGGGAAGAAGATCGGAAATATGGAGTCGGAGGTCCTGAACAGTTGGAGTCGGAATCTGAAGGCGATTTGAGCTTGAAAGACGACGGAGGAGGAGCGAAGGGAGAGACTGGTCGGCTTCTGGATTCAGAGAAGAAAGGAGAAGACGGAGATGGCGAATTCGACGGCGGAAATGGTTTTAATTTGACAGGAGGAAGTTTGCTAGGAGGTTGAAGAAGATCATCACCGGGTCGGGTTTTGGGTACACCGGGTCGGATTTCCCACTTAAAAGGCACAGCTCCGGGTCTCTTGAAAGAATCGTCACCATCGACCATTACTTAGGTAACCCCAAAACAAAGCGTTTCTTTGATCAAAATTAGTTTTAAGGATACTAATAAGCAACTACTTATAGATTAGATTAGATCAATTATTTTTAGAACGTATCCAGATTTATGACAGTTCTATGTGAAGACTATAAGATTCAACGAATTTGTGTCTTGACAGCATTTTTATTTATTTATGGCATTACTAATGTTTTCTATAGATTTGATGTGTATCCGAATCTTCTTTTTATGTGGATATGGAGAATCCTGGTAAATTATTACGCTTGTATTTTATTACATTTTCGAAGGATTTTACTACTTTGATTATATAAATCTACTACATTTTGGGATCTATACCTAACTAGTAAAGAATCACATTCATCCTTTTACAGTTTTACTAAGACATCAATGTTCACAATATTGGACATGTATGTTAAGGAATCCACTAATCAACACAACAGATTCTTACAACAGATTTTGGTCACCTCTCAAAATGAGGAACAAAATATATAATCAGTCCACTGCAAAACTGCTTTGTGTGGACAATGCTTTCTGCTGCCTCTGGTGCAGCAAATAGGTCGAGACATATGATGGTTGTTGGGCAGAACACATATCCTTTTATCGAGATAGATCCATGATGAACCAGCCTTCATGTATAAGTCATCTCCAAGCATACATTGAATGTGTAGGGTGACACAACAGTATTAACCTCACACATATAAAACCGTTTTTTCGGATTTATTTTTTCCTTGCAAACTTCACACCAATACTTGTCTCACTCCCATAAGAAAGACTGAAAGAGTGAGCTTATGCTATCATGCTTATACCTCACTATTTGAGGTAAAGTAGCACACTTGAAACACAAAGAAAAGTCACACTCCTCAATGCAAGTTGAATGTTTCTGTTGTGAAAGGATGCATATATCGTTTGCAAACACAGCATGTTCTTTGCTCATCTGGTTTGGATGTTAGGAAATTAGGAATAAAAGATGCATATGACTTTCATGGACTAATGGCTCAAAAAAAATACAACTCATAGTTCTCTTAAAACAATAACTCTGTAACAGCACATCAGGGTAACCAGAAAAACGTCATAAAGCTCCAACTTTTTTTATCAAAACCTAAACTATGACAGTGGCATTGTGAAAACTCATGAGTCATAAGGAAAAGGTCCAAACCAAGCAGGATCAAGATGCAGAGCTTTATACTTTAAAGGGTATTTGCATTAGAAGTCTTGAGCCATTTCTGAGAGGGCAAGAATTGTAGTGCTTGCCACATCCAGAAGCTGCAAGTACTCATCCGCCCCGTCTACAAGTCGCTGGATTCATCAAAAAGGTATGAGATATTTTATTATCATTAGAGGTAACAGAGACATGCTTGGCAAGATTGCAACATATCTACATATTCAAATAATAAATCTAAGATGTGAACTTGACTCAAAACCCATAAATATAATTGAGTCAAGATGTTGGTAACTGATCTCACTTAAGTCTTCAACCAACTCCATAAAAGAGACACAAGCATGAAAAATTAGTACGGGAAGTCTTACCTTATCAGTTTCAGCTAAACATTTGCAGATCTTAGCCTTTTGCATGTCTGTTATGTCACTGTCAGCCTCCGCAACTATATCGAATAGCTGAAAGAGAGATGTAAAGAAGTGGTTATAGCCACTATTGCAGGACTTAAATGGGGTAAGAATAAGAGACGGAAATAGAAAACCTGATTGATGATTTGAGATGCCGGATATCCTTCTGCAACTATGTTATCCACTTCCTTGTTTGCAATATCGAAATCACCACTTTTGCATGCAGTAAAAAGTTTATTGACTACCTCCAGAGGAACTACCTGGTAGATTTGTTAGACATCCAAATTAACAATCAGAAAGTCTGACTTGGTTGAACCTACCATACACTTATGCAAAACTGGGTTAACTTGATCCTTACCCCAGACACATCGAGTAAATCTGTAGAAGTTATTGTTGACCCAAACAACCGAGTAGCACTCTGTAATATTCAGGCCGAAAGATTGGTTCACAGCTCTATTGTCAATTTCGTCCAATAACAAAGATTTCAGATAGTTTTATCTTACCTGCAGATATGTGATGGCCCTACGGAGATCACCTTGTGATATGGAGCTCAAAGTTGAAAGAGCCTAAATAGGAAATGGCTACAATAAATAGCTTTCACAAAACAAAAATAATAAGGTGAACCTTAAAGCATTTGCTCATACCTCTCCACCAAGGCTGAGACCTTCTTCATTACAAATATGCAATATACGGTTACTCATGACTTCTTCAGAAAGTGGTTTAAACCTGAACTTCGCACACCTGGAAGCAAGGGGCTCTATGATCCTAAAGAATAAGGAATCAATAAGGGTGATCAAAATCAGTGAGTTCATTCATAGTTCAGCAAGTAGCTCAATATGAGCATATATCAAATTATAACAAAATTATAAACGAAAAAGCAATCATTTAACATAACCAGAGAGAAAATTGGAGAATAAATGAGAGGGAGATGCAAATGAGAACAGAAGGAAAAAAAGGCCGTTGTGACAGAGTTACCTGCTGATGTAATTACAAATGAAAAAGAATCTGGTGACTTTGGAGTAAGTTTCCATTGTGCGCCTCAAGGCGTTCTGGAGAGTCAATAAAATAGTTCCTGGTAAACGCATATCAAAGGTACAAATGCGGTAGTGAATAGATGTTCAACGTACCTGAGCATCTTCTGTCATCGAATCAGCCTCATCTAGGATGATGATCTTAAACGATGGGCAAGGATAACCGCTGAAGTATCAAATCATAGGTCTTAGATGAAATACAGAAGCGAGAAAATGACCCAACAAAATAAAACTTAATAAAAAGTAGACACCTTTGACGATGATTAGACCCAACAGCAACAGCAGCAAAATCCTTGATCTTTGTCCGAACAACATTAATGCCTCTGTCATCACTTGCATTGAGCTCCAACACCCTAGACTTGTATAGTTCAGGTCTGTAAAAACTCTTTAGTTAGTTCACATCCCCATTGTAAAAATCCACATATTACAGCAAAATGAAATAACAAAACAAGGACAGTCTCATGAAATACATCTGAGACTGTGATTATTACTCCCAAATGAAGCCGAAACTGACTCAAATGGGACACCCCCCACGGAGGCAATGGAAAGAAGAACAAGACAATTTAGCTTCAAAATCTATAGACTTACGTAGAAGAATCATAATTCCTAAGAATTCACATCTTGGTATACTATCTAGCTACCTAATGGGACAAGATGGTATATATCATTATGCAACAACAGAGCCTGAGAGTCCATATTGTATCATATTAGAGATCACAAAGTCTCATACAAATTAAGCACACACAAATGAATCAATCAAAAATCCATCCGAATTTCAGCTTTCACAAATTAATCAGATGAATAGGTTACCCAAAGAGCTGGTGGGCGATGGCAAGTGCAGTAGTGGTTTTTCCAGTGCCTGGCGGTCCATAGAAGAGCATGTGAGGGCACTACAACAGAGACACACAAAATTAAAACCCAGAATTGAGAACCAAATTCGACATCTAGGGTTTTTCACACTTGTACAAAATCAGATTTCAAAAATTAGGGATTTTTCCAAATAAACAAAGAGTTTATAGTGAAATTACGTCAGCAGTCTGGAGAGTGTTGGTGAGGACACGAACCACCTCTTCCTGGTGAGCAACGTCCTTAACCTGCTTCGGCCGGCTGAATCCAAATCGGAAACAAAAGAGTTAATAATTAAACCCGACATAAATTCCGTCAACGGAATTAAAAAAAAAATCAGTAAGAAGAAATCGTACTATTTCTCAACCCATGGCTGTGAGCTCTGAAGAACTGGCGCCATTCCTCTAATTTTCTGTTCCCAATTCTTTCCCGGTGCCGGAGAGACTCCTTTATAAACCTTATACGACGTTTTCTGGATTTTCCCGCTCCCGTCTGAAACCCTCCAACTCAGAAAGAGGGTTTGATTTCCTATCGACTGTTTCGACTTTTGACAATATTACATTAAGGATCTCATTAATAGAAAGTCTTATGCATATATAGATTAGGACCAATAATAATTACATAATTAATGCACGTGATATTTCCTAATGAGATTATGAATGTTAATTCCCTATGTTTAAAAGGAAAAATAAAACAAGCAGAAAAGTGTTTCGCAACCTTAAACCTAAGAGTGGAGAGAAAGCGATCCGGAACTAGCATTATTTCCATATCAACCACGGCCATGAATGGAGAAGACCCACTGGTTATAAGATTTATGATGCTTCCTGATGATTTGATATTAAATTGCTTAGCACGCGTCTCAAGATTGTATTATCCTATACTCTCCTTTGTCTCCAAGAGATTCCACATTCTTATTGCTTCAACGGAACTTTAACGATCTCATTAATACAAAGTCTTATTATGCATATACAAAGTCTTATTATGCATATACATTGGCAGTCTCATACAAATCTATAAGTAGTAGAGTTACACGCTGGGATACATTTCTGTTCCGTGACAATGGATACTATGATACTCAACAGTCTCTAATTATACATATTAACAAAAGATTTTTCGGCCTTTTAGTGTAGGGTACTTGTTTAGCCAGTGACAGTCTTCGAACGAGCACCTAGAATCGTTCCTCCTTTGCAGCACCACATTGTTCGGGTGGATGAACCGAGGAGCCCATGCCGGTGTCCCATCTTCATAAGAGTTATGCGTCAGCCTCCTCAAATTAGAGCCATCTAATTTCACCGTGAAGATATCACCGTATGGCTGGTAATGATGCGGGTTTGAAATCGGTTCCGCTGAGATTGCAGCATAATCAGATGTGAAGACTAATGATTTACTGTCCGGGCTGAAGATTGGGTGGTTAGTTCTCCCACCTGTCCCGCTTTGGATGAGTTTCCTTAACCCTGTTCCGTTGGGGTGGATCAAGAAGAGCTCAAAACTACCTGAGCCAGGGCTTTCTCTATCGGATGCAAACGCGATCCATTCCCCATCCGGTGACCAGTTACACATTGTGTCGGTCCATGCACCTTCGGTTAACCTCCATAGACCACCGCTTTCGCCTTTCTCAGCATCCATTATGTAGAGGTTTTTGTGACCAGTCCGCCCCGAACGAAACACTATCCGCTTACCATCCGGAGATGGCCAAGGGAAAGCATTGTTCTTCCCATTTGTCGTTAGCCTCCTCACGGAAGATGACTTGTCAGCTGCATCGACTTCAATAGAGATGACATCAACCTCTGTTCTCTCTGTAGCAAACGTTGGACCTGAGCTAGAGTACACAACTCCAGGTCGAACCGGATCCCAAGCCGTCGAAAACGCCATTCCGTTGTACACTTCACGCTGCCCTGAACCATCCGGCTTCACTACAAACACACCAGGCATTTTGACGTATGCGATACGATCACCTCCAGGTGAGAAGGAAGGAAACGAACCATCGATTCTAAAGAGAGAGAGGTCCCTTGTAGTGGTTTGAATATTCTCTAGAAAAAGCAGAGGACTTCTCCGTCCATTAGCCTCGCCTCTACAACTATGGTATCCGACTCGAGACGAATCAGGGGACAAAAACGGATTCAAGTGATGACTCTTTGGCGCCACCAAACGTGTCAGCTCAATAAATTCACTCCTCTTCAGATCAAACAACTCCACGTGGCGGTAATCCGAACCTGGTCTCCTCGTCGCCACCGCTATGAACTCGTGGTTGTTTGGTGACGTGGCAGGTGTAAAAGCGTGAACTCCCGGTGGTGTGACTCTTTGTATAGTCACTGACTCTGTAGTCAACTGTCCGTTTTCAGGTAAGATCGCTCGGTACACACTGATCCAACCATCCACCTCGCTTCTTCTATGGAAATACAGAGTCGACTCATCGACCCAACACGGCCAACCACCGTGCTCCACCACTTTGACACGGTGAGTCCCATCCCGAGTCGAGAATACATATATGTCCGTACTTAGCTCTTCAACTTCCCCTGTCCAGCCTCTCTCTCCGTACGAAGCCACGGCTGTTAAATTTCCAGAAGGCGACACCGCTGGGCTAAAATCAGCTACACCACTCGGTGTTAACCGCCGGGTTAACCCAGTTGTTAACTCGGTAGAGTAAACGGCGGTCCAGCTTGTTCTCGGCTCACCTGAGTTCTCGTGAGTTGACACGTAGACAAGAAACTCACCATTTAAACTAGGCTTATCTTTAAACGAATTTACCGTCGTGCCACTCCGATGATCAAATCCGGATAACAACGGAACTTGGACTCTAGACGGTGCTTCTAACACAGATCGTCGTTTCATTTTAGAATCGGAGTCGCCGCCGTAAATTAGATCGTAGTATATGCTAGAAGTACCGTTTCTCTCGGTGACGTAGATGAGATGCAGAGGAGACGAATCTTCCATTTGAATTAGGGTTTCGTCGGGAAGAAGAGAGATTAGCGCCGGTGATGGAGACGGGAAATAGCCGTTGAAATTTACGGATTCTCCATCGGTGATACGGAGCTCGTTGGAATCGGACGGTGGATGAGTCGTTGAGAGGGTGAAAATGTCGAATTCGTAGCGCGATCGTCCTAGAGTGGTGAATATGATGGTGTCTCCATCACCAGCGTTCGAATTCTGATGTTCCAACGTTGATGCGTGAAGTGGTAGTAGAAGGGACGCGAAGAAGATAATCTGAGCAATATTCATGGCGGATTGGTCGGTGGTTGGCCACTAAATGAAGACGATAATCGAGTTTTTTTATAAGGCGGAGGAATTTTTTAGAGAGAATGGTGTAAGAGATGACGTCATTATGGTATTGTAGGCCCCGTTTGAGATAAGGTTACACGTGGCAATCTGTCGTGGAATTTTACTTGTTAACGTTTCTGACAAAAGTATAATATTTCACAGAAGATATTTCTTCTCTTGTATTCTACGAATTATCTCCGTATTCCGAAAATATCCACTTGGGAAAATAGTGGTTGGTCTATCTAGCATGGACCATGGTGCAGCACACGACAATAATTTCCAAGATCAATGTTGACCATATTATTTTAAGAAAATGTTAAAGATCAAAGTTATATTATTTCTTAGGCTACCCGGATACTTAACAAGATATTATCTAACAAGTTTTTAATTCGAAGAATAAGTTACATAACAAATCATTGTGAAGGAACAACACACATTGATGACATTGTTACGGGCTTATTCATTTTCATTTTCACGGTAGTATTTTGCGTCTTGAAATCTTGGATAGAGCAACTAGGTCCAAACCTCTTAGGCCACGCTACATCACCAGTAGCTTTGATCTTAGGGAACCACATGGGTGGTCCATCTTCCACCGAGTTATGCGTTAGCCTCGTCATACCAGAGCCATCCAAATTCACCGTAAAAATCTCACTACTCGGTACGTTAAAATGCGGATTACCGATCTGCTCCGCCGAGATTCCAGCATAAATGGTAGTGAACACGATTCTCTTACTGTCGGGACTAAACATCGGATGCATCGATACCCCACCAGTCAAGTTTTGCGCCAGCTTCCTTAAACCGGTCCCATCAGGGTGAACCACATATATATTCATCAACAACGTACCGGGAAATTCCCGGTTCGATGCAAACACAATCCAATTACCATCTGGAGACCAAGTAGCTATCGTATCGTTCCAGTTTCCGTTCGTTAACCGGAACAAACCACCGGATTCACCTTTCTCTGCGTCCATTATGTAAAGGTTTTTAGTACCGGACCGAGAAGAACGGAACACGATCCGTTTACCGTCAGGTGATGGCCAAGGAAAGGCGTTGTTTTCGCCGGTAGTCGTTAGTTTTTTAACGGCGGCTGATGGATTTGGTGCGTCGACGTTAATGGCGAGAATATCGATTTGAGACTTCCCTGGAGCTAAAGCTGGACCTGAGCTTGTGTAGACGATTCCATGTCGAATTGGATCCCAAACTGTTCCAAATCCCATTTGTGGAAGCAATTGACGTAGACCTGAACCGTCTGGTTTCACAACGAAAAGGCCCGTGAAAGAGACAAACGCGAATCGGTCACCTTCTGGAGAGATAGACGGAAACGCACCGTCGAATCTGAAGAGAGAGAGGTCGTTTGAAGTGGTTTTGAGGCTTTGAAGGAGATTCCGAGGAGTTTTTCGTCCAGTTGCGTCGCCTCTGCAGCTATGGTATCCGACTCGGGACGAGTCAGGGGAAAGAAACGGGTTAAAATGATGACTCTTTGGTGATACAAGACGAGTCAACTCGATGAACTCGTTCTTCTTTAAATCGAAAAGCTCCACGTGGCGGATTTCTGATCCAGGCCTCCTTGTAGCCACCGCGATGAAGTTGTTGTTGTTTGGTGACGTAGCTGGTGTGAAAGCGTGAAGACCGGGTGGTGTGACTCGTTGAATCGTAACGGATTTGGTGTTAACCGGTCCGGTTTTGGGTAAAATCGCTCGGTACACGCTGATCCAACCGTCGTCGCTTTTCCGGTGGAAATACAGAGTCGAGTCGTCGACCCACCTCGGCCACCCGCCTTGCTCAACCACCTTGACTCGCTGAGTCCCATCCCGAGTCAGGAAAACGTAGATGTCTGAACTAATCTCTTTCTCTACCAAGCTCCATTTCCAGCCTTTCTCACCGTACGAAGCCACGGCGGTCCATTTCCCAGACGGAGACACCGCCGGTGAAAAATCAGCGATTCCAGGTGGTGTTAACCGCCGAGTCGACTTAGTTCGTATTTCAGTCGAGTAAACGGCGGCCCAACTCGCCATGGGTTTCCCCGGATTCTCATGTGTCGACACGTAGACAAGATAGTCGTTGGTTAAAACAGGCGTATCTTTCATGGAATTTACATTCATACCACTCTGTTGTTCCTCGCCGGAAAATAACGGAACCTGAACTCTAGATCCAGTATCGCTGTGAACGACGTCGTAGTTTAAGCTAGGAGTTCCGTCTCTCTCGGTGACGTAGATGAGATGCAAGTCTTGTGGTTGAATCTGAGATTTATTGGGTAGAAGTGAGATTAACGCCGGAGAAGGAGAAGCGAAATGGCCGTTGAAATTAATAGATTTGCCGTCGGTGAAACGGTGCTCATCGGCTGGTGACGGTGGGCGATGGCTCGTTGGGAGAGTAAAGATGTCGAATTCGAAGGTGGGTCTACCTATCGTCGTGAACAAGATGGTTGAGCCATTTGAAAGCTGAGGCTTGTTCGATGAAGCAAACGATAAACAGAGGAGAGAGATGAGGAAGAAGAAGAAAGTGGTGTTGGTGAGTTTCATGGTGGATCTCTTGTTTTGGGATTTGGCGAATGGCGGGAACATTTTATAGGTGAAAGTGGGTGACGTGGAGGATATTGACACGTTGGTTGACTTTAATGACCACTGATTTTAACCATTTGGGGAAGTTTCTAGTTTTGTTTATTAAATAAAAGAAAAAACCATGCTATAATTGGTTTTTTTCCTTTTTATTTTGTTAAGAAGATCCAGTTTTTGGTTATTGGTTTATGATAATTGATATAAAGTGATATGATATACAATTATACATATATACTGTATCTTTATATTTTTGGAAATGGGAATATATCAATCTGAATTGAAGGTGATTGTGGATCCGGAAGTAAAGATTTGAGGCAAATAAAATCTTGGAATATTGGTGGAAAGTAGGTATATTAGCATTTTCAATATGGCAATAAATACAGCAGTTCTTAGTTTATTTAATTTTTTTAATTAATAAATTTTGGGAAATAATATATCATATACCACTTTCTCAAGTAATAAAATTCTATAAGATATGCTGACAAAAAAAAAAAAAAATCTAGAAGATATGAATGACTCAATCAACTATTTCTTGTTCCTCAGAATCTATTACCAGTAAGAGCTGTAGAGTGTAGACATACATATACTGACATATTGTGCACATGATCTCATACACATACTGACTTATCACATATGTTCTAGTTGGATTTTTTTTTGTCTTTTTGGGTTATCACTTACTGTATTTTGTATTTTTATAAATTATAAAGAGATGTCTTATGGAGATAATACAAAATTAGCATGTTTTTTTCTTCATGAAATCACATTTCTTGAAATGGCAAAGGTACCAAACTATATAATGATAAAAAAAAGTTATAAATTATGGTAATCTTACTTAGTTACCATCAGGCATCAGGTCAGACTGTTTCACTCCTGTGTAATTTTATAAATCCCTGTTGTGTCTTTTAAAGATTGCGCTACTGAAAATAAAATTTCGTTCTGAGTTCTGACTAGCCTCTGATCTTTGATAAAAGTAAATATTCCTAAAAGATCCATCTCTCCAATTATTAGTGTCTGGTGACTGCTGAGGCAAAGTCGTAGTTGTCTACTTGCTTTCATGGATTCTTGTGGTTTGGATATTATTATCTCCGTTTACTACTTGTCGTAGTTTGGATCTGTCTTGCTAACATTTTTATGTCGTCTGTCCATATCTCAAGGTTCCTTTATCCATTCCTACCCTCAAACATTTTTTTTCTCGCATCTATGACTATAAGATTATTTTCATTTGTGTATCTTAACGAAGTCAATATTTATTAAAGTGTAGAACTTTGCTTAAACCGGAGTTACAACCCCAAATTTATCGAGCTACGAAGATAATTATGAAAAAAAACATATTACATATTCATAAAAGATACCAACAAAAGCATTTTGTCATTCCATGGGAATGAAACTAACACCAGTGAATCATCTCTACGTTATAAGCTATTATAATAAAAACATTCAATATATATCTTATAAAAAGAAACTCTATTTCGGTTTTTGGGGCTATACAATATCCCCCATGGATTTTTGTTGTTGTTGGGTGTACAGAGAGATGACAAGTTACTGTCAAAGGAAAAATCAGAGACAAGAAGATTAAAAACAAGAAAAAACTCGAGGAAACTCACAGACGAATTATAGTTGTACAGAAAGCAACTATATCCACAGCATATGGGCTTAAGAGAGCTCCTCCTTGTTGAACTTGTTCCAAGCTTCCTGTAACAATGCAAGTCAGTTATGAGGTAAGGTTTGTGAATGCAAGAGACGAGAACCTAAACCGGATTTCTTCAAATTACTAACACTGAGATATGTCCAACCTACTAAATTTTTTGAAACATCGTTTCCATGAAACTCAACTGATTGATTTGGAGGGAACTAAACCATCAAGTCAACTTTCATCTACATAAGATTCTAGAAAGAGAGCCACTCATGCAGATCCATTGAGGAAATACCTTCAAAATGTCAAAAACCTTTTCGGCAATATACTTTTGTTCAAGGGTCGCTCCTTTCTGCTGAACTTTATCGGGATGGACATACAGCGTTGCCTTTCTATAGACTTTCTTGACTGCTGACGAAGTGATCAAATCTGTTAGAGAAACAGTCTCCCAACCACATCCGGGCCAGAGTACCTGTCATCATTTAAACAGAACCGGAATTCAGAGTGAACTTAGGAGGAGCAAATGGATAAACAGATGTCAAAGAACGATAAATTACAATTTATTCTTATTTAAAACTCACGATTTGCAAGGAAGATAACAGCGCACGCATGTTTCCTTCTTTACCAGTTGCCCAACGCCTTATCTCAGCATCAACAGTCTCAGAAATCCTCTGAAAAGCAAGATTAACAAGAAACCATTGTTGGTTAAACACAAGAACAAGGAGACTATATGTAATCACGATAGGAAATATAAATGTCAAAAACAGCATTATCATCACGAAGACTAACAAATCCATAAACGTCATTGTTCATAAACAAGTTTTATGATAATGATGATTAACAAAATAAATGTCAACAAAAACATTACTCACAGTTCTCTGTTCTTGTTCAACCCGAGATTGATGATCACGGTTATTCATATCAGCTACAGCTTGTGCCTACATGTCAAAAGGCATTGAATAGTGAAAAATCATGTAGAACCAAATTATACAACCAAGAACAAGCTAAAGCATTGATGAGCACTGTAAAACTTAAACTAGAAACTGGTTGCTGTATGCCATTAAGTTATGAGTCACCAATTTTGACGTGCAAACAGGACGACTAAATCAAATATGGAAAGACCTGACGTTGGCAATATGTTTTAACTGATTCAACAGATTCTCCAGAGAACTTAACCAAACTTTTGAAACGTGAAGGGGTACTTTCAAGCACAAGGAAAATTTATCATAGCTTGATGAGATATCATCGAAAGTTACAGAGGGAAAAACGAGTCAAGGATTGTACCAGAAGATTCAAAGAAAACAAACATAACCAAACATACCACACGACTCTTTGTTCTCTGTTCACGATCCCATCTGGCCTTTCTTCGTTCTTCGCTTTCCCCTGGGATTTCCTCAAATTGTCTAAATATAGGATCCTCTGTAGAGAAGGAAACATTTCCTAGTAAGTTAACCCAGTGTACCCAATTGCTGGAATAGAAATGTTGTCACAAAATTTACCTCCAAAGAGTGCAGAAAAGTCATCCACCAGATTTGCTGGAGCAGGAGGCTTCTTTGCATTAGAAACCCCATTAGGCGTCTTTTTTGGCGTGTTGGACGCTTGCTTGCGAGTTGTCTTGCATCAGAAAGAAGAATAAGGATACACATACAGAACATTTTTCTTTATTGCAATAACTAGTAAAGTGGAACTTAGTAATATTTCAAAGTCTTCTTACTTCAGTTGTGGTACGTGATTTCGGTACACTGCTAGACCTTGGTCCAGCACTAAAAAAGGAGTCAAGGTCATCTACACCAAACTGTTTATTCTTTGTTCCAGCATCTTCAGCTTCTCTATATTTACTAGCAGTGTCAGAAGCAGAGGCACTACGTCGCATAGTACCCATGGCAAAGTCTTCAAGTTCGTCTATTGAAGACATTTCTGGACTCTTACCTGTGGAAATAATCCCTTGACTAGTTAGAGCACAATGAAAGCAGTAAACAAAAGCTCTAATTCAACATACTTTCAGGTCATCAAAGATATTAACCTCTGTTCACTTTTTGTGTTGGTTTAGGCGGAGGCTTGAGTTTTGTAGAAGTATGTGAAGTATTTGATGGTTTTTTCCCCTGAGAACTGACTGAAGCAGCAAATTCTTCAAGTGGATCCACGAACAGACCAGTAGAAGTGGTTGATTCTAAGACCACAAAAGGATCAGTAGCATCAAAGTTCGATTGAGTAGTCTTGCTGAAAAACCAAACAAAAACAAAAATATCTCAACAGCAGAAAAATTCAAAAACCATAACACCAAAACATTTTCATTTACAAAGGTTATCAGAGATTTCAAATACCATCCATGAGACAGTAACACATTCCATACATGACAGACATCAGAATCTCATACAATATATATATATATATATATATATATATATATATATATATATATATATATATATAAACCTAATCAATAGAAATTGGCAACAAATGTATCATAAACTGATCACAAACCTGATAGTCGTCTGAGAACTTCCACCAAAACCAGGTATCAATCCATCATAACCAGCTTCATTCTTCCCCAAACCCAACAAATCATCGACCGCAGCAGCATATTGCTTTTCCGATGAAGAGAATGACCCAAACAAATCATCATTCTTAACACTAGCGGAGATTTTAGACCCAGGCATAACACCACCAAACAAATCATCATTATCAGAAGTTTTCTTTCCCAAATTCCCAAAATTAGAAAACAACAAATCATCGTTCAAAGACGACTTGCTATTATCACCGGAAGATGATGATTTTTTCAACCCAGAAAAAACATCAAAATCATTCGAACCGTTCCTATTAGTAGAGTTGGCCGGAAAGAAAATGTCGTCACCATCATACAAAGACCCATTACTAGATTCCTTATTCCAAGAGCTATTCGAAGAAAAAGACGTCGACTTTGCATTTAAACCAGAGCCTGTACCGAAATTCCAGCTCTGACCATTGTTGTTAGGGTTACGCTTAGAAGCAGCCATCGGAGCAGATTTACCTTGTGGCTTAATCCCATAACGCTCCGTAAGAACCCCAAACTCGTCCATTTCTCCGATTAATCAAAAAAAAAAAAACACACAAACGAATTTCACGATTTCCCTATCAGATTGATCCCGGAAAAATCACGGATCTTGCTTGAAAAATGGGGAAATTCTGAATATGGAAAAGTGGAAATCGGAGGAGAGAAGGAAGATTTGACGAGAATCTAGAATGAAAACGAATCGTCTCTCTCTCTCTCTCTAGAAATTGATCCGTGAGGGCACCGACGGTGTGGAGACGACGACGATAGATTAATCTTTGAGTAGCCACAAAAATGAATGATGGTGGGTCAGACAGACAGGTGTCTTTCCCCTTTTAAAATTCCCACCTTCCTTTTTTTCTTAACCTCTTTAATTATTGAAAAATATTCCACTGCACTAATTAAGAAAATAATTCCTTTTAATTATGGAAGTCATTTTTTCTTTTTTGGTTATGTGATATATATTGATAAACAGAAGACAAAAGTTTCAACAAGGAGAAGAAAACCCTAATTAAAAGCACATCTCGTATTCTTAGTAATGGATTTGTTTGCTGATAAAGTATCCCTCGACCATGAAATCGACTACAATCCTAAGTCTGAAGACGCAGGAAGAATCAAAGTCTATGCGAGTATCCTTATGTCCGAAGATCCTATAAGAGATTGTCGACCAGTACTCGGATTCTCCTTGCCTGCCAAAGAATTTTGGGATAGCTTCACGAGGTATCAATAATGGGAACAACTAGATTGCTTAGAGAACGATGGACGTCTCAATCTCTTTCAGGTTGATTATGCAAGGATGGAATTCACTACACGTGTCATTGATGTCATGTTTTTCTCGGTTAGTCATTCACCAGATCGTGCTTTGTTATTTTATATTACCTTAAGTTCAGTCCTCCTCTTACGATTGAAGAGTATATCCGGAATATACGATCATTGGAAAAGACGACGATATCGAAGAGGATATGCATGTCCCATTTGATGAGAGCACCATTGATATCCGGGTTAGACCGGCAAGTAAGTTTGCGGTTGAGTCTTTGTCAAGGAAAGTATACAAAAAGACGACGTTCAGCTCCAACATGTGCACAATATGTTTTACTGAGTTTAAAATGGGAGAAAGAGTAGTGACTTTACCCTGTGGACACGAGTTTGACGATAGCTGCATCCTCGAGTGGTTTGCCACAAATCATGTTTGTCCATTGTGCCGTTTCGAGTTACCATGTGAAAAAATTAGATGAGATAGTTCTTATGTGAAACTAACCCTCTTTGGCTTTTTAAGAGTAAGAGTTTTAAATAAAGTTGATTTTCCATTATTCATAATGTTTTTGGACTGCTTTTATATCTCTTATTTCTTATTATTATTTTTTTTTTTTTGTATTTGATCATTGGAGATTATTTTAAAAGAAGGTATACTTAAAACTCATTGACAATGCCGAACTTCATAAGCTAAACTAAGCAACCATTGCAAATAGCAAAACTCATTTCACACAAGTAATTGAAGTCTCACTCATGACTCAACCAACCGGGTACTGTTTCTCTGCCTCAGAATTAAAGATTGCTCTTTTTTTTTAGGGGGCTTTAAGGTTAATATATTGACTGAATATAAACTGTATAAGGAATGTTGTCTGGGTTTTCAAAGCTTTTGAGCTTACAAAAACAGAGTAAAAACAGAGAGTATGGTTAGAGCTTATCATTCATATTCAAATCTAGTACTCTTCATAAGATTATCGTATCACGTTGGTTCAAAAGTGGAAATGACTATAAACCCCATTTTTCATGTATATACAGAACTACCCTCAGGACTAAACGTTGTTTTAGTTAAATGTCTAAAACGTCGCCGTATTAACTCAGTTATTCGTCGCATCGAATCATCGGAGGTGATGGAAGCATCGGAGGTGATGGAAGCACCGGAGTGCCCGGTGTGTCTACAGTCTTTCGACGGCGAGTCTACAGTCCCGCGTGTACTCGCCTGCGGACACACGGCGTGCGAAGAATGCTTAACGAATCTACCCAAGAAGTTTCCGGACACAATCCGATGTCCTGCTTGCACCGTTCTCGTCAAGTTTCCACCTCAAGGACCATCAGCTCTCCCCAAAAACATCGATCTTCTCAGATTGTTCCCGTCCATTTCTCAGATTAAGTTGGAACCTGGTCGGAATTGTAAAAAAGCCGTTGAATTTGTCACTCGATCATGGTCCGACGACTTTTACGCCACTTGGAAGGATCGGATCCTAGTGCACGACGCCGTTTCCGTGGAAATTAGGGAGAGTGAAAGTAGTGATTTTGCTTCAGCTTCGCTTTTATGTGGAAGTCTGAGGGATGATTTGAAGGTGAGTCTTTTACGGGTTGCTTCTTTTGAGCATGATGATTGTGATTCTGTTCTCAAGTATAGTTATGTTCAGAGGATGATGAGTTGTCTGTGGGGGATGAGAGAGGAGGAAAGAGATGAGCTTGATGCGATCATCTCTGTTAAACAGAGAGGTGTTTCTAAAGTTTTTGGCTTGTGGGGTGATTTGAAGAATGGTGTTTTGTATTTAGTGGGTGAAAAGCTTACTGGGTTTTTGTTGGAGGAGTTTGATAGCCTCACTGAAGATGATACTTCACGTTTAGCAATAATTGGTATGCAAATATGTGAGGCACTACTCAATTTGCATAAGGAAGGGTTGATCATAGGCTGTTTGAGTGTTTCTTGTGTGAAGTTTGACGAATTTGAGAATGCTTATGTTGATTTGATTGAGTTGATTGAAACTGGAAGGAATGTGTATCAAATTATCGTGGAAGAAACTCGCTCTTTGAGAAAACCAGTTGGTGCTTCGGAAATGGGTTTGATTTTGGTTGGATTACAACGGAAGGGGATTCTTATGAGCTCAGAGGTGTTGTTTGAATTGTTGAAAGAACGGAATATGTTGATAAAAAATGCCAGCTCAAAGTCGTTGGTTTCATATAACTCTGATGTTTGGCCAGTTTGTTTTCTTGTCCTCAAGCTTTGTCTTGGAGAACGGTTTACAGAGGAGCTTATTGAAAGTGTAAATTGTGTGGATGCAAAAGGGTGTGAAGAGGGTATTGAGGATCTCTTGGTGCTATATGCAGGTATTACGGAGAAACTAAGTTTGGAATCTGAACTCCAAGGGAAATTTAAATCAATGGTTGAAATTCTTCGCCAATGTTGCTGTCTTGATCCTCAGGCACGTCCCGTTTTGACTGATCTATGGAAATGCATCAGGGAGCTGGTCATGAAACCTAGGTTCAATTCTATGAGTGGATTGCATAAGACGATTTCTGGGAAAAGGAAAGAGTTCTGTTTGGCTCGAAGTGAATTATGTCGCCTGGTAGAAGTGGATTCCAAAGAACTGGACGAAGAGTTGCCTGGAATGAAAACTGGCAATGAAGAAGAGGAGGGTAAGGTTGACATAGATTTTGCTGGGAGACTCTCAGAAGGAAAGGTGAAATATAAAGACATGCGGGGACACCAAGACTCTGTCACAGGTTTAGCGGTTGGAGGTACACCTTCTTCTTGTAAAACTGTACAAATTTTATAAATTTATTCAATTTTCCTTAAAGAGTATTATTTAAACGACGCCTCTTTATATGTTCCTTTTCTCTGTATAGGTGGGTTTCTCTTCAGCTCCTCATATGATAGAACTATCCTTATATGGTCTCTGAAGGTACATATGCAACCATGGTTGTATATATAAAGTTAGTGATAGGTCCTTTATAGATTTTTGTTCATATTCTTCTCAGCAGCTCTCTGATAGTTGTATGAAGTAAAGTCCTTAATTCGAGCTATATAAATCGTCATGCAAAACATGCTAAATGCAGGACTTCTCCCATGTGCATACATTTAAAGGTCATCAGGATAAAGTAATGGCCTTGATGCACATCGAGGGAACAGAACCAGTATGTGTCAGTGGCGACGGTGGAGGAGGTATCTTTGTATGGAGCACTACTTTCCCTCTGAAAGAACAGCCGCTAAGAAAGTGGTACGAGCCAAAAGACTGGCGATATACTGGCATTCATGCTTTGGCATACTCAGAATATGGGCATGTATACACTGGCAGTGGAGATAACACAATCAAAGCTTGGTCACTGCAAGTAAGTTAATTTTCCTGTACCTCTGTAAAGCTTGTTCTGATAAGATTTTTGTTTTCATATTATTTGATGGTGATTGTTTTCCCAGGATGGAAGCCTGGTTTGCACTATGAGTGGTCATAAATCTGTAGTCTCAACGCTTGTTGTGGTAAATGGAGTACTATACAGTGGAAGTTGGGATGGAACCGTTCGTTTGTGGAGTCTAAGTGACCACAGTTTGTTGACAGTGTTGGGGGAAGAGACTCCAGGTATTGTAAGATCTATTCTGTCTCTAGCTGCAGACGATCAAACTCTAGTGGCAGCTTATCAAAACGGAGATATACAGGTTTGTATGTTTCCTTAAAAACATTTTGCTTGAGGTGCTTCATTTCAATTTTATTGTCACTTGTCAGTCTCTAAACCTGAACTCTTCTGATTCCTTTTCCAGATATGGAGGGATGATACATTGATGAAGTCAATGCAAATACAGAGTGGCGCAATCCTCACCATTGCCGTGAACGGTAAATGGCTATTCACTGGAGGTTGGGACAAAACCATCAATGTACAGGTAATCCACTAGTTTGTATACCCAAAAAATGACGAATAATCCACAGATCTTATCAAAAGTGAAAACAAAAAATCAACACTTTACCCATTATCTGTTAGCAGATATTTTTCCTTCTAACATCTGTTTCCGAACACCTGTTTGTAGGAATTGTCAGGAGATGAGATATCAGTAGACTGTAATCACGTAGGTTCAATCCCGGGTTCATCAGTAATCACATCTTTGTTATATTGGGAAGGCAAGCTCTTTGCAGGGTTTGCAGATAAAACCATTAAGGTAATAATAATAGTCCAAATTGTCTGTCTTTTTCTTTACATTCTTGAATTACCTCTGTTGCTAAAAATGGTCTTTGACACGAGTAAGTTTTGTCTCCATTTTTTACAGGTATACTATTGTGGACACTAACAAAAACTAGTGTATGCTCATTTTGTTCCTGAAGATTCTTTCTTCCATAAACTAGTTTCCTCCGTAGATGTATATGTGTATATGAATATTTCGTACCAATC